CACATATTGATACAAAAAAAAAAAAAAAAAAAAGAAAAAAAAAAGCTGCGGTGTTGGACCAAAGCTGCTGTGTAGTTGTTGAAGCTGTACAATAAACCCAATTAGGAAATCCATGATCCTTATCTATGATATCAGTGTTCTGCATCCCCCGAGTTTACAACTTATCGACCAGATTGTTCAATTTCAATGTTCTTTTCTCCCTTGCTGCCGAGTAAGTGCTCTCCGATATCTACTAGTCCTCGCTGTTGTACAAAGTTGGCGTGTTTCTGTCGAGGTAGAGCTTTGGTAAGCCCGTCTGCTGGCATTCGGTTCGTTGGTCTCCATTCAACTGATATGCGTCCCGCGGCTACCTCTTGTCGCAGCCAGTGCTGGTGAATATCGACGTGACGAAGCTTCGTGAATAGCTTATCGTCCTCTTTTGTCGCGACTCCTACGGTCTGCAACTTGTCGCAATATATCGTTGACTTGATGCCTAGTTAAAATCGAATATGTTTGGAAAATCGATTCTAGGCTTGCAATTCGCTAGCAGCTGTTGACAACGCTGTCAGCTCTGCCTCTGTAACTCGACTTGGTATCTGATATCTGAAGTGTCGCTTTCTAGTCGATTGGTATTCCGTATAGCGTGAACAAATATATCCTTGTGAGCTACGGCGGCTGCTCACGTCGTCGGCAAATGCTGCATCGGATGCTCCATAGAATAGCGGCTTCTGATCAGGTACTATCCAGCGCTCCCAACAGTCAGCCATACGCCCGTGCAAGAATAACAGTCGGTATGTTGGGAGTAACGTTTCTCACGGGTTCAGATCTGCGAGGTCCTGATCTCCTTGCCCGCTGGAAGCAGCCTAGAGAGGGACCGATGGAACCAGTGAGGTTTTAGACTCTCAAGAAATGCTCATTATCCCAACGCTCCGTTAAGAATGCACCGTACAAGAGAACGGGATTCTTGCAGGGTATGAATCCCCACATCGTTGGAGTGATATAGATGACCATGCGAATGTGGATGTCCCACATGCGCTCTATGCGCAACCATGGAAAGTTGAAGGAAAAGGAGGCATGTCTCGAGCCGGGAATGCGACGAAGAAGCAAATGTAATGGTATCATTTCTGGCGGTAAGTGTCCGCCTATCTCCCCCAACCTCATGTCACTCCCTGCTATATCCGATACTGAGAAATTGCCGTGACCTTCATTTCAGACATGCAATCAATGAGACAGACAAAAGTCGAAGTCGAAGTCGATTCCGATCCCTGTTCTTCTATTAGTTCCAGCACCTGTGCGCCTTGCTAAAGAATTGGCCCGTGTCGCTCGCGTGCCCAAGCTCCTGCACGTTGGAGGGTCTAAGTTCGTAAAACGTATGCTCGCTCGCTCCCTAGTCATAATGCATAAACAATTGTGAGATGCTCTCTCCGTGATGATTTCGGCGGATAGCTTCTGCCAGCAGGTTGTCCACGCCAATGACGACCAACTTATCCCTCGCCTGCGCCTGCTTATACTCGGGAATGGGGAACGAATTCGTGACGATGATTTTATCGATGCATTCGCATGCATTCATCTCCGCCAGGCAGTCTCCGCCAAAGAGACCGTGGGTCGCCATGCAGTATACCTGCGTGGCTCCTCCGCGCTTCACCACCGTTTCCGCAGCGGCGATCCAGGAAGTGGACTTGTCGATCATGTCGTCGAGCAAAATCACCGGGCGATTTCTCACATTGCCAACAAGCGTTACCATGGTCTCCAGCCCCGGGTTATTCAGATCATCCTCCTCATCTTCAGACGACGCCGCGGCATCGATCGTACCACCCAACGCATGTGCATGTTCACTATTTTCCAGTCTTCGGACAGAGGAGGCGGTGGAAACAAAGGAGGAGATCATGTGATCCGGAATACAATCGTCTTCGGTCTCGGAAGCGGCGCGGTTGTGGCGCCAAGTCGAATTCGAGGTCGCGGACATGGCGGGTGACGGATGGCTCTCATCAACAATGTGGCCTTGGACCAGGCGCCCATGAATGACATCTCTGGCACGCTATTGAAGTTAGAATTGGGTGAAAAAGAGTGAGGAGTTACTGGGTCAAACCTCGTCAGTGTACTCCTCGGCACTTTCGTCTTGCTCGTCAGCATCTTGTCCTGGCGGATCGCTGTCCGGTAGCGTCTCCGGCGGAATCTCGGCATCCGGGACCGAGTCGACCCTCACTGATTTGGCAAGAGGGCTACCAGAAGATTCCACCGCATTGGCACGTCTCTGAAGCGGGTTCGTAAACCGCGTTTGAATCTTGGGTTTGCCGTTCTCGCCGCGATGATTATACGACGAGCTGGTAGCGGGCGTAATATGGGCGTCCGTATCCAAAGCGGCCTCGAGAACTCCTGGCGTCCCATATGCCCCATCCATCTTCAACTGGTCGAACAGTGCACTCTCGCTCATGTGGATCGTGCCGCCCCTTCGCCGGTCCGTTGTGACGATGCCAAAGCTAAGCTTTAATGCATCGGCTAGTGATGTGACGCGCTTCGTACCACCGGGGTTTTTGCTCACAACAACGGCTTCCTTCCAGTTTGGAATATTTACTCGGATCCACCGTGCGAGGAGTGGTTCGGCGAGGAGGTTGTCGACGGGACACTTGAAGAAGCCCTGCATCTGGGAGGCGTGGAGGTCAATGGTGACGACGTGGTCGACGCCGGCAATGTGGAGTAGGTTGGCGACCATGCGAGCGGTAATGGCGCCGCGGTGTTGCTTCTTCTTGGACTGGCGCGAGTAGGGAAAGTAGGGCATGACGGCTGTTTGCGTGAGTCGGTTGCGTATGGAAGCCTTCTGGCGGCGTGCGTACCTGTGATTGACTTTGCGGAACCACCTTTGCAGGCGGACACCATGATCAGTAGCTCCATGACGGCGTCGTTGATCCTGTTGAAGTTCAGTTGTTTGTAGGGGGGTGCTGGATTAAGGGACGTACGTACTTCTCGCTCCCGCTCTGCACGATAAAGACATGCTTCTCTCGGATCGACGTATCTGGCATCCCTCAGCATCATCCCAGGCAATTGAGGTCCGAAGACGTACGTATCGACACTGACGTCTCCCCATTTGCAAATTTCCCCAAAGATACCGAGCCCCGCTTTGAACCCAGGCGGTCGCAGATGCCGTCGACGAGGGCAGGGTGCGACGAGCCGCTGAAGACGATAGCTCCACGCATCGTGGGAGGGCCGAGGGCGAAGAAGTCGTTGAGATCCGAAGGTGCAAGCAGCTGGGGACGGCGAAAAGTGTCCATGGTTTGCTGCAATCGGCTCGTGATAGTAGCTATTCTTTCTTGGCAGGCCAGGGAACCCCGGGCGGCTTGAGCACAAGCGGGCCAAGGAGGTAACCTTATCGATAAGGAAGGCTATCGATAAGCGACAACGTGGGGGAGGGGAAGGGTGAATAGGGGACGTGGAAGAGGAGGGCGCAGGGGGAACAGGCGCAGGGGGAACACGCACAGGGTCCGCCTTGGTGAGTCAGAAGTGAATGTCGGCTCCAGTATATGGGAGAAGAAGGTGTCTTCAACTTAGCAAAACCCCTCCTCCGACCTATTTGATCTATGCGCTGGCGACCCGAGTCTTTTTACAGCTCACGCGACGACGTCTTCCCATTGTCGCACGGCCGATTGACAACCTATCAGAGTCCACACCATGGCCACGCTCCGTCCTTGCTGCGCCGATGACATACCCGCCATCGCCCACATCTACGAATACTATGTCCTCAACACCGTCCTCACCTTTGCCCACACCCCTGTGCCCGAGGACGACTTCAAGCGGAAATGGCAAGAGGTGCTCGACGAGGGTTGTCCGTACATCGTCGCTGTAGACGACGCGCAGCAGGTGCTGGGCTACACCTATGTCTCCGGTTTCAGGGCCCAACGCAGAGGCTATCGACATACCGTCGAGTTGACGCTATTCTGCCATCCCGACCATAGGGCCAAAGGCATAGGTAGCCTGCTTCTCCGGAAACTGCTTGACGTCCTCGGAGCCCCCGAACGCTATCCCGACTTCTTTGCCAAACCACGCGGCGAGGACGACAAGGTTCGAGTGATTCTGAGTGTCATGGCTGTCGACAACACGCAATGGAAGGAAGGTCTTGGGTTGCGCGACTTTTACGTCAAGCATGGCTTTGAGGAAGTTGGCCATCTGAAGAACGTCGGTCACAAGTTCGACAGATGGTAGCTTCCCCTCTCACACCCTCATTGGTGTAAACGCGACTAATTCATGCTCATTGCAGGATCGATACCCGTTGGTTGCAACTCACGTTGTGGTAGTAAGTACCCCTTCGAGCAGAGAATCGAGGTACTGCGACAGGAGAAGAGGCCGGCTTTGCAGACTTGGAGACACGAAATCAATCGTCATTAACTCAGTCCACCTCCATCTAACCGCTTATCCAAGCTTGTGCGTATTACACAGTACGCTCTTCCGATGATAAGCTTGTGCCGTGGTAAAGTTCGGCAACCTCACCGATTGGTTGCAGTTCCTGCGGCACAATCCCGTCTGCCCCCTTCGACCATTTCCAATGCATACATACATGCGGAGACTGACGGAGACAGCAACATCTGCGTCCAAGCTTAAAGAGCCATTGCACAGGTCGCCTTTCCATTTGGCCTAGGGTGTTGCCGTTATCAGAGTCACACTGGATCCAGGTATTCCAAGTAGCAAGTCGAAGATAACTTCGAAAGTTGTAACGAGCCTTCACTGTCACACTCTCCTTTCATGGCCATGGACGGTAACCTCGGGCAATATTGTGTTGTCTTTAGTACATTGGGACAAAAAACGGCATGCACTACACGGTCTAATAAGGCTTCTGAAAGGGCGCGATACCCTGCCGCTTGCTTTGGACGTCGGGAATACGATTGTAGATGCAGGGTTGCAGACGCCGTCAGTCACCTTAACCACAGTAATGAATCAAGGGGACTCTGGAACGTTCAAAAACGAGGTAGACGGCGTAGAGGCCAAGCTGGTCGTCTTGGCAAAGTATCAAAACAGACGGACAGAACTACCGTCAGGGAGGTGACGCACAGCAGGCTGGGTTTGGAGCCAGCCACACCGCACTGTGCGACCGGTATGCCGGAAGAAAAAAGAAACGATGGTGACACCGATCTCGCATTCGTGGAACCAGCCACCAGGTTCAGGACCGATCCCGTGTTACCCGCACGGTAGCGCACAAGCCTCTCTCCGTTTCAGGACACGCTATGCAACAGTTGCTGGAATTGGGTGTCCTTGGGGCCTCCTAATGGAGGGAGAGTTGCATCTATACCGGCTCGGCGTACGCTTCTGTTGTGGCCAAAGACAGCTGTCCGCGGTGATGTCGGGTACTAAGTGGATCAAAAAGGACGGGGAAAAGGTTGAAAACATGGTGCGGATCAGCGTCTTCTAAAGCAGAGAAGAAGAGAGGGAGAGAAGGAAAAAAAAGATAAGATCAAGCTCCGTGATTGGGGAGAGATGACGTGCCGGCTATGCAAGCGAGCATGTCGTGCATGTGGCGAAGTTTGCTTCTTCGTTTGCGTAGGTAAACCGGTGGATATGAGCTGTGCCAACAAAAGCTACGATGATTACAGAATGAAGCGAAGTGACAAAACAAAGTCGCTGTCACCCTATGGAGTTTCTCCCCAGCGGCGACTTGGGGCACGCCAACCGGTCCAATATTCGGTGAATCGTGACTGGCTTGTTCCCAATGTCTTGGAGGAAACGGTGATGAGTTGTTGCTAGTCGGTAGCTGCCGCCCTAGTATTGTTTTGTTCGGTGGTCCAATAAGGGTGAAGATGGAGGTTACGTGGATGAGACGAACCTCTATCTCGTGACTGGGCAACAAACAAGGTGAGGGATGAGGGTGGTGAATCAGGGGGATGTCGCAGGGTGGCTCTTATGGAGCAACCGTGGTATGCTCATGTCGCTCACCGGATTCCACATGACCAGCAAAAAAGGGGAGCACTGGAGAAGCATCGTCGGTGAGAATGAGGCTGCCGTCGTAACTACGTGTTGTGCGTGCGACATTGATGGTGATGGATAGCTATGCCCAGTTAGAGTGATAAAGTTAAAGAGTACAGTCACCGGCCACTCAGAGGGCTCGTATGAGCGGAATGACCCGCTTTCCCAATCAAACACAGCAATAACCCCGAGGGATGGCGGCAGTGGCTGCTAAGTGGGAAAATGGGGAAGTGGTGAATACCAAAGAGAGAGGGGCGTGGAGCGGCAACGGCCGAGCCGTGGTCACGGCGTCTGCAGATGGACGGTTTGGGCAACGCGACGGGGACACGGACTGACGGCTCTGCTTCCCTGCAACAGGTCATTAATATTGTATGGGGCTGGGACTGGGACCACGAAGACAGCAAGATGAGCGACGAGAGGGGCAAGGAGAGAGTTGTGTGTTTGATAACTTGGAGGATGGCAATCTCTTGCTTGTGTGGCTGCTGTGGCTTCACAAGCCGACGCTGGGACTACTTAGAGAGGTATGTCGTGCACAATCTGTATGGACAGCAGGTGCGACAGGGCGACAGGGCACCCTAACAACAAACGCTGACGCCACAACCTGCTTCAGGTTCGGTGATTATTTATTATTAGAGAATATTTGGCGGTTGCTGCGCGACCAGAGCGGCAGGACGACGGAGGGGAAGGGGGATGAAGGGGAGGGAGCCCGGAGAGCAGAGGCACATGGAGAACTACACAGTACGGTGGCTATAATAGGGTAGCGTGTCCCCTTGAGGCGAGGTAATCTTCCTATACCGTCGACTGTGGCATGTGCGGTGTCTCGGATCATGCCTAATAAGCCAACGTCACTGCACCTTCATCTGTCATCTCTCGACCCGCCTCACACAATTTTTCTTCTGACACCGCTGGCAATTGCTACCATGGCCGCGGCGGCGGAACAGCCCGTCCGTATCCGAACAGTGCTGGACCAGCAGACCAGCAGGGCGCATCCCGGGGAAATCGACCTGGGAACCTGGGACCTGGGACACGGGAAGCCATCTATCAAGCCACCTCCATTCGCCTCGCCGTGCGACATGGTCGGCGCAATGGGTGCATCTCTTGCTGTATCCGTCTGGCTGGCGTCTGCTTTGGAAGCGTGAACCCTGCGAGTCCAAGCCGGATGCACGCTTGTGTCGTTGTACCGTGTCGTGGAGAAGTATAGCACCTTGGTACCGTACCGTCCATCAAACCGGCCAGAGTAGGGCGACTAGCCCCGAACCACCAAGGCGAAGACGATATAAAGAGTGACGACGGCTCCACCACAACCACACACTCTGCACCATTCAGTATTCACCGGCCATCGACCCTCTGCCTCCCTCTGCATCCCATCCCACGAACACTCGGCCCTGCGGTTGCTGGGCGCGGCTCCTTTTCCTTCCTGTGCTCTTCTGCAGCCACATCTCAACCAGGAAGCCCGCATCACGGCCGTCACATTTGTCCCCATTTGTGCACATAACCTGCCGCCCTGCTATTCTGCTTCTGCTTCTGCCTCGCCTGTCCGCCGTAAGTCTCGAGGAACCAGTATCCAGCGTACATGGCTACCTACACAGCTGTTGTTGCCTCTTGCTGTATTCGACTGACGTGCATCCAGTCTCCATGACCTGCCTCAGCCCTACATCGACGCGACCCGACATCATGGCTCAACCCGGCAACTGCTCCCACTCGTTCCAATTGATCAAGTCGGACACGACGCTCGTTCAATGGAACTGCAACCTGTGCCATTCGGGCCCGCACACCTTCATCTACGAGTGTGCCCACTGCAAGCTCAAGACGTGCAGGCCCTGCACATCCAAGGCCTAGTCCTGGCAGCTGATGAGTGAGTGAGCCCTCCCGTTGCCCCTTTAGCCATGTTTTGTTGGTCCTGAAATGATTGTTCCATGTTGAAAAAAGGATGAGAGATGCTGACTCGCGTTCTTCCCCTAGGAGCATGGGCGAATATGCTGCGTGCACGATCGACGACAGTCGACAAGTCCGGCAGGGGTGCGACCTTCACCGAAACCGAGTCCGCGCACCCGGGTCTGGCACTTGGCCTTGGCTTCGCTTCGTTCGGTCCGGCTGCACAACCCTTGCAACCCCCTCAACCCCTGTCCATCTCCAGCCCCTCCAACAACTGGGCATTCCCTTCGCGCCATCTCTCTCTCACACACACACTTTCTGCACGGTTTCCTTTTCCTATCCACATGTCTTGACTTCCCGCGTCCTTGACCACTGAACATGTCCGGCACCTCTTAGCACGGCGTATGGCGGCATTTCTCTCTCCTCTGACTCAAGAAAGTACGGCGGCATTTTCCTATTCGTCTCGGTTTCTCTCGGGCGTCCTTGGTTGGCACGCAAAAGCAATATGTACTGGGAAATGCGCCCTACCTAGATTGGTTTCACCAGCAGCGTTGGGGAAGCCTGGCTGGGTCCTTCGCTGCGACCTCAAGCCTCGTCATTGGTTGGCATGTCTGCGTTTCAGCTTCCGCCTACCCCAGCCGCTACCTCTTTGCAAACTCTCTTCATTCTCTCTATTTGGTATCGGCTCTTGTATGACACCCTCTAACCCTTTCTGTCGCCTTATTGTTCTCCGGAATTTCTTCTTGCTGTCATATCGGGTATCGGCACGGGTTCCTTGTTTGTCAAGATGGAACAAGAGCGTTTGTGCACTCCTCTCCCCTTAGATCGACACAGTATCTCCGTGTCGGAATACAGGCGATTCAGGGGCAAGTCCTCTTTCAAAATACCCTGATTTGACCATGCTATCACACTCGGCACATGCACACGTACCTCCCAAAACAACCTCAACTGCAGGGATACCTTCCAGTTTTTCGTGCATGTGCATCCCCGCAAACAGCACCCCTTGCCCTTGACGGTGGCCGTGAGAATCTTTTCATTACTATTACCACATCATCATCTGCAGGATGGATAATCCTGCTCGCCGAGTGCCTTGGAATTTGAAACATCGGAATCTAAGCGGGCCGTATTTCCCTGTTCATGTCTAATTTTTCCTTGTACTATGTGCCTATATTATATAGTTGGTCGCGGGGCGCGGAGAAAGCACATATGGCAGTGAACAGACCGCCGGCGTGTCGCAACTTTGCGGCCCGATCATCGCAGTGAGGAGAAGAAAGAACCTTGGAACAAGTGCGGCCCTTGACTCTTCACCTGGTCAGATCTTTAACGTTACGAGTCCAAAAGCAATTTCATCCCAATGCGGTTAGATATCAAATCGCTGATTAAGCCGAGCTAAATGGACGGGAGCCCTGGAGCTTCCCCGCATCACGTGGTCAACAGTCATCCCGTCCCAATTTAGTTCAAACTAGGACTCCAGACTCTGTTCGAGTGAACTTCCACGTACTGTATTGCTTAAATATGTAAGGACTGTTTGGCTTCATTCCTACCATGTCACGGAAACGATTCCCAATCTTCAGATGACGAGGTACAGAGGATTCGCGGTTACTCCGTCTCACCTCAGCACGTCACCACAATGGATGAAATCGATTCTGCTGCAAGAGGAGGCCGTACCACTTCTAAGCACCTTGTCGCCCGCGGCGGACAATGTCTCCAAAGCAACGGCAAACGCCCCTAGCAGCATCAAGTCGTCCCAATTGCGGTAGAATGCGAGGTATTGCCTCAAACCGCCAATGATTACCCCATTCCGCTACCTACGTAACGTGCATATTGGCCCCCACGTCCTCAGCGGACGTTATAACCTCCGCCTGTGCACGAGCTGGAGCTACAAGCCCTTGTTCTTGAGTTCCAGTGTCTCTTGAATTTTAGGCACATCCCGACTGGGTGTGTGTGTTGCAGAAGTCGGACCATTGTGCGAGGCTGAGAGAGCCAGCGGGAGGTAATGGCTCAAAGCAAACCTCACCATCTCGGAGAGCTAACAGCTATCGGAACACCATGTCGTACATCTCTGGGGACGACGACATCCTCAACCCTCCCCAGCAACGCCTCGACGACTTCTGGGACAACCTCATAACCAAGAGACCCGGCAAGGTCACAAACATCTTCCCGCCGAGCCTCTACGCGAACCTGCTCCCCAACCCACGGCAGAAGGACGCTCCCCAAGGCCGGAACGCGGCAGAATCCTACCAAGCAGCCGCCGACGAGTGCAAAGCGCGCGTCAAGCGCATCGTCCGAGAATGCCATCGCACGAACGAGAAATACACGGACCCAGATTTTGATATTGAAGGGGACCATCGCATTGGCAATTGCCTCGAGGGCCTGATGAAGTGGTACAGGACGGATGAGCCACGCATCCCTAGCGAGCCGAAACCGGGGTCCATTCACCGCATAGATTGGATCTTCGAGAAGCCTGCGTTTACCGTGGATGGATTCTCCAGCACAGACGTCCAGCAAGGGGCGAATGGGGATTGCTGGTTTCTCGCGGCCGTGGCTACCATCTGTTCCAACAAAAGCCTCATGGAGAAGGTGTGCGTCGCAAGGGATGAAGAGTGCGGCGTGTACGGCTTCGTCTTCTACCGAGATGGCGAGTGGATCTCGACCGTGGTCGACGACAATCTGTACCTCACCGAGCCAGATTTCGACGCCCAGGGGGACATGTTCGATCCTTCTGGGGCGAAGGAGCGCAAGTACAGGAAAAATCATCAAACAGGCAGCGATGCCTTGCATTTCGCTTCGTGCGCAGATCAGAATGAAACGTGGCTTCCCCTCCTCGAGAAAGCGTATGCCAAAGTGCACGGCGACTACGAAGCCATTGCCGGCGGCTCTTCCGGAGAGGGAGTGGAGGATCTGACGGGTGGTGTGACCACCAAGCTTCTCACCAACAGAGTCCTCAGCAAGGAACGCCTCTGGAAGGAGTTGCTCGAGGTTAACAAGCAATTCCTCTTTTCGGCTTCTTCTCCTGGCACCTATGGGGATGATAACACATCTCGGAAGGGCCTTGCTCTATCCCATGCCTATTCGGTCATTAGAGCCGTTGAGGCGGAAGATGAGGACGGCAACATGCACAGACTGGTACTTATTCGGAACCCCTGGGGGAAGCGGAGCCAGAGTGGAGTTGGCGAGTGGAATGGAGCTTGGAGCGATGGCTCGAAGGTGCGTATCCTTGAGAAATCATTATGACCCCCCACCTCTTCTGTCCTCTCGTCTTAGCAAGGTATGAACACAGTTCTGACCTTGGAAATACTACAGGAATGGACACCCTATTGGATGAACAAACTGTGAGTTCTCTTTCTGAAAGCAGCAATAGCAAGACACTGAATTTCTTGAGATCCCACAAATTTGGAGACGACGGCCAATTCTGGATGTCGTACAACGACCTGCTAAGCCGCTTCGACCTCCTCGACCGCACCCGCCTCTTCGACGAAGAGTGGACCATTGTCCAACACTGGACCTCGGTCAGCGTGGCTTGGGTCACAGGCTACCTGAACACGAAGTTCCTAGTCGAGATCAAGAAAGCAGGGCCTGCAGTTTTTGTCCTCGCTCAACTCGATGACCGGTATTTCAAGGGACTGGAAGGGAAGTATCGATTCGACCTCCATTTCTTGCTGCAGGAAGAAGGTGCCGAGCCGGGCGAGCATATTGTTCGCGCTCGTGGCGCCTGGTTCGGGAACAGGAGTATTTCGGCCGATGTCGACCTGGAACCCGGCAAGTATGAGGTTCTTCCGAAGATTGTGGCTTGGAAGGATGATGATGTTCCTGATGTGTATGATGTAGGTTGTCCTTCAAGCCGTCATACTTTCCAATGGCTGATGAGGAGTCCAGGTCGTGCAGAGGCTGGCAGACAGCAACCCGCAGAAGCTCCGGCAGATTGGCATGAACTATGATATTGCCAATGCCAAGGGCGTGACTAGGGTGAATGAGGAAGAGAGGAAGAAGAAGGAGGAGAAAAGGAAGGAATTGCAGCAGAAGAAGCACAAGGAGAAGGAAGAGGCGGAGAAGGAAGAGGCGGAGAAGGAGAAGGCGGAGTTTGAGGCTTGGAAGAAGGAGAAGAGGGCAAGGGAGGAGAAGGAGAAGGCGGAAAAGGAAAATGAGAAGGAAGCCAAGGAGAAAGCCGAAAAGGAGGAGAAGGACAAGAGTGACAAGGACGAGGTTGGGAATGTCAAAGAATCTACTGCCGCTGATGGCAAGAACGCGGATAGCAAAGACGAGAAATCGGACTCGAAAGGCGACGGAGGCACGAAGAAGGAACCAGAGCCTGCGGAATCAGATGTTGATGGCAAGAAGGATGAGTCTGCTTCGAAGGATACATCTACCCCTGAAGCCGCGGTCGATGTGAAGAAAACAGAAGAGAAATCAGCCGACGCAATCGACGTGAAGGGCGCCAACGTACCCGAACACCACCACGCAACCAAGGACCCACCAGATTACATTTCCCACTCTGCTCCGCCGCCCAACGAGTACAGCTCCGTCCCGGAGCCCGACTTCGCCGACGATCCTGTCCCTAGATTCCTCGCCGACCCCGTCCACACACCGGACCGTGTACCCAGCCCCCCGCCCCCTCCCCCACCCGCTCCGGTAGACAACACGCAGAAGCCCTGGAACGCTGTGTGTGTGCTGGGATTGCGCGTGTACGCCAAGGACCCGGAGGTGAGCATCAAGTTGGTGGAGCCGAGGGATGCCGAGGAAGGGGCTGTGTTGGATGCCGATGGGGCGAATCAGGCCGGGGCGACGATGTGATGTGATGATTATGAATCCAAGGGAGATGGTATTCGGTAATGGGATCGCGGGGTGGTCGTTGGGAATTGGGTTGGATATGAGCATGAAGGGCATATGGTTCCTGGATAGGTTGCATGCGTTTAGGATATGTATGGTTTATCATAGTGAATAGACACTCGTGGACAATCCACGCTCTAATAATCTACGTGAAATCATCGGATGGTTAACGGGAGGGGTAGGTAGGTTTATCAGATCTATGCGACTCCAAGACGCTTGGTTCAGACGGGCGTTCTGCGAAGCATGCCTCCGATAAACTCTACAGATGCATCCATCACAACTTCTGTATTCCCTGCTCAAATCCTGAACTGGGGAGATACCCTTTCAAATATTCCCCTTTGCGTCTAGTTTTACCCTATCTCCTGCTAATCCCGACTCTATGGAAAGTCTAGCCATGGCGCATACTTACCATCGCCGTCTTACAACCGTCGCATCCCCCGCATTCAGAGCGTTTACCTCCTTCGTGTGCGCATCATAGACTAGGACCTGGGTTTCGGGACTAACAACAAACACCGTTAGCACTATCCATTCATCCCACAACATGAGGTATCTACACTGGATTCGCACATCCTCCACCAACACAACACACCAACTAAGATAACACCGACACCGACAACTAAATATGGAAAGGGGTAAAACAAACAAGAAAATCTGTGATGCACTCAACTCGTCCAAGAAGACGGTGAACCCGTCGTCGTGGTTCCGTCCGTACGAGTAAGCCCGAGAAGCCGAATTGCCAGTACATGTCTTGCCAGTACATGTCTGGCATCTTCTCCTCGAGGGAAGTTTGACTGCCAGATGCCGAGGGCTTGGGTGCGTGTGGTGTTGACGACGGTGGTGAGGTACTCGCGGCGTTTTTGGGTGGTTGAGACAGTCTACGACGGACGTGAGTATGATATTTATAGCGGGGATATGGATGTTTTGTCTCCCGTGAGCAGGAAGAAGATATATCCAAAAACGATTGGAGAAAGATATCGAACCTAGAGTAAAAGAGTAAAATACGGGCAAGACGCAATCTCGACAAGCCAGAAAAATCCAGCAGGGGAAAAGTAACGACTGGATAAAGGTGTTCAGTTCCGTCAATCCAAGCCGTGAGCTGGGCGAGCGCAGCAGCAGTCGGAGGAGCTGCGCGGGGAGGTTGGTTGCACAGACCGCTGTCGGCGCTGCAGCGAGGCTTCGTTGGCGAGGTCCCAGGCGGCCAGGATGGCCGGGGCAGGGCGAGGTAGCGGGTGACGAGGGGGAGAGTGTAGTGTTTATAGGTGGCTTTGATTTGGGGAAGGGGGTAGAACTGGGAGGGAGAAGGGGAATTCAGTCAGTCAGTTAGGTGAATGCCATGTTTATCAGTTCGAGGGGCTGATGGAGCAAAGGAGTGGTAAAACCTATCACCTATCACCCAAAGACCAAGAAGAGGAGAACGAAGAGCAAGAAAAAGGAGAAGAGAAATAAAAACACTCACAGCATCACACCACCCCCCGACCTCCCAAATATACACACACCCCTCTCCCACCCCCCCTTCTGTAATCCGCCCAATTGTCCGTCATCTTCACATCCACCCTCACCCCCGTCCACTTTCACCCCCCTCCCCTCCCCCCCTTTCCCCCCCTCCCTTATCAAACATCTCTAGATCGATCACCGCCATCCCGTCCCGTCCCGTCCCGTCCCGTCCCGTTCCCATCGCAGATCTACATCACATCCCCCTTGCGTCCCCTTGACCTCGCCACCGCCGTATTGGGACAGGCAGGCCGCCGTGTACAAACGTCCGATTCTTGTATTCGTCGTTGGAGCCTTGAAGGCCCAGGTGCGGCGGATCACGGAGAGGCCGGCGGATTGAGGGATTGGGCGGCTTGTACATCGGCCGGCGCGGACGTTGGAGGATTTGTGGTGGAGGGCATTAGTAGGATTCGGGAGGATTGGAGAAGAGGAGGAGTAGTGCATGAATGAATGAATGAATGGACGGAGAAAGGGGCGAAAGAGGGGAAGATTTCCGTCGTTGAACGGGAAGTAATGCATTACTCCCGGCAAACTAGAAACTCCTCCCATCCATTATGAATCCGTCTCCTTGGACCGTCACAAAAGCCCCTGGGAGCAGCAGTAGTAGCAGCTCCGTTGGCCAACACCGGCAGCCGCCGTAACACGGAGCGGCGGACGTCGTCGAATTGATAGATTGCTTCCCGCTAGGTACCTGTACCTGACTCTTAGTCTCTACCAAGCCGCTCTTTGAATGGTGTAGAAATACATAGGAGTATAGCATATTATAGAACATTCCAAGACCGGGTTAATAATATCTCGCGGGTACTTACTTAGAAGACTACTGGTGCAGCCGAGATCGCGGGGACGCCTGGGCACAGATTTATCCCCATCTACCGTATATGTATATCGATGTTCCCTGTGATATCATACCTCAATCAACATCCTTAGGACCAGGAATCTACGGTCCGAGGCTGCATATGGCATAAAAACATAGTACCAGTTTTCATAACAATCACCCCCAGTCCTTCCAACCTTTCCTTGCAGCAAAAGAAGAACATCGAATTCTTTTCCCCCACTATATATCCACCAACTTGTCATCGAGCAGAATGGAGCAGAGTGAAAATACGTTCCCAATTTTTACATACAATCGTTACATATCTCATGAAACCCCACCGCTTCTCTCCTTTCTCACAGGCGTTTCCGCCTCCACAATCCATCCATTATCCCAATCTTTCCTCATGACTTCATCATGTGCGTGGAGCGAGCGAGCGTTACACTAAGAATAAAAGAGAAACCCATGCAACCCAAACCAAGCATACACTCTCTTCTCGTCCGGGGAAAAAGAAGCAAGTGCAATGATGCGAGTTCGAGGGTGGGGGTATAATGCCGTTGAATGAGAAATGCATCGAAAAAGGGGACAGGACAAGGAAATGGGAAAAGGAAAACGAAAACAAGAAGCAAAAACATACAATCTAAACATCCGCGGTAGGAAGCACCATGCACACCCATCCTACACGCGCAGGGCCGCTTCAGCACCCGTTTCCCTAGGCCGCCTCCTTCGCCTCATCCCCATTCACCGCTCCATTCTCTTTGGCTTCCACCTCCTTCAGTTTCTCCTCCAACTTCTTCGCCTCCTCCTTGGCCGCATCAAGCTCCTTCTCGGCGGCGGCTTGCCTCTTCTTAGCCTCCATGACCTTCTCAACGCTACTCTTCGTAATCTCAGAAATCTTCTCCTCCAGCGTCTTCTGCTGCGCCTCCGTCTCTGCAACCTTCTCCTTTAGCGCATCCACCTCCTTCTGCGCCTCCTCCTTCGCGGCTTGTGCGGCTTTAAGTTCCTCCTCAGCCTTGGAAGCGGCGTCGAGCTTGGCCTGGAGGTTGGAGACCGTTTCCTCCTGTTCCGTCTTCGACTTGTCGACCGCAGCCTTGAGTTCGTCAACCTGGGCGCTAGCGTCCTTGGCCTGAGACTCTGCGGCTGAGAGCTTCTCATTCAACTCCTCGACCTTCTTCTCCAGGTCCGCCTTCGCCGTTTCCGCCGCCTGGAGCCCCTCCACTTTAGCAGAAGCTTCCTGTGCCTCGGTCTGAGCAGTCTTGAGCTTAGCTTCCAGCTCTTCGATCTTGGATGCGTTGTCGGAAGCGCCATTTTTCGCGGTTTCTAGCTCCTCCTTCAATTTGGAAATCTCGCCCTCAAGCTCAGCCTTGGCGGCGCTGGCAGCTTCAAGCTCGTCAACCTTGGACGCCGCAGCTTTGGCCTCAGCCTGCGCGGCCTGGAGCTGGGTCTGGAGGTCCGCGACCTTGGTCTCTGCTTCCTTGGCGGACTCGAGCTGCTTAGCCAAATCCGCCTTCTCGGATTCAACGGTCTCCAAGCTCTTCTGCAGTTCTTCGACCTTGGCACCAGCCTCCTTCGCTTTCGTGAGGTCACCTTCCGCAGCATCAAGCTTCGTCTGAAGTTCCGATACCTTGGCCGCTTCCTCCTTAGCAGACTCCAGCTCCTTGGTGAGGTTGGCCTTCTCGGATTCGGCAGTCTCCAGGCTCTTCTGCAGCTCCTCAACCTTGCCACCAGCCTCCTTTGCCTTGGCAGCCTCAGCTTCAACAGCATCGAGTTTACTCTGAAGCTCAGCAACCTTGTTTGCCTCCTCCTTGGCAGCGACCAACTCCTTTTCCAGGGAAGCGACCTTCTCCTCACCTTCAGATGAAGAAGACTTGGCGGCGTCAAGCTGGCTCTGCAGTTCCGCAACCTTGTTTGCCTCCTCCTTTGCAGCAGCCAGCTCCTTTTCCAGTGAAGCGACCTTCTCCTCGCTCTCAGACGATGAAGCCTTGGCAGCCTCAATCTGACTTTGGAGCTCAGCGACCTTGGCAGCTTCTTCCTTGACGGCTTCAAGTTCCTTCTGGAACGCCGCAATCTTCTCCGTTCTCTCGGTGAATGAAGCCTCTGCGGAAGCAACCCTAGCCTCCAGATCCGCGACCTTTCCAGCCTCCTCCTTGGCAGTAACCAGGTCCTTCTCCACAGCGGAGAGTTTCTCCTCGGCCTCCTTAGAGGCAGCCTGAGCCTTCTCCAGCTGAGACTGGAGATCAGCGACCTTCTCGGCATCTGCCTTGGCGGCAGCCAATTCCTTCTCGAGGGACTCGATCTTCTGCGCGGTCTCGTCAGAGGAGGACTTGTTGGCATCCAGCTGAGCCTGGAGATCGGCGACCTTGCCGGCCTCTTCCTTGGAGGACGCAAGTTCAGCCTCAAGCTCAGCAACGCGGGAATCGGAGCTCTTCTTTGCCTCCTCGAGGCTGGAGGTGTTCTCGTTGAGGGATTGCTCGGCCGCAGCCTTCGCCTCTTCGGCAGCAGTAAGACGCTCCTTGGTGCTGGCAAGCTCTTCGTTGACCTTCTCGAGTTGTTCCTTGTTCTCCGACTCAAGTTCCGAGTTGCGCGCAGTGAGACTGTCAACCTGGGTCTGGAGCTCGGAGATCTTGGTGTTCAACGCGTCGGCAGCGCCCTTGGCAGATTCAGCAGCCTTGAGAGCTTCCTCCTTCTCAGCGACCTCGGCAGACTTCTTCTCCAGCTCTTCCTTGCTCTGACTGAGAGACTGCTCCAACTCAGAGATCTTGGCCGCCAGGCCTTCCGCATCACCCTTGGCCGCCTCAGCAGACTTGGCGATCTCCTCCTCTTTGGCTTTCAGGCTAGCTTCGAGCTCGCTGATCTTCGCCTTCAGTCCTTCAGCTTCCTCCTTCACGGACTCTGCTTGCTTGAGAGACTCGTCCTTGGCGGAGAGCTCTGCTTCCTTGGTCTTGAGGGACTCTTCCAGCTCTGCGATCTTGGCGTTCAGTTCATCTACAGCCTTGATCAACTCGTCCTTCTGGCTGGCGAGATCCTTTTCCTTTGTCTCCAGGGTGCTCTTGAGCTCAGCGATTTGCGCCGCAAGGCCTTCAGTCTCACCCTTGGTGGAATCGGTGAGCGTGGCAAGTTCGTACTGGACCTTCTCAAGCTCAGCAGCTTTCTCGGACAGAGACTTTTCGAGTTCAGAGGTCTTGGCGGTAAGCTCCTCAACCTTTTGCTTCTCCGCGTCGAGATTCTTCTGGGCCTGTTCCCTCTCACTGGCGAGCTCGCTCTCCTGGGTCTCCAGCTTCTTCTCAAGTTCGACTACTTTCTTCTCGACGCTAGCGGCCGCAACAGTAGCGTTGTTGAGCTCGTCCTGGGAACTCTCGAGCTCGCTTTCCAGCGAAGAGACCTTTGTCCTCAGAGAGTCGGCCTCAGTCTTTGCGTCGGAGACCTCCTTCTCCTTGGCTTCCAATGACGATTCAAGCTCGGATATTCTTGCGGCAAGGCGTTCGCTCTCGGTCTTGGAGCTCTCAGTCAGCTGAGCAAGCTTATCGGAAGCCCCAGCGCTGCTAGCCTTCTCTTCATCGAGCTGCTTCTGAAGGGAGGACAGCTCGTCCTGGATGGCCGTCTTCTCCGAAGTGAGCTGCTCGACCTGGCTAGTCTTGTCGGCCAACTCCGACTGTGCGGCGTCGAGCTTGGCGCTAGCTTCGCGTAGGGATTCCAGCTCAGCTTTGGCCTCGCTCAAAGCCTTCTCGGCAGCATCCTTCTCCTCGGTGAGAGCGGCAATAGATTTTTCCTTGTCAGCCAGCTCGGCCTTGGGCACCAGACCCTCCTTCTCAGCCTTGAGCGCCTCGATTTCCTTCTGCAGCTCACTAATCGTAGCTTTGTACTGCTCAATCTCCCCTTCTACTTCCTTCATCCTCGCCTCGTACCTCTGGGTTGCCTCGGCCAACTTGCCGTGAAACTCCTGCTCACACTGCTCGCGCACGATGGACCTTTCCTTGGCTTTTGCCTCGTGCACCTGCTGCACCACGACGCTGACCATGTGCTCCTCGAGAGCGGCCTTGTCCTGCTTGAGGGTGGCCTCGCGCTCGTGGAATTCACGCTCCTTCTCGCGGTACTCCTCCTGGATGCCGGTGATGGTTTCGTCTTGCTTGGCGACGACGCGGTTGGCTTCGTCGCGCTCGGCTTCGGCTTTGGAGAGCTTGAGGAGGAGCTTTTCGACCTTGACTTGGGGAGTGTCGGTTTCCTTTATGGAGGGGGCTTTGTCGGAGGTGCGGTCTGCGGTTGAGGTTAGAGAGGGGTTGTGTCGTGCCGGTGAAAGGGTGGGCGGTGACGGCAGAGGTACATGGATGGTGGGAATACATACCGGCTTCAAACGACATAGGTCGGTCGCGAGCAGCAGGCGTCTCGGGCGGGGTGTCAGGACCCGCGACTCCATTTTCAGGCTTCGCGGTAGAGACAGGGGCAGTGGTGGGTGAAGGCGGGGCCTCGGGGGACCCGAAGAAGTAGTTGTAAGCTCTCCGCATACTGCTGGTACGTTTGGGCAGCAGCTTAGGGCGGGATGAAGAAGTCGACAGGCGGCCTCGTCGTTCGTCCTTCTGGTCTTGTTCGGGAGTGAGGACGGTCACTGGGGTGATGGTCTCGGAGCTCTTGCCGCGCTTGTGACTGGAAGGTTTGGCAAGGAGCTTTCTGCCAAACTTTTGAGAGCCCGCGCTGATGTCTGCGAGGATCTGCTTCTGCTCCTTGGCGGCGACACTGAGGGAGGAGTGTCAGTCGTCGGTGAGGAAGGGGGGATGGATGAAGATGAGGAGGAGGGAGAGGAGGAGGGGAAGGTGGAAGCAAGAGAGGGGTGCAAGGTTGCAGTCGTAGTGCAACAAACACAACAAGCAGAGGAAGAAGGGTGGGGAAGGAGGAGCGGTGGGCGAGCAACCGGGCAACGCCGAGTTTGTTTGTGGCGGTGACGGGAAAGGAAAAAAAAGCTGGAGCTAGGAGAGTAGGGAAATATTTAGTGCCAGTTCGGCGAAAACAAGACTCACTCGTAGCTAGACCGGCTTCTTCCAAAGCTCGGCATGATAAGCTAGTAAGTAATAATGGAGGGTTTCTTTCAACAGAGCAACGCTGGACCGGTCAGGAAAGTTTGGCTCGGTGGTGCTGGCGAATAGGTAAGAATTGGGTGATTGGTGGCCGGCTTGACGACTGCGGTTCGAGCGGGGCGTGCTGGGGAACGGTGCGTAGGTATTGGAGCTTTTATGTACGAGCACAGCACCTGGGTCGATGCATATGCAGAGCGTGTGAGGAGAGAAAAAGATGTGAATTGGGGAGGGGAGTGCCAATCAGGGTGCAGCACGTAGTGACACGCGAGTCGCCCTGGCCCAGACAGAGATGGGACGAGAGCAACAGCAGAACGACGATGGACAGCGAATACAATTGATTGAACCCCGAGGGCGCGCGTCGCGGGATAAATAAATACTATGACTGTGTGCACAGTACGCACTGTCGCCATGCCTACCATGATAGTACCATCTGCCTAGCCAGCGCCCAAGCACAACAACTACGGAGTACTCGAGGCACCTGTGCGCTGTGGCGGTCGGGCGGCTCTACGGAAGAAGAGGAGCGATGTGAATCATTCTAGGTAGGTAGCTGGATAAGATATGAATGAAGGTCAGGGACAGCGCCCTGCACACTTGAACACGTCCAAGCCGTTTCATCCTCCAGGCGGCGAATCGCCAGTGCCAGCACTCATCTTGTTGTTCGCTGTCGTTCGCAGAAGGCGGCAGGTCGCCAGAGATGGAGGGCATGTCGCTATGCCGGGCACGCAGCCGCGGGACGAGGGGGTCCGAGGGGGAGGAGGGCGGTTGATGCGTTGGCTGTTGGATGGGAGGCCATGGATGCGGTGTGCGTTATTGGCATGGATGGGCGAGAAGAAACTCTGCCCGAACCATCAGATAGTCGAGCCCGGTCTCCCACCATGTCCCCGAATGTTGATGCCCATTGCACATCTTATTATTTGACAATGGTAAATCCACCATTATTCACATCATATCAAGCAATGGTTGAACAAGTCTGCCGACGCGGACAAGACAAAATGGATGGGCATGAAAACTTCTCTGTGCCAACTGTCCCCAGTTCCGGGTCCCTGCAGCGGGAGCGTAAAGTAACGAATTGCCCGATTTGGTCTAGCGTTCTCCGGCCGCCCTGCACTATCCATCCCACAGGTGCCAGGCGGACATCGCTGGACATCGCCTTCACCCCGTTGCTGAGACGACGAACATCCTTCTTTGCTCACCGCGACTTTGCAAATCGCGACATCTTCAGCATCACGTCAATCAGCTGACGGCTCCGTAATGGATACATAGTAGACTATTGATTGCCCTAGCCTCCTCGGATGGGAAAGTCGACTTGCTCTCGGCGAACAAGACACAGTAAATACTTCTAACCTTCACACCAATTCCCGCGTAGCCCGATAGAGACAAGGTACAGAGAAAGTAGTAGAAACGCCCATTCCAACCATCTATCGTCGTGCATGAAGAAACCAGTACCGCCATAGCTATGCCGAAATGCCCGTCCGTGTCCTGCCACCGCTTGTGGCCATTTCCCGCCAAAGTGTATATCCTGCTCTTCCAGAGGGCTCAAACGCCCAAGTCCATTATCGCCAGGCGGACGTACCCATAACGTCGAACCAATCCACCAACCCAATATGCACGCTGAGCGGCCCAAGACGTCGGAGAGTAGGTAGGGCTGCGGCGGCGAGAGCGAAGCCGTCGACCGACGACGACTCGACGACGACAGACGCTCATCTCGCCACTGCGCCTGGAAACCCGTTGACCCCGTCCTTCGAGAACGCCAGCTCCCGCGTACAGCAAAAATAGATATCCCCCAGATGAGCCTCCATCCTCTCCCCTCGCCATGTACAATTACATCTGTAGACATACATCATCGAGGAGGGCCAAACAAACCCCGACGCAGCCGCTCTCCAATACCACCTCCTGCACTCGAGTCTTCCGCTCCTGCTGCGTCGGTCCTGGTGGTACTGCCGTTATTTCCCGAACCATCCTCGTTATGCGGATGCGCAGGTGGCGAGCCAGAGATGACATATGGGTTCTCTGAACTGCCCTCACCCGTCACAAATGCTCCAGGCATGCTAGGAATCGAGGTCGAAGCCTGAGCCCCTTCACCACTGCCTGCCTGATTCCGACTGTTCTCGTTCGCCGGAGCGTCGTTCTTCTTGGTGATTCCTTTACGACAGTGCGGGCACGTGTCGTGCTCGCCCAGCCATGCCGCGATACACGCGTGGTGGAACCAGTGGTGGCAAGGCAGCTCCGCCACCTCCTCTCCGACGTTGACTTCGTCCATGCATATACTGCATTCTGCGTGGCCTTCGCTGCCCAAGTCCTCGACGCCCACCTTTCTCCGAGGGAGCGAATCAATGTCCTTCTGTGATGCTGGGCCAGGCGCATTGGACGATGCGTTCTGCTCCATCAACTGTGTAATGATGCGGTCCAAGGCTTCTTGCGAGTAGACGGCATCCCCAAACTGACCGCTGCCGGGAAGCATCTGAGCAAAGAGCTGGATGAGGGGGTTGATGGGAGGAGGCGGGCCGTGGAAGTGTTCGTGATGATGGTGATCGGGCGGCTCTCCGAAAGCTGCCATGAGGCCGACAAGAACGTTATTCAACTCATCCACTGGCTCCAACCGCGGACCGGGATTGTTGGGGTCTCGGGGTGCTAGCCGCGCCCCCGCTGTATATGTGAATCTGTGAACTTGGGGAGCACCTCCTGGAACGCCTGCTTGCGGTTGGCTTCCTGCACCCTCATCCATTTGGCCACCTTGTCCAGGCTGATGATCTTGGCTTCCCTGAGCTGGCTGGGTAGGATTCTGTGGGCCCGCTATGCCACCATGGATCAGGTTCGTCAGGATGGCCGTAAGACCACCAAAGGGACCAGAACCAGCATTTGGCGCCCGTGCTGCCTGAGGAGGCCCTCCTCCTCCAGGCGGCGAGACTGTGCGGAACACGGTACCAGTGACAGAGAATCTGCCCGGCCCTACTTGCCGGAACTGCAGACTACTTATATCCGGCTCCTCCGGGTCGTCGTGGGTGTGGTCGTGTTGGTGAGGACTCTGGTTTGCGTGCATGGCGGCGAATAAGGGTCGCATTGCGGGCGAGATGGCTTCTAGGTCGGGCAGGGACGAGTCGTCGTCCATATCGTGGTCGTGATCCAACATGTGCTGATCTCGAGGGTCGTTGCCTTCTTCTATCTGCAATCGTAATGTGTTAGCCACCATGTCTTTGAAGATCCAGCCTTGGGGCTCAGCTGGTGCAAGTTTGCCATGGTCCAACTCACAATCTCTGTAAAGTCTGACCCGCACTCTGGACATGTCAGGCCATGTTCATCCCGATACCACTCGTCATGGCACTCGTGGCAAAACATCATGTCGCGGTGGCCCGACGGCTGGGCGGGTGGCGGTTGCGATTCGGTTGCGGGTTGCGACATGGCTGCGAAAAGGGATCGATGTAGATTGTAGGAAGGGCTAAAGTTAAAAGCCGAGGGGAACTATGATGCGTCAGCAAAGAAAACGTTGACAAGTAACCAGCGTCCTTACAGAAGAAGATGGGAGCTGCTGGCGCAACTACTACAGTATGTCCGACCTTGGCGGAGAGTGCAGGTGAGTCCGACAGCAGAGTCACTGTCTCTGGTGCGCCTGCGAAACCAGAACCGGTGACGACGCCTCCGTCTGCGCGACGTGAAACAATGCGGACAAAAAAGAGGACCAAGAAAAAAAGATGCGCTCAGAACCACAAAGGTTTTATGACAAAGCGTTGTCTCTCGACGGGGCAGGAGTGCTCGAGGCGGCGCGGTTGACTTTTGATGGTCGAAGTGTCCCGAGGCGACAAAAGGGCCGGTCTACGTCACCGGCGCGATAATTATCTCGATCAACCACCGAACAAGCTGGATCTGAGAGGTGTTCCGCCGTCGACGTCGTGAGGTTGGAAGAGTCTTCCCCGAGGGTCGTCCTTGTTCCTTTATTCAAGCAGATGTGATTAAATGTGCTTGTTCTCGGCTGCTCGCCTGTTCCGTTTGCTGTTCACTGCCACGCTTGCTTCGTTGGCCTTCGACATGATTCCGTGGGCCGTACTCCGTATTACTCAGGCACCGAACATGACCGTTCGAAGGAGAATCACGGTAGAATCGGGCAGGTGGACCAGAGTTGCCGTGTAGGGTTTTCTCTACGTATTGCTCCGATGGAAGGTTTATTATCCAATATTTCCAGAACTCTCAACTCTCCCTAGGATTAAAGCCCAAAAGCATATCGTACTGTACAAATGCAATCAAAAATGCCTACCAACTGCCAACGCCCATGCAAAGTCCAGAGTCCAATCTCACAGAACCCGTGTATGTACTGCAACCATCATCCTACTTCCTCCGCGCACTCCTCGCAATCATAGTGCCCACAATAGCTGCCGCCGCCGCCAGTCCTCCCACAATAGCCACGCCCACAAGCCCCTCCTTCGCAACCTTATCATCAATCAACTCCTTCAAACTCCCCGCCTGCATATTCGTCGGCTCCAGGTCCAGCAAGAAGTCATTATATCTCCTCGCCTCGGCATAGTTCCCCAGCTTGTAGTTCCCCAGCGCCAAGTAGTATAGGCATTCTCTCCGGCGCTCGCGAGAGTTGCGGAAGATTTCGGACAGGAGGCGTACTCCTTCTTGTTGCTCGACGCGTTGGTTGCTTTTTATGAGACCCTGAACAATACTGTCAGCCACCCCTGCGCTCGTTTGCTTCAAAGACGGGAGGATGGAAGGTAGGGTAGGCGCATACCCATGCGTAGTTGAACTTGGTCTGCAAACCGACATACTCGCCCTCTTTCTCATACTGCGCGCGCAGAACGGCGAGTTCCTCGGGTCGGAGGGGACTTTCGACATCAGCGGCATCTACCAGACTCAGTCTTAGGCCTCAACTGTACCGTTCGTAGAAGCCCAACTTACAGGGTAATGAAGGGGTCATGGCGAATGTGTAGATCCGAGTACGGGGGCGAGACGAAGAGCTACCGACACTGCGCTCCACTATCCAGGTGAATACCGGGTAGCTAGCTAGCTAAGACGCTCGATTATGAGTAGGATAGTATGTTGGTAGATCCGAAGTGGCGTCGCGATGCCTTCTCTTTGATCTGATCGTCAGGCGGGCAAGGGTCGTTCGTGCTGCGGAGGTGACGTACGGCACCTTTACAAGCTTCCTCTCCAGCGGGCCGTTGCCATGCGCGCCACAACGCACAGACCACTACTACAAACATCAACACCACGGTTTACATCGCGAACACCTGCTCTGTCTACCACACCTGAGAACCCTCGAACGGCCACTAAACTCCAAGCACTATTTATTCTTCCCACGACCCTGCCCCCCACCTAATCCACCAAAAATGCTCCTCGACGAAGAACCCGCCGCCCTCATCGCCCAATGCACCAAGAACTTCAAATTCGACGGCGACCGCGACTCCCTCCTCCGCATCTCCGACTCCCTCTCCACCCTCTCCCAGTTCCGCACCCACCACCTCAACGACCTGCACGCGACCCTGCAGAAGCTCTCGCGCACCCACCAGACCCTCGTCAGCCAGCACAATCACACCCTGTCCCAGCATAACCCCACGACGCACGCGCAGGAGATACTGCGCCTGGATACCGAGAAGTTCAAGATCGCAAAGCAGGCCAGTGACTTGGAGATTGAGGGGGAGAGGCTGCAGAGCGAGTTGGCGAGGTTGGGAGGTGTGCTCGCCGAGTTGGAGGAGGAGGGTGTCGAGGGAGGTGAGAGGGAGAAGGCGCCCGATGAGGACGCGACGGTGTACGTACAGACATGCTCCCCGCTCGCCCCCTGTGCTCGATGCTGACCCCCGACACGCAGACTCAAGTTGAAGGTCTACAGGACCCTAGGCATCGATGTCGAAGCCGATCCTACAACAGGCCTGTACAATAAAGCCGTCATCCGCAACGCCGCCAAGGGGGACGTTCACGTGGTCAACATCGACCCCAAATTTTCAAGGCATTTCTACACAAACTACTTTTGGAGGACACTGTAGATTGGCCGTTTTGTCTACTGTGTATTGGGCTGGGGTGGGATTCTTTCAAATGGCATGCTCTGTATTTTGGCGTTTTTATGGGATCAGCACTATCGGACGATACCTCCTGGCGTTATCGGGTTCTTTATTCACGCATATCGCTATCTTGCAAGTGTAGTTAAGCTTCATTTTTACCGCTACCGATGCTTAGGGCCTCGCGCCGCGAACAGCAATCTGTGTGCTACCTTCGAACGATTTTTCAGTCATCATTCGGCACACATGCGCAGGCGAAGTGAAATGAAGCTGACTTGAACGAGACGCTCTTCTGCTTGTTCTGCAAGTATGATTTGCAGAGAATATTGATGTTTGCCGCAGAAACAACACTCCGCATCAAACTGTGAAGTCGACACTTAACGCTTCGCAGTCTTCTTCTTGGCCGCAACAACTTTGAAATTACCAGAATCAAGCCCACTTTGCGCGGCCTGTGGCTGGCCTCCTTTCTTTGCCACCTCATTCCAGCCATCCCCTGACGACTTGGCATCCGATGCGTTTGTACTGCCCGTGGTATCGATGACACCTTTCTCAGCCAGTCGATGGCGTCGAAGAAACTCGGAGGCAAAGTGACGGGAGTCCAACGTCCTGGACGCTGAATGCACTGCCTCGGTAATCAACTCGAGGTCCCCTGGGAAGGTGAGGAGAGTCTTCACCATCTCCTCCGCTGCACCGTGTCAGCCAACGTACCCACAATGATATCCATTAGGTGCACACTTACGATCTATACCCTTGTTAAGCTCGGGACGTAGCTCTGCCACAGCCCATTTCCGAAATTCCTCGAGAGCATTATCCTTGGACAACTGTCCTCCCAGTGTGCTGGTGCGTGCAGCAGAGGGTTTCCTTGCCATGGTCGACGGCACTCCGGCACTTGGGGTTCTAACAGCGGGAGAGGGGACGGCCGAGATAGCAGGAGTTTTGACCTTCCCACTGGCTCCTACGGTGGTCCAGGTTCCGCCTCCACCATTCTGTGGAGTCGGTGTTTGCTTGCTGGCAAGATCTGCGTACCTCTTCCCAGCGGACAAGACTGTGCTCGCGGCACCGTAGTTTGCAGTGTTGGCGGCCGCGTTGGCGGCGGCCGCAGCAGCAGCGCGTTGCTTGCGCTGTTCCTCCTCCTTCTGAATTTGTTGGAGAGTCTTCTTCGCAACGGGACCTTGTGGAGCCTTTCCGGCGGCCGGCTTCGCCCAAGCAGATTGGCCGCCAACGGGTGTATTAGGTGAAGCACCGCTTGCCCAGGTTGAGCTGGAAGGTAGACCCGGTTGTGCAGCTGGCGAGTGAACGCGAGCGGCCATCTCCTTCTCCATGGCCTCACGACGAGCTGCGGCGGCAATCGCTTCGCGCTCGGCGGCTTTCCGAGCCTCAGCTTCCTGGATTTCTCTCAGGGAGGGTCCCTTTGGCGCCTCAGTGGGCTCTTTCGCCCAGGGTGCGATTGATGCACTCGGTGTCTCCGCAGCAGGCGTCTCAGACCGTGATCGAGACTCTCCTGCAAGACTGTCTGCCACAATCGGTTTTCTCTGGGCTGCTGGGGCCGGAAGGGGGGACTGAGACGGCGGTGGAGGGAAGGGGTGGATGGCAGGCTCAACTTTGGCCCACGGCATCTGAGCCGAGGGCACCTGTTTGGCGGAAGCTGCTTTCTGCACCTGTTCTGTGAGGGAGAGAGATTCTAGTTTCGAAACAGGAGGCTGCACAGCCTGGCTTGGGGGTTGTATCGGACCGGAAGGCGAGGCACGCAATGTATGTTCTCCATGTTGCTCTTGCTGTTCCGGAGGAGAAGCCGCCGGTGGTTTTCCAATTACGCCCTCAGGTGGAGGAACGCTGGTATTCTGCTCAATGTTGGTTTGCACCCTGAGGTCATGGAATTGCTTAAGTCGCTCGGCAGCCGCCTGTGCGGCTTGCTGTTCGTGGTGGGCCGTACTGTGCAACTGGTCGTGCTGTTGCTGCTCGCGTTGGAGCCGTGCACGATCATGGAGCATATCGACGATCTGGTTGTCATGTGTATTAGGACCGGTTTGCGGTTGCCTCAAGGGTAATGGCGCAGTACCAAAGGGTTGCTGACCGGTGCGGCCGAGGTTTAGACGTCCCATCATGGTTGAGGCATCGTCTTCTCGCATACCTCCTAGCATTTCCACTCCAGGCCCAATTGGACCCAATCCAGCGGCAGGTTGTGGTCGGAAGGGGAAGTCAAACAATCCTCCTGGTACGGGAGCGGGTCCAGCGAGACCTGGAACCTGGGTTGGAGGTGGCTGATGTCCCACCGGTGAGGTAATACTCCCCAAACTGGGTTGACTGTGTAGAGAATGAGCGCTCGAGTGATGTTGTAGTGGGTGAGGCAGAATTTGGTGTCCTATGGCGGCCATCTGCTTGGCAGCTAATGCCTGTTGTTGAGCAACAAGGTGCTCCTTCTGATGAGCGATGAGGATCTGCTCCTCCTGCTTTCGTCGTTCCAGCGCGTTCTGCTGGTCCGCAGTCAATGTCGTGCCGAAAGTGGGGAAATTGTTCGCAAAAGGTGGTTGAGCAGTGGCTGCACCCTCCCCGAGACCGGAGCCAGCCCATGCGTTGCCAGGAAGGGTAGAGGATGGACCATGGGGGATCCCAATCTGCGGAACAAGGAATGGCTCGCGAGAGTTACCAATCTTGCGAATCAACTGAGCAAGAGGCGCAAACTCCGCATCCTCTTGCTTCTTGACAAGCAGCTCGGGCGAGAAGAAACCAGCCCTGTACCAGTCGTGCATCTCGAGACCAGTGAAGGGACCCTGTTCGACTCCATTTGGATCGCGGTAGAACCATCTCATCCTGTCAGGCATGACCATTTGGCGCTCCTGGGGATTCGGAGCCTGGCCTGCGGGACTGCTTGCGCTGGGCGGTTGCGAGGAAGCAGCGCTAGCTGTTCGGCCTAGAACTGGATTGTTCTGCGCAGCGTTGAAGACCGATGACTGAGGCGGACCGGACGAAGGATGCTGGCCGAAGCCAGCACCTACAGAATCGGCAACGTCTCGCTTCTCGATACCACCCCCGAACGGGTCAATAAGATTCCGCCGAAGAGGGCTGGCAGTGTCGCGAGCCGGGATTCCACCTGCCGTGGCTTGAGATGCGAAGGCTCCACGACCAAAGCTGCCGGGCATGTTCTGTTGGCGGTCGCCCTGCAGACCCTCATCACCGATTGATCGGTTTTCATTGGTCCGCGCCTGTTCCTGTAAAGAGGTTTGAAACAGAGACTCCAGTCTGCTAGGGCGACTGATCGAGCCAAAGTTTCCTCCCATTCCTAGGAGTGAGTTACTCCCCAGCCCTGCCAGGCTGGGCGATTGTGCTTCCCCAAAGCCTTCGAATCCGCCTCCTAGGCCGCGATCACGCACTGGGGTGGCCACAGATGGTTGCTGTCCAGAAGGCCACACGGAGGAACTTCCGAGCCCAGGCAGAATGACTGGAAAAGCGCGTGAAGGGCCAACACTCGAAGTCTGACTGCGATCACTGGCAGCGGCCTCGAAGGGCTGGGAAGCTCGACCAAGGCTTGCGAATCCAAATCCTTGATTGAGCGCTCCGCCTTCTGCATTGGCCAAGGAAAAACTCCCCATTCCCGGGTAGTGCATGTGGTTGTCTTCGGGGTCAGTTTCACCATCTTCATCGTCAGTACGGTCCTGGTTGGGACTCCGATACGGGTTGGTATCAGTCGGGCTGTCCTGACCCCCGCGCTGGTGTGGGGTTCCGTGAAACGGCTCTCTTGACTGGAAGAAGTCCCTCGTTGTAGAGTTGGGATCTTGTAAGCCAAAAGCGGAAAATCCATTCCCCTCCAGAGGGTTTCGCTTGTGGGGCGTGGCAAATTCACCGAGTCCTTGATGGCGAGGTGGGCTGGTACCTTGATTTCCGCCAAGGGAGGCACCACCGGTTTGCGGGTCCTCGTCCGGGACGCTATTGGCGTTCGCAGTGGAGGGATTAGATGTGGGGGCCTTGGACGTTGGTTCATCGGCAGCCTTCCCTAGATTGTCCAGAGACGTTTTCGACTTCGAGGCTTGGTTGAGCTGCTCGGCACTGGATTTACTCATGAGTCCCGTGAACCTACTCTTGCCCTGGACACCGCCGTAGCTGGGCTTCTTGTCCGATGGAGGGGCCGCGAAGCTGCCAAAAGCGCCCATAGGCGAGAAAGCAGCAGCGGAGGACGTTGGCGGCCAGGCGGTATTGTTGACTCCAAGCGGGGCAGTACTGGTGCGCTTGAGACCGGGGTTCACCTGCGCACTCTCGGAAACGCCCTTATCCTTATCTCGCTCCTCGGATGCGCCGCTGGCCGCTGCGTCTCTATTGAAATCTGTGCGGCGGCGAACCAGCGCCGGAGGCGGAGCCACTGTGTTCGACTCTTCGCGGGAGAACCTGGAAGCGACCGGTGAGGCAAGACTACCAGATGGGAACGGATATCCATCAGTTGGATCACGACGGCGGTTGGACGGCCGGTTGGTCGTGGGTGACGACACTCCATAAGGAGTAGTGCCCCCCTGAGACATGGAAGTCTTACGCAGAGATAGGCCTTCTTTTGGCGTTCCGTCCTTGTTCGTACTTTGTGCAAGAGGCTTGATGGGCGAATTGACCGATGATGCGAAGACCTATGCCGAGGAGGCTTGGTTAGGTTTCAATTCGGAACATATTTTCAAGGAACAGCGTACCTCTTTCTCCTCATCGGTCATTGGGTTTAAGCTGAGTGGGAAGGAGCTGCCATCCTTGTTCCAACAGTGCTCCAGCCCACCCTGGGATTGACTGTTCTGATCGTCCCGCCGGCCCCAGACAGGTCCTACCGATCCGTTAGACTCCTTCACCCAACTGCCAATGCAAAGGTCGGGCAGCGCCTCCTTTCCCTGAATTTCCCCATTGTCCAGCCCATGCCTGCAACACTCCAAGAGCTCATCTCTTGCGTAAGCGGGGGCCCCATTGCGTCCGGTTTGAGCAAAGGGCGGGACGTAGGGGCCGGGATTAGGGGTTGTTCCACTGACGTCCCGTGAATGTGCTTGGGTGGTCGAACCTGACGGGGTGGTCGCGTGAGAGGAGCGGCGGAAGGTTTGCGTCGCACCGTTGGTGCGGCGAGCCCTGGCAACGTATAAGTATGGGTTGGCGGAGATAAACTGCACCCTGCAAAAATTTCATCGAAATAGCCCGAAGGGCTAGCCACAGAAGACAAATTCGAGGGAAATCCCCAGCGAAACGGTCGGGACGGCAAAGGGCACATGGTAGCAGGGTGTAGATGGCGACAACGGGTGCACTCACCAGTCTCCGCTCGTCTCTGGCCGTGATGTGCTGGCATTGTTTCCTGCCGCTGCTGAAGCAAAAGTAGGTGTCATGGTGCTGGAGAGGGTGTGGCGTGCGAGCAGAGCGATGATATCGAGGCCAAAGAAGTTTCGCGCGGACGAACACTAAGTGCGTGCGAAATGCAGGTGGTTACGGGAGTAGGCGAGGAGTAGATTGAGGCAGCTGTTGCTCTGAGGCTTTTCTGACTCGGCGGGTGGGCAGCACGCGTGCGGGTAGTGTTTGTGTGGTTACGGTGGATACGGGCGGGAAGCAGGCGGTTTTTTGGTCGTTGCGAGGGACGAAGAGAAGGAGAGCTCCAGGTGCGCACAACCAAAGAATCGAGTTGCTTGGCATATGGTCACGTGCTACAGATTACTCAACGCCATACGAACATCATTCTTCACTCATCATCGCTCTTCACATGCGTAGGACGCTGATCGTATGGCTTTCCCCTCTATGAAATTCCAAGGGCTGGCCCTGGGGTTCGCTCAACGTGCCCTTCAACCTCAAGCGTCCATCCCAGTTGTGTCCTACATGTATCATTTGAGCCATGCGCTCGTATAAAACTGCAACCTTTCCAAAGTCAACTCGTACTACCTTTGCGTTTATCTCTCATCTCCCACCCCCTCAAAAACGTCACTTCTTCAATGGGCCGATTGGGATCAAGTGGCACATGCGCATATGGCCTGCCATCGGTCCTGCCTCATCGCCATGGGGATGTTTGCTCCACCTCACAGCGACCCATTTAGCGCCTACTACAGGTTTGCTTTCAAGACAGCGCGGTGCCCTTCCAAGTCATTTGCCCCTTACACTCCCCAATCATAGATCGAAGTCCAGAGCTGGTACAGCAGATGCTGCCGTGCCACCATCAGACTCGCCGATCCCACTTACGGCACATCATCCTACCCCTTCATATCAACCTCTCAAACCTAGAGATTTGATGGTAGATAACCGACAGCGTAGTGCTGGGTGGCCGTCTTGGGGGCGCGCCGGCCCAACACTGCTTACAGTCTATAAAGCTCAGAGTGCGGCCCTCTGCTGGAGGCCTCTTCATCATCAATGTAACATCGTGCAGTCAAACAATCGGTCCCAGTTTGCTACATGTACCCAGACGCCACCTCTGCGTTTTTGCTCATCTGAGCTGTCTCCACCTCATTGCCGACAGGACTGGCGACTGGAAGCTTTGCAAGGCTCTATTACATCTGGCTACGTCTCGAACTTGTCGGTGTTTCATCTCACATACTCCACTACTGATCACCCCCTCGGCAGTATATCATCCGGTCTCCTGAGATATATCACCGCACTACACCTCACGAGATTCTGTGCCTCACCGTTCCCTCGAGCAACGGCGGGCGAGAAAAATGAACCCGAACATCTTCCCCCTCGTGCGTAAGCCAGTGGGTTACGGACCTCCTGTATTGGAGCGGAGGTCTTATGGCTATGGAGGCCTTTACAACTTAGGCCACCGCCCTCAGGCGTGGACTAGCGACTATGCTGCCGCTTCAGCAACCGCCAAAAGAAGATGCGACCGCCAACGCCGTCAGTTCGGTCGCTCACATCGTTGGGGAACTCCTTTCGGGGCGTATCGTCAGAGAGCCGTCCCGCCTCCGCTTGGCTACCCGCGAACCTCTCGCTTTGGGCATCGTTATCCTTACCCGTATGCAGTATGGCCATCACGACCTATGGGCATACCCTTCATGCCAATGTACCGCCCGACTCCTTGCTCACGCTACGCTTCCACCTTGCCCCGGGCCGGCATTGCTCCCCTCCGTGGTTATCCAACTCGACGATACCGATCCCCTCCGTTCCATTCCTATCCCAAACGGCACGCGTATCCAACACCACCTGTAGACGACGATGACGATGTATTTGCGGATGAAGACGACGACTGGGGCGACTCGGATGACGAGGATGACCTGTATGATTCCAGCTGGGATTATGATACGGCAGAAGACGACGACCTCTTCGATGACCGCAATACGAGCTATCCATTCAGCAGCTGCGACAGTTACTCTTTAATGTATAGCGACTATGCAGATGACGATTGCTTTGGAACGAGAAATCGGTGCTTCCATGGACATTATGGTTACGAGCATCCCCATTATCCATATTCGCGGCGGTGATTGATGCTGATTTACCTTCTCTGCTATTCAGTCACCGTGTAAGCCATCAGAGCATGGAATGATTTCGGGTCCAAAAGTACGCACTTCGGGTTTGCCCCTGTTATCTACAGTCACTACATGGCTTCTTTATCAACAAGGCTGGGAAGTGCTGTTCGGTATTTAACACCGCGTTGTACGTTAATTTCTGTTTCAATTTCGTTTGCCGGCATTGTCTCATATATCCTAATGGAATTCCCGCCGGTGTGCTATTATCGCAAAGCCCTGAAGCATTGCTCCCCAGAAGACTTAGCTTCTCACCCGATAATAATTATTCCTATCCGACATCATAACCGTAGCAATAAGCAGCATGCCTTGTTTGACTAACACACTTGTTTTGCAAACCAATACGAGCGGTACCATAAGCATCATATTCGGGACTCGTATCAGCTGCCGCACGTTTGTGTGCGTTCCGGTTGATGCTACACTTACGGGCCGTACTAACACGCCGGACTTCTCCATTTCCCGAACAATGTCCCGTGGTACAATCGCCTTGTTTGCTATTAATCAACGAGGACGGGGAAGTCGTCCAATCATCGCTGATACTTTACCCTTTCCTCCCTCCCTTCCCGGGTTCTTCCCTTTCCCCTTTCCTTTGCTTTCTGGTGTTTCGCTAGGATAAGTAGCACTTGAGTAGTCAGACAATGATGTCGATCCCTAGACCCCGAAGTCTATGTGATCAATAACGGAACAGCCGATAGTAATCGGCGCACTGCACTTCGTAGCTATACCATCGAGCGCCTGGCGTTCAAACTAGTGAAGCAGCAATGCAATCCCGGCTACTATCCGTTCCGTCTTAAGAGATGTACGCTACCGCAACATGGTTGGACCTCCGCAGCAGAACTGTCTATTGATCCCACTCCCTATACCCTACGGTACATAACACAAGGTACAATTTGATCAACCCAATCTCAGCCTCCCCTCACCTCACACACGATAACGGCTCGCTCCGTTTGCTACGTAGGTATCTCCATACCATCCTCACCCAACACCAATGAGAAATCCCCATTCATGAGCCCCGCTTGCGCTTACCGCCGTAGTGTCCGCTCCAACAAGCGTTGTGTACTGCTCGATTGTCCGCCCCTCCAGCTCACTTATCACATTAGGCCCGGACCGGTGACGCTACATCGCTTCTTCACCCTTCCGAATTTTCCTCTTGCGGTAGGCCATTATCGAACGGTGCCGTCGGCACCTGATCCGAGCCCCGTATCATGCTCCGTTCGTGATTACGTAGCCACCGGAACCTCTTCGCTCCCGATAGGTACCTGAAGTCATTATTGATTGCGACTGCAGGCCGACGAACGGTGGCTGCAATCGCGGCCCTCAAGAGTGACCTCTTGAGCATGTGAGGTCCTACGGATGAAGGGCGGCGAGGTGCGGGAAGGGTGAGTGAGGCTGAAGAAAGTACTTGCGGTAGGAGCCGGAGTCCGTTGGGCGTTGGTATGTAGGCAGTGGAGTGTATTCAGTATAATAAATCTCGTTCTTGTGGCCATTCTGAACCGCTGGGTGGAGTGCATCGCGGCAAACTGAGACGTACGCTGCTGGAGAGAGTTTAAAACGTTCTGCAATATATATTCCACCTTTGAATGACGACTGGCGAAACAAAGTCCTGTCTTCACATAAGAGACTCACTATCCTACCTACCCTAGGGTATCTGGCGACCTCACAAGCTCCTCACGTCTAGTCCAAAATATGTGTCTCCTCCTCCGGTACAACTACACCTGCTCGCCCTACCACCGCGAGACCCTATTCCAAGCCTGCCATCTGTCGCTCGATCTCGCATCCTTAGCCTCTTTTGGATTGCAGCGGTTAGCTTCGAATAACCCCTTTCGACAGAGACCGTGCTGTCCCATGTTCTGGGAAAAGACGATTTGCCCGCCCATGTGTGTGGCCTGCATGATTAGGAGCAGTTCTGTCATGGGAGAAAGAGAGTGGGATTGGAGGTGATACGTGGACTTTGGGGAGATGTGGTCGTTGATGGAGAGCTGATGGGGACATGCACATGAACCACGGGGTAGCAGATATGTAAAATGTGGCTCCGACGAAGGGAAGCGGCCGCACAGCTCGTCGACTTCTTGCTGTGGTTCTTCCGTTTCAGGAGCCTTGATGGCTACGGGGAAGGAGAAGCTGGTGTTGTCACAGAGGGCCCGATGTACCTGAGACAAGGTGAAAGTTTGACAGCAGGACCACTTCCTGTTTCGACCAAGGGGAAAGCATCCAAGGGCCATTTCTAGATACCCTCCCTACACTGCATGGTCCTTGTCCTCCACCGGTTGGTACCCCTTCCGATTTTTATGAAAGCGCGCTCTGGCTTGGATCCATGGATGGACGAATTAATGGGTTTGCAAAGTTCATGTGGGGGGATGTTAATGCCCAGGCCCGTAGCCGTTTCAGCAAGCAATCCAACTTTCTGTTCCATTGTCATCTCCAAGTTCTTCTCCTACGGCAGGTTAGATTTCAATCTTCCTACGTGCTATACCCTACTACGACTTAGCCTGAAACAGGCATCTGTACCCTATGGTACCCTAGGTACTATCAGGATAGCGGCGTCATAGCCTTTTGACCCAATACACATATTTGCTTCAAAGGCGGAGAAATAAAAAGAATGTCATTAAGGTCGTTTTAGACAGGGACCCAAGTGGAAGTGTCAGGAGTAATTCTTAAAGAAAGGAGGTTACCACAACCTACCCTAGGGTAGTCCTCACCTGTAACAAGGCGTCTCAGCAGCCTATCGGCGCAATTCACTGTGTAAGTAGTTGTATTCCTGCATGGGGACAATGTGTGTTGCACATGGATTCGATGTGTATCCTGGATGCCTCGGCATATATCTCTTTTCACGCATATTCAACCCCAGCATTCGGGGCTAACCAAAATTAGGCTAGCGTAGAAGATCGGACATGGAAACCCTCTAAAGTTTCTCTGATGCGCAAGGCACACTTCGTGGTGTTGAAGTAGCTATCTTTACTACTAGACGATCGAATGTTATTAACACTCTTACACTGCATCACTGCCATATCTATTGGCGTTCAATCTAATAAAATGGCTGCTGCCCTTGGTCCGATCCGTGGATGATATTGCAGTCCCGTGAGCACCTTAACCGACGTCACCGCTATGCCGAGGTCCAATCCCCCCACGCCCTTGAGCTTCTCACCAAAACGCACCACGACCAAAGAGCTGCCTCAGCGACCGCCGAGGGCCTAGGACCTTTCCCAAGCTTGACTTGTTGATATAATTGTGACGGCCTCTTTTCTTGCGCTCCCTCCGAACCCCCCATCAGCAACTTCTCAAATGTTCAATGCCGTAGGCCGCGTGCGAGCTTCTATCCCCTCTCTTCGCAGCGCACGCTTCCTCCCCCAGCAGAATTCACGCCTTCTCGCCCCAGCCATGGCTCCCGCACGGCAGCAATCGTCGTTGCCCGCCGGCTACAAGGAGGACCTCGCAAAGGGCGCCATGCTGCGCTTCGAGGACTCCCTCCCTCGCCTCCCCGTCCCCACGCTCGAAGAGACTGCGAAGCGCTACCTGAAATCGGTCCACCCGCTGCTCTCCAAGGAGCAATTCGAGAACACAACCAAGTGCGTCAAGGAGTTTGTGGCCCCCGGAGGCCCTGGCGAGGAGCTCCAGAAGCGCTTGATTGCGCGGAGGGAGAACCCCGAGATCCGCAACTGGCTCTCCGAGTGGTGGAACGATGCCGCATACATGGCCTACCGCGACCCGGTTGTGCCCTACGTCAGCTACTTCTACTCACACCGTGATGACCGCAAGCGACGTGATCCCGCCAAGCGTGCGGCTGCCATCTCGACGGCCGTGTTGGAGTTCAAGAAGGCCGTGGACAATGGTTCTCTGGAGCCCGAGTACATGAAGAAGCTGCCCATCGCAATGAGCTCGTACAAGTGGATGTTCAACTGCTGCCGCATTCCCAGGCCCGGCTCAGACACGGCCGTCAAGTACGAGGCCAAAGACAGCGCCCATATCATTGTTGTTAGGAACAACCAGTTCTGGAAGGTCGCTCATGAGATCGACGGCAAGCAGCTCAACACTCGCGACTTGGAGACCCAGTTCCGGCGCATCTACGACTCGGGAATCAAGAATACCCCCGTCGGACTCCTCACTACCCAGAACCGCGACGTGTGGGCAAAGGTGTATTCCAAGCTGAGGCAGAATGACCTCAATAGCGCTACCCTCAAGGATATTGAATCCGCCTCCTTCGTTGTCTGCCTTGACGATGCTCGCCCCGTCACACTCGAGGAGCGTGCTCGCCAATACTGGCACGGTGACGGCGCCAACCGCTGGTTCGACAAGCCGCTTCAGTTCATCATCAACGACAACGGCACCTCGGGTTTCATGGGCGAGCACTCCATGATGGACGGAACACCTACGCACCGTCTCAACGACGAAGTCTGCAGAATGATCTTCACGGAGGCCCTTCCCTTCGACGACCCCAACGTCCGACCCGACCTCCCTCACCCAACGCCTCTCGAATGGCAAATCGACCAGGACCTGCTCCAAGACGTCGAGGACGCCAGACGTCATTTCCTCGGCCAGATCAACAACCACGACCTCCGCGTGCAGGCCTACCAGGCGTACGGCAAGGGCCTCATCAAGAAGTTCAAGTGCTCCCCCGACGCGTACGTCCAGATGATCATCCAGCTGGCGTACTACAAGATGTTTGGCGTCAACCGACCCACGTACGAATCCGCCGCCACCCGCCGCTTCCAGGAAGGCCGCACCGAGACGTGCCGCTCCGTGTCGGACGAGAGCGTCGCCTTCTGCAAGGCTCTGGGCGACCACTCGACCAGCCCCGAGAAGGCGCGCGAACTGTTCCGCGCCGCCCTCGACGCCCACGTCAAGTACATCTCGGATGCGAGCGACGGCCGCGGCGTCGACAGGCATCTGTTCGGCTTGAAGAAGTGCCTCAAGGAGGGCGAGCCCGTGCCGGCTCTGTACCAGGACCCGGCTTACTCGTACAGCGGCAAGTGGTACATTTCGTCGTCGCAGCTGTCCTCCGAGTTCTTCAACGGCTACGGCTGGAGCCAGGTCGTCGACGATGGATTCGGCATCGCCTACATGATCAACGAGAATAGCTTGCAGTTCAATGTCGTCTGCAAGGTCAAGAACCTGGGTTCCATGGGCGCTGTAAGTTTTCCCCACTCTTCCCACGGACATGGTGCTAATTCGTGGAACAGCAAAGGATGAGCTTCTACCTCAACGAGGCCGCCGGTGACATCAGGGATCTGATGCTGCCGACCCTCGAAGCTCCCAAGGCCAAGTTGTAGGCCGAATTAGTGGCACAGTTGCAGTCTATCACACACACACTCTCTCTCTGTGTGTGTGCGGCGTGTGCGTGCGTGTGTAGATTCCATGTTTTCATATAGAAGGGGCAAAAAGCGAAGCGAAGAAATATTTGATTTGCCCCTTGCATTTGAGCAGCTCCTGTCTTTTCTGGGTTCGTATCTAGCGTTCGCGGTCTTAGGGAGCGTTTTGTGGTGTGGAAAAGTCAAAGCATACTGCATTCTCAAAGTAAATATATCATTTGTCACGAAGGCTTTCTCACTTTTTGTCGTGCACTGTACCCGCAACACAAAACCACAAGCTTCACCCAAAAGAGAAGCTGAAGACACTCTAGTTCGAAAGGAACGGACGTCAATACATGGCAGAAAGTGATAATGTGTACATTTTTTCGCGCAATCCTACAAGGCAACAAAATACACACATTTGAACCACCAAACGCTCAGTTAGGTACACCAGTTTGCAGTTTTCAGTCCAGTCCAGTCCAGCGCCGGTGACCCCATGATGCAAGCATTCGAAGCTGTTTATGTCGCCTTTCCTACACTCCTACCCTACTCAAAAGCCACCGTGCCTGGGGCTGCTTACGGGTTGGCCTTGGCCCACTCAACGCCCTTCTTGATGTCCTTGCTCAGGCCCTCGAGGCACTTACCGAGAAGCTCCTGCTCCTTGGCGGTGATCTTGCCGACGGGGTGGATCTTCTCGACACCGTTGGGGCCGAGCTCGACGTTGGACGCGAAGAAGTCGCAGCCCTGGTCCTTGTAGAGCGGCGAGTCGACGAAGGTGGGCTCGATGACGTTCTTCTGGCCCTGGGCGGCCTTGAGCAGGCTCTCGGCGAAGCGAGCACCAGCCATGGCCATGGAGAGGGTGGCGGAACCGGCACCGGCCTTGGCCTTGACGACCTCGTCACCACCGAACTGGACGCGGTTTACGTAGGCATCCAGCTTCTCGCCCTCGAGGTTGTAGCCAGACTGGGAGAGGAGCGGAACGATGGTGGCACCGGAGTGACCGCCAACAACGGTGATGTTCTCGTTGGCAGGGTCGGTGTTCTTGATCTCGGAGATGAAGCGAGAGGCGCGGACAACGTCAAGCGTAGTCACACCGAAGAGTCGCTTGGGATTGTAGACGCCCTTGGACGTGAAGACTTCGGCGGTGATGGGAACGGTGGAGTTGACCTGTGGTTGTTAGGAAATAAAGCCAATATTTGATCAAGCATAGCACATACAGGGTTGGAAATGATGAGGATGTTGGCCTCAGGGGAGTGCTCGGCAGCAGCCTTGGCCAGATCGCGGACGATGGAGGCGTTGGTGTTGAAGAGATCTACCATTGTCAGCTTGAAACAGCTCGGGGGAGCTTGGCTTCCCCACCATCACGGGTCATTCCAGGCTTGCGGGGAACGCCAGCAGGAATGAGAACAATCTCAGAGCCCTTCAGCGCCTCGGCCAGTTGCGAGGGAGTAGCATCGTAACCCCGAACCTTGCACGTATTAGCTATGCGCAGCTGTCGTTCGTCAAATTCGTTCGTACCTCGCTCTTGGTGTTGATGTGGCCAATGTCGGCAGCGACACCTAAGAAGCACGGTCAGTTCATAATGTATACACAATGAACGGAAGGGAACGCATACCGGGAGCAAGACGGATATCATAGAGGGCCAATTGGCTGACTCTGGGGTTGAGCTTCAACAAGAGCGACAAAGGCTGGCCAATGCCGCCGGCAGCACCGAGAACGGTGACTTTGGACGCCTGTTATCTGCGTAAGCACCTCTTCTTACAATTCACCCGTTGCAATCCTTTTCATGGCTCAATGGCCAGGAAAAAGCAATGCTTGTGAATGTTGACACCTACCTGACGGGCGGAAGCCGAGAAGGTGCGGCGCTGCACCTGAGCGAAGATTTGCCTCGCAGTGAACATTGGTGACGGTGGTAGAGAAGACGGGAGATGGATGCGACTAGTAGGACTGGACTGCGCAAGTGTGAGATGGAGAGGTGTTGCGGGATATCCAAGGATGGCGAGAGTTTTCCCAAGCACACCTCAACTGAGCTCCGTCACGGGACTCTTGCCAAGTCCTCGCATCAACGACCCGCGCGATACCAAGATGGGAAGAACTAGTGACCGATTCAGTAAGCTGATCGTAGTGAACGGGAAAGGTAGGAAACCTCGGAAGGGAAAAGAAACCATGAGCTATCATTCTGCATCTTGTGACGTACTTGCGTTGTTTATTGTTTGGGTATCTATCTAAACCCTCTAAAAATACCTCTAGGACGCCTCGGTCTGGACGAAAAGCCGGGACAGAAAAGCTTCTTGCGGGACTCCAAGCAAAACCAGCACACCTTCGCCATGAAAAATAAAAATGGGAAACATAGGAAAATACAACATCCGTAGTGATGGGGAAGAAGATTTCAACAGACGAAAATAGGAACAGGCGAAGAAGTGATACAGCGAATTCAACAAAATACAGCCAGTAGCTGTCCCAGCGAAGGGTGATGAGGTTAGGTGAGGACCCGTCAATCAGTCGGTTGGGGGTATGGAGTGAAAAGAACCTGATGGTTTTGATGGCGTTCGAGGCTCAGGAACTTAAAGCTCTGTCCAGTGGCGGTCTTCGCCGACTTTGACGTATTCGGTGTGTCGTTCTGTTCTTCTCCGAGCCCTCTCTTCTCGCCCAAAGCAGCTGAAGAGCCTTGCGAATCCGTTTCGTCTTCGAGGAACTAAGCCGTCGAATGCTGCGTCAGGCTCATGGGTTGATGTACTGGATAAAGGGCTGGTTGGGATAGTCGCGTCGATAAAGACGAGAGAATCGCGTCGTCGCCCTCTCCTGTCTACCAGATCCTGTGGAACGGTCTTTTCTGACATAGGTGGTGTGGTTGTGTTGCAGACATCTGTGTTTATTGAAAAGAGTTGCGAGCGGTTTGCCCTTGGTGATGCGGGTAAGCTGGGATATGGAGATTTTGGCGGTTGCAACGACCGGTGGGACATGGTTGTGGTCGAGGGAATAGCGTTTGTTGGAACCGAGTCCCAGTGGCTGCGAAGAACGACAGTGGATGAAGGATAGGTTTGCCCTATGTTGGAGAGTTTCGACTCTGGGCAAACTGGTTCCACAGCAGCCTGGGGATGATGGTTATTATGTATGTATGTGTCCCGTACGCAATCTGTGCACATCTGCGGCGCGGTTCAACAACACAAGGCCAACGTTATTAGCAGGGGATGAAGGATTGCGCCTCGACGCTACGCCAGGATGTGGAGGAGACCTCCACCACCGGTCCAACTCTGGTCACAGTTACAGATCCACAGAATTCGCGAAAGGTACAGGCGTTGGTGGGTTTATGGAAACATGTTCGCACCGTTTCGAAACGATCCTTCTCATGGAACTTGGCCTGCTCGCATCAAAGACATCCTCAAAAGGGGGAATTGGCTACGGACCTTGATGAGACAAAAAGCATTGGCACTGGCCGTTCCAGGGGCCGCCACCTGGTATGAAAGGCTCCCTGCAAGGCAACAAGGTCGCGCTTACGGTGCGGTCGGTCAATCGCTTGGGCGTCTGACTGCGCCCCTTGAAACAGCCCTGCATGTCTCACGTCCTCAAGTCCTCACGTCCTCCTGATGAACCTCACCGAGGTCCGCACTGCTCAGCCTGCCAGCGATGCATTTCTAAGGTGATATTCGAAGCAATAACAAACCAACTGCCTCTCAGACACTATTTCCGCCAGTTTATGCAGGGCCGCTCTCCATTCCTTGCCTTGGTGCGGAAAGGCATTTTGCATCGGGTCGAGCGACGACCATCCACATAGATGGGCGCGGGACATCACGAGTCCGCAGCTGCGCAATCAGCGACGCCTTGCTGAGCCCCAAGTATGTGGTACAGTATGCGCACTACTTGAACACGAGTGGAGAAGACAAATTCACCGTCGGCAAGAGCGCGTGCCGCACGTGTGGGGTTGATAAATGAGTGTTTATCGCGCGGTTATGTGCTGTGCCGCGCTTCGCCACATCTTTTGATGACAACTCTATCCATCATCTTTGCTCTTCGGCTGTTCTCGTCATCGACATGTGGCTCGTGCAGTCAGCTCTGCGCCATGAACACATATAATTGGCAGTGGGCTTGAGGCGAGAGGCCTGGCCGCCTTTGTCACGCTCGACTTCGCCTGCGTGGCATTCAAGCAAAAAGAGCCCACCAACACCTGCCAGAGGAGAGACGCGATTCCAGTGGCCACTTTCCCACTATCATGAGTATGGATTATGTTACTCGAACGGTGAAGTTGGACACCCAGCTGTAGGCGTGGCACTGTTAGAGTACTGTGTATTGCTGAACCACACAGGCAGTGACAAGGAAACCGGATATTCTTGGAATTGACAGCTCCACAGCAGCGCATGTTCATCTTCTTCGTCACTGTCAAGCCGTAGCTTTTATTCTTTTGGTGGCGTCGAAAGAGTCCTCCACATCGACCGCCTCAGACTCTATCATGTCGGCCCATGCGTTGATCCAGATATTCAACAGTACGCGTTCTTTCGTCACCATCACCTCAAAACATTAAATCAAGCCTTTCGAGACCAGCCTGAGATAGGTCATAACCCAGGCGGCGTACCGCAGCCGGCTTCTGGATACACCAAAACAGGGTCAACGAATTGACGCGCTCGATAGCCAAGTACGGCATCTAGAGGCACACGCTCAACATGGAGAAGAATAAGCATGAGGATTACTGCGCCTCGGGCTTAGCCACCTATGCGCCTGTTCAATCGAAGACGTGGCCATTACTGCAATCTGTATGTGTCCGGGGGGGTGGGACGGTTTGCAGGGAGTGGTAGGTCATGATAACGGCACGCGATGCCAGAGTAAATAAAAGACACCGGAGGCGATCGTTCACATCCACCGGGTATGAACATGTATGCCAATCATATGCTAATCACAGGGGTAAATGTGAGTGGTAAATGATCGACTCCAAGTGGACGTTTGATTTTGGAGCTCGATTGCTCGCTTGCGGTCCCCACTACGTCTGTATACAATCGACCCCTAGGTTTGACATTTACTTAGACGTTCGGCAGCTGTCACTTGCGCCGCTTCTCTACAATCCATCTACAATGTATCTCCTGACCATGGCGCACCACTCTTTCATGCCTTCGCTGGCTTCTGACATTGCGAATAGTACTCGTCAACATATATGCAACTCAACCCTTCGGCGCATCGTACTGTGCCCTGGAACGTACGTCCGCCGCATTGCTCAAATAGCTGAGCAATCTGAGTTACGCCCGGCTGAGCTGGTCTGCTTGTGGAAGTGGGCGTTCCTGGCTGAGGCCGCTGGGTGTTACCTGGCCTGGTGCGCGGTGGACGGGTGAATGACCATCCCGGCCACCCACCTGTGTTGCTTGGATTTCCCTGAGCTGGAGTTGATGTTGTGCGCGGTCGAGCTGCAGATGAGCTGGATGGAGGCTGGCATTGAGAATACCCTAATTGTGTTAGCCACTTGGTTATGGTGAGCAAACGAAAATAATGAGACACTCGGCAGCTCACATTCGTCAAACCTGACGCAGATGCTATCCCTGCACCGCGTAGGCCCGGTGAATCCTCGACCTAAATACGGTCAGTGTTGAGAATCATAGTAGCGTTCCATTTCTGCTGGCTCACCTCCGCACTGATCCCAGGGCTCGGCAATGGTTGGGACTGGGGTATGGATGGTTGTAGTCGGCGTGCTGCGAGTGCTTGCAGGATCCGGAAGACAATAGTAACTATCCTCAGAAACCTATCAAGAAAGCCATAAGTCAGCTCAGCCAGTAGGTTTAATATGGAGGTAGACGAACAAAAGTGCAAACGGTCCCGCTAACGCAAACCGTCGGTCCTGAGTATCTCCTTCCGCCACACTGACCGCCTTGCGGAACCGTGCCGGATGCTACTGGTAGTGCCTTAGAACTGGTAGTGGGCGTGGGGGTGTTTTTCCCGGGAAGTGGATCGTCATTTCGTCTGCAATTAGAGACAAACGATAGTGTTTCCGGGCAAGAGACTTTCTCCCAGTTGACCGTTGGGTTATCTTGCTCAGGTCAGCTAATCCTGATGACGCCAATACTTATACTATTGCTTACCGGCGTTGCGATACCAATCAAATCTCCAGTAACACCCTCCCTGCAGTGGTTCAGGGAAGCTATCGCAGTCTTCACGGTGCGCTACTCCTCCGTAGGTCTCGCCCCAAATATCACTGCGGCCGAATTGTTTGGAACAACTTTTGCGTATCAGCCATATCCATGACAGATACTTGAGTGACTTGCCCTTGGAGATCTCCTTGGCCGCCTCCTGGAATAGCGAGATCAAATTGGTCATGACCGAGATCGCTTCCGGTATTGACAATCTGCACCACCATTTTCTTTCCGTTCACTGGCCCCGAAGTGAATGTGAGTCTGTAATATGGTAAGACGAAAGTATTTAGGATATGAACGCTAACTCACTGATAGCAGGAGCAGCACCATGACGTCTCATTCGCAGCCGCAAGATTTACTCCGGCGTAACCATATGCTAGGTCATTACTCACGGCCCAGGGGCTGAGATCAGAGCAGGCAAAGGATCCTCCTGCCTGGTATCAGTATCATCTCGACAACGGCAATCAGCCAAAGGGACTCGATGTACCTCCACTGTCACAACCGTCCCGGCGAGCTGGGTTGTTGAGAATATTGTCGACATTGTCGCAGGATAGAACTGGATTGTTGACTGGAGCTTTGCCGCTCCATGAACAAGAATTCTTGCAACATGACCATCCTCGCGTAGTTGACCCAGTACCTTTCAGGGCACCCTGGGCTTGTACGACATTGTTGAGAACACTAAAATAAGACAAAGCTGTAACCGATAAAAAAGAGCTCTTGACGACCATCTTCACGGATGAAATGTCGAAGTAATCAACAGGTGGCACTGGCAGGGCATTTGAGAATATTTGCAGAAATTTCCATGGGCCATCTTATACCATTTCCCGGGCCTACACAATTGTCGATGACCCTGAAGCTGGTTTTGCAGCTAGCAATATACTCCAATATCCACTGGCAGTGGCGTTGCAGATACGAAGCTGTCATGAAGCCTCAATATGCTCCTAGCCTTCACATTGGGGCGACTTGCACCGAAGGGGCATATCAGAGTAATCGCACTAGCTTGTCCTAGCCATTTCAGACATACGCTTGCATCCTGGATGTATTAAAGCACCTGATCCAAGGGTCTGGACTTACCAAGTCGCTTGTCATCCTTCATCCACGTACCCGTTGATCGGATCTGTCTACGCCGAGCCGCCCTCCGTGGAGAATACCTCATACTTTGTATCCAGGGACAGAGTTCATTTATATTGCCTAATAAGGGTAATCCGGAACAGGCTTATTTTTAGCTTTGAGAGGTACGCTGAAAGCGAAAGCAAGATATCGGGTTGGCAACTGGTGTTTCTCTTAGCAGGAATTTTCAAGTGCGAGTAGTGTAACGCTGACGTCCAAAATCCAAACTTTCAAGAAAAAACAAAACCTGAGTATGTACATGACTAACTCTACAATGATAGGACTAGTTGCGCGGAGTGCCAAACTCAATTGACCAGTGCTACCGGATATTTATACCGTAGGGTAGGGCCACTTCCTCTAACTGCCATTTTATCAGATCACTTGAGCCATTACGATATCAATCCAATATTTACCGTACAGCTTACTTGGATGACTCTCGCCTGAAAGCATTCTATCGAAGGATTCTGCTTTCCAGCATGCGTTCGAACGTTGAAGTCAGAGATTGATACGCTACATGATAGGCGATCGGTCTGGCCAACGATACGCACCAACGAACCCATTAGTGTCGGGGCCATTGTATTCCTCGTGTTGAGGTAGTGAAGATGGTTTATATTGTGCCATCCTGAATCCTCATTTCCATATTCCTGGATCTCTTTGCCGGTAAGCATGTCATCCTTGCAAGCGAGGCCTTGTCAATCTACCTCAGCCGTGCCATTGGTTACACCCACGCTGAAGTTTGGTACGGCACTGCACTGTATGTTTTTCATACTGTGCCTGCATCCAGCTACAGCTTTTCTGCATGAGGATTGCAGTTTTCAGGCCATAATCGCTTAAGTGATGACGAACTATAACAGGCCTGATATAGTACAGTGATATTGACAACACGAGCTCGTTCCTCGATGCATCTTGGTCAACTACAGCAGCATCTCAGACAATGCCCACGAGTTTTCAGCAATAGTCCTTTAGAGAACCAAAGCTTCGAGGGTTCGTCACCGGGAACCACCCAGTTGGATCGATTCAGCCGTCCCTGAAAGGATCTCCTCCGGGGTCTGCGGGATCACAATCGGCTCCCCATGGCTGGTACTCAATATGCATGCCTCTGCATGACCGGACACTGAACCGTAGTGATAGCCCCGCCGCTGGATATCAGGACCACGCGGTTGATCTACGACCGGATGAAACCCATTGCAATCCCGGAGAGAAGAGATTGCTACCCCCGCTCCTACGGTCTCTCACTTGGCCGATTGATCTTGGATAGCATGCAGAGTTGATACTTACTGTAGTAGGGATGGGTTTCCCTCAGTGAGTTGCGGTCTCATCAGTATAATGACCCATACTTTAGTCGCTTGTAATGGTCAATAAGATTTGCCCGGGAATGTGCCGTATTGAAATCTGCATCATCTCACTTATAAGCCTTGGTCAACAGCATGAACCAGAACTGCGCGGCCATGTACTCGAAACATAGCTTTTGTCTGATCAAAGTATTGCCTTGGGTTAGCGTCGGATCAGCGAACCCGGACAATTTCAGTGGCATTACTTTCGAGTGACTGTGCTCGAGAGAACATAAACTACGTCTACTGAGTAGGAGCATGTTCTCATATCCCATTAACTAATTTCCTTCTTTTTGACATTTCTGCAAGGTTAATGGATTTCTATTTCGGAATGAAGCACTCTCATGCATTTGGTGGGTCCTCGAGAGACTTTTTGGGGTTTTGACGGTCCACCGCGCCGTCACTGTCCAGATGGCGCCCGATTCAAGTCCATGTCTATTGCACTGGATCGCAACCTGGTTCGAAAGTGTAGTTTGATGTTCGTATCATGAATTGTTACGGCTTGAGTAGTCTCTACACCCGTCTAATCGAAGGGTTCGACTACAAGCCTTGGATGAAAGATGACCTCGGAGCCCCGGACATAAAGAAACAGTGATCATGTATCATCTCACATGCACATGAAAGGGAGAATCACGCGTGACTCGTTGGCTACGTGTATAATAAGCGAGGGGAACTAGCGCTGCGTCCGTAGTTGTTCGAGTGTGCCTTGTTGAAGATTATCGCGCCCTTGAGAGATATTCAACCAAAGAGGGAGGCCGAAGCATAGAAGCGTGGTGCGGGAATTCAGCGCGGCATAGACGCACAAAGGGAGAAGACGAATGAGGAGAAAATGGTATGATTAGTCTACAGATAAGGACCTACAGTGCTGACTCTGAGTCGATGCGGAACGATTTCCATGCCCGCAACGAGTCCGTCCTATGAAACCAATAGATTCCTTTCTCAAAAGGGGGGGCTGTACTTCTTGAGTTGCTTCTATAGCTTCGCTTTTGGCTTGAAGCCTCGTTCCACAGCCTCGACACCTTTCTTCGCAACATCTTCGTCCTGTGCCGGAGTTCCTGTGCTACAACCAACAGCACCGACTACCACGCCGTCTTGCTTTATGGGTACACCTCCTGCAATTGTCATAAACCTTCCCCCATTGCTATTCCATATACCAAATGCCGGACCGCCAGGCCATACGTTCTCCTTGTAAATTGACGTCGGCGCGCGATGCCCTGCTGCGGTGAAGGCTTTGTCGATGGCGATGTCGATGGACGTGATTTTCGCTCCCTCCATGCGCGCAAAGGCCAGAAGATGGCACGAAGAATCGACGATGGCGATGTTCATAGGGACGCCTATTTCTTTGGCGCGCTGTTCGGCGGCAGCCAGTGCTGTGCGAGCACCATCGAGCGTTAAAACAGGAATGGACTTCGTGGACATTGCGTAGTTTCAAGGAAGATTCTTAGCAGGGGTGATGATGCGAGAAGCAGTTGAAGGAATCCATCGTTTACATTGTGCCCAGTTTAGCGGACAATGTCCCACCGCTAGCTGGATGAGAGGAGCTCTTGTGGCTAACCCTGTTCTGGTAAGCGGCCTTCTCCGATCACATGACACCCTTATTCACTAAATTTACTGGACTGCCCTGGCTCTGTTCAGCGATCAGATCCTCTGGGAGATTGTATATCGCTTATATTAGCAAGTCTCAGAAGACTCACGGTTCCAGAAAGGCATTATCTCTACGTCGAGGTACTGCACCGATGCTGCTAGTCGAAGCGCTTTCCAAATGGCAAAACTGGATGTCAAGGATGCTAGGGCGAACAGAAAGTAACCCAGCCGTATATATCCCTTCAAATGGGTTATAACCTGCGCACTCTATAAACAATGTTTTTTGGGAGGACGTCTCAAGTTCTCTCACTGTCTAGAGTACCGCTCCACTCAATAAGCGGGTGTGATTAGCCCGCTCTATTATCAAACACAGCATGACCAGCTCAGAGTTTTTAAAAGCAGCGAATTGATCCTTTTCGTAGCTTGTAGCTCTTATCAGCGAGTGGCGACATCTCCAAGGCTTCCGCCCACTTGTAGCCTTGCTCTCATTCACCGGTAACACCGCAAACTGGGCGTAACACCGGCGTCAGACATCTCCGGAAATGAGTATTTTGTCAGCCTTGAGGCCAGGTGTGCGTTAGAAAATGTGTGTTTACTTTGAGATTAATTAACGGAAAAGTCCTAGGATTGGGATCCAGTAGACTCTTTCTTAGATCGGCGTCCTGAGACTATTATGTGTCCGCTGTCAGCTTATAAGCTAATGGGTGCGCATGGGGTTCTGGGGTTCAACACTATCTACTTCCGTTGTCCGCAGAAGCGGTTTGGTCGGGCTCTCGTAGTTAGCAGAAAATGGTTCCCCTCCGGCCCATGATGACGACTTTCTGATACGTGACTCCAGTTGTTTGATTTGTTCGGCTTGGCCAAGTAAATAGAGACTATGCCACGTACTAGTCATTATTCCAAGATCTGGTAGATGACGAGATACATGGCTGCGAATGTCCCCGAACGACTCTTTGGGAACGCACTGGCAGCCTGGCTTCTTCCTTCGTAGAACGAGGCCTACGGTTTCCACATGACCCGACAAAGCAGCATTCTCCTTTGACACTTACATAGAAGCGATTCTATTGGGTTATAAACGCACACCGCAGTCTTGGGTCTTGACTAGGTATTGTGCTTCTCCCCGGGACCCGGTGTGCATGCAACGTCAGCGGTCCCTGCGCCAGGTTGCATGGCTGATATGCAGAGAGGAACGGTAACTGGGAGTTGGAGCAGTGGAACCAATGAGTCTCTTTATTTCAGCCTTGTGCCACCACCGAAGGACAACGCGCTGTGAGTAAATCAGCATGCATTATGCAAGCGGAAGATGGCCTCACGGGCGCGGCGCAATCCGAGTATCATCCCATGTCTCAGAATTGATCGTCCACTATAAAGTTAGGTCCATTAAACGCCGAACGCAGATAAACGTGGTATCGCCGAGTCCGACTCCGAAGCCCGGGTTAGGATGGGATTGGGTAAGACGTCGGCGATTTCCAGGCTCGATGAGGACACTGACCAACCCGCATTATGACCTGGGCACGGATTTCAGAAAATGTTTCGGACCGGAGATTATCAAATGTATTGCTCAAGTCCTCGACATCCCCGACTCAGAACTGCTCATCTATTGAGAAGTGCATGCATCGTGCAGTATGCTGGCCAGAATGAACTGAAGATGGCTTCAAACTATCTATTCTTGAAAGATACTATTACAATGTTCTCTATAGCTACCATAGAGCAATAACACAAGGGGAATATGGTGGTCCACACCGGGTAATCGTGTCCAAAATGCCTGACGCCCAATTCCAGTGGTTGAGCAAAATAAACATATACACCTGCAGGCGTTCAAACGGTTGTCTGAAGTGCTTCCCTGCTTATACGCCTTCCTGCCTCTTTGAGAGCTTTACTAATAATTGGGGCTTTTCCCACATAAGGAAGGCCTTGTGGTCCATCCAATTCTTGCTCTCCTCGCACAGTTCAATGTCGAAATGCCAGAAGAGACGTACGAGCAAGCTTCTCACCTCGAGATAGAATATACTACATTTAATCAGCATGCGAGATTCTCAAGGATGATTTCCAAGGTTATAGCATGCACTTACTTCTTCCCGATGCATCCTCGCGGTCCCAACCCAAACGGTTGAAGCGCATGTTTTTTGTCATTCTTGTACTTCTCTGGAGTAGGCTCCAACCACCGGTCGGGGTCAAAGGTCAACGGGTCGGCAAAATTGGATTCGCTTAGGTAGGTGCTCCATTGGTGCACTGCTACTTGCATGTTGGGTGGGACGTATTCGCCGCAGATGACATTGCCCTCGACCGTAGTCCGCCGCGGAAAGCTGGCGGGAGCTGGGGTATATCGCCGAAGAGACTCTTCGATGACGGCGTTTAGATATGGAAGGGTTGCAATTGTGGAATATCTTATGGATTCTTTCGTGGGAAAAGCGTCCCGAATCTCTTGACGCAAACGCTGATGGACGTGGGGATGACTGAGGGTAAGGTACATCGCTCCACAAGCCGCCGTTGAAACTGTTTCGGTAGCAGCCACAATGAGGAAAGCGAAAGTTTGCACGGTTTCCTTCTCATTCATGGAGCGCGGATCGTTGGATGGATACTTCATCACCTAAAAACAATAAGCGAATGCTGGAGCAGTGCGCACGAACCGGCTTACATGGGTCATGAAGTCTTCCCTCTCTGTAACTGTCTTCATTCTTCCCAATGTCTTGTCTTTTGTCAACTTGATATGCAGATCGCGAGATTTTTGCATGGCCGGAAACGTTTCCATCGCGCAGTGCATCAGGCGGCCAACCCATTTGTACGTTTCCGCAACCCGCAGGATGCCCAAGAACTTGATGGACGCAAATAAATTTGCGATCCACGAGTGGTATCCGCCAGCATCCACAGCTCCGAAGGAACTGCCCAGGCCGATATCGCCAATGATGTCGAAAGCGGTAAACGTGCACCAGTGAGTGAGGTCTGTGATGCCCTTTTCTGGTCCCTCGATACGTGCGTAAAACTTCTCTAGGAGATTCTCTTGATGCGCTGCAACGATAGGCTCCTGTTTTCGCAGGGCGGCATCGGACATAGCATGCGACAGTAGCTTCCTGATGCGAGCATGGTCATTGTCGTTTGCGACAAGAATGTTCTCGTCGTCAGGTGAGTCTCCAAAGCCTGTGCGGTCTTTTCGCATCTGCGGTTTTCCCTTTTCCGGAAATCCATGGATGTCTGTTTAGAGTGTCAGAAGAAGCTTTACACACAGACGTGAAGGATTTAGACACTTGCCTCTCCAGGCCTGTGGGTCGTTGTATGACAGTGCGTCGGGCGCAATACGAACGACATGGCCGTACTGATCATGAAGCGCTTTGTGCGTAGGCACGGAATTTCCAGTGAGCGTTGTCCATAACTCAGGCCAGAAGAAGGTCGCTCGAAGCCACGGACCCGGATATTTCGAAAGGGGGTGGAAAAAAATGTTGCGGATAGCTAAGAAAAATGGGTACAGCGACAGCTACATTAGGACTGCGTTAGTGTTTCGGGCATTGACCAACTCGCACAAATGCGTACCAGACATATCACTGCGACTGCTCTTTGCACCAAGACTGGAAGAAACCATAACATTGAGAAAGACATGTTGAACGGTGGATGTGGACAGTCATGTCGTTTCTGGACAGTCCCGAAACGTCTGTATATGAGCGAGCATGGCTGCAATGTCACTTCGCCCCCCAAGAATGGTGAGGTGTGAAGCACCCTTGTTGATTGCGGTGCATGTGGTCGGTCTCCGGGGGCGAAAGTCACATTGGGCGATGACGCGAATCGCGAGGTTCAGCTGGGGTGCCTAGGAGGAGGCTGGGATCTTATCTCACGTTTTTGGACCTGGTACATGACACTCATTTAGGTGAAATCGGTTCATTTTCCTAACTCCGTAATCCATTCTCGGACGGATCAGGCTAGGCCTGAAGTCAGCCTCCTTACGAGAACTGTTGTCTCGAGATTCGGCGCGAATTGGCCCATGATTGGGAAATTTGCTGGCCGATTTTCAATCGGCTTTGCCCATTTGAATTCATACTCCGTGATCATCTTTGCGACGATCAGCTTAATCTTACGGATGGTATAATAACGCCCGACGCAAGCATGCTTTCCATATCCAAATGCCAGATTAGTCATAGAGACAGTTGCAGCCGAGGCATTGTCTGCGGACTTTGCCTTCAAAAGGCGTTTTCCGTCGAATTTCGCTGCCTCTTCAATATTATCTGGGTCTGTCTGGATGGCGAGGATCGGGAATGCTATCCTGGTTCCAGCAGGAAGCTGGAGGCCGTCATGAAACTGGAAAGACTTGTTCATAACTGTTCTTGCGGCAGTCACTATGTACGCGCATTAGACCTCGTATTTGCACACTTGATACTGTCTTACCGCAGCCTGGAGGTTGTAACCTCAAGATTTCCATGATGAAGCTTTCCATCAGTGGCATGTTGTTGAGCGCTTTCTCTGTCTTACCATACGTCTCGAAGGCACTCGTTACTTCTTGTTGGAGCGGTTCAAGATATTCAGGCTCCATGAGTAGCTGGAACAGGATTTGCGTTACCACGCTCGCAGGAGCACCTGTTCCAGCAAAGAGGTTGTGTATTAGTTGATTGGCTATGCGTCTTGCATTGAATTCTTTTGGATTGCCGTCCGCAAGCTCGATGTTCCAATCGATAGCGTCCACATCAACGATAGGCTTTGCTCCACGACGCTCTTCAATTCTCTTCTGAACTACAGGCGCAACCATGTCCAGAAGTCGGTTTAGCTTGCGCCTGTGGAGATAGGAGGCAACATAGACCAAACGATCTCTGATGGGTCCTCCGCCAACCAGAGTTTGGAGAACGGCATTACCAAAGAGACTTTCCCCAAAAGCCAGAGACTTCTTGATAAATGCGTCGTACCTGCATAACTCTCTCGAAAGGAGCACAGCGCATGTCGTCCGTTGCATCAGCTCTGCAGACATCTTTGCTGTATTGAATTCTGTCCAGTCTCCTGCATTTTCAAACACTTTCTCAAACGCGTAGTCCGTCTCTTCCGCAAGAACTGGAACCAGACTTGGCAATTTAGGATTCAACTTCTTCTTCACGACATCAATCATGATGGTCGAAGAATAAATATCCTCTGCCGATGCGTGCAGGCTAAAGGCGTAGCTGATGTTCTCGAAAAAGCTGAGGTCCTCAAAACGGGCCTTCTTCAGATCGTGCAAATACTTTGGCGGCATGAAGATGTAATCCAACCCCCACCACCGCATAGTAAATGGCTCATCTCTCTTCTTGATAACCTCTTCGTAGCCTTTTTTAACGAACTTGTCGACGGTGAAGATGATCGGTAATGGGAGCCATGATAGAGGCCAAGGTCTCGCTATTCGTCTGAACCGGTTGTATGGTGCGGGCGTAGTTCGAGATGACAAAGCGAGCGCAACGACGATGAAAATCCAGACCGTAGGACTTTGAAACAACGTCCGAATTGCCGATAGAGCGGGTGCATCCATCTCTTCTGAGTGCCTTGCAACGTCCGTCAGCAGTACCCAGTCCTCCACTCCTCATGTCCGACGCATCTTAACTGCTGCGGACTTCCAGCCAAAGTACTGCCATGTCTGCCTCCTGGCAGTGCCCGGCGGCCGGGTAAAACTGCCGGTACTCAATACCTGGCATGGGGAGGGGAAGTATATTTAAACAATTTGTCACACGTGGTCTATACTGCACTTGGGATGCGCAGTTTGCCCATCGCCCTATGTTTAAGGAAAACACACGTCAGCCACCACTGCATTTCCCGATAATCCTAGTACGGGCATCAACATCGGGGACCAAAACGTAGTCCTTGCATAGGCACGCCCATGGGCTCCCTGGTCGTATGTCGCATCCGCCAATCAGATCCAGTCTCACCCACCCTTGAGCATCCAGTTCTACGGGGACCTGAGTTATCAGCACTGCCTATCGAAGAAACTGATGTTTGATGAGCGCTTTTTCATCGGGGTCCGCAACGGAGTCCGGAGTTGAAAGAGGCTTAATCTGCCCATCCCGGCGCGTTTGAAGGCCAGTGCGGAATTCACCGACCAGCTATACACTGTCGTTTTCTACTTGTAGAACACTTAGACGGCGCCGCACCCGTGAGGCTGCGTTGCTCACAGCTTGGGCTTTACCATCAACACATTGACGGTTTTGAGAGACAACAACTCGTACGTCAGATCATCATGGCTTTCCAGGCGGGTAGAATGCCAGCATGGAAGGAGATCACTATCCACACGACTGAGCAGAGGTCACTGCTTGCGGTCCCGTTTGTATTCACAGTGCTGGCTGGTGTGACAACGGGGCTGCGGCTGTACTCAAGGAGGCTCCAAAAGACGACTTTGAGCGCAAGTGATTGGTTCTGTTTAGTGGCCATGGTTAGTGACGACCATCCTCGATTCAGTGCGGTGTGCTAATTCAAGCGATAGTTGTTTGCCATTGTGACCTTGGTCATGAATTGGATTATGGTCTTCCATGGTTCAGGACTCTGGTTGAAGGACGTGGGAAGAGAGCAATTTCTACTGTGGATCAAGGTAAGAGAGTCAATCTGCTTTGTACGGCCGGCGCTGACGAGTTCCCAGCTACAAGTAGCAACATACCTAATCTGGATGTGCAGTGTGACGGCGCTCCAGATTTCCATTCTGGCATTCTACACAAAGACTTTCGGAATCTACAGAACGTTCCGAGCCATTTGCTTCGGGATGATCGGGATCGTCTCGGCCTGGTTTATCGGAGCATTCTGCAGCTACCTATTTGCGTGCAATCCCGTTCACAAGCTTTGGGATACCATGACGCCCGGGAAGTGTACTCTGGGCATCCCACTTTGCGCCAGCGTGGGCATGATCCACATTGTTCTGGACGCATCCATCCTCATCATGCCTATTCCGTTGGCATGGAGATTGCAGATGGCGACGTCCAGCAAGATCGTACTAACGGTTTTGCTCTTGCTTGGTCTCTTGTAAGTTTTGGTCTTTGACAACCTTCACACCAGACATGCTAACATATTCGCAGCGCCACTGTCTGCGCCGTCATCCGTCTTGAATGCCTCGTCAAGATCCTCCCCGGCGCTCTTGCCAATCCAACCTACTCTCTCTGGCAAGCACTTCTGTTCCAATTCACGGAAGTCCCAGTCGGCATCATCTGTATCTGCGTCCCGACTCTTCGACCGGTCAGCCGCGCCTTCTCCGAATCTAAGGTCGGAGGCTACTTCTCCTCGATCTTCTCCACCTCTTCGCACTCCAAAATCTCTGAAACGAGTGAGCCTAAGCTGAGCTCGACATATCAGCAAGGATCGATCCGGAGTGATAGGGAAGGGCTCAAGGTGCCGTCGGCTCATGCTACGAGCGTTAACAATGCGTCTTCGTACGACGACTTGCCCGACTTTCCGGAGATTCAAACGGGAAATGGGGAGTTCAGTCACTACAGATAGAGGAACCGGATTTTCCAATTTAATGGCGAATTTTTCTATATAAGTTTCTGAAATGGACGAATTGATATTTCTGCAAACTGCATTGAAACACGGTGCTTCTCTCGGTGCGGATAGTATAGCTACACTCCGACCTCGCTGCCCATATTGCCCGTTGATGAGAAATCAAAGTTAGTAGGCGGGTTCCCGGCCGAGCATGTGTGCTGCTTGGACGAGGCGGTTTCGTCGAGGTTGAGGTGGTGCTGCAGGTTGGGTTTTGAGGAGGTGGAGAGGGAGGGGACGTTGTTGAAGGGTGACGTGGGTGGTGGGAGAGTCGAGGCGTCGAGAGTGCCGAGTTTCTTCACGTCTCCACGTTTTAGGCTTTCCCTGAGGAGATTGCTGGGGTGGATGGGATCGTATTCAGAGGCTGACCTGCGGTGCTAGCATTCAAATGAACACGAGACTTTCATTCTCAACGTAATTGAAACCATGATATTATATACAATCTCACCACCTCAAACAGCGCTTTTGTTATTTTCTTCCTTCTTCGCCTTTACGCTCTTCCACTCAAAAAACAGCGTACTCGTGAACGCCAACACCGCCACAGCCATCGGCGGAATAAACGACTTCTTCACCGCAGCCGTATACGCCTGCAAAACCGCGGGGAGGTACCCTTCCGGTGTAGCACCTCGCACGCCCGTTGCGCCTGCATAAATAACCTGCCCAATCTGCTCCTGCGAAAGCCCCGTGTCCGCCAATTTAGCAGATAGCTCATTGGAAAATAGATTCTGGCCCACAGACACGAAAATCGCGCCACCGATCGAGTTGAAGAAGATGATGAGCGCGTTACCGGTCGGCATGTCCTCCGGCGGCAGTACAACTTGAGCAGCTAGGTAAGGGACCTGAATACAGAGGCCGACCCCGGCGCCAGCCAGGATCTGAAAGCCGATCCAGCGACCAGAGGAAGAGTCCACTTCGAGAGTATAGAGCAGACCAGATCCAATCGCAAAAAGCGCCGTGCCGAGCCATGTCCAGGGTACGTAAGGGCCGAAGGTGGTGATAGCGCCGCCGGAGACGATGGCGGCGATGGTCCAGCTTGTTAGATATGGGATGATGCGTACTCCAGAACCTTGTGCGGAGGCGCCTTGGACTGATTGAAAATAGATGGGCAGGTAGAAGATGTGGCTGAGTGCTGTTAGCTGTATATACAAGCGTGCTACCTGTCAGTGAAACATACATGTAGAGACCCATGGCCAGGAAGAGACTGAACAAGCATCCTGCAACCATTGTTCTCTGCTTTAACATTCGCTTTGGAATAGTTGCTCTGCTGCTGTCAGTGATAATCACCTGGGTGTGTGTGTCCGTGGGACTTACTGATCCTTCTGCAAGACTTGGCTGCCAACAAACGCAACCAGCAGGAGGCCAAAGCCCAACATACAACCCCAGACACGAGCTTCGTTCCACGACCAGGTGGAAGTGCCTCCTGCGAGACGCAGCCCGACAAGGAGACAGGATACCGAGGCAGCCAAGAGGAGAGCACCGGGGATGTCCAGGCGCCAGATTTTCTGCCCGATACTAAGCTGCTGACGAGGTTGACTGTAGTCCCTCAAGGTAAAGAATGTAGCGACGACCGAAGCAAACCCTAACGGCACTGGGAAGGGATCAGACATGGACAGTGTCGAGGTAGTTGAATACGCACAGTTGATCCAGAAGCACCATCTCCAGGACACGTTCTTGGTGAGTGCACCTCCAAGAACAGGCCCCACTATTGAGGCAATTCCAAACATGCTAGATATCACCGCAATGTATGTAGACCGTACTCGAATATCCGTCGAAAGGGCGATGATGGTCATGCCCCCCGAAAAGACGCCTGCTGCTCCACATCCTGCGACGGCTCTTCCAACTATCAGAGTGACCGAGTTTTTGGCGACAGCGCAGATAATGGAGCCAATCTCGAAGATGAACAGAGCGGTAATGTAGCAGTATTTGATGTCAAAGAACGTGTACAGCTTGCCGAACGACGGTTGCAGCGCGGTAGTAGTCATCAAGTACGCCGAGCCATACCATCCAACATCTTCTAGCGAGTGCAACGACTCCGTAATCCGGGGGATCGCCGTTGCTTGTCTGGTCAGTGCATGTTGAACTTTGTTGTTCCTTCCCGTATCACCGTGTACTAACCGATAATGGTATTGTCGAGGGCAACGGTGAAGGTCGCCAGACAAAGACCAGATACGAGGACAGCAAGTGCTAGACCAGTAACGTGGTGCTCGTTCACCGCATTGTCGCCGTTCGCTTTGTCTGGAGTCTCTAGTGACATCGGCTCTGATTGGACTGCATTCTTGCCTCGGGAGTCATCTTCTGAATACATGTTACCATCTCTTTTCTGACTTCCAGACTCTCCCACACCATCGATCGAGTCAAGAAAATGTGGCTTTTCCGAAGCAGACATCACTGGAGTGGAAGGTTTGCGGGAGTCAGCTCAGGACGGAGGATGGCACCGCGCACAAAGGTGAATGCTAGACTCACGCTAAACCTCTTCTGGAGATGGTAATTCACACCCAATCACCGGGCGCCGAACGCTGCGCTGAACCACCTTGTCGATCACCCTGCCGTTTGCCCTGCAGCGCAATATATTGTACTCCCCGACACGGCGCCCGATATAACCAGTCGCAGTGGGGTTGATGCAGCTCCTGATCCGAGGCAGTGGAATCTGTTTTGGACATCCATTAACGACCTACATTCGGTCCTCGCAAGGCGCAGCTGGTGTGGCACAGCTGCATCTTCTTTGAACAATTGACTTTCCCGGAAGATTCCTTCTCCTGCAACGATTCTCAGACTTTTACTTCGCGATCCGGGCCAGTCGTCTATATCAATCTCAAGAAGCTCCTTCACCTTCTTTCCCGTACTTCTGCAGGGCTGCAAACTTCACCTCACCTGCTATCCAACGACACCTCGTACATCATGGCAGCTCCAAGCGGATTCACTCCCAAGCAAATGGCCCCACGCAGCCCGGGCGTTCTCGACGCCATTCAGGGCACAGTGACCAAGCAGATTGCCAAACATGCCCTCAGCTTGGCCCCTCCCATCACGTCCGAGTCCATCGTCCACGACAATGCGTGCGGCACAGGTGCCGTCACAGAGACCATCATGGAAGGCGGTGTTGCGCCCGCCAAACTCCACGCCACCGATCTGATGCCTCCATTTGCGCAGATTGTGGCGGGCAAGGCGCAGCAGAACGGCTGGGGTTTCGTGGAGACGGCGCCGATGAATGCCATGGAGCTCGGGTTTCCCGATAACACTTTCACGCACTCGATCAGCAACTTCTTCATCCAGGCGGTGCCGGTGCCGGCGAAGGCTGCTGCGGAGATTTATCGCACTGTCAAGCCTGGACAGACGGCGATCGTTACGTCCTGGGCACCTGTCCCCCATTCCGATGCCATTGAGACAGCAAGCGAGGTGACGCGCGGAAAGGATGTCGTTCTTCCCATGAGGTTCTCTCCAGAGACATACACGGCTGGCTGGCTGGAGAAGCTACTGAAGGAGACAGGGTTCTCGAGTCTACACATTGAAGATTTCGATGGATACTGCCACACTGATGACCTGAGACAGTGGTGCACCCACCTGTGGAGCTTCATGGGTGCTGCGGCAGGAGGCTGGACGCCGAAGGACGAGGAGGACTGGGACTTGGCGATAGACACAATGGTCAAAACCTTGAAGGAGAATCCGGATGTGGAGGCCAGGGAGGATGGCAGTGCCACTGTCAAGATGGTGGCTCACATCGCTATCGCTACTAAGTGAGGGCCATTGTAGCGGCTATGCTTCCATGCAAGTGAGAATGGCTATCTCTGGTGGCAGCCGAAATGGCTCAGAGGACGGAGTTGCATGTCTTTGTTAGGAGGTATCTAAAATCATGAGAGGAGCAAGCTCATGATACTACACAGTGAGCCAGGGAAGTCCGAGGAAGTCTGGGTGGACCATCTTACTGCTTTTGTTCTCAAATAGAACTAAAACAATAAAAGTGAATATCATATGATCACTCACCGGTTCCTCAACATTTTCCAGGCTTGAATACCGGTAGTCACGCCGGATGTACACTGGTTCACGAGCATTCACTTCCTCCCACTGTGCATAGGCGGCGTATCATATCCCAGCCACCGTTTACCAATGGGCGTCCTGTAGCATACCCTGCACATGGGGGTGAGCAGGGCGCGGTCCCCGCTGCGCCCAACGGTCACCGATGCATCCTGCATGCAGGGACGCCCAGGTCTCGTATATTGCAGATCAGCTTACAAGGCCCGCCCCATTGCTGGCTACCGCGATATTGGTGTTTTCTGCCACAACTCGTGCGAGAAGCAGGACCCTCATTCTGTTCTGGAGAGAGCACATATTTGGACGGTGACTTTGGAGCTTTCATTTGCTAACCAAACAGTCCAACATTGGTGTTTTGAGCACAATGGCCGAAAGTAATCAAGATCAGTACATCATGGGTGCGCATGAGGCCGAAATCAAACGGCTCACGCTGCAGCATGAGGTCATGACCGAGAGCACGGGGAAATTGGTATTCTCGCCCGTAGATCTGTCATCACGGCCGGGTCTCAAGGTGCTGGATTCAGCGACCGCCGATGGTATGTCTCCCAGATTTTCTCGGTGTCGAGAGAAGCCGGCCCAATGACGGCGTTTAGGCAAGTGGTTAGTCGACCTCAGAGATGCGGTCGAACAGAAACACGAATACTATGGTACCGATATAACGAATGCTATGTTCCCGAAGCCTAGTCCTGATGGCATCGCACTGTCCATCCAAGATATTACTGCGCAGTGGCCGGAGGATTGGAAGGGTACATTTGATTATGTGCATCAGCGCCTGGGGCTGGCGGGCATAGGACAACACCCGCTCAAGGACATAGTCCATCGGCAATGCGAGCTCTTGAAGCCCGGCGGCTGGATCGAATTCGTCGAGCTGGACATCGCTCCCAACAGCAACCCTGCTGTCGAAAAACTGTTCTCCTTGGTGCGAGAATTGATTGATATGATTGGGAACGGCTGGAACTACGTTTCCACGTTGAAAGGAGCGCTCGAGCAGGCAGGCTTGGAGAGTGTAGAGGACAAGTCCATTGATGTCTTCTTGGGCGCATCGGCAAGCTCGCCGGAACTGAGGGAGAAGAGTATCATATCAATGCAGTTCACCACGTCTGCGTTCGTTGATGTTGTTGACAGTAAGTAGAAATGTTCTCAAGTTGGGGACCCCAGACTGATCCCATCAGAGCTTCCACTTTCTCTGAATAGAAGCCAGGTGGAGGCCCTTAAAGAGGAGATTGGGAAGAGTTTGCGAGACCAAGGCGGAAAATATACACTGCGAGCAGTATATGGCCGCAAACCCGCTTCCGGAAAAGCTCACTCGGCGCCACCTTTTGCGCCAAAGCAAGCTCGGAAGCCGGACGCAAAGCTGTATTCGTCCTTGGTGAAGAACACGACAACAGATGTCGCTTCCTATGCTTTGGATCTTCTGGGGCCCATAGAATCCGGTGCCGTGGTCCACGACAACGGATGCGGCTGTCTCGAAGCTACGCGAGCATTGCTGAGCAAGACAGCGGGAGATATCACCATTGAAGCGACGGACATTGATCCAGCCATGCTTGCGCGGGCAAAGGAGATCGTGCAAGCGGAGAAATGGTCCACAGTCCGTGTGCATAGAATGCCGGCCGAGCAACTATCGTTCCCGGACAGTCACTTCTCGCACTCAATCTCCAATATCTTGATCTTCATGACCAGGAATGATGGCCTCGACTGCGCAAAGGAGATCTTTCGGACGCTCAAACCCGGAGGAAAGGCTGCTGTAACGACGTGGGCAACGATGCCGCACAGCAAGGCTGTGGATGACGTGCATCACGCTTTGCGGGGAGATGAGGCAGCGCTCAGATTCGTTATGCCAGAAAGATGGTGGACCGCCTCGCATTTGGAATCGGTCCTGCGTCAGGGAGGGTTTGACAGAACAGAGGTCAAGACCTGCGAGGTTGAGCTGCGCATCGACGAAGGGGAACTGAGAGATCAAGCAGAGATGATCTGGAGCCTAAGGGGGATGCCCGAGGGCGGATGGACGTCGGGCGACGAGGAGAACTGGGACAAGGCGATTGACCTGCTGGTGGAGCGAATGAAGGCCACTTCCCACGACAAGTCCGCTGGCGGGGCGGTCTTCAAGATGGTGGCGAATGTGGCCATCTGCACAAAGTAGGGGTGCCGGTAGAGGAGCGGGAGGTATTTGTTGGTGAGAGTGTTGATGGATTCGCGAAGGGGTCCAGGAGTGGTGATATACCCTAGGGTAGTGGGCTGAGGGATGCACATATAGTACAGCTGGTTTGTCTGGAAAATAGCAACCGAGTGACGTTCAACCATGGTTTTGCGGGACGTGGACTCGAAAGAAGGCGTTCACATAGACATTATCTGTGTGTTGAAGCGGACGGTAGGGAGGTGCGATATGGGTGCTGGGCACACGGTATGCCGCACCGCGTCAAGTGCCCCCACGACAAAGGCAGCCCGATCTTGCACCACGAGGCCGCCGACCGGGCAAAGAGCACGCCGTGCTGAGGTTAATGCGGTTTACTCTATATAGGTCTGCTCATGCATCGGCGGAGCATGGAGGAGATGGTGTCGCACCTTGTTCTTCGTCAAACCGCCAAGACGTTTCGGATCGCTCCTCTATGAAAGAACAGCCAGCTTCACTCGAACTCAAGGACAATCAGCCTCTGTTTCGTAGATGTCGATCTTGGCTCAAGATAAGAGCAGCTCCATTCCAACTCGCCATGTTGACGCGTCGAATTAAGCCTCAAACCAACCCGTGCGCGCGGGAACTTCTAACGCTCGATGAAGCGGAGCCTGGGTATCAGCAAATGCATGGTCTTGTAAAGCATTCGGACTCCCGTTTCTCAACGGCCTCTTTCTGTTTTCCACTCCTGCCCTGGTGTTGGGTGGTGGTCCTATTTCGTTCTTCTTTGACTTTCTCCATCCGTTGAGCGGACCTTCGTTTCGTGGCCTCGAAGGCTCTTATAGACGCCGTAATCATTATACACTTTTCACTCACCGAACGTGGCCATCTGTCGAAATCATCTATAATCATAACCTGTCATGCCTCTTTCACAACGCAGACGTCCACCGCCACTGGTGCTTCTTCCAAGGCAGACTGCCACGCCAACTGTCCCTGCCGAGGCGGAAGATGGAGAAGAAGGGCCAGAGAGCCCAGATTCTGTCGGTACCACACCTGGACCGGACTCGCCCGATAGCCCTTCCACGTCGCCAGCCTTGAACGGGGAGGAAGAAAAGGAAGACGGCGAGAAGGAAGGACAGGAAGGCGACAAGGAGAAAGCACCGGCGTCCACTGCTCCGGATGCAACAACAACAACAGCTACTCAACCTTCTCAGACCGGATCCAGCTCTCAAATAAGTTCACCGCCACACGTCACCAGGCCTCCTTCAGTGGTTGATGACGGTGGAAACCCGCCTAACCTAGCTCTTCCTCTTCCGTCCGAGTCGCCTACTACACCCACGACAACATTAACACTGCCAGCCTCTCCTACGTCTACAGCGCTTCCGGGAGTCGGATCTGGAGGAGCTAGCGCAGACACAAGTCCACCACAGAGGACACTGCCCCATGATGCGCATTCAAAAGGCCTCAGTAAAGGGGCGGAAGCGGCACTGGTGACCCTCACAGTACTAGGTTCGTTCCAATTGTTTGGCTTTGGAGACCAACGACTAATTCCACGCAGGAACAATAGCAGTACTCGTAGGGCTTCTGTTCTGGTTGCGTAAACGGCGCCGGGCCAAACAGGAGGACCAAATGCGGCAAACCGAGGATGGAGACACATTTGGCCCGAATCCGGGTGGTTTACAAGCCCCAGAAATGGTGCACTCGTCGCACCTTACCCGCACGACGACGACAACAACAAACTCCCTGTTTGCAGCCGCAGAATATCAGCGGCCCGAAACCGTCTCCACGGACAAGGCGCGATCGCGTATCCCGGATCCTCAGCCGACGCCGAATCCATTCGCCGATCCTCCGCTGAACAAAGCGTACGATATGCTGCGTGGGAGGCCGAGATCAACGACGTTGACGGATCGGGGGTCGTGGATCAAGAATCCGTTCAAAGACCCCGTCAGTGAGCGGTTTGATCCGTTCGGTGAGCTGCAGGAGAAGGCTAGGCAGGAGCGGATCAAGTACATGGAGGAAATGCAGCGGGAGCAAGACTACCTTGGGCGAGAGGAGTCGGGGGCTGTGGACGACGAGGCGAGGAAGGGAAGTAGTGTTACGGTCGAGGGGTTGGGAGTTTTGGACCGAAGCGGGGATAGTCGAGGGTATCCTCGGTGATGGCGTGGATGCGTCGAAGTATGGGACGAGAGAGGAGGACATTGAGAGTGGTATTGAGGGTAATGGTCATTGGCGCAAGGAGGCAAGCTTTCATTTTCGACCAGAGCTAGAATAATGGCCCTCGCAGCGGCTCCCACACGACAAACCTGGAGCAAGTCTGTCGAGATGCATTCATACAAGATTTCTTCCCAACATATCTCCACCGCAACAGACCACCACCTCTTCATTCGATCTGGTCTGCAGTTTGCTGTCCATTACGAGAATGAGGGATATAGAGTGTTCCAGAGAGGTGCCAAGGAGCAGGGTTGGAAAACTTGGCTTATCAAGAAAATTTTCAAGGAAAACTTTACGAAATCACAGGTCAAGATGGCCGAGCGGTTAAGGCGTACGACTCAAGTTTTAACAACTTGGATTCCTTCAGGAATTCACAGCATTCGTATGGGGCAACCTTCGTGGGTTCGAATCCCACTCTTGACAACATTCTTTTTTTTAAACCTTTTCCCGCGCGCTACCCAAGGGACTATGAATCGGTACGAGCTTCGATCGACAAGTCAATTATTTGTTACGAGACCCAACTTTGCTGCGTGGCCGACTGATCATGACAAAAATGTGTGATCGAAAGGTTCTTGTTGTCATGGAACCAGGACACTCTAAGGGCCTGTTCGGTTCGCGAAATGGAGGCTCTATTTCAAGGCTCCATTTTAAAAAAACCGCCGAGATTTGCTAAGTTGCTGATAAATTTCGTAAAAAACTACCTTTTAGCCCTTACGTGCCTACTTAGCACGAGAAATAGAGGCTCCATTTACGCTAGTAAATAAGGCCCTGTTTAGCGCTTACGCGGGCTGTTTATGGACGTGGAATTGCTCTGCCTTATTTCTGTAAAGGACCTTAGGAGGTGTTTTTCTAAAATAGAGCCTCTATTTCTCTGCCCCCCCTAGGCTAGCGCCTGCGTATTGTCTAGGGCCCCTGTACCCTTCTGAGGAGAAATGGAACTGGACACCGAACAGGCCCTAAACATTTGTTTCATGTTGCATGCGGATCTAGTCGTCATCCCGCTGGGGAATTTTTGAGGATGCTATTACTGACGAAGACTTGGAAAAGAAGTGGAGCTACAAAGTAATTCCCTCCGGGCACTTCCCGTTCCAAAGATTTGAAGCTTCGGACAGTCTGAAATTCATGCCGCTCCCGTCAAGCTTACCAAGCGATTCTCCGGCATGGAACAGTCCTGGAACATGGCGCATTGCAGGTCAGTCGGCTGTCAGTCGGCTGTCGAAGGGTCCGCATTGAGACTGATAGGGCTGGAGGACAGTCCATTGCCTGGATCTATTGGATATTCCTAATACAGAACAGTATACAACTCTAACCTACGAAAACATAATGAAACGGCGACCTACAAGCGGGGTCAATGGAGGTGTGTTCCCCGGCCCAGGGCCCATCCTCCGCTCATGCTTGGATGCCTTTGTCCAAACTCTGTCCAAGGCACATCTCATAATACATTCCCCTCTTTGCAAGCAGTTGAGCGTGGGTGCCCATCTCTGCGATCTTGCCCTTCGCGAACACGACAATGGTATCGGCATCCTTGATCGTACTGAGACCTGATCGACATTAGCATGTTTATACTCCTGCAGTGCAACGTCTACTTACGATGCGCGACCGCTATCGTGGTTCTCCCCGATTGTGCCCTCTCTAACGCCGCCTGCACGACTCTTTCCGACTCAGTATCCAACGCCGACGTGGCCTCATCAAGGAGCAACAACCGCGGCTGTCGAATGAGAGCTCGGGCAATCGCGATTCGCTGCTTCTGACCACCAGACAACTGAGTCCCACGAGTGCCACACTGTGTGCCAAAACCTTCGGGTAGAGAGGTAACAAACTCGTAGATATTCGACTGGCGGGCCGCATCTTCGACCTGAGCATGTGTGGCATCACCTCCAAGTCCCATTGCGATGTTGTCACGGATAGAGCCCTGGTATAGGACAGGTTCTTGCTGAACTAGAGCAATGCGATTTCGGTACTTGCGCGGACAGAGGTCAATGAGGTCACGGTCGTCGCAGGTTATGCGCCCTGATGTGGGGTCATAGAAGCGCTCCAGCAGAGCAATCCTGCCGAGGTCAGGGAACAGCCTTAGGTCACGCAACTGAACTCACATTGTAGATTTGCCGCACCCGGAAGCACCAACCATAGCCAGAAACTTGCCCGGTGGAGCCTACGAGAGATTAGTAAGAGAGCAGGTGATGGCAATGCTCACAAGTCTCACATCCACACAAATACCCTCTAGCACTTTGGTATTAGGGCGGCTCTTGTAGCTGAAAGTCAGGTCATCGACAGCAATGTCAGCAGGCCCCTCTCCTCCTTTCTCGTCCCTATGCGGCGGTTTCGATGAGTCTTCCTCTACCGCCGGCTTGAGGCCCCGAAGCCAGAAGACATAGTTGGCCGCTGTTTGAGCCTTTGTCATGCTTGTCGAGTACGAGAAGAAAGCTGCTGCCGCCTCTCCTGAGAAGATTACGGCAATGAATACCATGAAGAATTGCAGTGTCTGCAGGTGTTAGATGGCGGAATTCACGCATAGGATAGGGCTTACAGTGTATTCGCCATAACTGATGAGTCTCCCACCGTACCAAAAGCCAAGCGCCATTGCGAGAAACGATATCGACTGAGTCAACGAGTACCAGAACATGGTCCAGGTCAGGCTTTTCATGGATCGTTTTGCAACACCATGGAGACGATTTTCGTATTGTTCCAGGATCTGTCTCTCAAGAGCGAGCGAGGACACCGTCCGTATGGCCGAAACGGCTTCAGCGGCAAGAGCAGCACTCTGGGAAAACCTTTTGGTAGTTTGTTCTTCCAGCTTATACTCGAGCCGTATGCGCACGTAACCGGAAAGAATTAAGGGTGGCAGCGCACCGAAAACGACGGCTAAGCCAAGTTTCCATCCGACAATCAGTGCCAGAATCGAGCTTGACACCACGTTGACGACGTTGATGAATATGAGCATGACGTTAAAGCCCAATAATTCGACCAGATTGTTTGGGTATACGGAGAGATTCGATGCAAGCGCCCCGGAGGCGTTTTCTGTGTTGTCGAAAAAGTCCATGTCTTGTTTAAGTATGAGCTCGAAGATCTCCTTTCTATATCTCCTGGAGACATTCTGGATACGCGTCAGCTCAGGGCGCGACATGAGGCCAAGCCATCAACTTACTTGAGCGATGATATTGCTTCCCCAACCTATGGTCCCGTAGACGGCGATATTCCCCAAAGCTACTGTGAAGAACATCAGGGAATAAAAGTCTCCCTGGGATTGCGCACGATGAGGTGGGAGCTCGAAGGCTTGGGCGACTTTTGCAAAGAGGATTGCTTGCGCCGGAAAAGTGAGCCCTGCATGGAGGTAAGCCTGGGGTGCAGAACGCATCTCTCCAGCGAAGTGACTTACCTCCCAGGGCGGAAGCAATTGCGAGAACGAGGAACCAGTGCCATAGATACCGTTGTTCCCAAAAGACAATGGCGATGCACTTAAGCAGACTATGGTTTGGCTTCTTCCCACCCTCCACTGTGACCTGGCCTTCGCCGTGTACTGAGGTTGCCTGAGTATGGGTACGAACCAGGGTATCCTCTTTGCCATCTGCGTTGATATCATGGCGGTCCTCATCTCCGTCTCCAAGATCTTGTGCCTTCACCAAACGAGCATAAGCTCCGTTGGCTTCCATCAAATCGCTATGCCCGCCTTGCTCGATGATGACACCGCCTGAGATGACTGCAATATTGTCGGCATTTCGAACGGTGGAGCACTTGTGCGAGATGCTGATAACTGTCCGTTTCTCTGAAACCTGGTCAAGAGCCATCTGTACTATCTTCTCTGCTTTCGGATCAAGGGCGCTGGTCGCTTCGTCCAGGAGTAGGACTTTCGGGTCGGAAACGATTGAGCGAGCAATGGCCATCCTCTGCTTCTGACCTCCACTGAGCATCATTGCCCGTTCACCCACTTGAGTGTCGTAACCCTTGTGGCGGTTAATCTACCGGGAAATGTACGTTGGGGAAGACGCACCTTTGGAAGCCGTTCAATGAACTCGTCGGCATACGCCTCCTTGCAGGCCCGCTCGACCAGTGCACGTTGTTCTGCTTCCGGAAGACCCGCCTTTTCCGTGCCCCATAGTCCCAGAGCAACATTTTCGTAGACAGTGCCGCTGAACAGTACCGGTTCCTGCTGCACAAGTCGCATTTGAGTCCGCAGCCATCTCACGTTCAGCTTTCGGATGTCGACGCCATCTAGAAGTACGGTGCCACTTGCTTGATCGTACCACCGTTCCAGTAAGCCGATAATGGTTGATTTCCCACATCCGGATGGACCCACGATTGCACACGTCGTCTTGGCGGGTATGGAGAGGCTCAAACCTTTGAGGATGGGTACATCCGGTCGTGTGGGGTATGCAAAATGGACGTCTTGAATATCGATATGTCCCGTACACTGGCTCGGTATGATACCCTCTTCGGAGAGCGGATCAATCTCCGACTTGCGATCGATCATACGAAACATCTCAGCGGCTGCCGATGAAGCTTTCGTGAGGGTGAGTATCTGAGGAGCAACGGAAGTCAAGGCTGTGGCGGCGAGCGCGACCGCGAGGATAACACTGGAGAAGTTATTATTGTCTCTGCAGCGAATGTTTATGAACTTACGTGAAGACGTCTCCAGAGTCTTTAATCTGTCCTCTGAAATACATGCGTATGCCTTGCCAGAAAGCTAAGCCATAGCCGCTGTACACGCAAAAAAACTCAGCCGAGAAGAGCACAGCATAATTGGGTGACTTTCTCATTCCGAGTCGTTTCGCATCGATCAGCAGAGAGTCGTACTTCTGCGTTAGGAGTGGGTGGAGCCAGAAGGCATGGACAGTCCGTATGGTTGCGAATACCTCCTCAGCGAGTTGACCGGCTTTGGCGTATACCGAAAGCATTGCTGCTTCTTGCTTCGTATCTATACCGACACAGATAGTAGTGACAATCAGAATGGTGGGTACAATGCATATTACGATCAGCGTTAGCTTCCATTGCACCGCAAACGCTACAATGAAAGCCGTCACCTAAATGAAACCCTGGTTTAGCATTTATAAGTATGATGGTTCTGCGTTCGGGTGTACGCACAAAGGTGGAAATGCCTTGCAAAGTCAAAGTCAGTTTCTCCGAGATACCGTTGTTGACATTGTTGGCATTTGTAGTTGCCTGTACCATCAGCAAGCCGCCATAACGATCACGCTTGGCCTGGAATACCTGTGTGGTGACTGAGCCCGCATCCGGAGAGTCGAAGAAGGCAACCTGGCGAGGTCAACACACAGGCTCGCAAGACCGGAAGCAGGCTCTACATGCATTCTGACGTAGAGTCTGTTCAAGGAAGGCAATCCGCAGAGCTTTGGTCGTTCGTATTGCCGCAACTGAAATCAGCGCAGAGTGGATGTACACAAGGCAGAATTTCGCTATAAAAAGATAGATAAAATACAATCTAGCCCATCAGCACAAGTTGACATAGCAAGGAATCAGGGCACGCTTACGCGAATGTGTTGATCTCAACTCTATACTCTGCAGGCGTAATGACGCCGGTCGCAAAGTTCGTAAACGCGGTGACGAATTTCTGGCAAAAATAAGGCTGACTGGATGACTTCGGCCATTGACCAGGAAACTTACGCCAAAGACGAAATCCATCAGAGGGAGTAGCGTGCCCGAGGCGATGGCCGCAATGAAAGCGACAACATTCAAGGCCCAGGTCGCCCGCGTGGCGTATCTGAACACACGCTGTTGCGACGTCAGATATTCTGGATACGCAGTGCATCTAAACGACGACTACTTACAAAATAGGCACCCGAACTTTGAGTTTCTTTGGCCTCTGTCGACGCATTCTTTGCTCCTTTGGGGCGTGCGACATTGCTCTCCGTAGCCTCGCTTCTCCCAGTGTCTCTACCAGAGTTGCTGGAATCCATGATGATAGAACAAGACAGATTCAGGATGGAATATCCATCGTTGCGACTGGATAACCCCTCAAGTTATAGAAAAAGAGCGCTTTGATTAATTGGATGCAGGCGAAATTGGTAGAAAGGTAAGGAATACGGGCAAAGCGAAAATTGGATTCTTGGTATTGATTCTGTTGGTTGAGGTGGCTGTAGAAAATGCTCGGTCTTACATAGGTATTGATCCTGTTGGTTGAGGTGCCTGTAGAAAAGTCTCGGTCTTACATATCATGAGGTTCAATCGATCCTAGCTCCATCCATCCAACTCGAATCGCGATCCAATTCGGATCGATGACTCATTGATCTTGATATTGAGGCTTCAATGCGCCTTCCAGGCAACCGACTTCTCCATCACATTGGAAGAATGGATGAGATCCTGTCCAGGCGAGTTGGAGATCCTTTGACGATGTCGTCGTCACGTGAGGGAACGGACCTCGGGACATGAATATCTGGTGGCCGTCTTGGCTCTGGGCAATTGAGAGGCCGGACCCCGCGGGCCCGCGGATCCCGTCACGAACCACCAACAATGTCTCTGTCCGTCCGGAACCTACCAGGACATCCACTTCCAAGGTTGCGTGCATGAGCGATACACAGAGTAATGAGCGACTAGGAATAGCCAATTCGATGGAGACGAGGGACGAAATGGACGTCGTTCCCGACGGTCCGGAAGGTTTCGGTAGCTATAGAGGCCAACTGCAACGTGCGGTCCGCGAAACCTCAGTCGCAATTGCGATTCTTTGTCCGAATCTGCTTGGCTGACACTTGAACCAGTGTGATCATTGTCGGTCGAGAAAGGTGAGTACGAGCGGCCCATCTGTCTGCAAATCGGCTGAGTGCAACAGATACGGTGTGATCGACGCACGCCTTGCTCTAACTGCAGAGCGAGCAAACTGAGTAAGTCGCAGTCATCTCAGAGGATATCCGTCCTAGATTATTCTCAACAGTTGTTGCGCTCTTACTAATAGATCCCAGGGTGCCAGACCACTGTATCCACGCAGAAGGTCCAAAAACAGAGACTGCACATCTCAGAGGAATAGTAAGTCGTCACACTATGCCTACGGAATATACGGACGGACCCTTATTCAATATGATTCCTATTTGCTTGTGCATCATGGTTGTCAGTCGAAAGACTTACCCACCGTTAGTGAAGGAAAGATTGACCGCATCGAGAATCGTCTTACCAACATCGAGCATCTCCTTGAAAGTCTCGTAGCGAGATTGGACGGTATCAACTCGCCCACAAACATAACCGAGCAAAGCAGGCAAACAAGCTGCAGTAGGAATGGACCGAGTCCCAGGTCCACTGGTGATGTGCCTGCAGAGCCGCCCGCGCCATTTGAAGGCGAGACAGCATTGAATCCTCAGTCTGAATATGCCCGAGAGCTTCTCGAGAAGGCAGTGGACAGCACCCCTTCAATCGGGCAGAACCCTGATATACGCGAAGCTTTGGCTTCGTTGCAGCGTATAGTTGGCAGGGATAAACAACCCAACCTTCCATCGGGCCTTGCCGAAGAGCACTCTAACCAGAGCGTCCCAAACGTGGACCATGCAAATCTCGATACGCCTCCATGGGGCTCTGTGAACGACATCATTGACAAGGCAACCGGTCAGTAGGTTCATCATGTGCTGCTGAGACGATCTCTAATCTCAACGCAGCATACCCCACGATGTCATTCACGATCGTGTTCCCCTTCCTAAAACTGCACGATGCAAAGACTATGTTCCAGGAGACGTTGAATGCCCCGGAAGACTTTCCAGCCGGACGGCGGCTCCTCATCTTCGGATTACTGTACCACATGTATTCTGAATTCGCGACCTATCCACTTCCAGGGCAGAATGCCAGGGAACTTAGTCGGTACGGCCAGCTATGCCGGAAGCAGATGGATACTGCCATGTCCCAGCTGGACCTCTGGCTTCCCGCAACGTTTGAGAACATCCTAGCGCTCATGCTCGCCGCGTCTTACGCCGTCGAACTGTGCAAGCCGTCTCTCTGCTGGCTTCTGACCTCAACTGCAGCCACGCTAAGCCAGCGTCTTGGCTACCATCGCCTCGCGAGCATGAAAGATGACACTCCAGAGGAGCGGTCAGCAAAGATACACGTTTTTTGGTTCATCTATACATTAGACAAAACACTTTCCCTTCGCTTGGGACGCGCCTCGGCCATTCAGGACTGGGATATCTCTCTACCATATCCGGGAGTTGGCGATATCCCTTATCCCGTTGCGGGTGCCGAAAGGATGACACGCATGCAAGTATACTGGATTCGGCTCGCACAGCTGCAGGCCCGCACGTACGAGCAGCTGTTCAGTCCGGCTGCTTTCCAGAAGACGGCCGAAGCGCGCTTACTGGCCGCGAAAGAACTTGTAGACAACTTGAACCAAGCATTTTCGGAGCGTGGGAGCCTGGGGTTGACTGACTTCCGTTTTTCAGGAGCTTCCCGTCGCGGAAACCGATCAGAGGTGCTTACAGTACCTGCCCTGCTTACTGGACCTGTAGCTTCTCCCGAGATCTCAAAGAACCAGAAAGTAGACACGCGAACCCTCCAAGTCATGGGAGATCTCGACGATACTTTCTATTATGCTGATTGCGTGCTTCACTACTCCACCATCGCGCTAATCGAGCGAGCGGTGTGCCCAAACAGTGGCACATTCAGCCCACAATGTCTGGAAGCAGCTCGAGCGGCCTTAAGGGCGCATCAAAAATGCAATAAACAATTCAACGTGAGGGGATGCGAGGAGATATGGTCATGCTACGTCCACTGGTAAGTCTAACCCGGTCTCAGGGCGGATGCATGCATCTGGGCGCAGTCTTAATGAGTCTCCCCTAGGTCAATTCTCCAAGCCCCTTTCACGCCATTCATTGTGCTTTTCTGCAATGCCATATCGACATGCTCGCACGCAGATCTGAAGACGCTCTCCGACTTCGTTGATACCCTTGAGTCCTGCCGCTTCGTTTCCGAAGGCGCCCAACGACTATGGAAGATGTGCCAAAATTTTCTATTAGTCGCAAGATTGTATCTCGAAGCCAAATCCAAGGAACACCCAGTCAGCATCGGCGTACCTGTCACTGCATCGCTGGGGGCTCCGGCCGTGCACACATTCACAACCGGGGAACAGATCGATTACCGCAGCCTCACCCAAATCGATCCATACCTGAGTGCTCTTGGCCTGGAACCCACTGTGGATTGGCCCCTTCTGGACCCTTCGGCGGGAAATACCGGCTTTGGACACGCCCCTTCAGCTGTCGATGCAAACGGCTTTTCCATTGGAAATCACCAATCATTGGAAGATTGGTTTTCTGGGAGTCGTTATATCATGGGCCTCATGGAAACAGACAACAGCATGATAGACCTACCGGCTTTCAATCTTTAGTGGTCATCAAGACAGCTCCAACGGCTGCCAACGGGCCAAGGTAGGCGTGAGCGCGTTGGCGCAGTGGTTGATGGGAGTGTTCCGTTGACCACTAGATATTATGACGCCTCCTGTGTAATGATTTTGATGATTTTTCTTTGCTCTTCTTTTTGTACTATGACATTCACGGTCGCCGTACAACTCTCTTGATATCGATACCCGGTATCGGAACGCCGCAGGCTTCGCTACCAACTCTGGACCAAAATTGCAGCAGAGTACTAGTCGAGAGCTGTTCTCTCGGTCATGAGCAGGGCGCTCAACGAAGCAATGCCGGTCAAGTCACAACCTGACTAGACTGGAGAAGCGAAAAACGCTTTGGTGGATATGGGCCGTGAACCGTAACTGTTTGCTAGAGCGGCGGATTTCCCAAAGCAGGAGATAGATTGTGCGTAATGTCAAAAGTGCTAAGCAGTAAAACAGCAGAATAATCTGCAGCGGATTGAACGAATTCAAGCGTAATGTTTTGGGCAAGCTTGTAGAATTGGAACCTCCAACTCTTATGGATTAGATGCTTATTGTTCAAACATGGATTTGAAGCTGTTGAACCTTGGTGCACGCGCTTGTTCAAACTCAACCCAAATAAAATGTTCTATTTCTACACACGTCACCCGAAACACTCCAGAGCGGTGTAATCCTAGGGAAGACGTCGTCGACAACAGAACCGTAAGTCTAAAAAAGCCAATGCCAAGGCGGACACAAAGGCTCTTATGTAACTCCAGGCTGTGCATGTGGGCGAACCCGTCAGGGCATTGTAGTGGCCCTGCACAGCCGCGTTCTGTTATGGGGCGTAATGAAAACGCCTCAGCCCTACGAAGTACAGGACCCTTATTACCCCAGAGCCCCCTTCCCTTCCTGGTTGGTTCTTGCAATTGCTACCCAGTCCACGCGACCCCCGGCGTACAGCACACACCGCAAATTGAACGCCCCAGGGAGTGCGGGGAAAAAGGCTGGAACAACTTCAATATTGCCACTTAACGACAAACCTGACACGAACGCTATTACTTGTGAGACTGGATATGATGTGGTGAATACCCCGCATTCTTACATTCTCATCGCCTTCCACTCTTTCGCATCGCTTTTCCGTTCGTCGGTGTCCTATGGTAGCATCGTCCATTTCCCCAGTATTCACCCGACGGGACCCAATACAAAACGCAGAACTTCCTTTGGGTCCGTCTCCGGCCGTTCGCGATACACGGTCATCCGCGCATAAGGACAGCATCCGTCCAATCCCGACCTCCTCTGGACCGGCACAAGACGACGCTTAGAGGCCTTCAGGAAGCCGTCGGCGGGCGGACCGAGAAGGAGTCCGACGCCAGTTGGCTGCGCGGAAAACACTAGTCTACGTTCCTTGGATTGCAAGATCGATTGCAAACCCGCAAGGCTACAGAAGATAGACAGCTTGCATCACAAAAAAGGCCGAAACTATGGTCCACCACTCCGAAACATCAACACCAAGCTCAAGCTCAACGAAGGACGCTAAACTCCAATCACGAACCTCATCGGCGCTAACACAAACTCTCTCGACTCTTTCTTCTTCAACCCAAAGTCGCTACCAGGTCACAACCTCTTCCACTGCCTCCTCCCCCTTTCTAGATCTGCTTACTGTCCCCTTCCAAGCCCTTCTCGTGCTACTCTTAACCCACGCAATCCACTACGCCGTCCAATGCATTGGCGAACTGTACGAAGTTACTAGCGGGAGGCGCGCGCGGTCGAGATTCCAGATCGCGGCGGGGTTTCCGTGGGTGAGGGTGGGAATCGGGCTGGCCATGATGGTGGCCTGGCATGCTCTCTTGGGACGGTTGGTGGTGAAGGCTTGGGGGAGGCAGGGTGTGTTGAGAGGTCGGTGATCCAACGAGCGAGTCTGGGAAACTAAACCTAAATGATCGACGAAAAGGAGGAGCCTCTGTTGCGCGAGATGGCCGAATCGCGATATTGGCGCAAGATATGAGCGGTGACAGAAGACGGAACGTTCACTGAGTATGCTTGTGCATTGTTGTTCTCAGATGGCTTCAGATGGGTTCAGATGCGGTATCCGTACCAGAAAGTTCGAGACAGCCCAGGAAAAATCGCATGCTCCGCCAAACTCTATGTGCACATGAAGAAGTTCGTCACGGCCAACGCAAGATATGTGCTGAATGCACGAGATTTACCCAGGACTGCAGGTCAACGGAGCTGTCGAGCGATTGGGGTTGAAGGTTTCGCCGCGTCGTTTGGCTACCACCGTTGCTCAAAGAATCTCTCATTGACCTCGTTTTTCACTCAACCTATACGCACACATAACAGCAGTCAGGGGTGGTACATATTGGTACGTTGGGTGTTCAGGGGCTATTTTGGGCATATTCTATCGTCCCAAGAGAGCTCGCCGCAAGTGGGAGACTGCGAGACGAGTGAAGGTACAGAGATGAACCAATATGAGCAAAGTGGCCCCTACGGTCTCGCGATGAAAAGAACAAAGAGATTGAGACACGGCCTCTTTGACTCATCAATTTTAGAGTTCATGACACAACCCTATCTGTGAATGGACGAAGTGTTGTTTGCTCTCTGCATGCCGATGTATTTTTTACTAAAAGATTATATAAGGGTGCATTGAAAGCTCTCAGTATCTGGATCGATAGATAGCATTGCTATAGCCTCTTGCATCGATATCCAACTTGAAGAGAATCTTGATCGTGGATATTCTACATCTCTTTCGGCACCGTTGCATACACTAAACTTGTCGCTGGTAAGTCGAAATAACACGTAATTGTACAAAGCTAACGTTTTCCTGCGGAGCAAAAAGCCAGGTTTCAGCACGGCTTGTCAGACACACCTCAAAATGACCCCACAATTACGAACGCCGTTCCAATCGCTCACAACAGAGAACTTCCCCTCTCGGGTTCTGCGGGGCAAGTCTTCGCCATCAGCCGGAACGTTGTCTTCAAATGTCCCACAGCATTTGATGATCCTGTGCCGGAACAAGAGGAAGAAATGGCAGAAAGCATCAGCAGGTTAGAAAATGAGAAGGCGAACTACCAAATACTCATGAAAAATCGGCACCCCAATATTGCCACTGCCGTACTATGCGTCCCTGAAGGCATCTTCTTGCATCGTCAGGAAATGACGCTGGAGTCTCGTATAAACAATTCTCCCAAGGCAACCCCGAGTCCAGGCACGCAAGAGCGGTGGATCCAACAGATTTACCAGTGCCCTAGCTTGGCATGAGTATCTCGGCTATGCCCATGGTGATCTTCGGCCGGCCAACATATTTCTCGATGCAAAGGACGATGTTAGAATCGGAGATTTCGATGCAACTGTTAAGACCGGCGAACCGCTTCAGGTGGCGAGCGAGCCATTCTGCAAGCTCGAAGAGGATTATGAACTTTCCTTAGCTGGCCCACTCACCGAGCAGTTTTCACTGGCATCGTGCATTTACACCATTCGATTTGGACACATACCATTCCATGATATTGACGCGCCTATCAGGGTTCGACGCCTTATGATGAACCAATTCCCTTCAACGTCCGAAGATATCATCTTTGGTGATTTGACGCATAAATGCTGGCACGGTTGTTACCCTTCAATCAGGGCGGTGGAACGCGATATCCGCGCTAGAGTAGAAAACCTTACCAGCGCTGAACTACGTTTAGGCGTGGATGATGCTCAGCTTGCTATGCTACGAGCAGGGTGTGAGGAATTCCTGAAAAAGGAATCCAGGACAGGTTGATTTGGTTTTCAGCCTCCCTGTTTCCTTTGCGCTCTGCATTTCTTGAAGAAGCAATCGGATTTAACGGGTAGAAGATATCAATGATACTCGCGATTACCATCACTTTCAGAGCCATTAACGTTCGTTGCGCTCAACATAGATATTCCCCTAGACTGAGCTTTCACCGGGAGTGCGAAGTGGAGAAGCACCTAGATGTATTTTCAGCTCTATACTGAACTACTGTCCGAACTGCCACCAGTTGAAGTTAAAGAGTGAACCGGTCCCACTGCCCGTGAAGCGAAAGAACAAGTCCTGGGTCGCAGAAGCGCCGCTCACAGGGCATGTTACGGTCACCCAGGTCGACCATCCCCCAGTGCTCGACACAGTGCATGTGCCGACGAGCGTGCCAGTCGCGCTGCCCAAACGAAGTTCAATCTTGCCACCACTGGCGCCGGACGAGACACGCGCGCTGAATGACTTTGCGCCAGATCCGAATGCAACGCCCTTGACCTTGATGTAGTCGCCATTGTTGATGTACGAAACAGCCATGCCGCCCTCGCTGCAGACCTCGGTTTCGACTCCGGACGACCAGGCCATCATTTCGGCTTCCTGTCGTAAGTATGGATCCACTGTTCCGATCTGCGGTGCGCCATCCTTGGTCATCTTCATCTGAGGGATCGTACCATCGGCGTTATAAACGAAGCGTTCGACAGCGACGGATCGGGTGTAGCCGCTTCCACCGGGAAGGGCGCCATTGTGGTAGAAGAAGTACGAGTTGTTCTTGTAGTCGATAACACCGGGATGATTGGTGAAGCTGGCGCCCTCGGTGGCCATGACCAAGCCTCGATATGTCCAAGGCCCTGTGATGCTGGGACCCGTCGCATAGCGTATGTCTTCCGAGCAGCAGTTCGCTGCGTAGACCAAGTAATAAAGGCCCTTCCGTTTATAGATCCACGGCCCCTCCTCGAAGGAGGTAGGACGCCCTTGGTTGGCGCTGCCGGAACGAGCACCAAATCCAGCGGTGGTGAGTGACACTTTATTCATCCCACCGCTGTAAGAGATCATGTCTTGGTTCAGCTTGACGTACCACAAGTTTGGGTTTCCCCAGTAGAGGTAGGCCTGGCCATCGTCGTCGATCCAGACGGTAGGATCGAATTCGTTATTCTCCACCAGCGGTTTGCCTATGGCATCGCGATACGGTCCAGTGATATTGTCACTCACAGCAACCCCGACTGCCATCCTTCCGCTATTGGCTCGGACCGGGGCGTAATAGTAGAATTTGCCGTTGCGCGGGATGACTTGTCCAGCCCACGCATTTGCGCTTGCCCAACTGAAGGTTTTCAAGCTCATGGGTGAGCCATGGTCTTGCCAATTGACCATGTCAACGGTTGAGAAGACCCTCCAGTCTTTCATCACAAAATCCTTGGACCCATCCTCGTCGTGGCCAGTGAATACGTACAGCCGGCCATTGTACTCGACCGGAGCGGGATCCGCGGTGTAAATGGTTTGTACGAATGGGTTGTCCGCCTTCGCGAGTTTGATCCCCCTCAGGAGGGGACTGATGAACAGCAGTACCTGAAAAGCGACGGTCACCCGTGCCAGTATTGAGAGAGGGCTAGCAGCGCCCATTTCGATCGACTGCGTGAACAGCTCGTGGTCGATTGTAATGACGGACCGCAACAGGAATCCGGGGGGTAACACACCTGGAAATCTGAATATGGTCTCCCTGTCCTTCGTCATATAAACTCACAGTCATTCTGTTTCTGCCAAGGTGAGAAATGTTTTTCCGTCTTGATACGACCAATACTACCGACCTGGATACCGGTTCGCATGCGGTGGGAGTAATCCAGGTTAGGCCAGGAAATCACTGCTTCACCTCTTCCGTGCGATTGGTTGTCGCGTCCCTGGCTCTTTTACCCCCCGCGCTACAATTTGTTTTCATTAGATTCGAAGCCGGACCTGTTCCCGGTTTTGCTAAGGAGCCGCCAATCTACGTCGTGTAAGCGAATCTCGCGGCTTTTCTTCATGCACGATAAATTGGTACAGGTAACATACTGCCCCATCTAGTGTGGCCATGGTCCATGTTTGGTGGTTATGTCTGTTCAGCAGGTTCGATCGAATAAAACGCATATTAGCCGCCATCGTCTTCCAATCAGATTTTTCCGTAGACTATCCCGTCCAGAGGCTGTCCATTTCATGAACATTCGAAGAATAGACGTACAATAGCCCTCCATGTAGATTGATGAAGTACTGACTCCATTGATAATGGCGAGTCTTTCCGAAGAAAGCATTGGTGAGTTCGAAGACGTTCAACATGTGGCTGATTCGGCATCGTCCTATATAGACAGATAGAATGGACGGAGAGAAAATAGATTGCATTTGCATAATCTTCCGTCTGGGTGTTGGAGTTGCCAGATTTTGGTGAAGGCGTTTGAAGAGGAGCAATTCTGACCGTAAACTGGTGTTACACATATAGACGCTGTTCGCCATTAAATCATGCGTCGATTTTTCCTCATGGTGATGTCGCTCAGCTTACCGTCAATGGACAACCGGTTTCTTCTCCGTGTTATAGAAGCTCCGCATGTGTATTCACGGTCATGAAATCGAACCTCTTACGAATGAAATTGAGAAGGAACTGCGACCCAGCACTTCCAACAAGCTTCGAACCCGTGAAACGGATCGAATTTCCGAAACACGTTTTACGCTTGGTTTGAATAGCATTCGAGAAGAACGCGAGGAGATATTATACTGACTGTCTCGCTGACCGACTATACGACAGTCTCATCCGGATATTTCCTCGAAAACATCCCCAGCGCCTTTAGCGTAAAATGGAACTTATAATTCGGATAAGTGCACATCGTGCTCTTATTAAAAACCCCTTCAACAGCCTCCTGCTTCCACTCGCCATTAGTCTGTTGTCGATCCATCAAGAGTTTGATACCACGTCGTAAAGGGGCGATATCTGGGTATTGGGCGTTCATGAGTCCGATTAGAGCCCATGCCGTCATGACTACCTGCGAACCGGAGGCGTGCTCGATGTATTCGTGTTTCTCGCATGCCTATCCTCGGGAATCAGTACAAAAGGTTTGGAAGAGGAGAGATTTTCGAACGACCGTTCTTACCTCATAGCACTCACTCCATCCCCCATCCTCTCGTTGCTTTGAGAGGAGAAATTCGCAGCCCCGTTTCGCGGGGCCACTAGTGCTGTAGATCTCACCAATGGTAGCAAGGGCTTCCAAGGCAAACATGGTGCCGTAAGTGAAGCAAATGCCCCAGTTTCCGTACCAGGAGCCATCCGGATATTGCTGTGTTTTGATCCATGCGACAGCACGGTCGATGAAGGAACTTACGTCGGCGGCGCGGTACGAGGGCCAGTGAGTCCTGAAGAGCGAGAGCGCAGTGACAGCTGCAGTGGTGCATTCCGTGTAATCGTGTTCGACCATGATATTCTCGAAGACCTCGGCTGCATTGAAGAGCTCCACCCATGGAGGACCTCTAATCCGCTCGTAAGATGCACATCCGCCGGTAGGATTTTGATATGTCAATAATGTGTCGACAGCATCGTAAATGCGTTGATCCTCGAGAAGCTGCGGCATCTCTGGAATCCTTTGAAGCATGATGACGGCCTTCAGAGCTTCTGACACGCAGTCCGACACAGGATATCCCTGGAATTTATTACTGAACGCCCAGCCGCCTTTTCGGCGATGCCTGTACCCTCGATATTGGCGAGGTACTTCGTCTCGGAACTGTTGGCCGTCCAAGAACTGAAGAGCTTTGATTAACATGGGCCGCCATCTTTCGTCTTGTGCAAGACCAGCTTCCACGACTGCCTGAACGGTGAAAGCGGTGTCCCAACACTGAATGCCATTTGTGCCATTGCAAAACATGCCTTCGTGGTTGACCCACATGAACTCATGGAGACCCTCTTGAGCACGACGAAACTCGTAGGAATCTGGGCCCTTGCTCGCATAGTACATGAGCATGTTCATGGCGCCATTAGCAGGGGCCAATCCCAAGTAATGAGTATTCTCGCTCTCCATATCGATCAATTCAGCAACCCAGCGTTCGGCTCTTTCTTTCAGGAAGTTAGGCCTCAGATATGGTTGCCAGACATTGACGAGGGTCCAGTTGATCGTGTTCAGCAACATCGACTTTGGGCGGTGATTATCGATGTCGGCGATTGAATTCCTGTGCGCACACCAATCAATCTGTTCCCAGGGTTGGACGAACATCTCCTTCCGTAAGCTTCGCGTGAGCTCCGTCTCCTCCATGACCCATTTCTTCGAGTAGAACCACGACATGGCCAGATACACGTACTTGATATGTACCCACCATCGCCACGGATGGAAGGGGACCCAGTCGGGGAGTAGCCACGCTTCTGGCGGGCAAGGATTGACTGCCTCCCACTTCACCACCCCCATCAAAGCGAGCCAGAACTTGGGCCAGTGAGGAGCGTGAGTAGCACCACCCAGCCTGTGCAGAGTGCCGCGCGCCTTTATCAAATTGGGATGGTCAGCATCCACGCCAATGATGCGCAAGATCGCGTAATTGAAGGCAGTGCCGAGGATACTGCTTTTGGCCTCGTGGTGAAGGCCCCAGCCGCCATCGCTGTTTGCGCGGGAGAAGAGGTAACTCTTGATTTCGGTGCGGTAGGCTTGGGAAATGGGCGTTCCAGTGACGTACCACGCAATGACTACGCCACCTAAGAGAAACTGAGGGCCCCCAAATTCACATCCCCAGTTCCCGGGAGGGAGTTGGAGATGTGAGAGGAATGAGAGGCCATTTTGCACCGATTCCAGAGGGTTTCTCGGTTTTGGAAGGTCGGGTAAGCCCTGTATTCACAATCAGCTTTGTGACCGACTTGAGCTGACTATATGTTGGAGTTTGTACCGTTGGTAAACCGAGATACCACTTGTCGGCATACGTCTGGGGCCACTGTTTCGCGTCCTCGTCGTCTTCTAGGTAATGCCAAGAATGACGACCTTCAACATCGCGCATCCGCCAGCGTGAGAGGTCGGTTCGAGTTCCCCACGCGCGATCATGTTCGATACCGAGATTGGTACCATGAAGGTTCGCATTTTGGGTCATGCTTACACTAGAATCCATTGGTATGGGCATTGGTGAGCGACTTGGGAGGCTTACACTGGTCGACGTCAAGTAAACGTGAAAAATACCAACCTAGCTGGGAGTTATATCAACAGGCTTGCTTGCTTATGCGCTTCCCTGCATAGTCGACGTGATGTCCATGTCTGCACGAGTGCATGGTGGTCAGCCATCGTCAGAGGTATACGATGCACGAGTCTTTGTCAACGTACGGAGTATGGGATGCTATGAAGAGACGGAGATCGACGGCCCTACTCGAGCTCGGTTAAGGGAAAATCCTCTGGCTCAGCTTTCTATCGAGATTTGTTTCCATACAGCCATCAATTACGGAGAGTAAAGACTTCGGAACATGTTGTAAAGGGGTGAGCAGGAGAAATCTCATCAACGCGATAAGCAACTGGGTTGGCATTGAAATTCCTCACATCAGGACATAGGGAAAGGGGCAGTCTTGGCACGAAGGATCCATCTCGGGCCGAACAGAACCAAACCCAACCCTTCGTTTCCTAGATTTCCGAACCTACCTATGTCACCACCTCTGAATTAGGGTAAGGGTAACAAACAATGTCGCGACCACGTAGACCTGTTTCTAGAGCTATACCGTTCTTTCAACTGAACAGAAGTATAGAAAGACCGCTAATTATTATAACTATATCTTAAGCAGTAATCGAACCATAAAAGCAATATGTTACAATAGAGCTACTAAATATCTAATTAGCTTTCTAGTTCTGGACGTTCTATAGAGCCTAGAGCGCCTCTACTAATTATGTGTTATAGAGCACCCCCTACATTAACATGTATGTAGTAACTCTATATCTCTAGAAGTGATAGTATTCTCGAAGCGTAGTAATGCTCCTTAGTTACTCTAGCATGGTACCGCATAGAACACATACAGCACTAGCGATCGCGTGCCTAGTTACAGGTAACAGGAGCTGAGATGTTGGCTGAGACGTTTACGGGCAGCCAACATTTGTTATCTCAGGTTTCCCTTCATACCGCTGCGACCTCCAATGGCAGTTAGATCCCGTTCTCCGGCCGTAGGTACACACCCATATTCTTGTAGGATTTCCTGCTTGCCGACTGTCGCGCGCTAGGGTACCCTTACGCTTCCGGTCTCCGTCGTCAGATACTTCGATCTTTTTTCCCACCACCATCCCTCAAAACAGAGTATATGCCCATATCCTCATCAAAGCCATCGCGCTTAGAGTGTCCTCCCCGCGTTCCCCCTTCCCGATCGCCATATATCCCAAACCAGACTCTTCCTTCACTCCCCTCACTCCCCTCCCTCCACCCACCCGCTCTCTTCTCTACTCTACGGCTCCACAACCTGCACATACCACGGCGCCGTCGCACGAGTTCCCTCGCGATCCAAGGATTGAATCCGGATGTAGTTATCCCCCGAGATGACCTTTTGGAGTTCTTTGAAGATGAGGTGGATTTCCTTGAGCATGAGGGCGAGGACGACGAGGATGCCAATCTGGGCGAGGACGAGGAGGAGGTTGAGGACGGTGGAGAAGGCGGTGTTGGATTTGGATGTGGTGGTCGCCATGGTCGCGTTAAGGGGCGAGGTCGACGCGTTTGGCGAGTCCCAGGGTCGCGTTCGCTTTACGGTTATGAAGATGTCGGGCAGACTCTGGTAGCTTTGCCTTTGCGATCGCGAGCCGAATAAGGGACCGCGCGGAAGTTATTATAAGGACACGAAACGATTCGAACAGCTCACTCTCCGCTTGTGTATATTTTCAATGGACATCCTGCCTTGCTTTGGGGATATCTCCATGCCGCAGACGAGATGAAATGCCTCGTATTGCTAACCTGATTCGACTGGTGGCTCGCGGGAGTCAACCATACAGAAGTTGGACTGAAAGCCACACTGGGTCGTGGTGGAGAATTTAGCCGCAGATAAAACAAAAAGTACAGCCAATCACCAAGCAACCCCGAGGTCTACACAGTACCACAGTACTACGACTATTCTTTTTGTACATTCATTCAGTGCGACTAACTCTTCGCGCGCTTTGTAGAGCTCAAGGTCCACTTCAGTTGCGTCCTCAATACCAATTCACTTATAGGAAACAGGATCTGGATGGGTCCGAAACCATCATGTTATAGATGGGACACGCTTAAAGATGGCTATCTGAAGGATCCGGCAACCCCTTCGAAGGTCCTCTCGATACTGGAATCATCCTTCTCATCGTCGCGACAACATTGATGATGCGTTTCTGCCGCCTCCAACTCAGCAAATATCTACCTAATTCCGATAAGCAGTTGATTAGATCTGCTGGTCCCTTTGCAAAAAGATTTATCATATCTTCACCGATCAACGGGAACCGGAACGTCTTGCGTTAACCGAAAGCCAGGGACGCAGGAGGATTCTGCTCGGAAACGCCCAAGCCTCACGTACGCAGATATGGCTCTAGGTTGTACTTGCAGTGCATTATTATCCAATCTTCAACCGAATGGCCGTCCATTCAGACACACGAGGCCGTCTCAACCACCTACTCTTTCAAACCCATCTCACCAGTTCCACGAGCAGACCGATACCGCACCACATACTCCCCAATAATCTTCTTCTCCACGCTCGAGAAACTCACAGGCACGCAGCTCAACCTCACGGTATCGATCCTCTTCAAAACCACCATGTACGTCCCCGCCGCCAACGCTTCTCCCGCTTCTCCATATCCGCCCATATCGTTGAATATGGACATGACCAGCTTTCCGTCATAATCATCAACGAGCTCTGTCTTACCCAAGTTGCAAGAAACATTCACCTTTCCATCCTCGACGAGCTGTTTCCTCAAATGCTCACACACGCAGGTTAAGCTGAAGTTGAGCAGTCGAGTATCGTGGAGCCCGGCGCTTCGGATGGATTGTTTTCGGCCTGACGGGCGAGCTGTTGAGGGATCTCCTCGAGTTGGAGGGTTTTGAGTTGTAGGGGTAATGTGGGGGAGATGATTGTGCAGTGCTTCTCGTGGGCGCGGTCGCCTTTCTCGGCCATGGTCGATAAAGTGGATGAGCGTGAAGCTTACGATCGGTGAGGTTATGTGGATATTCAGGACGGGCAGTCCAGATTAGGTGGGAGTGAGGCATGTTCGATTATTGAGATGCAAGCCGTGTTTGTATCTCGCCTCTAATTCCCATGCTGACGTGATATATTATCTGAATTCCAGTCTAATGCGGGAAAACCACCCTCCCAATATCCTGATGGACTGGACTTTACAGCGTCAGGGATTGGGTCCACTAAAACCTGTGACGTCAGATGCGTCAAGTGTCTTCTCATATCCGCACTCACGACCCTCTCTCAACCGGACACAACACCCCATCCTGCGTAACCAATCCCTCCCTCCTCTTCCCTCCCTTCGACTCCCTAATCTCCCACTCCTCACTCCCCACACCCCCAATAACCCAAAACAAGCCATGCCTATCCCACTTCCTCTTAATCTGCTTCAACCGCGCATAATTGCTCCCATAAAACGCCTGCTGCCAATCCGGCTCCTGCATATCTCCCTCATTCATATAACTGCCGCCACCCGGGGTAATCGCCTTCCAATACGTATCCATGTAGAACTGCAGTCTATCGTGCCTCTTTTTCAACTCCTCGCGACTACGCACCGGAGCAGTAGTGTCCCACCAAGCGTTCTCCTCGTACGCCTGCGCATGCATGAGCGCGGTGCGGAACGCGGGATTAACGGCATTGTTTGGGTTGCCGGAAACGGGCAGTGAGGGCCCGTAGTTCATCCCGTGGAACGTGTAGCCGCCTTTGTCGGCGTCGACCATGTTTCGAATGGCTTGATGTAAAGCTTCCAGGTTGGCGCCGGGGGCAAAGTTGGAGCGGGAGAAGAGGCGAGAGGCGATGTGTGTGTGGCCGGTTACGTCGCCTAGGGCGCGAGGGGCCAGATGGGTTGGGGGAGCTCCGAGCGAGGAGTCTGCGGATGGGTGGTACGTGTAGGAGCGTTTTACGGCGAGGGCAGAGGGGATAGGGATGGAGATGCCCAGGGCGTTGAGTTCTTCTAGGTGTGGGCGGACCAGGGCGCGGTATTCGGCTGGGGAACTGTTTGGGAGGGAAATGGAGGTTGTGTAAGTGAGGCCCGTGGTGTTTCCGTTGCGGGTGTGGCGGATGAAGTTGTAGCTTTGAAAGAGCGTGAGTAATTATGCTCGTCTGACAAGCTGTGTGAGGGATATCTTACCCCAAGCCACCGGCATCAACGATTTTGTGGACAAATGCCCAATGTGCTCTCATCCCCATCCAGAACGTCTCAAGAGAGATTGCGGTCTGGTTGGAGCCGGGGGGCGGCACAGTGGAGAAGGTAATGCTCCCGGAAGTGATGGGTGTGCGAGGAAACGCTTTTACAACCACTGACGTGATGACGCCGAAGGTGCCTGTTAAAATCAGTTTGCTTTACAATGTCTGACAATCCAGTTATGACATACCGCCGCCACCGCCTCTGAAGGCCCAGAAGAGGTTCGGATTCTCGGTTTCACTGCAAGTGACGAAGTGTCCGCTGGCCACGACAGCCTAGGAGTATCAGAGTATGGAACCGACATTTCTCCTGCACGAAAAAGATCTACACGTGTCGAACGTACCTGAATACTCAACACATGATCGGCAGCCAAGCCATAGTAGCTTGTAAAGCTAGAATGGCCTCCACCTTGGAGAAACCCTCCAGCAATCCCAACGGTTGGACCGCCCGCAGTAATAATAGTGACATTGTGCCGCTCACTCACCGCAGGAACCTCCAGTGACTGAAAACCTCCAGCGTACGCTACTGCGGGCCCCGAATAGCTGGGCGTTGTATAATTCTCATAAAACTTGTATCCCTTGAGATTATGCACCCATATACTGAGAGCGTTGCCGCCGATGGATTTGCCGTTGAAATCATGCCCGGAATTTCTATCGCACGCTGGTTGGCTCTACTGCTTGTACCTCACATAGTTTACTCACTTGATAACCAGTCTGAAATTCATCTGCCGTGCAAAATTGACGGCTAGTTGAATGTGTCGCACTGTCGTAGCATTGACCACAAACACCGGATATCCGCCTAGAGTACATGTCGAGTTCGGCTCAGTTGTCGGCACGCATGAGCTGCCAGAAGACCACTGGGACATGACGGAGCTGGGATGATTCGAGCTGCAGCCCGGTTAACTCTTGCCTCTTAAAACCAAACTATCTCTCTTACTGGAGGTTCATCGAAGTCCACGACCGTCGAAGCTGCTCACACTGTGCGGCATCATACTGCAACCCATAATAACACACCGAAGCCAATGGCGCTGGCTTTAGAAGAGCGCCTTCCAACCATTCCTCAAAGTCGGCCCAAATCCCTAGCTTATCTTTCTCGTCTGGGATGGCTTTGCACTCCCTACGCCGTGGCCAATCCTGTTGTTCCTCGAACCGAAAATGGTAGTAGTCGTTCACTTCCTCAGGGGTGAGTTGGGTGGTTTCCCATTCGAAGTTGACGGCTAAGGCGGAGGTAAGGAAGGCGAGATATAAAGGAAGTGATGATAACATTGTGGCGGAATAGTTACCTATACGTGGAAGTCTGGATAGTGAGCTTAAGTACATCCCCATCCTTTCGATTCCTGTTACCCCACAATGCACATCCATATTCCAATCCCATGTGGGATGCCTCGGACATGCGCTTCTTCCCTATGTTACCAGATTCCGGGTAATTTAATTTGCGCTCCTGCATGTTGCTGCGTGAGGAGGATGTGGGTTCCCTGGCGGAGATGTAGTCATCCTTGCAATGTGCAGATTTGCATAGCATATGTCCTATTCTGGATAGATGGCAGCCAGAGGACAAGAAAATATAGCGACGGCATAAAGCCTATGAGTGGATTATGGGGTCCAAATAAACGCGCTGTGTCATAGTTATGGCGAGGAAGTTGAAGGCTGGGGGAAGACCTAGGGCGCAAGTAAGACTCCTCGATACAGACAATATCATGTCGCTGAGAGGCGTACGCAATCACGGCTGCTTCTTTTGGGGAAGGTGATATGCACCCCATTGGCGTGTCCGTATTCGTGAGAGTAAATCCCGAAGCACCCACACCTGCGGGGCAACGTCGTGTTCATGATTACCCTGGTGGGTGGCTCGATCCTATTACTTCTGTGAGGTAAATTGAATGATGGAACCCAAGGGGTCTCGGCAGATGAGACGAGAACTCCACACAGTTGCGGTGAAGGTCATTGTCAGCAAGTCCTTGTATCGCTTGCCAGTGGGAGAGTAATGGAAATACCCTCACCGACATCTCTCTTAAGCGATGGGAAATATGCTGGAATAACAGTCGGGGGGTAATTGAACATCAACAAGACGTAAGAAGCTTCTATAATGATTGGGAATTACAGGCCCTACTAAATTCGGTAATCCGGCGTTTTGTTACAGGTGCAATGCAGGGATCAAGATCGCTTGAAAGAACCCAGAGTGAGGAAAGAAATACAAACCCGCAATGAAACGCCGCGCCAGAAACGACACCCTAGAGCAGCAACTCCAGCGGGTTCTCAATCACCTTCTTCAATTCTCTCATGAACTCTCCACCCACTGCGCCATCAACCACCTTGTGGTCAAAGCTGCTGGTAATGACCATCTGATCATCCCACTCCACACTGGGAGTACCGTCCTCATTGGGCTCTCCTGGAACAGCAACCTTCTTCGTTGCGCCAATGGCGACGATGGTAGCCTGTGGTGGGTTGATGACGGCAGTGAAGCGCTCCACAGCGGGATTCATCCCCATGTTGGAGATGGTGATGGTTCCACCCTGGTACTCCTCAGGCTTCAACTTGCCGTCTCGTGCACGCTTGCCAAGATCTTTGATCTGAGACGAGATGCTCTGGAGACCCAAAGCACCGACATTCTTAATGATGGGGGTCATCAAACCGACAGGAGTGGCGACGGCGACGGAGACATCGACGGTGTTGTGTTGACGGATGGTGATCTCGTTGCCCTCAACGCGCCACGAGGAGTTGGCAGCCGGGACCTTGCGGGCTGCGACTGCGATTGCTTTGACCAGCAGATCGTTGACTGAGAGCTTGTACTTGCCCTCTCCGGATGCATTCAGTGCCTCGCGGAGCTTGAGCAGCTTAGAAACGGATATGCTAGAAGCGACGAAGTAGTGGGGATTCTCTTGCCAGCTTTGACTGAGGCGGCTGGCAATGACCTTGCGCATACTGGATGCAGACACGTCTTCGTATGCAGCTGCTCCGGCGGCCGATGCCGCCGCAGCAGGAGCAGCGCCGGCAGGCTTGTACTTCTCAATGTCGCCTGTAGTGATCTTTCCACCAGGTCCAGATCCCTTGATTGCTGAGAGAGGCACACCCTTCTCCAACGCGAGCTTCTTGACGGCGGGCGAGACAGCGGGCTGACGGTCGAGGGAGGTCTCCAGACGGGCACCAGTTGACTCTGACTCCACAGCTTGAGGAGCAGGCTCTTCCTTTGCCGGAGGAGCGCTCGGTGATCCAGACTGCGGCGGCTCGCTGGCCTCAGATGCTTCACCCTCCTTTGGCGTCGGGGCAGGGGACTTATCGCCGCCTGCGTCAGCAGCCGTGAAAGACTCAAAAGCAGAGACGTCTTCGCCTTCCTCGACAAGAACGGCAATGGGCTAGGACTACGTCAGTAACAGCGTCCAGAGGTGCACAAAGGCATTGAGCTTGTGTGGAGAGAAGTCTTACACTGCCAACTGCGACATCCTTCTCTCCAGACTCCTTCAAGATCTTCGCAATGACGCCCTCCTCCTGGAACTCGAAGTCCATCTGGGCCTTATCGGTCTCGATTTCGACGAGAACATCGCCGGGTGCGATGGAGTCGCCGACCTTCTTCTGCCATGCACCGATATTTCCAGCCGTCATCGTAGGGGAGAGCGCAGGCATGCTGACGATGGTGTGGGGAGGGAAAGCTGGAGATGGCCTCGGTCAGCTCAATGTCTCTACAGACGTCTCATAAAGTGATGAAAGGCAGGGCCTTACATTTGGACGCATAGTATCTTGCGAGAGCGGAGAGCGCGGGCGCCTGCCGTCTAATTGTCCCAGTCGTCAGCAAAGCTGTCATAGAAGATGGTAAAACGCAAACAGGGCAGCATACGCTGTGAACTCTGAGCACCTAGACGCATACAAACTGCCTCTCAGAGCAATGGAACCTCTTGCGCTCAATTGAGCACCGGTCCTGGCGAGCATCGTAATCGAGGCCGGCATCGTGTCGGGGATCCGATGCGGGAGCTACAAATTCGTTCCTTGCCCTAAGTTGACGAGCTGGGTCGCGGGATTGGGGCAGCGGGGAGAGAGCAAGCTGTATTTGAGCCCTAATTTGCTCTCAGACGGCCGGAGACGGAGATTCAGATGAACAGCGGGGAGAGAGCCTTGATCGCAAAAGACCGACAAGCCCAAACAAAAGGAAAAGTGTCGCACGGCGCCCTTGGCATGCACCGCCACGATTTATTGCGTCCGAACGCACCAGCCACACCTTCCCACGTCCTCAGGGAGACATCGGCGGTCCGAGAGGCTCATGCGCCGAGGACACTTTTATCACTCTGACATTCTGGTAACCTTCGTAACACCAATTTCTCTCCAGAACACCGGTTTGGCGAACGGCCTGCTCCAGTTACACCTGCCTCCGTCACCGCTGCCACCGTATCCTGTTGCTGAATTCCGCCATGCTTGCCAGATCGCACCCCACCCGCGTATGAAAGGAGGAGCGTCCGCCGAGAGACGACCGCGCGGCCGCTGTGAATAGCTGCACACACCATGGCCGACACCGAGACGCAGCCCGCGCCTGTGGAGACGGGACCGAATGACACACCGGAAGAAGGGAACCAATCTACCCAAAATGTGGAGGAAAAACAGAGGGACAATGCTCCAGAGCCCGCTCTAGAGCCCGCCCCAGATGCCCCAGCAGAGAGTACTGAGGAGAACGCTCCCCAACAGGACACAGCAGATGCACCAATGCCGGTTGCGTCTCCACCCACACTGGAGATACCGAGTGGCCCGGGAACCCCAAGAACAACCGAGTTCTTCGAGCACCATACCAAGCAACGACCGAGATCCGACTCCCAGTCGACCGCAGCAACCACAGCTACCAGACCTTCGACGAGGAGTTCGCTGGTTTTTGTAGTGAACGCCCTCGAGACGATAGCCGCCTCCAAGGATGCAAAGAAGACGAAAAAGCTTGGGGACGCAACCGCGAATGCACTGGCCGCCATCAAGAAGGAAGGGGATCCGGCGCGCATAAACCCGGAGGTTCTGTTCGAACCACTTCACCTTGCCTCAGAGGCTCACACTGTGTCTGTCTCTATCACAGCGCTGGACTGCATTGGAAAGCTCATCAGCTACTCCTACTTCTCGGTCCCTGCGGATTCGCACCCCGACAACCCCGAGGCCACGCCCCTGATCGAGCGAGCAATTGACACAATATGCGACTGCTTCCAGGGGGAAGCAACCCACCCGGACGTTCAACTCCAGATCGTAAAGTCTCTGCTGTCTGCTATCCTGAACGACAAGATTGTAGTTCACGGTGCTGGCTTGTTGAAAGCCGTGCGTCTGACCTACAACATCTTCCTCCTTTCAAAATCTAGTGCCAATCAACAAGTAGCGCAAGGTGCACTGACCCAGATGGTGGGTACCGTATTCGAGAGGGTTAAGATCAGACTTGCGGCCAAGGAGGCCAGGGTGAACCTTTCGCGAGTGTCTCTAAATGAGAAGGAGGGTTCAGACGAGAACGAGCATATAGAAGACGAGCTGGAGGGCAGCACAGGAGGGATTGGCGATCCTGAGGTCAACGGTGGCGAGGACGATGAGGCGAATGGTGAAGGCAACGAGCCCAGCGACAAGCCTGTCGACAAGCATATTGGTCCAAAGATCACACTGCAGAGCTTCGAAAACAACATGAGCTTCAACGACGACCGGATACACGACAACGCACCCACGTTGGTTACGCGAATAAAGTCGAAGCCGGGAACGCGGCAAGTGTCTGGACAAGATACCTCGCCCCATCCGGCACACGAGACTGGTAGCGCAGATGAGGACGAAGAGGATGAGATCTTCGTCAAGGACGCGTATCTTGTCTTCCGAGCAATGTGCAGACTGAGCACAAAAACACTTCCAGTAGATCACGCCCTCGACGTGAGATCCCAAGGAATGCGGTCAAAACTTCTGTCGTTGCACATCATTCATACCGTTCTGCACAACAACATTGCCGTCTTCGTGTCGCCCTACGCCACGATAAGAGGCAGCAGCAGCGACGAGCCCACTTCCTTCATCCAAGCCATCAAGCAGTATCTGTGCCTGAGTTTGAGCCGCAACGGCGCAAGTTCCGTCAACAAGGTGTTTGAAGTCAGTTGTGAGATCTTCTGGCACGTGCTGAAATATCTCCGGGTGATGTTGAAGAAAGAAGTCGAGGTATTCCTGAAGGAGATTTATCTGGCAATCCTGGACAAAAGGAATGCTGCCGTTTTCCAGAAGCAGTACATCCTGACCATATTTGGAAGACTGGCCGCCGATCCGCGAGCGCTTGTTGAAATGTACCTTAATTACGACTGTGACAGGACCGCTTTGGACAACATGTATCAACGCGTCGTCGAACATTTGTCGCGACTCTCAAGCACTCCTGTATCGGTAACTGTAGCGCAGCAACAAGCGTACCAGGACTACCGGTCAAAGCAGCCTGGCCACGATTGGCAAACCCGTGCTACATTACCTCCATCACTGTCAACCGCCTCAATGACCGTACCACACGAACAAGAACACGCTTTCCCACCGGAGTACGCGCTCAAGCAAGAGTCCCTGACCGCTTTGGTAGAGATATTGCGGTCACTTGTAAACTGGTCCGAACAGCCTGCCGCGGAGAACGCGAGGGACTCAAGGTTGGATTCCAGAGCATCTTTTGACGACCGCGCTTCCCTGGACACTCGCGCACATGCTGAGTCCCCCAACGTTGGGGTAGAGTCAGGCAGTGCGACGCCGCTCGTGGAGGATGATCCGAATGAGCTCGAAAAGGCGAAACAAAGGAAGACGGCGCTTACAAACGCCATCCGCCAATTCAACTTTAAGCCGAAGCGTGGTCTGAAGACTCTCATCAGTGAGGGCTTCATCGCTTCGGATTCGCCCGCAGATATTGCACGCTTCCTAATCGAAAACGATACTATAGACAAGAAGACGCTCGGAGAGTTCCTGGGCGAGGGCGACCAGGAGAACATCGCCATCATGCATGCGTTTGTCGATCTCATGGATTTCACAAAGACACGCTTCGTCGACGCTCTGCGCCGATTCCTGCAAAGCTTCCGTTTGCCTGGTGAAGCTCAGAAAATTGATCGCTTCATGCTCAAGTTTGCTGAAAGATACATCACGGGTAACCCGAATGCTTTTGCAAATGCCGATACAGCATATGTGCTTGCATACTCTGTTATCATGTTGAATGTTGATCAGCATAGCAAGAAGCTCAAGGGAGCCCGTATGACCCCAGAGGACTTCATCAAGAATAATAGGGGTATCAACGACAGTGCCGACCTCCCGGACGATTACCTTCGTGGTATATTTGAGGAGATCGCGCATAACGAGATTGTTTTAAACACGGAGCAAGAAGCCGCCGGAAATCTGGGCCAAACATCTCAATCTTCTGGCGGTCTCGCGGCAAACATCGGTCAAGCCCTCACTGGTGGCGGGCGTGATCCGCGACGAGAGGCTTATGTTCAAGCGTCTGAGCAGATGGCCAACAAGACTGAGCAACTATACAAGCAGCTTCTTCGGGCTCAACGACGGACCGCCACGAAAATGCCGATATCGAAATTTATACCTGCGTCGTCCTCTAAGCATGCCGGCCCCATGTTCGACGTCACTTGGATGCCTTTCCTCACTGCTCTCTCTGGACAAGCCCAAGATCATAATATCGAGATCGTCAGATTATGTATCGAAGGCGTCAGGCTAGCGATACGTATTTCGTGCATATTTGATCTCGAAAACCCTCGACAGGCGTTTGTCTCCTTTCTTGCAAGATTCACCAATCTCTACAACTTGAGTGAGATGAAGGTCAAGAACGTTGAAGCCTTGAAAGTTCTCATTGAGGTTGCCCATACGGAAGGCAACTTATTACGGGAGTCGTGGCGAGATATATTGACCTGTGTGTCTCAGCTCGATCGCTTCCAGCTGATATCCACGGGGGTGGACGAGCGCGCCGTTCCAGACGTGCTCAAGGCCCAGATACAACCACAACGTACGCCGTCTAGTCGAAGCTCACTGAACGTGCCGCCTGCACGGCGACGTCAAATGTCACAAGCTAGCATTCACTTCCAGGCAGACGTGGCTGAGGAGAGCCGTTCCACGGACATGATCCGAGGGGTAGACCGGATCTTTACTAATACGGCTAACCTGTCAGGCGAAGCCATTGTCGATTTTGTCAAAGCTCTTACTCAGGTCAGCTGGCAAGAGATTCAGTCATCCGGACAGAGTGAATCCCCGCGGACATATAGTCTGCAGAAGCTGGTCGAGATCAGCGGATACAACATGACCCGTGTCCGTTTCGAATGGACGAACATCTGGCAGATACTTGGGGCTCACTTCAACGAAGTCGGTTGCCATACGAACACGAATGTTGTCTACTTCGCTCTCAATTCTCTAAGACAGCTTTCCATGAAGTTCATGGAAATCGAGGAATTGCCCGGTTTCAAGTTCCAGAAGGACTTTCTGAAACCGTTCGAGCATATCATGAGCAACACAAACGTCGTTTCTGTAAAGGACATGGTACTACGCTGCCTGATTCAGATGATCCAGGCTCGAGGCGAGAACATTCGCTCGGGCTGGAAGACCATGTTTGGGGTATTCACGGTGGCTGCTAGAGAGCCATATGGTAAGTCGACCATGTCCAATACTATTAATTTGCACTAACAGTCGGCAGAGGGCATCGTCAATCTCGCTTTCGAGAACGTCACTCAGGTATACAACACTCGTTTCGGAGTGGTCATCTCTCAGGGTGCATTTGCAGACCTCATCGTATGCCTGACGGAGTTCTCGAAAAACTACAAATACCAGAAGAAATCATTGCAAGCCATCGAGCTGCTAAAATCCACTGTTCCGAAGATGCTTCGGACACCGGAATGCCCATTATCAGCAAGAGCTGGGTTTGTAAAAGAATCCGAAAAAGGGTCATCAATTCCCAAACAGCCCACTCGACAAACCCAGGAAGAGCAGTTCTGGTTTCCGGTCCTTTTCGCCTTCCATGATGTTCTCATGACCGGTGAAGATCTCGAGGTTCGCTCACGAGCTCTTAGCTATCTGTTTGACACGCTCATCACCTACGGCGGCGATTTCCCGCAGGATTTCTGGGACACCCTCTGGCGACAGCTTCTCTATCCCATTTTCATGGTGCTGAAGTCGAAATCAGAGATGACCAAGGTTATCAACCACGAGGAACTCTCGGTATGGCTTTCTACCACCATGATCCAAGCCCTGCGTTACATGATCAAACTCTTCACGCACTTCTTTGACTCGCTGGAATACATGCTGGATCGCTTCCTGGACCTCCTAGCCCTCTGTATCTGTCAAGAGAGTGATACGCTGGCGCGCATTGGCAGTAACTGTCTCCAGCAGTTGATTCTGCAGAACGTACAGAAGTTCAAGCCGCAGCATTGGAGTCAGATCGTCAAGGCATTTGTGGAGCTGTTCCAAAGGACAGAGGCTACAGCGCTCTTCTCTGCGGCCACGGGCGGTCCCTCGTACACGCCCAACGGTGCCAGCAGCGCATCAAGCGTCAAGACTCCGACAGCGGAAACCGCTCCTGGGGAGCTCAATCTGCAAACACCCGCAGAGGAACCTTCCGCGGACAACGCTCTCGGCATCAACGGACTCTCGACCGGTCGCCGCGCCTCGGTCGTCACCTCGGAAGCCTCCAGCACCACCGCCGTAGATCAACGCATGCCCTCGCCGCTCCCCAAGCGTCAGACTCAAGACCTCGAAGACTACCGCCCCGAATCCTCGGACCTCCAGCAACCGCCCGTCGTCGTCACTGCCGCCCGCCGCCGCTTCTTCAACCAAATCATCACCAAATGCGTCCTCCAACTCCTCATGATCGAAACCGTCCAAGAACTCTTCACCAACGACGCCGTGTACGAGAAGATCCCGTCGGGCGAACTGCTGCGCCTCATGGCCGTCCTGAAGAAGAGCTACCACTTCGCCAAACGCTTCAACGCGGATCGCGAATTGCGGACGAGGCTCTTCCGGGAAGGATTCATGAAGCAGCCGCCCAATCTGCTCAAGCAGGAAAGCGGCAGCGCGAGCGTGTATGTGAGTATCCTGTTCCGGATGTATCACGACCGGAGCACGGATCGGGCGGCTAGCCGGGCGGAGACGGAGAAGGCGCTGATTCCGCTGTGCGAGGACATCATCCTGAGCTATGTCGAGCTGGACGAGGAGACGCAGCAGCGGAACATCGTCACGTGGAGGCCCGTCGTGGTGACGGTCTTGGAGGGGTATCTGGGGTTCCCCAAGGGCGAGTTTGAGAAGCACGTTGGTGTTTTTGCGCCGTTGGTGGTGGGGTTGCTGGGGACGGAGATGGTGGGGGAGGTGCAGAGGTGTGTGCAGGGGCTTGTGGGGAGGATCTTTGAGACTAGGTTGGGGGTGGAGTTGGGAGGGGTGAGGTGGATTGGTGGTAGTGGCGGTGGTGGTGCGAGGGGGGAGAGGGGGAGCGTGAGTACGGTTGGGGGGAGTCCGCTCGTTGGGAGGAGGGGGAGTAGAGGGCAGAGGTAGGGAGGAGTTAGGAAAGAGAGGGAGTGGTTATTTGTATTTTGGTGCCGTGTATTGTTTTTCTCAAATGTTGTTCTGGTGCGCGCAGCCTCGAATGGTTTTGGCTGTGCGAATGAGGCAAAAAGGGAGATTTAGTAGGCATATAGATTTGTGTTATAGCCTTACCACAGTACTCTCCTGTGCTCTCTCTCCTTGTTCCTTTCTCGGGTTTCCTTCACTGCTTTCTATGCAGACGTTTGGGGTTAGTGGGCTTTCAAATAGAGGTCTTGGGAATAAAAGGAATGAAAAACGAGTTCAGAAGAGCGATGTCGTTTCCGCGCATGAAGCCTTCTTCAACACCGCTCTGGAAACTCGTTAGCTAATGGCACAAATTGGTGATAGAAGTCGTGTATTCCCTGCCAAGACGCGCCAAGACGGACCAAAATACGTAATGAATCTTGGTGCAATCCATCATGGGCTGAGAATTAGTCATGGAAAAGGGATGATAGCAAGGCAATGAACACGTTCCTTGATCTTTCTGAACCATCGATTTTTGAAGTTATGCGAGTCCTAACGCATGGGTATCTACAAGTATTCATGACCGTGTTGCATCGTCCGGCCCAAACATGGTGTGCTCCAGCTCATAATCTGCCCGTAATACAAACTCTGCTAAAAGAAAATCAAGGACGAAATAATGCAAACTTGCGGGTATCTGGCATGGCGTAAAGGGCTCGGAGAGCGGCAACATACTCATGTATCGCGCATCTCCACGTCGCCGACCGCTCCTGATCCAATTCCTGCTCTCGATCTATTCCTTTTTGGTTGCGAAACATTCGCAGTCGATGTAGTACTGACCGCACGTTTCCTGTTTGCGGCCCGTTTGCCCGGATTGCTGTCCGAGGAGAACGGTGTTGGTGGTGAAGCGACTTCGTCCCGGTGCGGCGACGACGAGGAATCTAGGAATTTTCCCGTGCCAGCGGCCTCTCGAACGAGTGCTTCGTAGAGATCCTGCAGAGCGAGTTGGGCTGGACTTTGCTCTGGTGCATCCGCATCGCCTTCCGACATGGATACATCTAAGACTTCGGGGACGGAAATCTTGACCCGGTCGGTGCTCAGTGTTATGGGTGCGCAGGTGATTTTCGTGATGTGTACATCGGGGTGTGATAATGTGAGAGCGAGGTGAGTCTGCAGGTAGAGAGATAGGGCTGATGTGAAGGGCGTGTCTGTCGTCGGGCGCAGGGATTTCCCGCGCTTCACGAAGAGGGGTACGTCTGCTGCGGAGAGGGTGATGTCGATGTGTTTGAGGAGGGTGGTCGTCGTGGGGAATGATAGCTGAATCTGGAGCTGGCGGATCACGTCGGGGATGGTCTGGGTAGAGTTGGGCGCTGAAAGGCGTCGGAAGTACGACTCGAGTGTTGATATGAGGACGGTGGAAGGGAGGCGCAGTGTAGAGACGTGTGCGTCGAAGGCGGTCGAGAGGTAGTGGATGAAGATGGTGCGGATAGGCGCGGGCATTTTGAGCATGAGCAATGGGAGCGAAGTGAAGCCTTCTGGAGATGTTGTGGTTGATGGGTCCCGGAGTAGCAACGCGTTGTATGCCGTCTTCTCGTATTCCAGCGTGACTTGAATCCCACGAGCCTGTTCGGCTGGAGTGCCTGCAGATAGCTGTGAAGCATCGGGGTCTACGAGATGTCTATGGCGGGTGATCCAGTCGTCCTCGTCTCCAATGGTCTGCCATGTGCACTCCTCGAGAGGACCCAGTTTGCCCAACGCGTTCTCCGAACCCCCATAATCTACCTCGACGCCGCGAATGTTATCACCTTTGAGCTGACTCTTCAATCGTTGCGCATGCGACCGCAAAACCTGATCGTCGAAGAGCGACGCGCCGCCGGTGTGTAGAGGGGAGACGCGACATAGGAGGTAGGTCCGGTTGTAGAGGGGGTAGGGCGGAATCTCGGCCATGATTCGAGGCTTTTCGGAGTCGCTCACTCCTCGTGGGTACGGACACTCTGGCCGGTCCTGATCCGCTTCTCCCTCCTCATCCCCGAAAGTTCATCTCCACGCGTTTGATCTTGTGTTTGCAACTTGACGTCGACGTTCGGCGGAGGGGTGTCTTGGCAGGGTGCACAGGCCAACCTGACCCCCGGCACCGCCTGCCCCGCCAACATTGAAGGACTGGGATTGCATGGAACTTCACCGAATTATCGAGAAGGCTCTGACAAGAGTGTTTTTTGGCCCAGCCCGACATTCACCGTCCCCAAGCCCGCCCGCCAGCCCGCTACAAACTCAAATTCTTCCTGCGAGGCGTCTGCTGTTCCCCCAGCTCACAATCCCGCGCTTTTATTACCACACATTTTCCCTGCCTCCGCTAACCCCCAGCATCTCCGCAGTCTTCTGGCTGTGTACCCCGCCACAACCACGCACACAACACTGAGAAACCGCAACCATGTCTGTCGTTGGCGTTGATTTGGGCGCCTTGAACACGGTCATTGCCGTCGCGAGGAATCGAGGTGTCGATGTGGTGAGTAGATGTCCTCTGGCATTTGCTGGGAATCGCTGTTTGCAGGCGCTGACCTCTTTTAGATCACAAATGAAGTCTCCAACCGTGCTACACCGTACGTGAGCCCATACCGCCCTCTCGCCCTCTCGAGAATACCACAACTGACACACCCGTAGGTCGCTGGTAGGCTTCGGTCCCAAGAGCAGATACCTCGGCGAGGCTGCGAAAAACCAGGAGATCTCAAATCTCAAGAACACCGTTTCGTGCTTCGTCCGACTCGCTGGCCGCCAGCTCAACGATCCCGATGTCCAGCACGAGAAGAACTTTGTGTCGGCGCCCCTCGTCGACATCGATGGCCAAGTTGGCGTCGAGGTCAACTACCTGGGCAAGAAGGAGAAGTTCACCGCGACCCAGATAACGGCCGCCTTCCTCACCAAGATCAAGCAAACCGCCTCCAACGAGCTGAAGCTTCCCGTTTCCGATGTCGTCCTCAGCGTACCCGTCTGGTTCACGGATGCGCAGCGCAGGGCTATCCTCGATGCCTCCGAGATTGCAGGACTCAAGGCTTTGCGGTTAATCAACGACACCACTGCCACCGCCCTCGGTTGGGGCATCACCAAGACCGATCTGCCCACCGCCGAGGAGAAGCCCAGGCGAGTCATGTTCGTCAATATCGGTCATAGCAACTATACTGCGACGGTGGTCGAGTTTAGGAAGGGCGAGCTCACTGTGAAGTCCACGGCCTGGGACCGTCACTTCGGTGGTCGCTACATTGACCAGGCTCTGGCCGAGCATTTCGCCAAGGAGTTCAAGGAGAAATACAAGATTGACGTCTTGGAAAACCCCAAGGCAAAGTTCCGCCTGATGGCCGGTATCGAAAAGCTGAAGAAGATCCTATCCGCAAACACGCTTGCGAACCTGAATGTCGAATCGATCATGAACGACCTCGACGTACGAAGTGTGCTGAAGCGCGAGGAATTCGAGGAATTGATCAAACCGCTTCTCGACCGTGCCCACGTACCTCTGGAGCAGGCTCTTGCCGAGGCCAAACTGCAAAAGGAGGACATCGACGCCATCGAGATGATTGGCGGATCCACTCGTGTCCCGGCTCTCAAGACCATCATTGCCGACTTCTTCGGAAAGCCGCTGTCGTGGACTCTGAATCAGGATGAGGCTGTCGCACGCGGTTGCGCATTCAGCTGCGCCATCATGTCGCCTGTGTTCCGTGTCCGCGATTTCTCGATTCACGACATTGTCAGCTACCCGATCGAATTTGCTTGGGAGAAGACCGAGGACATTCCCGACGAGGACACTAGCTTGACCGTATTCAACAGGGGCAACGTTTTGCCGTCTACGAAGATATTGACGTTCTACCGCAAACATAATTTCGATCTCGAGGCTAGGTACGCCAAGCCTGAGCTCCTTCCCGGCAAGACCAACCCCTTCATTGGCCGTTTCTCGGTCAAGGGTGTCCAGGCCGATGCTAAGGGTGATTTCATGATTTGCAAGCTGAAGGCAAGAGTAAACCAGCACGGTATCCTCAGCGTTGACTCTGGATACTATGTGGAGGAGGTCGAGGTCGAAGAGCCGATCCCGGAACCTCCCAAGGAGGAAGGCAAGGAGGGCGATGTACGTATTTCCAGTTCTTCTAGTTCTGTTGCTGCTGGCCAGAAGCGCGGTTCCGGCGATCTCGTCACGGACACCGATCACACTTCAAAAGCCGCCAAGCATTCTCCTTCGTCTTCTTCAACCATTAGCGAGTCCGATAAGCTGACAGAGGAACCCCAGGCCATGGATGTCGACAAGAAGGACGAGAAGCCCAAGATGCGCAAGGTCAAGAAGCAGCAGAGGAAGGGAGAGCTTCCTCTCTCTTCAGGCACCGCGGCCTTGGATGAGTCCACCAAGCAGGCCGCTGCTGAGAGGGAGAACCAGATGATCATGGAGGATAAGCTGGTTGCAGATACGGAGAACCAGAAGAACGAGCTTGAATCGTTCATCTACGAGCTCAAGGACAAGATCATCGGTGTCTATGCCGAGTTCGCCAGCGATGAAGAGAAATCGAAGCTGAATGCCAAGCTCGAGACTGTTGAGGTGAGTACTTTTCACGCATGAACGTAAACTCTGATATTGACATGTCTGCAGGATTGGCTATACGATGAGGGTGAAGACGCCAGCAAGGCGCAGTATGTCAGCAAGTACGAGGAAGTCCGGTCCATTGCCGGTCCCATCATCCAGCGGTACAACGACAAGATCGAGGAGGAGCGGCAAGCGGTGCTCAAGAAGCAGCAGGAAGCCGCGGCCGCCAAGCAGGCCGAGATCGAGCGGAAAAAGCGTGAGGAGGAGGCCAAGAAGCAGGAGGCTGAGCAGAAGGACACGGAGATGTCCGATGCCGACAACGTGAAGCCTGACGAGGTCGAGGAAGCTTCTTAGAGCATTTAACGGCATCTACTTTTGAATTCGGTTATAGATATCGGGATTGAAGGGACGGGCTTTCCTAACGAGGAACGATGACTGGCATAGGCGTTGTGTAAACGCATTCGAAGCCCACGAAAAGCGGGTAGTCATGAAGTAATTGGCTTTTTATTTCTGTCTCTCCCATTTCTTTTCAAGGTTATCGAGTGGTGTTGCTTTGGGGTGGTGGTTTCGATCATAGTAATGTGCTTATGATAGACAGATCCAGTCCAAGGTTCACGATAGATGGGAATATAAAGATCACACTCCCGCGCTTACTGCTCTTTTCCTCTCACCGTCCCCTGCCAACCTACAATCACGGCGATATTTTCTAAGGGGACTCTACGCTAAATGCTCAGTGGGAGCTAGGACAGGGCACAGCTTAAACCGAGCTCTTGAGGTGTAATCGAAATCAACTAATAGCCCATCTAGCCGTTCGACACCCTCCATGCTCGATGTGGGTATTTATAGGGCGTCGATGGAATATTCCTCCAAAAATTGTTGAAACCGCTCCGCCATCGTCCTGCAAGGGCGTGGAACTAGAAAGCGGTACTGTTAAAACCCTTTATAAGGTACTTGCTTGAGGTTTAACGCCATTTATCCCCCTCTCCGTGAACTCCCCCAACTAGCTATTCGCTCTGCTACATACACAGTCCCTTCATTCATGCCAATATCCCAGCCATTGTCGTAACACAGTCAGTATGCGGGGCACCAGGTTATACCGTACCTGGTTTTCTCCGCCACTAACCGCGTCCGGCCGTTCTATTCCTCCTCTCATTGGCTGTTTCGTCCAGACATCTCCGGGATGACTCCGCGCCCTATGCGAGAAGTACGCTTGTGGGTTGATGCACATATATATGGAGAGAGCCTTCTCTCCCTTTGACTCATAAAGCATCTTTCGTTTCACTATATAATTTGGCTTTGTTCCGCTCGCTCTCGCTTTCCGTACAGCAACACAGAAGAGATAGTTCTGGGAGATAAAACAGGGGAGTGGAGCCATGACGACGAATTCTACACTAGAGGAGAAATCTGCGCAGGAGGTGGTGAGGTTTGGGAAGGAGATGAGGGGGCAGTTTTTGTTTGCGGAGGGGTGGAGGAATTTGAATCACGGTAGGATAGGGTTTTCTGGCTTTCCTTTTCTCTCTTGTCGGCCTTTGTCCAATTCCTTCCGTCGTGCTATATATGCTCGAGAGTCTTTGCGTTCTGTCCCTCCTGATCACGGGCTGTCTCCTTTCCAGACCTCCTCTTTCTTTTTCTGGTTCATATCCAAACATTATCATTTCTTTCGAGTCAACGGCTCCATCTAGACCCTATCCCCTATCCAGCAAGTAAGGAAAAGGAACAGGACTCACATCTACCAGGCTCCTTCGGCACCTACCCCAAAACCGTCCGCACCGCCTTGCACCACTACCAATCCCTCGCCGAAGCCCGCCCCGACTCCTTCATCCGCTACGACTACCCCAACCTCCTCGACGCCTCCCGCGCCGCCATCGCCGCCCTCGTCCACGCCGCCGTCGAAGAATGCGTCTTCGTCCCCAACGCCACCACGGGCGTCAACACGGTCCTCCGGAACCTCATCTTCGAGCCGGGAGACTACATCCTGTACACGTCGACCATCTACGGTGCGTGCCACAAGACCATCGAGTACATTACCGAGACGACCCCCGCCGAAGCCGTATGTGTGGAGTTTACATTGCCGGTGGAGGAGGAGTGGTTCGTTGAGGCTTTTAGGGAGAAGATTCAGGAGGTGGAGAAGAGAGGGGGGAGAGTGAAGGTGGCTATCTTCGATACCATTGTTAGTATGCCGGGGGTGAGGCTGCCGTTTGAGAAGTTGGCCCGGTTGTGCAGGGAGATGGGCGTGTTGAGTCTGGTGGATGGCGCTCATGCTGTGGGGCATACCCAGCTGGATTTGGCGGAGTTGGATGCGGATTTCTTTGTTAGTAATTGTCATAAGTGGGTTCCCCTTTTCTCTTCTCCCCCTATCTCTTTCCATTTCCATCCTATTCGAAGGAGAGAACATTCGGGGAAACGCAAAGCACAAGAGAAAGGATGATGTGCAGGAAAACTGACAGAAGACTGACAGATGGCTCCACGTCCCCCGCGGCTGCGCCCTCTTCCACGTCCCCACCCGCAACCACCACCTCCTCCGCTCCACCCTCCCCACCTCCCACGGCTTCATCCCCAAGCCTCGTCGCGGCGTCACCATCACCAACCCTTTACCCAGCGTCGGCACCAAATCGGCTTACATCACGAACTTCGAATTCGTCGGCACCATCGACAACAGCCCGTACTTGTGCGTCCCCGATGCAATCAAGTGGCGCGCTAGCATTGGAGGAGAGGAAAAAATCATGAAGTACTGCCAGGACTTAGCCCGAAAGGCGGCGCACCGCGCGGCGGAGATTCTCGGGACAGAGGTACTCGATAATTCCACTGGTTCGTTGACAAGGGGATGCGCGCTGAGTAATACGCGGCTTCCGCTCGAGTATGCGGAGATTGAAGCCGTGGGCGTGAAGGCCGGGGTGGCGAAGGAGGATGTCGGGGTCCAGGTGAGGAATTGGTTGAGCAGGGCCGTAATTGATGAGTATGATACGTTCATGGCGTTGATGTTTTATGGCGGGGCGTGGTGGGTCAGGTGGAGCGGGCAGGTGTATCTTGAGTTGGAGGATTTTGAGTGGGGGGCTGAGAGGTTGAAGGAGTTGTGTGCGAGGGTGAGGGAGGGGGAGTTTGCGGTGGCGAAGAGTGCGTAGATATTCCGACGCTGGGGCTTCGGGAAGCATGATAGTTAGATGAGTGTTGTTGTTGTTCCTTTGAGTCGAACGCGTACCTCGGAAATATCTCGTTTGATCGGAAGAGTTAACGCTGTATATGGCAGAGTCCGTCTATCTCTTGAGCCAACCAGCAATCCGCCTCCCCTCCTTCTTCCTCGCCTTCTCCTCTTCCTCCCTCCTCAACCTATCCTTTTCCAGGAGCCTATACACCATATCTTGATCCCTCTTCTCCAACTCACTTCTCGTCATCAAACCTCTCCCCCCATCCGGCGCCTCGTCCTCCTCAAACTCCAGAGCCCTAGACCCTTCAATCCCAACTGCCCTAATCAAACGCCCGATTTTATTAGCCAACCAGTCCCTATGCTTGAGTCCGTTCTTCCAGTGCGGCGGCAGCTGCGAGTACCCCAGCCACGCACCGAGCAGGGCGCCTGCAGCCGCGCCATTGGTATCAGCGTCGCCACCTTCCATGATGAGGTCGGCCATGATGTCTTCAAAGATGGAATCCGGGGGTAGAGCTCCTTGTTGGTTCCGAGTGGCCCGCATCCCCAGTCTCAGAGCAAGGATAGCGGAACCGAGACACTTGTAGACATAACCGATCTTGTCGCGGTCATCGAGCTCGAGGTCTTCGAAACGGTTGGCGTAGACGTAGCGGGTGAAGTCTTCCCGATGCAAACGTCCAGACAAGTCCACGATATCGGGATCAGAATCAGGATTCGCCAGATTCGGCTGCGCGCATACCCACTCAAACGCTCTCTCCATGAGTGCATCAAGATCGTTCTCGTCATTCACCTCGCCACGCAGAATCCCCCGAATCACACCCACAGAGATACAACACGCAAGCGTACACCTCGGATCGACATGCGTCGTCCTCCCCACCCCAGCAGCAACCCTCCACGCCTCCTCCTCATGCAACCCCACGCCAATCACACCAATCGGATGCGTGCGCATCAGACTCCCATTCGGCGCCACCTTGCGCCCAGCATTCACCCACTCCTTCGTCGCCCTTGCGACCGGATCGAAGAGGTAATCGGATCGCGTGACGACGCCTCCGACGAGCCGGCCGATGCCGCAGGGGGGCCGCCCGAGAGCGAGGAGGCCCTGCTCGATCCAGATGCTGAGACGGGAGGCGAAGTCTTGCGGCAGCGTGGTGAGGTTTTGCGAGGAGAGGTAGGCGAGGAGGAGGAGGAGGGCGTGGTCTGTGTCGTCGGTCCAGGCGCAGGGGTCGAATTTATCTAGAGAATATTGTCAATTTCAATGTTCGTAGTACTATTATACAAATGAGAAGATTGTTGTGGGGAAAAGAGGTACACAGTACTTCTATGGTGGTCCTGATACCACTCCGTCACGGGGTCTACGAGACTGAATTTCCGGCCCGGATAGGTTTTGCCGCTTATCTCCTTGTTGAGGAATTCGGTGTAGAGGCCTATGGCGTCGCCTAGTGCGGAGCCGATTATGCAGCCGTGGATTTTGTCGATGAGGGTGGGTTTGATGAAGGGGTGGGTGGAGAGGAAGGAGAGTAGTTCGTTTTGGGAGTCTGTGGGTGGTAGGGTGGGCATTGGGGGGTTCACTGGTTTGGGGTGGTCCTCCATGTTGTATAGTATTATGGTTCAATGGATTGGGATATGGGAAATCAGCTTGGAGGTGTTATTTATATAAGTTAGCAAATGCTGGAGCCTTGAGCTCGTGATGGAGAATCGGGAAGGCTTGGCGAGCGGCTGAGATGGGGCATCGCTTTCCCCATTGTCTTCGACGACAGGGGAGGCCATTATGTCTGCACCGGACGGGAACGAATCTTGAGGCCCGAGGAGGATGGAGATTCCAGATACGTAGTATGTAATTTGAGTTGGGGAAAGATGTTGCGCTGAAGTCAGGTCAGACGAAGGCGCTAGACCGGATTGGGAGAGGTACCCTAAAGCCCTCTGGGCGCAGGCGCCATTCGCAAGATCACCATTATGATTTCTTCCCATATACCATCCATCTAAGCTCTGAGCTTTCAATCACCCTCACGACGTAAAGAACAAGCACACAGTCACGGAAGCAGATCGTCACGGATGAAGACGCTATCGATCGCTATCGCGAGGAGGAAACCTCCCGCAGGTTCTTCACTTTCGGAATGGAACTCAATATCTGAGTCTGCGAACACAATAGTATGTACTGCGAAGTTTAAAGCTGGCTATTCCACTGCAAATTCATCCCGCACGGCACGACCCTCCCAAAGCCGATGCCTACAAGATGGCTCCTCCCATGGCTCCAGTCTGGTATCATGCCCCATGTTTTTCATCCTCCCTACAAACCTAGCACTGGAGATTACATTAGCATAGCTCATAGACGTATATGGACATACTTGAAGGGATACAGAATGTGTAGGAAATGGGCAAGGAACTTACCGAGAATGTTGGCTTTTGGCATGCGCCGTCCGTTCGGAAGTAGCACGCCATATTGTGAGCATACTCGAATTCGCATTTCTATTTCCACCGTCAGTCATACTTGTTTGTTCTCTTCATTCCCGTCTTGCATCCTCTCTCCAACTCATTTCCTTTTACGCAGCTCCTTCACACTGTCCGCCTTCCTGGATTATAACAAATCCGCTCACCTCCTTGGCCGTCAACTGGTTGACGGGAATGATCGGCTTGATGCATTCGCAAGGCTTGACGGGCTTGAACGTAGGCGTGGGCTCCTTGTGAGGCTTGTGCTTCCGTGTCCTCGTCGGTCTTGGTCGACCAGATGCACTGGGCGACGGCGTCACAGGAACGGCGGTTACGATGGGTCCCTCGAACTGCGGTTCGGCGTGCGGGTATGCGGCGACTGCTGCCACGAGAGCGAGAGCAAGGGCAACTAGGGAAAAGCGCATCGTGGCGTCTGGATGAGGGATGTGCAATTGCGCTTGAGACGGCCGAAAGCGAGTTGTGAAAGTGTTTGGATATGGACACTCGCGAGTCGCGCTTCGTTACACAGCAACTGGACGCAAAGACCAAGAAAGACCAAGAACAGTGTTATCAGTGGGGCTGGAGCTCTATGTATGTATGTCCCATGCAGTCGAGCCAGCCATGGCCAAATGAGATACCCTAATCATCGCTCATCCATTCCAGGTTCGGTCCTCACGGAGTACGGGAAATCGAGATATGTTAGATTCTGGACTGCGTAGGCCTCCTGCGCGTCGTTCATATCTACAAATGGGATTTTATATCGGCTTGATTGCCCGGATAAACCGTAACCAGGCAGGATGGTCGCAGTCCGCGATTCTATTGGTTGTGAATCCGTTAGACTAACCCGTAGAGGAAAGCAAGGCTATGCGGACGCTGTACGTGAGACGACCACGTTACGAGTGCAGATGGCGAAGGCAATATTGAGATTTCTTCTTGAGGCTGCTGTCTGTAGATCTCTTCAGCGCTGGTTTGCTAAGTGCCCCGGTTGCTGCTTCGGGTTACACGGTGTATACTGTAGACTTATTGCACGTCTGCCGAGTTGCAAAATTGATCGTTCCAGATTTCGGGATCTGGTCAAAGGCTTTTTATAGAACCAAAGTGGGCTGAACTAAACAAGATAATCTATTGGATAAGGGAGCGTACGCCCACTATAACACGCAACGGAGAGTACGATTGCTGTAGGCAATCGTACACAAACCCTACACAGGCAATAGGAAATCTAATAGTGCAGAACCACAAGCAAGCAATAAACATTGGCAAACCTGAGGTGGAACCTCACACGTTTCGATATGTTGCTCCTCGTGCAAACCTTGGGAATGCTGCGTTGGAGGCTGTACTAGCGGTGCCGACTGCAAGAATGGTCTCGGAGGCGTCGAAATGTCCAAGTGCCCCCAAATGCACCCGCGAAGCGCCGCCTGGGATTGACCCAACATTCCCAACTCGACATCCACTTAGATGAGCTCCGACGGCTTCTACCGCGACATCTGCAGCACGTACGGAATCGAGAAATCATGGATCACGCTGGGGCGTTAAGCTTCTTCGAATCGGGCAGGGACACCAACGCGTCGGCGGCGGATTTTTCGGTTGGACACGCTATAGATGGCAGCAGAGTGGCGATTGCTCTGGATATGATTGTTTTCGAGAGAGGGGATAGCAAGCTGAATATCTGCTCCATTTGAAGCCAATTGAGTAGCGCTGGGTTGAGCCATGGTACGTTGAGACGCCCGTAGAACACGTCATGCAGTTAATTCGTCATTACCGCTATTCGCAAGGAAGGCGAGCATCGTCTGCTAAGATTACCAATTGCACAGCTTATCCGATTTGCATGTGATGTCCTAACAAAGAACGGGCCCGACATATGAACTTAATCGCATTCACATGAACGCTGGCGCCCTTATGACGTAAAATTACTTGAGGTAGATGGCCATGGCTCAAATGTAAAGCTCACAGCTATCCCATGTATTTCGTCATCTGCTTCCCTTAATCTCTCCGACACATTTCCAGAGAATCTTTTCGGTGCGTTTGGCTAAGTCTGTCGCACATCTACTTTCTCTTCATTAAGAATAGCGAAAGTGCGAACAAAATTCTCAGAGAGAGCTCTTTTCCCGCACTACAACATGCCTATCCCCATAGATGTTGTTGAAAAATGGGCACCCAGTATCAAGTTTCACCCGAATGAGAAAGCATTCCCATGTAGTATTGAGTACATGTTGCAGAACGGCAGTTTGAATCAACATACATTTCGCCCAGCTCAGACTATCTACGGCCAGAAGACCTCGACACCTGCACTTGCGTGCTTTCAAAATCAGCTCGTCATGGCGTATACCGACGAGTTCAGCTCGCAACTATGGTGCACACAATCCCAGGATGGCTGGAACTGGACCCAAGCTCAAAAGATTCCTGGACAGCACACGTCTGTCCCTGCACTTACAGTTTTTGCGGGGCAGCTCTTCATGGTTTATAGTGATGCCAACAGCAGTCAACTATGGGTCACAAACTCCATGGACGGTATTCATTGGAATTCTGCACAGCAAATTCCAGGTCAAGGGACTTCAATCCCAGCAATCGTCGAGTTCCAGAATACCCTGTTCATGGTTTACACCGACAGTAACAGCAGCCAACTCTGGATGAGTCAGGCGACACAGAATCCAGACGGCTCATTGAATTGGTCTTCCGCAAAACACATCGATGGGCAGTTTACCAGCATTCCTGCAATCACCGTCTTCCAGAACAAGGTCTTGATGGTTTATTCTGATGCCAACAGCTCACAACTTTGGGTCAGCCAGTATGACGGTACGAGCTGGAGCAAAGCTCAGACAATCCCAGGCCAACACACTTCAGTACCGGCATCGGGAGTCGTTGGAAGCTGGGCCGTCATGGTATACAGCGATGCAAACAATTCTCAATTCTGGGCTACTCACTCTCAGGACGGTTACAACTGGCAGGATACCATCCAAATTTCCGGGCAGTTTGGCTCCATTCCAGCTGTTGCTGTCCTCAACGGAACTTACTGGATGGTTTACTCTGACGCCAAGTCAGCTCAGCTCTGGGTGACCTCTACTGTTAACGGCGATATTGTCCCTCACGTCCCACTGGTTAACCCAACCCAGGCAGACCTCCGGAATACTGCTCCTGACCCTGGCTGGTTTCTCGACGTCAACAAGTCTCAATTCTCTGGCCAAACCGTTGGGGACGCCCCCATGTACTTCGCAGTCCAGCGGAACCCGGACCAAGTCAAAATCACCTATGTCTTCCTCTATGCCTGGCAAGGGGGAGTGACGCTCCGCGGCCGTCCGCTCGATGAAGATTATTTTGACGCCATGATCTACGATACAGGAACCCATGTTGGCGACATCGAACGCTTTTCCATCTATCTGATTGATAATGGGGATGGGACATACACTTTCGATCGAGCTGTATTCGAGGCACACGGTGATGCTTACGGGCCGTACACACGCAGTGAACTTATGTGGGACACAACAGGACCATCTCCGAACACTCATCCAGTTGTCTCTGTCGGGCTCAATGGACATGGAGTCTGGAATCCCAAGACATCTAGCAATCCGCAAGTCGTCCAAGCCGAGGGTGCGTGGGTAAGCATCGGCGACTATTTCGGAGACGTTAATTCGTCGTCCTCGGACAGCGGCGCCTGGTGGCGGCCCTGGATGCCAGGTGGAAATTTCCTCCAGTTGGGACTGGACGCTACAGGCCTACCGATAAACAACCAGTTGTGGGCAGCGTATTGTGGTCGGATGGGCCCGTCTGGCCCGACGACGATGAGAGGCGCAACTTACTTGGATGGCTCCGAATTGAATTTCAACGACCGGAATCAAGTGGACTTCATCTGGACAATAGCTAGTACTTTTGGGTACATCAGCTCTGAACTGAGGAATGCGGATGGTCCTGTGGGCCCTGGGTTGAGGGACTGGGTTCATTCGAGCTTGTGACGATGATAGCGATGTCAGACCTTCGAAAGTGCCATTCGATACCCCAAACATCCTATCCAGCATATCTGTATCGGGCATGTTTGTATGTTCAAGATGATGAGGATGATGAGGATGATTGGTCAGAAGGATCGTAAGGTATCGATCAAAGCACAAGACTGACACGCCTCCGCCGCTACCCCTGTCTCTGCTAGGGCAGACCCATGATTGATATAGACGACGGCAAGGAAATGCTATTCTGTTGTGTTCAAATCGAAACGATTGCGGTCAGTTCATAATTGGGAAATGGTAAGGGGAGTGTAATCTACACATTCAAAATTCCCAGTTGAAGCCACGCGGTCGCCTTATGACACCGGTGTTGATGAGCCGCTAGCATATATTCTCTTCAGGCCCAGCAATGGAATACCTGAGTCAATCCTGTGGTAGAGATTGGATCGACATATTCCTTTTTGTTGCGCACACCCTGCAGTAACACTGTAAGGAAAGTCTCCACGGCGGGCGTTTGCGCTTGATGATTAAGCACGTTAGGATGTTCATGCCTCGGGTTGTACGACTGCATTACGCTATCCATGGAGAAAGTGGGTTTTGAAAGAGCACTCATTAACTGCTAAGCAAGCGCCACACGCCTTGAAAATTCCATGTGCAGTTAATGTTAGGTTTTTGTCACTTGTATTTTGACCGAGGCATCCCTGGTATACGTGGTCGTATCTTCGGTGAAGGTCGTGTTCTCTTTGATATCGACCTCCGCAGTTCCAGGTTTTGCGCTGACTTTGCCGGTGAAGACAAGCTTTATCTGATCCCCAGGCTTCAAAGGCGCATTATTTGCCTGGGCGTCCGTCACGAAGATGAGCAGCTGAACTTTGGGGGTGTTATCGTGAGCAGGCCTGCCGCACGCGAAGCTCGAATCGGGACTTGTGAGGACGAAGGAAGCGTCGTCGCTCGATTTCAATAGGCACATGCTGTCATCGTCGCCTTCGGCCCATGTAATAATGAGGTTGACAATCTGCGCGGCGGATGTAGCAGAAATAGGATTTGTGATTGTCAGCGTGACGGATTGGTCAGCGGTGCCTGTCTTCACCGACGCCGGCAGGAGGCTGTATTGCAAGAGCGGATCGGGCGGTGCGGGGCAATTGGACATCCAGGAACCTCCGTCTCCGTCCAGGAATTTCTGTGCTGCTGACTCAGGGGGGTCCGGATGCACCCATAAGCTGACAATCATGAGTATCAGTCCGGCCACGGCAAGAATGGCCCCAGCCACAGGCACAAAGGCAAAGGACACGCCAGCCAGTGTGCCCACGAAGGCGACCAAGCCGACGGCAGTTCCAAGTCCAACATCAATAATCTGGAGTACGTCAAGAGCCTTGACCCCTGGATTTTGGCCGTTGTCGAAGTCTTCTTTCACCTGGAAGCCAATTGCTACCGTTGCCACACAACCAGCGAAGAAGCCTATGAAGCTTGTGACCTGGTCTGCCACTTCGAAATCCTCCTCCCAATAGGTAAATCCGAACTTCTTACCGCCAGTAGGAGGAGGGCGAACGGCTTGACGAGCCGCTTGGCTGCCAACGGATTCGGGAGCGTTCTCACCGATGCTGGCACCGAGATTTTCCATTTCGATTGCTTCTGGTGCGGGTACATTTGATATGACGGAACCTCCTAAGGCTCCGTCGAGCTCAGCGGCATCGCCAGCGCCACCGGAAGCTGCCGTCTTCCACAGATCCCAAGCATCCTTCAACTGATGATTGTAAGCATCTTACCAGACATTACTAGTTGCTCCCCGTGGTAGGTCAACTCACCCCGTTGAGAAGATTTGTGGTAGAGTCAATGAGCGCTGTGACCAGTGCCACTTTCTCCATGTCATTAAGGTCGTTCCACCCACGGCCTGTGAGGACGCTGAAACCCTTGAAGATACTGTATGCCGTGGTGCTAGTTGTTTTGTTAGCCGAGGACATGTCTCGTCTTGAAGTTGACTTACCAGAACATGACGGTTCCCTTTGTGATCGCTGCGATCTTCCCTTTGCCTGGGTTCTCCTCTGCCCACTTGTCAATTGCATCGCTGTACTTGACACCGTCACCACGACGCATCATGCCAATGTTCTCAAAGATGTCGCAGCTAAGCTGGATAATCCACAAGTTCTCCAGAACCCACCTAGTCGCAGCAGCCAAGTCAGTGCCTACGATGCCAAGCTTGTTGATGTCGTCTTTCAAGCCCTGCAGAACAGAGTTCTCGGGAAACGATTCGGTGCCTAGAAGCTGCGCGATAAGACCTGTCATTGTTTGCTGCAGGAAATCTGTCAGTTCACCCCTGTCAAACTTGGTCTCCTTCAGCCTTGACACTTGATCCGCAAGCTGGTTCAGTGCCAGGTTGGCGAAATCTTTGGCGTATGTACCATCTGGATAAAGCGTGTCTAACGCCATCACGTAGCGATTGACGAGGTTCGGACCATCCTGTGACAATGTCAGCCTGATGTTCAAAGATGCCATTTCAATGGAAACTCACATAACCAGGCACAGCCATGGATCTGCCTAATCCGCTGATGAAGCCGCCCTTTTAAGTTCAAAACGTTAGCAATCTCGAGGAGCGTTAATGACCCACTTCGATTGGACTCACCTGGGATACCTGACGGTACATTTGAGTAGCCCATAACTTCCCATCCTTAAGGCGATACTTGTTGAGATTGCCAACTAGGCCCTGGTACGCTACCCTTGAGCAGATTGCAGTAGCGTTTGCATACTCTGCACTCTGGCTGAGCGTTCCTTTTCCCTGAAGTTTCGATGTTAGGACGGGATTTCAACTTGTGGCCAACATTCTCCACCAAACTAGGGCACCAACCTTGCCAGAGAGAAAATACTTCAACCTAGTTCGTTTATTGTCGTCGAACTTATCATTAAAAAAGGGTTGCGAGCTCATTCCCTGACAAAGGTATGCTTTCGCTAAGTCCTCGGCTAGGAACTGCTTTGTCTTGTCTGCGATGGCCTGAATGGCCATATCAACATCTGGACGGTTTACACCGAACAGATCAAGATGATCTTTGGAAGTGTGATAGAGAATCTAGGGTTACTTTTAGCAAACAGATCTGGGATACGTTTTGCAGACCATGATGGTCGGGCCAGGAGTGGTGGGCTTACCGCGTTTGTTACCTGGTTTTGAGCTGCCTGCTGGACAGAAACATCTGTTGCGGGCCATGTAGTTTCGTACATAAGATTGCCTAAGCTATAATCGTTGTCGTCATCCTCGACGGCCATAACTTCTGTGACAACTGCAGGTCCATCCCCCAATGCGGAACCTATGGATGGCCAGCAAGCAGCAAGTTTTGTATGTGCTGTACGTTGAGCTTCCAACCGACGACCTTCTTGTACGATGGCTCCGGTAGTCGACGAAATTGACGAAAGGAGCCCGTAGGAGTACGGAACTGCTTCCTTTATATCGGAATTTTCGACATTCTGATCGACCTGGTACCAACCCTGAAGTGTGACGTAGTCCGGGTTTTCCACATGCAGGGTGGAAAACCTGAGATTTGCAGGAGTAGGAATGTATTTTTCGCCGTTTTGCTTGGCCTTATTTCGACGCAGGAGTTCAATACGGTCCCAATCCATATTGATGTAGAACTCAGCGCACATTACATTACCCGCTAGGTAGACCACAGAGTCATAGATCACTGAAGGAATAACATTCCCGTTCTTATCGGTGATGGCCTTGATCTGGTTTTGGTTCCCGCCGGCGATAATAGACTGCAGAAGAGCGTCGAATTCAGGGATAGATGCAGTTGTCTCCGACAACTCATTGATGGAGACGCTTCCTATCGTGACTGACCAAGGCCATTGTTCCCATCCTGGTGTGGTGACGACCGGGGGCTGATTTGGCCAGCGAAGACCAGTCATGGCCTTGGTGAGGATATCAGATATATCATCACCGCCGTCAAAAGCAGTCTTCATATTTTCACTGTCGCCTGCAATGAGTGACCAAGTCGCGCTTGACGGATCCGCTTTTGTTAGGATATGTGTGCCTCTGTGGAGAGTGCTTCTATTCGCATCCGGAGTCAGAAGTAAAGAGCCGCCTGCCGAGAAGCCAGCCCTATCGAATTTTAACTGCCCGTGCTCATGCTTCCCTTCATTAAGCTGGCGAGACCATCGAATTCTCCCGTCGGTAATCGTAGCCCTGTGACAGATGACCCCATCAATGATCACTCTTCCATGAACAATGGTGACTTCTGCGAGTTTCTGACCATCCACGATTGCATTACCACCACCTCCTGTGTGGCGTGGCCGAAGGCAGAATGAGCGCACCAGATCCATAGGATTGGCAGTATGATGGGGCCGTGACTTTCGTATATCGCCGCTTGGTGTCTTTATCTCGGCTAGTGGATTCAGTGGGTGTGATGCCTTCATCCTTTGACTAACAAAGTTGGCTATTCTAGGTCCGAAGGCGGCAGAAATCGCCGGTTGACTCCTCTCCAAGTCCGCGACGTATGTTTGCAATTCCGCAAACGGTAAGCCATGCATCTGCTTGACAATGCGCTGAACAGTAAGTTCGGGGTAATTGAGGGCCACAAGGAACCCATTGGCATGGTAGCTTCGCAGTCCTTCACGCAGATGCAGCCCGTACAAATGGGAGGATGTTGTGACCTCAGCAGGAAGAGCGTGAATTGTAACAATGTCATAGGATGTCGAAGAAGAGACCGATGATGCACCTGAGTGCTGTGGGACTCGTAGAACCTCGTCCCCGATACGGAGAGTTCCGACTTGAAGCCAATCGTTTTCAATTCGAGCTAATTTCGGGTCGATTGCACGTAGGCCAGTGGTGGTGTGAAAAACATGACCAGCTGTAAACTATAAACACATTAACAGCTGTACCGGTTTGACCAAAAGTTGCGAACGGTTTCCAAAGAACGCGTTGTCCGACACATTATCTCTGGTACGTCTCTAGGGAGACCCGTATAGGATTTGGAGTTTGAGGGTAACTTACGAAGGGCTTGATTTGGTTGATTCCATATACTTTTGTCCTCTGTTTGCCAGCAGTCGCGAGGACCTTTACCGGCTCATCTGATGTGCACCCTAATGGCATTGTTAGCCCCTTTAAGATTAAGAGAAGCGACATAACATGTCTTTCTCAACACTGACCCCATTCCGCATGGTTGATTTTGAGTCTTGTCAAGACCACGGTTCCCTCTCCAATGGTCTCGATACGCTGAATACCGCGATCTGTATGGACAGTTGTCCCTTCGATGAAACAGGAACTAGATCCAGGGTCGTCCCAGTCATCAACCAGACCATGGACGGACCCATCGACGATGATTGGCGTTGTGAAGCCGTCCTGTCCTTGTAGGGCGCTCTGTGCGTCCAGCCACTCGTTGACGCCCCGGGCATGTATGACTACATTCAGTCAGCGGCTATCGTTAGACCCTTCCGCTGCGCACTCACCTCTGTGGTGTGTTCCACTCTGCATACCGTGTGGACCGGCCCAGATCGGCCAAGTTTGCTCCGTAGAAACTGCACACGCGTCCTTGCACGCCTTCTCAAAAACTTGAGTGTCATATAGCTGAGTCCAGCCATCCAGCAATGATGGTCCATATTTCGGCCCCACGGCTGTGCCCAGGGCGTTGAGGGAAGAAATGTCTTCTCCCGGGCGTCTGAGCTTGATCTCGTCTCTGACATACACAAAAGCATCATTCAACATTGTGTTAGTTCCGATGTTGTGCCGTGTCTTGAAGTTAACAAGAAAGATTGGGTCAGCCATGAGACCCTTGTACTCCGAGACAAATTCATCGTCCGCGATGCGCTCGTCGAGTGGTTTCCCAGGAGGCTTCTGTTCAGCCACCTGCCGCGAAACCTGCATACCAAACACTTCATGACCAAATGATGGCAGCAAGCCATCTCTGTTTTTGCCGCTTCTATAGTTCAGGGCTTCGCTCTAGATTTTCCGTTAGCACATATCCCCCAGATGAATTGCAACGTGAGCACAGTTTTTACCTTGACAACGCGCGTTCCAAGTCCATAATCTGTAGTGCTGGACATTCCAATGACAATGGCCAATGCGGCAAGTTTTTGCACATCCTGTCTTCTCATGTAGGCCCCAGGATCAAGTTGTGAGCCCATATCGCTTTTCAAAGTCGCGAGGTCAGCATCACTAGGCCCGCCAAAAAAGGGCGCACCGCCCCGTGGGCACCATTTCGCGCACCGTACCAGGATATCTGTCGACGCAGGTTGATTCCATTCGGGTATTGTTAGAAGTTCGAAAAGAAGGTCCATTGCCAGAGGGTATTGTACGGACATATCAATGTCCTCTTTTTCGATCCAATTCCGGATGGGCTTAGGTTTTGGTGCTGATGCGTTACGGCCAGGTCCCACGGATGATGGCAGTCCTACTGCGCCAGCCTGACCAGGCGGAGGCTTGGAGACGTCCATCTTGGTACCAAGGTTTCGGGGTCCAGAGGAGTAGATCGAAAAGGATTGTCGAGGGGTTAACATGGGATGACGGAGAGTAGGACTACATTTTCTCTTATATTTTTGAGTATAGTGCCACTTGTGGCGGGACTTCGACCTCAAACCAGCCATGTGCCCGACGTCACCTGCATGATTCACTTGGGTCACGTCAGTACCAACTCTAGACCGCCCTGAACTTACTGACTAGCTTGCACGGCGTGGCAGATGCAATGCTTCGTTCGCTTGAAAGAGCAGCCCTCTCCGTTTACCACACCTCATCTATCAGTACGTCACCGCCTAGACTCTTGAGTTATTCCATTATGTTTTCCTTCATTGGTTCGAAACTGTCACTAACACAACACCTGTCGAACTGGGTTTTCGGAAAATCCCGCAGCAACCCTTCGTAGCTGGATGCGGAGACGCACCCTAGAATGATTGGGGGATGTTCGACCGGTCACATACGCGCGGTCCCGCTGCGTGAGGGTTCACTAAAAGCAAGCCACAAAAGGGTGGGATGAATAGGATTGACGTCACCGTTACATTCGTAGGGATCGAAGTATCTCCTGTAGATGTCGAAAAAGAGGTGGGGTTGTGACATGTGCGAAGTCAACAGCCTGGACATGGGCAAAAACCTTGAGGGGGGTTCTGACATGTGCCAATGAGATGTGCCAAATTCACCAGGTCGGACACGAAAATCGCCCCCATGAGGGGTTAAGACATGTGCAAAATTAACCGCATAGCCATGGACAGACCCTGAGGGGAGCTGAATGAAGCGGAAAGGTTTTACAGAACAGGAAGCCTATATTAATTAGGGAGCTGTGAGTCGACCATACTTTGTCCAAGGAAATCTCTTTCAAGCAGATTCATACAAGCAAATATCTGCAAGCAAATCCCTACAAACACATTCCTACAATCCAAGTCGACCAAACATTCCGAGCGAAGTCTCTCAAGTCAGCGACAGCGCGCATCTTGATTCATCAGGCACGATCACAATGGGAATTCTCGGACTTGTTCAAGCATCCAAACTTGCGGCCAGCTACGATATCGATGCTGCGGAACTGACCCTGTTGGCCGAAGGCACCGTTCTCCAAGCAACTTCTGGGTATGAGTTTCGACCCGTTTCAGGAAAAGCTTTGTCATATAGCCTTGAAGCATGGATCGAACCACTTACGGGCCAGAAGACCCCATACAGCTACACACAGAGCTTTCAATTGTCTCAATTCCCTCCTCCTAGGGAAGTCTTCGTCAAGGATGCAAACCATCCAGAAGGTGTCCCTGTCAAGGTCCAGCTCGGTGGATTTATTGGCCCCCAGCCTCCACCACCGTTGACAGCAGATGGTACCGCTGGCAAGCCGGCCGCTCAATTGCAGAATGAGGTTTTGGCTCCACCACAGGATGTACTGAATGTTCTGTACGGCGAACCCTTCAACATCAAGGAGAGCGCCGAGACCCCCAAGTTCGGCTCAGTTGAGATCAAATTCGATCCTCGGTTCCTGGTTCTTAGCACTGCAGGGGTCAATGACGGTGACATTGTATGGAAATTTGACTCGCTCCAGACTGGAACTACGCAGGTAATCGTCTCCGTCTACGGCGGAATCGCCACGTATGTTCGGACAATCGTGTATACCGTCCGCGTCTTCATACTTCCTCTTGAGCCCGGGCCAGTCATCAACGCTGACGGAACGCCCCAATCTGACCGACCGAAGTCGAAAAGTCATGGTCCAGGGGTCATTGGTTTTCTCGGACGCGCCGAAATCGCTCGCCGCAAGGTGCTGGAGAAGTACCCCAGTGCGGTGCTGTACTATGTTCGGGCCTGGACGAGGAGTCCCAGGGGCGTCCATTCTCCTTACGAGCTGACGCATATGGAAGTCGTCTTCCGCCTTAAGGATGGCGTTGCCACCATCACCTCGACTGGCTACGACGATTTTGGCCCTATCGAGGTCCGCCAGGGACAAATCGTCGGCAACTCCAACACTGACTGGCCCCCTACTATGGACGCTGCTGCTGCCGATGCAATCCTCAGAGAACAGGGCCATAGAGGGAATTACTATGCCCTAACTCTGCGAAAGCCGATTTCCCCTGGAGTCGACGAAGACTATTACGTCTTCGGCATGGTCCATGGACCCGAGGTGTCCATTGGGACAAAGGGACACAAGGTAGCATTTTAAGTCTGCGGGAAAAACCCGCAGGCAGGCTACGAGGAATATGTTCAACAAGAACATATGCAACGACCCGGGTATGAAAAGAATTGGCCATGAAGTTCACCCCGTAATTTATGTAATATCGGTTCATATTCCGCAAATTCGAGCGATCTCATAGGAGTGGGCTTTTGGAGCTCGTAGAGATAGAAGGTGTCGAGAAACAGAAAGTGAGCAGTAAAGCTGCAGTTTAAGAAATGATTATTCGAGTCCCTTAGAGAAAGCCTTTATGACATTCTTATTGGCTGAGGAGATAACGCTTGCGCTCTTAAGGGTACTAGCAGGGGGGTTCCCGTTGATCCCGTATAATCTTTCTGTTTTGATTTTAGAACCCACGATCTTCGAACTTTTCTCCCTTATGTTTTCCTATCGGAAGAACCCTCAGCTGCTCCGCCCATCACGGGCCCGCTTCAAAGACTAAATGAAACGTATACCGTTCAGTGGGTCACCAGTTGGGAAATAACACGCTACTGACCCGTCTGTGGCGTGACAACACTGTTCAATGAAGTGATCAATATCGCAGAAACCACCCCCCGGGGAACAGGTCGCGCAGGTTGTTGGGGTGGCGACAACATTGACGGTTTAGTAAGGTTCGAGTCAGAATCCATATAGAGCTGAAATGATACGATCATATCCCACACATACCTGAGGTGGGGCCCATTTTCGGACGCAAAACTCTCCAGAAATGGAGACATCTAAGCCCAACCCAACATCCTTTATGAGGAAAGCGCAACGTCGTATGGCTAATTGTGGCAATGGTAGCAATTTCGAGCAATCTGAACAGCACAAAACCCCGCAGCATTCCTCTTCACTTCTTCAAACTCATCTAAGTTTTTCCTCGAGTTCCATCCCGTAATCCGAATTAAAAGCGAGCGCTGTCGTCGCTCATATTCTACAACCCACAAACCCCAGCGCCTATACGCGACGCATGGTGAACTATCGATGCAGCCTGTTCAAATCTGCCCGGTTCTATAGAAACGGCATGATTATTCCACCAACCACATTTCTGGAAATATGATTTTGCACTTTATAAAACGTGGTGTAGCTGCCGAACAGTTTGGAGCCGAAGCTGTTGAGGTGGCTCGCAGAGAGACGTTACTATTGTTGGTGTTTCGACCACGACACACGCTTATATCGATATTGGAGTTAAATGTCGAAAGTTCGAATGCCCATTGGGTCAGAAATAGTGGTTATTTCCACTAATCAAGTATTGTGTGGTGCTGTCGCATCCTACTAATACAAAATGCGCTACGCGCAAGATCATTTCCTGGCTGAATCGCGCACCTCGACGCAATGGAGCTCTTGACTCTTCTGGTGTCCCTTTTAACTCTTGTCCTTGGCTCATCGGCCATCGGGCAACCCCCTAGTCTTGCCTTCTCCGAGACGGCAGATGGACTGAAGCTCGGTGGCACCGGTTTAGGACCAACCATCGTCATCGATACCAAGGACTGGCCCGGCGTCACTCGAGCTGGAAACGACCTAGCAAACGACTTTGGACTCGTTACCGGAACGAAGGGCAAAGTCGTAACGGGAACAAGTGGACTTTCGAATGTGCAAGTCATTTTTGCCGGAACAATAGGGAAGTCTCCGCTCATCGATGGGCTTGCCAACTCTGGGAAGTTGGACTTAACTGGGATCCAAAATAAATGGGAATCGTTTACATCTCAACTAGTTGAGAATCCGGTGGATGGAGTATCCTCAGCGCTCGTACTAGCAGGAAGTGACAAACGCGGCACCATATTCGCCTTGTACGATGTTTCCGAGCAGATAGGCGTCTCGCCGTGGTACTGGTGGGCCGATGTACCACCCAAGAGGAAGACAGTTATCTACGCTCTGAATACCACGAAAAAGCAAGGTCCACCTTCGATTAAGTATCGCGGCATCTTCATTAATGACGAACAACCTGCCTTGACAAACTGGATCAATGAGAAATATGGCGGAAAATATGACTCGCGGTTTCATGCTAAAGTGTTTGAGCTTTTACTTCGATTGCGAGCAAACTATTTCTGGCCTGCGATGTGGAATAGCAAGTTCTACGTGGATGACAGCAAAAACGGACCTCTTGCCGACGAAATGGGGATTGTCATGGGCACTAGTCATACGGAACCGATGGCTAGAGCCGATAAGGAGAAAGTTAAGCCGTGGGATTGGAAGAGCAACCAGAACAACTTGAAGAAGTACATGGAGGATGGCGCGAAGAGAGCGAAGAACTGGGAAACACTGTGGACGCTCGGTATGAGGGGAGACGGGGATACTGCAAGCCCAACCTTGGATGCGACACAGTTGACCGCTGTGATCAACTTCCAGCAAACGACATTGAAGAATGTGCTTGGGGTTTCGGACCTGAGCACAGTGCCACAGATGTGGTGTCTTTATAAGGTAATCTCCGTAAAACTCTAGGGTTTGGTCATCACTCACATATCCTAGGAAGTAGGGGGCTACTACCAGAAAGGCATGAAGATCCCTGACGATGTCACCTTACTCTGGAGCGACGACAACAGTGGCAATATCCAACGTCTGCCCATTCCAAGCGAGTTGTCTCGGGTTGGCAATGCCGGAGTATATTACCACTTTGGTAAGTCCTCTGCATCGATTCAACATTCACTTCTTCTTCACTGGTCTTCACGCTGCTCTCTTCTGTCCGCCCGGCATCACCGCTACAGCCGTAATGGCTAACTTTGAAGACTACGTGGGGGACCCTCGCAACTACAAGTGGATCAACACAATTCAACTTTCAAAAACGTGGCAGCAAATGCATCTTGCGCATCAAAAGAACGCTACCCAGATCTGGATTGTCAACGTTGGTGACCTGAAACCCCTGGTAAGCCTCCCGTACCCCAATCTCGCTGCAATAAACTACCTGGGTTAAACACTCTATTAGGAGATCCCAATTTCCCATTTCCTGGACATGGCCTACGATATGTCCCGCTTTATGAAGCCTGACAGCACCGATACATGGCTCAAGGCATGGGCAACACGGGAATTCGGCGATGCCGTTTCTGCAGGGACCGCCGAAGCAATCGCGACCTATGGAAAGCTCATCGTGCGTCGGAAGTACGAACTGCTCAACTTGAGCCCCTTTCTTTACACCCTCGCAAACTACGACGAGGCTGAGAACGTCTTGAAAGAGTGGGAAGCCCTTCAAGACAAGGCCCAGAAACTGTATGACAGCTTGGATGCCGAGACTCAGATTGCCTTTTTCGAGATGGTATTGCATCCTATCATGGCGGGGAGAATTGTGCAGCAAGTGTACATCAATGCGGCCCGGAACGGCGCCTATGCAAAGCAGAAGAGAATGACTGCCAATGTACTCGCCGACGACGTCAAGAAGGCATATGCTCAGGACGCAGTCATCCAAAAACGCTACCACTCACTACTGAACAATAAGTGGAACCATATGATGGACCAAGTCCATTTTGGCTACAACAACTGGCAAGATCCTGCCAGCAATAGCATGCCATCCGTCCAAACAATAGGCACATCGGCGCCCTCAACAGGTCTAATGGGCGTCTCAGTTCAAGGGAGCACAGCATCCACACCAGGAGATGCCGCACCCACTTTAGCAGCTCTCGATCCATACACTCCAGAAAACCGCACCATCGACATCTACGCCCGCGGCGCAGGAAGCGTAGACTTCACCATTACCCCAAGCGCCCCGTACATTTCCGTCTCTCCCTCTCAAGGCACCATCAGCTACCCCTCAGGCACCCCTCAGATCCGCGCCGTCATCACAGTCGACTGGGCCGCCGCCCCCAAAGGAGCCAGCACAGTAATAATCTCCATCAAACCGAGCACCGGCACGGAAGTCAAGCTCTCCCTCCCCCTCAATAACGTCCAAGTCCCCTCCGACTTCAGAGGCTACGTCGAATCCAACGGCGCCGTCGCCATGGAAATGCGACATTTCACCTCGCGCACCGCCGGCACGGGCGGCGCCACCGTCGAAGTGATCCCCAACTACGGCCGCACGGATTCGGGACTCACGCTTCTGCCTGTAACGGCTGGGACGCAGACGGTTGGTTCCGCACCAAAGGCTGTTTACAACTTCTACGCTTTCAGTTCCGCTGCGTCGGCCAAGGTAACGGTCTACATGCCGCCCTCGTTCAATGTCAATCCCTCGGCGCCTTTCAAATACGCAATTGCCCTGGATAACGGGACGCCGACGACGGTGGCCCCGGTGCCGAGTTCGACGCTGGGGGCAATGCCGGGCGATTGGAGCAATAGCGTTGTCAACGGCGGGAGGGTTGTGAGTACGAACTTGGGTAGTAGGATTGACCAAGGCGCGCACAGTTTGAGTTTGTGGTTGTTGGAGCCGGGCACGACGGTGCATAGATTGGTGGTGGATTTGGGAGGGGTGAAGAGTAGTTATCTGGGGCCACCGGAGAGCTCAAAGGTCGGGATGTGAGTGGCAAGGGTTGCAGAGAAAGAGGAAGGTATATCTTGTCTGTGGAAGTGAATATTACATCTTGATTGGGACAATGGTGGGCACTCGATCTCTTGATGCGGAAACAGGTCTAGCCGTGCACCCAAATGATGGATACATGCAACTTTGCCGCCAGAAGTGCAGGCTTTCGCTTGGGTGGTAAATTTGATTCTCCCAGCTATGCATTACTACTTGTCGAATGCATCTCTCAACCTCTCAAAATGGCCCCTCACCTCACTCGCCAGTCGGCCGTCTACATCAGCGAGAATCGTGCAGACCAGACTGTAGTTATTGCACAAGAAACGCTCCCTCTTCCTGGATTCCCCAATCCCCTTGCTGAATTTGGTCAGATACGCTTCAAACTCGCTGCGTATCCTTCCCACAGACACACTGACAGGTTCGTCATCACCAGCTTCGCTTGACAGGGCTAGTATGCCGTGGAGGAGATTTGCAAACTTCTGAGTCAGGGCCGTCGGAGCCGTGGATGAAGCTGAGGAGGATGAGGAAGAGAGGAGGGCGGCACCAGCAGAAGGACGATTGGGCAGGCCGGAAGTTAGTTTCTGCAGAGAAGAGCAGTGTAGGTCGAGTATCTGCTGAAATCGCGGCCAGAGAAGCATATTGGTAGCATTGATGTATCCTTCTACCGTCGGAACTTTGCGCCTCTGGAGCTCGAACGCATGGTGTTGGTTAATGCGGACGCAGAGGAGAATTCCTAGGGTATCTGTTGTTGACTCGGTAAGTTGCTTGGTGAGAGCCTGGCCTAACGCCAGAGTGGGTTCGAAGATGGCCGCAAACGTGCGCGAGACAGCATGGTAGTTCTGCGAAGGGGCGAAGTAGGTACTGAGGAACGTGTATTCAAAGCTGGCATTGTCGATCAGCGCAAGATTGAAGGAGCGGAAGGGAACTTCGAGGTAGTGAGCGCTCTTTTCTTCCTCAGCCAGATAGGCGGTTAGGGCATTGGGATTGGGATTCCGCAGGACATCCTGCCTCCTTCCTAAGGAGAAGGCATCGTGCGACGACGGCGGTGCGCCCCTGTTGCTTAGTAGAGCACCGGAACGCTTTGCTGACGTGTCTTCACCGATGATGTCGTATTTGTCGAAAACGTGCAGCTTTACTTTCTCCAGCGCCGTGCGGTACCTACTGAAGTGGTTGAGGTAATACCATCGCATTGTATATATGTAAGCTTGTGATATTTGCTGCGCCAGTTCTGGTTGATTCTTCGCGAGGAATGCATACAGGTCCTTGTACTTGAGGAAGGCTTGCTGCTGTATGATCTGCGCATTTATACTTGGCGACCGTATTGCTTTGATCTGCGCGACAATGTAATCACGTATGCGTTCCACAGCTTTGTTGGTCAGGTTGTCTATCAGCGGTTTTATGTCCTGAAGTGCTTTCATGTCTGGATGGTCCTTTGCCTTGGTATGGATGGTCTTTGAGCGCTTTTCCAGGTCCGCGATCGCATGGAGAAAGCCCTCATCGACGGCGCCCTCGGATATCTTGCGTACAACAGAAGGTGATATGCTTATGTCTTCGACTGCGGGACCAAGGAGCTTCTCGACCACTTTTCGGTTTTCCAGCTTGGTATTCAGAGCTATTGACCGGTTCTGCAGACTTTCAATCTCCGCGGATACAGCCTCGAGATCAGATTGGAAGTTGGTCAAATAGGTTTCCACGGACTTGAGCACCTCGTCGCACGCGACAATGGACTTGTGTAGCTCCTCGAACCTCTCCTTCTCCGCATTATCTGGAGATCATGAGCTTTATGGACGGGCATTGAGTTTGGCAGAACACGTACATTCTTCGAGAGATTGTGCGCTATGTGTATGTACAGGAGAATGAGAATGCCGTGCATCTGCTGTACCTGGTGCAGCGTATTCACGCAGACTGAGACCACCAAAATCTACCTCTTCGACTAGTTCATCCGGCCTTCCTACCGAAGCAGCTACCTCCTTTTCTTTCGCAACAGCCGACTTCCGAGGCGGCCCTCCCAGTATGGATTCCAGTACCTGCAATGGATCGGGCACATCTGGAGGAACTGTCCCCTTTCCCGGTCGCCTCCGTTCCGAGCCATTGGCGATATGCGCTGTGGAAGGGAGACTGGTAGTAGATGACGCGGGAGTCCCCAGGAGAGATAGTGAGGAAGTTCGAGTAGGCAGTCCGGGTCGAGAAGGCAATGACCCTGTACCCGCACCGGCGTACGGCCGTCGGGGAGCTGGCGAGTAGGAGTCGCGTCGGGGGGGTGTTCCTGAGGGCGTAGTGTGGGCAGACAGTCGGTCCAAACCCCACATTGCGACGATGAAGAATCCCTTGCCTGCCTACCAATCTACCAGTATGAGCAACATCGAATCCGACAAAAGGTCATTCAGGCGTATGAAACGGTGACGGGCTCTAGTTGGGACGACAGCTGTAGTCGGCGCATGTTTTTCCGAAGCCGTGCGCTCGAAACGGGCTAGCGCTAGCGCCCTTGCCGGCTGCCCCGCATGCCCAACTCGAAATTCCCAATCCCTCGCCAGACTCTTCTTCCTCCTCCTGCACACCATCCACTCCTGTTCACCACCCAGCCCGCGTCCTACGCTCCACCCAAGCCCACCCACCTATTCCGTCGCATTTTCGCAACTTTCCTTCAATATGGCCGACAACGACGCCCAGGTATGTGTGACTTGATAACCCATCTGTCCCGCCAACCCCACCTTTTCCCATCACTGTCGCGACAGGACGCCCAGATGTCTGCGTGGCTCATAACGTTACTATCATCCATCGCGTAAATCGCTTAGGCCGTTCACTAACTCTGCTGTGTACAGCATGAGCACACCTTCGAGAGCGCCGATGCCGGTGCCTCCATGACCTACCCCATGCAGTGCTCTGCCCTGAGGAAGAACGGCTTCGTCTGCATCAAGAACCGCCCCTGCAAGATCGTCGAAATGTCGACCTCCAAGACTGGCAAGCACGGCCACGCCAAAGTCCATCTTGTCGCCATCGATATCTTCACTGGCAAGAAGCTTGAGGATCTTTGCCCCTCCACCCACAACATGGACGTCCCCAACGTCCGCCGCCAGGAGTACCAGCTCGTAAGTGTGCACGGAGGGACCAATGGGGATCATTCGCTGATCCGTACACTCTAGCTTGACGTTACTGACGACGGCTTCCTCTCCCTGATGTCCGACGACGGCACCACCAAGGACGACGTCAAGCTCCCCGAGGGTGAGGTTGGTGAGAAGATCAACAAGCTCTTCACCGAGGAGGGCAAGGATACCAGTAAGTTTGATACCGAGTCGTTTGTTTCAGGACTACATTCTGACAACTACAGACGTTATCGTCCTCACGGCCATGGGTGAGGAGGCTGCCATTGATGCCAAGGAGGCTCCTAAGAGCGGTTAAACTGTTCGTCTTCCGGACGTTTAGGTTCTTTGCGGAGAGGAGTTGAGGGAGTGTGATGGGTGCAACGGGACAAAAATAACGGGTGGTCTGCATATGTCTATATGTAGGCTTGCAGTGTTTGGCATCTCACATTGCTACGGTTGCGCCCTACCGATGGCCCCGAGTTTGGACCTTCGGACGGTTTGGGACGATTTCTTTGCATTACGACCTTCCTCCTCTTACATAGAGGAAGCCTCACTAGTGTGGTTCTCAGGGGCGCCCGTCTAGATCATCTTTGTACCTAGGTAGTGGCACTGGTGGTGGCAACAATAAAATCTAGTGTTTGAATTGCAACGCGGTGATTGGCTATAGAGTCAGTGAACTCCTAATGCTATTTCTGGTTTAGCGTCACCTAAAGAGCAGCATCTCCAATTAACGGTCGCCAAGCTGAGTGTATAACTTGCCAGTAGTAATTCTCTGTCTTATGTTGCAAGCGGACCATACCTCTGCAGAACAGCTAATCAAAAGTTTCCGATCTGATTTACCTAGTCCAATACTATGGAAACAGGCTCTGGTAGAACAAAGGGCCCAGTGTGCGGCATTGAGAACTGTCGCTCAAGGTGGTATGAAGTGGGCGAAGACGGGTACCAATATTGCCAGAACGGCCATCGCAAAGGCGTAAGCCGGGCCGCATGATGATACCGCAGTCTTTTTACTGACACAGGCGCAGGAGCTAATAGTCGGTGTTGACGAGCTCGACTTCAACACCGCACGACGGACGACCACAAGGAAGAAGAGAGATGACGAGGACACTGGGAAGCAGAAAAATTGTGAGTCTGACTGTCCTTCATCTAGCCTCTGGCCCGGAGACAAGTGCAAGAATGTTGGGAGCAGCTTCCCCGCAATGGCACATTTATAGAAGACCAGATCCGGCTTCAGATTAAATCGGCGAATCAACTCCACTTTGTTTTCTCCTAGCACGTACTGACAGCCAGGAAAAACAGACTTCACAAGCCATCAAGCGGTGGATCTATATCTCAAAAGCCTCCAGCTGATCCTGCGGCACCAGCTATGGTACCTGGTCCGAGAGAAACGCCTACCGGAAGAGTTGGAGACCGTGGTATCCGACCTGTGGGCTCTCAGGATCCTGCAACTAGAAAACCAAATCGGAGAGAGTCAACAGTACGAGTCCGAGTCGCAAAATTTCAGCGCCTCGGAGAATGAATCCGAGTTGGAGAGGGAGACGGTGAAATCACGTCATAGAGAGAAGAAGCTGAAGACTACGCCGACTTTGCTTGACAGCTTAGCACTGTGCTACCTGGGAATTAGCACTCTACGACTACCAATCACGACGGGTGATATATACGACTGGATCACCAATGGGCAGATGCCTTATAAAAGAGCGATAAAACATATACCCCCGGCTATGAGAGAGAAGCTACCCTCGAGTTATCACGCAATGCTAGATCCGGACGCGCCACTGAAATATGAGCGCTTCCACTCGACATTGAATGATCTGAAGATCAGCCTCCAGCGAGAATACGGCGTGATCTGGCCGGCTCTGAACCGTCCCCTCCTGCTCTATCGATTATTGAAGGATCTAGCCTTACCTTTGGAAGTATACGATGGCACTGTCCGATTAGCAAGGTATTTGAACTACAACTTTACCATGGGCACCGATGGCACGGGCAAAATCACCATACGCCACGTCCCCGAAGCGCAACTAGCGGCTTGCTTCACCATCTGCGTGAAGCTCTTCTACCCTTTCGACGCCATCCAACGTTACCCCAGAACCTCGTCCGAGCCAGCCGCCGTCCGCATCGATTGGGATCACTGGTACGAGCATCTTTCATCAACAAGAGCGGCGGCCGCGAGACGCGCCATGCAGTTCTACACGCCCGAAGAACTGAGTGGCTTGCAGGAGAAAGACGTCTTCTCCATGTCCGAAACCCAGCTCGACCAGTATCTGGACTGGTATCATGAGACGTTCATCGACGAGACGAGGACGGACCAGAATGCGGAAAGTGACTACCGCAGAGCGCTGCACAGTATGTTCCCGGTTGGGGGAACCCCTGCTTCACAATGGAGCGAGCGAATGCCGCCGGAACCGGGTGAGCAGGAGAAGCTGGATGTCGTCAGAGAGATTCACGGTGTACAGGTGCCGGTCATGGTGGTAGAAGATGGGAACCAGCAAGCGGGTATTGTGCGCCCTGGAGAGCGGTACACGCAGTATAAAACGGTGGAGGACTTGCCGCAACAGGCGAGGCGGTTCTACGAGCAGGTGGGGAGAATCATGGGGCTGTCGGTGGAGATGCTGGTTCACGCTGTTGTGGTTGCTGAGAGGAGGCTGGCGAAGATTCAGGCTCAGCAGAAGCAGGAGAGGAATGTATGAATCAATATACTTGTATCATGGCTGCAGGAGCCTTCCCGAGACCTTGATATGTGCGCCAAAAGTTCCGATTTATCTCCGATATACATACATAAGGACGGAAGCTTCCCCGAGTTCTGGCCGAGGCATGACAACCGTCCTACCTTGCTGTCCGCCCGCGCAACTCTAGCTTCACCAACACCACACATACCACAGTCACAATGCGATACCACCACCCCCCCTTCTCGACCCTCCTCCTCCTCGTCGCCCAAATTCTCGCATCCCCCACCCCCTCCTCCCCTTCCGAAGACTCCTCCTCCCCCCTTCCTCTAATCATCTGGCACGGCCTGGGCGACAACTACGCCTCCCCAGGCCTCACCTCAATCGGCGCCCTCGCCGAAAAGACCAACCCAGGCACCTTCACCTACTACATCCGCATCGACCCAGACCCAGACACAGACCAACGCTCTTCCTTCCTAGGCGACCTAAACGCGCACCTCTCCACCGTCTGCGCCGACCTGGCCGCGCACCCGATCCTCTCCACGGCCCCCGCCGTCAACGCCCTGGGCTTCTCCCAAGGCGGCCAATTCCTCCGCGCCTTCGTCGAGCGATGCAACGTGCCCCCCGTGCGCAACCTCGTCACCTACGGCAGCCAGCACAACGGGATCCACGCGTACCAGGCGTGTGGACCCCGCGACTTCGTCTGCAAGGCGTGGATCGCCCTGCTGCGCGGTAACACGTGGAGTCCCTACGTGCAGACGCACGTGGTGCCCGCGCAGTACTTCCGGTCGACGGACGAGCGCACGGGCGAGGCGTCGGACGAGTACCTGGAGAATTCGAATTTCCTCGCCGACGTGAATAATGAGCGGCCCGGGCAGAGGAACGAGACGTATAGGCGGAATCTGGCGAGTTTGGAGAATTTCGTCATGGTTGTGTTCGAGGACGATGAGACGGTTATTCCCAAGGAGAGTGGGTGGTTTGCGCAGGTCAATGTTTCGAGTGGGGAGGTGACGCCGTTGAGGGAGCGGAGGTTGTACGAAGAGGATTGGTTGGGGTTGAGGGAGCTGGATGAGAGGGGTGGGTTGGTGTTTAGGACGGTCAAGGGGGGACATATGGAGTTGGATGAGGAGGATTTGGAGGACGTGTTTAGGACGTATTTTGGGCCTGTCGAGATGGGTTCGACGGGGAGGACAAAGAAGGTGGTGGGCAGTGTGCAGGGAGTGTTTGAGCTGTAATGGGAGTTGGGTTGGATGGCGTTCATGGTCAGGCAAGAGACGGGGTTGAAACTTGAGAATGCGCGTGCGCACCTTGAGTTACTTGGGACGGATACCACAGACGTTTTGTTTTATACATTTGCAAACTTTTTGTATCATGACCTGCAAAACAGCCTTGGCCTTTTCATTCCCCAATGCCCTGCCTGCTATATGGACTGAATGGTATACGCCCCAACGCCATCCTATATCCCTTCAAACGCCATGCTATGCTCGACAGCAGCCAGCCCCTCACCCCGCGATCAGCGGCGTCTTGATCGACTCCAGCGCCTGCTGCTTCAGCTTCTTCCTCCTCTCCTTGGAAATCGACGCCACCACCTTCGCCGCATCCCCCTCCTCCTTGCTCTTCCTCTTCTTCTCTCTTCTCCTCCTCTCCCTCCGCTCAGCAAGCTCCTCGTCGTCGAGAATCTCCTTCTCCCACTCCTCCCACTTCCGCTTCTTCTCCGACGTCTTGGACGCTGACGCGTCCTTGATCGCGGGTTTCCACGGCTCCTCGAGTACCTGGGCTTCGTCGGCCCAGAGTTCGTCGGCGAGCCAGATGGGCAGAGCGACGGTCGTGGGGCCCTTGATGTGCAAGGCGCGCACGTTCCGCCAGCCACGGGGCACGAATTTTCCGGTGAGAGCGGCGACAACAGCCTCGATGTTCTCGACGATTTGCTGGGGTTGTTGCGACAGCTTGCCGACGCGGATGGCCGTCGTGGCGGTCGGGCTAAGATGCACGTACGTCGAGTGGAGGGCCGATTCGATCTCCTTCGCGATGGCGTCTGGCGAGCGGACCACGCGCTTCCTCTTGCCGTCCTTATCCTTGGGCAGCTGCATGGTCAGACCGACGGGAATCGGCCGCTTACTCTTGTTCGCGTTGAACGTCTTTCCCAGCACGTGCGGGAGCTCGGAGATGATGCGGTCGTCTGCGAGGAACAGGTCGTATTCGGCGAGGAGCTGGCGCCTCGTCTCGTACGTCTTGTACTTCTTCTTGAGTTTCTCGACGCCGATGACGCGGCCGATTTTGGCGCGCAGGTCTGCGGGGAAGGAGTCGTGGGCGACGAGGTCCTTGAATTGGCGCTGGGGGTCGGCCGTCATGAGACATATGCGCACGTCGGCGGGCTGTATGGAGTGAGGGAGGGCGCTGAATACTGTCAGAATGAAATTTCGAGTTTGGCAGTCTGTAACATACATCTTGCTCGGCTTGAGTCTCGTCTCTTCCTTGATGTGCTGCTTTGTTGCAAGCGTGAGGAAGATGGGAACATCGGTCTGCTCAGCCTCCTCCTCGTCATCCGCAAGGAGGTTCTTCTTGCCCTCTATCTCCTGCTTCTCCTGCGCATGCTGCTTCATATTCTTGATGAGCGCCGTGGCTGCGCGCTCGACCTGTGCGGGATCCAGCTGGTAGGGCGAGCCATTTGCGACTTTGGTTGTAAGCGGTGCTGCTGCTGCTGAGGCGGGATGTTCCTTCTTCGACACCGTCGTCTCCTTCTTGGTCACGGCTTTTGATTTCGCCATTGTTGCGAGTTCTGCTGGGCTGGCTTCGTTTCAACTACGGAGTAGTCGCTCTTGCAAGCAACCGGGAATTTTTTAGGAAATTTCGTCGGGGCCGGCGAAACTCTTTCCCCGATGACTCAAAGAGGAAAGTGGCGGGTATAGCTCCGTGCTTAGTCATGATCCGACGTTACCCACCTACCACTTGCAGTAAAAGCTCGCGTTTGGAGCTCAGGCCCATTCACGTTAAGTACACTTCACGACACGCCTCGCACGTCTCTCTTCGTCTCCGAGCCCTGCACGGATGGATGCAGGAGGCGAGCAGGCAGCCCACAGGAGCACTCTTCTCAGCAGCTGCAAGGCCTGCAGGCTTCCGAACCAACTCATCGGCTTTCGAATCATGCTGGCTGAGACAGTGTTCTCGTCCGAGGCTGACTGGACTTCAGTTCTCGCGAACCAACGCGTTTATACCGCCTCTTTGGGGCGTTTCCATGCGGGGATTCTCACGCTCGCAATTGTGGAGCTGTGAGACATGGGGACCCTCACAAAGTCTTTTTCCTTTTCTTTTTGCCTTTGTTCATCTTTCCACACGTCTGCATGACATGTGGAGCCTTGCTGGATCTACACCGTAAAGGCGCCATCCGTCCCATAGAGCAAAGGCTGGAACCAAGCCTTAATAATGAGTCCGGTGGTACCGGTATCTTCATCCAAGTATTTAAAACTCGGCTCTGCATGTCATCAGCTGTCTCGATGAGATTACGAAGAAATCTCCAGAGAGGATGCTGAGGACATCTCGACAAGGCCCAGCTTCTTTCATGAAGGAAGAAGATAGGTTGCGCATCTGCCCATGTCCCAGCGGGATATCTGTTCAAAAGGACACATCGGACAACAGAGCCTAGAGCAGGTCAAATTCCGGGTTCCCCTCGATCAAATCAATATGACGTCCTGAGCAGATGTGGGCTGCTGTGGGCTGCCGGTAACTCGACCAGGAATTCGATTTACCTGGGTGTGCAATCATTTGTAGCGATCCAATGGACGCGAGCAGAGCTGCAAACCACTGTTACTACTGTAGGCGCGGCGCGGAGGGGCTGGGAAGCGGGACAGGAAAGGAAATGCATCCATTGGCGAAGGGAACAGCGGACCGCCGAGAGGATGAGAGTGACAATGAAGCTCGTGCGTGCTGGGCGTCCCGAGTCCTTCCTTGAAGTGAGATGCCTCTGTGGGCCGGGGTCAAAGCTCGGAAATGGAGTTACATTCATTGTTGGGGTCCGTCTGGTTGAGGTTGTCGAGATATCTATCATCGCAGGAAAAACACGGCTTCACAGAGAAGCAAAAGGTTCGAACGCAATTCTTACCCCATCTCGGAGAGCTTGCGTGTCGGCCTTTGCCGGCAATGCTCGTGTGCAAGGAACAGCCAGGCAGGAATTGTGCTCGCGATAAATTCTTGCGTTTCCCACCGAGCCTAGCTTGGCCCGTTCGCTGCGGGCGCGTCTACTCCACACCCGCGACGAGACGACGCGACCCGTGTGAAGGCCATTCACAAAACCCAACCCGGGCCCCCTCAACCTGACCACCTTTTCACTCGTGCATCCGACCTCATGGCCTCTTAGTCCCGGCCCCTCTCCAATTCCCTCCCATCGCTTCTTTTTTCCTTTCCACATTCAACTGCTTCGTGCAGCTGGTGTCGTCTTCCAACCCCGGCTCTGCCCCAGCTTCATATATACACGGGTCACGTACACGCTGCGTCCCAGGCTGGAGCCCACCACCAATTTCTCTTCGCATCACAACCCCCATCGACCCATCATGGACTCTTCTCTAGGTAATGGTGCAATGGAAATGCCATCAGCGTCTCACGAGCTGCGTCCAGAGCCGCGCCCGACGCCCTCGCTGCTCCCCGCCTTCGAGCCTCTCTCATCGTCACCCTTCCCGCGTCCACAGTCCGGGAAGCGAAAATTCGAAGAGGCCTCCCCTTCCTACTCAAAGCAACCGCTCAAGTACTATCCTACTCCCGTACCTACTTCTTCAACAGGTATCCTGCCGTCATCGTCGCCCCGCAATGAGCGTCCTACCCTGGGCCGCACCATCTCGACGCTGACCGAGCGTGTTCCCCTCGGCACCATCCCCAAACTCCAGCTCCCCGAGGACGGAGAGGTCATGCGTCTGGGCAGGTCCTCCAACTCGTCCAACTACCAACTCTCTGCCAATCGCCTAATATCGCGTGTCCACGTCCAGGCCGCGTATCACCCTCCGAGCGCGTCGTACCCTCAGGGTCATGTCGAGGTCGAATGCCTGGGCTGGAATGGAGCAAAGGTACACTGTGGAGGCCGCATATTCGAGCTGAGCAAAGGAGACACCTATGTCTCGGAGAATCCGGGCATGGATATCATGCTGGACGTGCAGAGCACTCGCGTCATGATTGTATGGCCCCGCGTCGCGTCTGCCAGCAAGAATTCCTGGGATTCCGAAGAAGACGAAGAGGAAGAGGAGGCGCTGGCCACGCCAACTCGACGGACTGGGTACGATCATCTGCCCTCGAGTCCTCCTCTCATTCCTCGGTCCCCGGTTTCTCAGAGCCCCATTCGTCAACCCGATATTGGTCGTCCCCAGGTTGGCAATTCGCCGGCACCTTACAAGATATACGAGGACTCTGATGATGGCGAGGCCGTGCTCAAGGGCGCCTCCCAAGACCCTGCTGCCGAACAGACTACCTTCGTTCGTCCTGCCCTTTCCCAGTCCGATTCCAAGCCGCAGGCCCTCCAGGCTAGCCTCCTCTCCTCCCTCGCGTCAGACGACTACTCTGACGGCGACGAGGAAAACGATCCAGTCGTCCACTCATTCGGTCCTTTTGGCCAGAATATCCTCTCCCGCCTGGATTCCTTCTCAACGGACAACCGTACTCCCCGGCGTATTGCCTCCCCAACCCGTCCCCGCCGCTCCACGGTCGCCTCGCCGTCCCCCAAGCGGCCCAGCTCAGACAACATTCGCTTCAAGGAGTCACCGGTGAAGAACCACGTCATCAATCAGCTCGCCTTCTCCCGCGTACACTCCCTACCTTTATCAACCATCCACAGTAATCTTCCTGGCGAGCTGAAGGCCGCCATCTCGCCTTCCAAGTCCTCCACAGGCGCAGACAGCAATGATCCCACCACGCCTACCCGACTGCCACAACTCACCAAGGAGGACCTCAAGAAGATCATGGACGACATCCCCTGCGTGGGCGAGATTCCTCGTTCCGGAAAGGACGCCGCTGGCAAGCCGCTGGAGAATGAATTCTACTATGTCCCGGAAATGGATACGAATGAAATCAGGCGTGAGACGGTGACGAATGGCATGAGGGGAAGTGGATTGAGGGCTGTGAGGAAGCAACATAAGGTTAGTGTTCTCCGTCATAATGCCAGAGGCTTTGCGCTTACCTCCGTGTGCAGCAATATTACTGGAAGAGGCCGCGTGTTTGAGAGCATGCAGAGGCAATCTCCTCCGCTTCGATCGGTTGCTTGCGAAATGGACTCTCCGACCATGCCGACGCCTTTGCTGCTTTGTCGTCACTCCTCCAACAAGACAAACGCATATATATTGACGCCGCAAGGTGATTCCTGCATCGATTGCCCCAACCCCGTCTCGACTACTTCCCTACTCGTTAAAGCATAGCGTGGCGTTTTTTCTACTCTTCGTTTCCCCTTTTTGCTTTTCCCCCTCTTCGCGTATTCATTCCCTGGTATCTGCTCTCCATCCCATGCCTGTTGCGGTTTCCAATCGCGACGGGAGTATCCTTTCGAGTGTATCATTTAACGCCCGCCCTGGATTTATCGTTGCTCAGTGTTTCCATTTCGCACAGACTGTTTATAGTACTTGTATCATTTTTGTTTTCCGTTTGGTTTTTAAAAGGGGAAAGGAAGGGTATGGAACAGGAGGAAAAGGGGGGAAAGGAGGAAGCAAGGCTGTGGAGTGTGTAAAGTGGGCAGGAGTGGTGGTGTATATGTGGGCTTTCTCTTTGAGGCCTTGGGCTGAGCGGATAAGCGGGCTCGGAAGGAAGAGGAAAGAGATCGAACGTTGAAGTCTGAGCCTTGTGTCTTGGACGAAGAGAGAGAAAGAGAGTGGTGCGATACTTTTGCTTCATTGCTGGCGATTTGGGGTCGAGTTTCGCGGAGAGAGAGTATTTGTGGAGGATCGTTTCGAGCTGGAGTCTTGAATTTTTTTTACCCCCCACCAACGGCTGCATGTATGATGACGACGGGATGGGAAATGGATGGGTACACGACCGACATCTCAGCCTTCGTATTCGTAGCAGCCTGGTTCGCAAGGGGTTGAGTAGCAGGATCTGGAGAAAAGTCTTCTGCCCATATATTCATGTTTACCGTTCTGCTGTTCGAGACATGCTGCGGGGTTGGCGGTATGATTATGGAGGGAGCCATGGATGCGAATTTGGTGGAGATCGATAGCTGAATCAGAAACCAGTTTTGTGGTCGTTTGCATCTATTTGCACTTCAGACGAAAGCGATAACCTGCTGTTGTGTGTGGGGATGAAAAACTGTTTGTCACCTTCACCCCAAGGTGGGGCTGAGGTGAGGGGTGTAAACAAACAGATCACCCCTGACGTCATTGCTCAATGCGAATGTGGCGCGTGCTCACGTGACTCGGATTCTTCGCCACCCTTCATTCAAGTGTAGTAAGCCGTCATCACCATACACGACACTGCAAAACAAGGAAACAGCAATTGTTTGCTTTGGAACAAGGCAAGGTATGAAGATGCACAGATTGCTACATGCCCAGTCCATCCCGTGTGGAGTCGACGATCATGATGCACCCAAGAACCATGTCTCGTGATATGGGACGTCTTTTGTGCCGTCCCAATTCCCTCCCTTTGCCCAAGCCGTCCGTTCGTCGATAATCGTTTCGACGATGATGCTGCCATGAATCCCCATCCCTCGCCGTACGCCGGTGGAAGCGATCCGCTTATTTGAGCTTCTTCTTGGGGCGGAGCTGGTTCGTGTGGCCGCACTTCTTCTTGCGGCAGTTGACTGCCCTCGGGGGGAGACGGGCCTGCAAATAAAGGCGTTAGTCATTGCGGATTCCTGATTCCTTGCCAGGCAGTACGAACATAGCACTTGCGGCAGATCATCTTTTCGCAGTTGTACTTGGAGGCAAGAGCCTTCAGCGAGGGCTCGATGATGCCGCCACGGAGACGGAGCACCAGGTGGAGGGTGGACTCCTTCTGGATGTTGTAGTCGGAGAGGGTGCGGCCATCCTCGAGCTGCTTGCCGGCGAAAATGAGACGCTGCTGGTCCGGGGGGATGCCCTCCTTGTCCTGGATCTTGGACTTGACGTTGTCTGTTCCGAGCGTTTGTCAGCCATTGTCCTTCATATCCATTTTTCCTTCGTCCTCCTCTTTAAATGCGCTGCAACGTGAAGCGGTGCTCGAGGGAAGAGATTGTGCGCGTGCCGAAGGGATATTGCGTACCGATGGTGTCCGAAGACTCCACCTCCAGGGTGATGGTCTTGCCCGTCACTGCAATCGCATTAGCATGAGACGTATACAGCGATTCGTCGGCGGTCCGTACGGGTCTTCACGAAGATCTGCATGTTGACGGCGCTGCGGGATCTTCTCGTTGTTCAAGCGGTGGAGGAGTTGAGGCGGCGAACGGGCATTTCCAAGTGCGTGGGGTGCACGGGCCGCGGGAAAATTACGTGAGCAGCGCTTAGCGAGTGTCACGTGTGGGCCTTTTCACACCATCCAACCTTGGAACGTTCCCCTTTCTCTTCAAGCTAACGGCTCGCTTGTCCTCCCTGTCACAAATAACCGCATAGACTATATCTCGTACTGGGCGTCTATGCGACCACTTCATGTGTCCACTGTGCCGGCGAATACAATAAGCCTCGTCTCGCGTACTGACAATCACATTGTTTTTACTCACACTCAGGTGTGCCACGAGTACTCAAAGAAAGAGATATGTGGTCCACGACCAGTTCAAGACGGCGAGGGGTCTTTATTTCCTTCGATCTCTGGTTTCTCCTAACACATCTCCCGTTGTTCATCTATGGACCGAAAACCAGGCGCCTTCACTGTGTGTCATTTCCTTTGTGCTCCCAAGTGCATTGCCTCTTGTGCTTCCTTTCTTTAGTTCCTTTGCTTCCTGGCTTCAGTAATAATATCTTGGACCGCTGTCCCAATAAAATCACTCAAACATGATACTCAGAGCCCTCTCTGCGATAATGACCGCAAGAACACAACGGTACCAGGGAACAGAAAACGAGTAGCTCGTATAGAGGAGACGCTTAAGATAACACGCCGCCTGCTTTAAACTGCCATGGAGGGATCGAAAGCTCAACGAAGCTTGACACGCTATCACAAACCGAGTCCTTCGCCTCAATAACCCATCAGGATACCAATCAAACAATTTCGGAAGGCGAGGTATATACAGACGGAAACACAGTTATGATCGATAAAGGAAGTTCAAGTGAAAGCAAGACAGGGTGCGGGTAAGTCTGATATCGCGTATGCAGGAATGTAACTGATGCGCCGGACGAGTAGAGTTACGACCCGTCGCGTTGAAAGATGTTGTAGCTGCCAAAAATGTTTTGGACCGGGCCATAATCCCACTGTACTGGCGTGCGGTCACACTGTTGGAAGCTCCTGCCTGGCAGATTCTAAAGAGAACAGTGACGGTTCGTGTCCTCGATGTAAGTACTTCAGGCCTTCGGTCAGCGCAACGGCTGCCGCGTCCACATCCCACGCCGCCGAACAGGAACTGCGTCCCCTCTTCCAGGATGTAAAAGGCATCATTCCTTCGACTCATCCCGTGGAGTGGGGCGGGGATTACAACGTAATGCTTCATCCAAGTGCCTACGAGGCCGAAGTCGAAAGAGCCAAGGCGCTCAGCCAGCAGGATTTGATGGCACCCCATCCTTTCCACCACGAGCCTCTCTGGGAAGAGATGCAAGATGCCACCCTGGAGGTGTGGATCATATATCTCCCTGACCACGTCCTCCGGTGGCCGGGACTGGCTCTCTACCTTCGCATGAGCAACTGGGACAATCTTTTCAGTCGCTTTTGCGCGTTAGTGAACCGGGTACGCGGTGCTGGCTTTGATTCTAGGGTACAACCGATCGTGGAACCCCTTCCATGTATGATGAAGGTTGAAGCTGCCATACAAGAGTTTCAGCCCAGGTATACGCTGGCTGAGCACAGGAAATGGGCATCCACCATCTCTCTGGGGTTTGTACAAGAGCATGTATTCCAGAGGCCAAGGGAGCTCGACCAGCTCCAGGCCCAGCATGGTCGACGCAAAATGGCTTGGCTTCAAGAGGTATGTAAACAGATCAAGGTGCCCATGTTCCTGGAGCGACCTTTCACCCGCCGGCTTGCTCAGAGAGGATGGTTTTCGAATGCACTCCCTATAGCAATTCCTCCCTCTCCGTCAAAGCCGGTAATGGAGCGCTCTGAGGCGCGGCACGTTGCTTTTGAGTTCGAAATGTCGGATGCAGACAACGACATTGGCGGTGTCGACCGTTACCACGGCCACAGCATCAACCAACCGCATTACGAGAACATCCAAACGAGCACGATGTACAATACGAATGTGCACACGTCGCAGGACGATATTGGACTCAATCCGACGCATACTACTCATTCTACAGCCGTAAGGCCGTCTTATTGGGCCCAAGCAGCCCAACTACCTCTTGTAGCTCGACCATGCCGTTTTGGCACCAAATGCCACAATCCCGATTGCAAGTTCAATCATGACGTTGGGTCCCCAATGTCAATGGACATTGAGATTTCGAGGACGGATCCACCCCTTAGAATAAACCGACCCTGCCGCTATTCATCTGACTGCAAACGCCCCGATTGCCCCTTCATTCACGATATCGAGCTCATATCTCCCCAGCGGATGGACCTTTCCGGAGGCACTGACAGTGCCACCACGGGCCCGCACAGAGGACGTTCTAGAAGCCCGACGCCAGAACCATCGAAAAGAGTCCAAGACTGTCGTTTTGGATCCAACTGCAGAAACCAGGAAACCTGCCTGTTTTCCCATGGAAGGGCAAACGATCCGAATAGCCAGCGCCAGCGCCAATCTGGTAATCAGCACCAGTCTGGCAACAAACTGCAGCAAGTTTGCAAGTTTAACGAGACGTGCCTCAGGCCGGATTGCAACTTTGCCCACAGCGGTCCGGCCTCAGGCCCTGATACTCAATTACGGGTAGAGCACGCGTGTAAGTTCGGACGAAGATGCACAAACAACAAATGTGAGAAAAGCCACCCTTCCCCTGCGGCACAGACGGGAATAGATATCGGAAATGATGCTGCTAAGCAAAAGCAGGAGCGTGACAATGGAGAGGGAAGCGCTAACGGGCAAAGTGGCAGGATTGGAGATGGAAACAAGGGTGGAAACAGAGGCGGAAACAAAGTTTCAAAGGGACGCTGGAACAAAGATGCTGCTCTCAAAAAGCAGCCCCGCAGACGTGATGGCAGCCGCAGCCGGGGTTCTCAAAAACAGGAACAGGGAAATAAGGATGGCAATGCGCCTAATCAGGCGGTAGGATTCTCTAACATGAACGAGGAGTTATAGTAATTCAGAAAGCCAGCAATACACATAATCGGCGTATAGTACTTAATCTACTTCTTCAACAGGGTCCTTTGGACGACTCAACCAAGCCTCCAAGTTATATACCCCTTCTTGCTCCCCTCCCGCACCGCCTTCCACCCCTATCCCCGCACGCTACTCATCCTCCCTCCCCTCCAACCACGCCCGCAAAGCCTCCAAACTGAAGCTGCGAGGATAGGATGGCGTGCTTCTGGAACCACCACCCGCTGCGCTGCGCCCAGCTACCCTCGCGGCTGCCATCTCCTCTTCCGTCTTCCTCAACTGTTCCTCCTTCTCCCTAACCGCTACCTCCCTCTCCCTCACCCTCTCCTCTCTCTTCCTGATCTCCTCCTCTTTCTCGCTCAACCTCTTCTCCCTCTTCTCCACTTCCCCTTCCCTCCTCTCTACCTCCCTCTCCCTCCCCTCCAACACCCCCTCCCCCTCCCCAACCCTCTCCTCCCACTCCCGCAATTCCTTCTCCCTCCTCGCCACTTCCACAAACATCCTCCCAATATCTACAGGCGACGCGACAATCTCTTTACCATCGTCCTCGTCCTCGTCTTCGCTGTCCGGTATCTCGATGACCTTTGCGAATTTGCGCTTCTTGCGCTGGGGTTGCTGGATCCTGGTGGTTGCGGTGGCGGTGGCGGTGGTGGTAGTGGAGGCTGCTGGAGGGCGTGCGGATTTGCAATTGCGGGATGTAATGGTGATGGTGTTTGTATTGGTTGTGCTGTTGACGGCGGCGACGCGGGCGGAGCGACGGAGGCTGGAGCTCATTGTCAGCGGCGGTGGTGGTGATGGTGGTGGTGATGGTGGTGGTGATGGTGGTGGTGAGGTAGAGAGGGTGGTGAATGAGGGCGTGCGTGTAGCGGCTGTGGTGGAGGAAGCTTAGCCGTATGCTGGCCAGCGAGCAAACAAACAAGAAGATGCGGTGGAGGCGGTAGGATGATATGTGAGGTTGGAATAGAAGAAAAAAGGAGAGAGAGAAAGGTTTATGATCTTGTGCATCTATGGATTGAAGTTACGCCAGGAACGGGGAACAATAGGACGCGTGGTGGAAAGACAATAGGATAATAGAAACGGAGGACAATAGAGCTGTACGTCTGGACATCGATAATGACATGAAAATCGCAATGGCTGCTGGTGTCTGTTGAGAAGCGTTTCTAAAGTTCGTTCGTCAACCACAATAGTAGCGGATAGTAGGGCACAAAACAGTGGCAGAGTATGTGACGAAAGCGCATGTTATTGGCACCCCACGACAAAACAGGCGTTCGCCAACAGGTTAGGATGACAATAGAAACTGAAAGTACCGTCATTGCGGAAGTACTGGTAATGTCAAATAAACTTTGATACGTGTTTTGACGCTGAGAAAGTTTATAAAAACTCTATAATCATATCAGGAACACACTGACATTACGAGCTGCCCAGAATCCGCTTGTACGCCTCCTCCACCTCCCTCGCCATCTCCAGCAAGGCCACTATAACGACTTGATGCGTGACGTTCGGCAAGCGATCTCTATGCAACCCTATCCACTCCAGCGGCGGCGTCGCCTCGCCCATGTCACGGAGCTGCGGTGTCTCGATGATAGGCGGTTCAAGCGCATGGTATGTGTACCGTGATTGGGGCACCTTGATTTCGGCTGTGATTTTCCCTTGCGGCTTGGACGGGTCCGATGGTGTTACTGTTTCTTTGTCCTTATCTGTCCCCTTCTCTGCTGATTTGTCCTTGGAACCAAAAGGAGACTTGAGGAAGGAAGCCGTTGATGACGGTGTTGAGGGTGTTTCCTGAGACGAAGTGATCTTGATGTTCGACTCAGGCAACGGCTTTCCCAGTCGTGACGCGAGAGTCCGTGAGTGGTTACTCCACATACCTTTGATGTAGGATATGCGCGAGTAATTCCAGCCCACATCGACCTTGCCCTCTAGATTCGATTGGAATATGTAATCAATGGCGTTACTATCAGGGGCCTGCCATGTGTGCATATTGGCAACAACCTTGGGAACACGCACGATGATTCCTCCACGAGCAGATCTGGCCCTGTCAAGCACGTCCTCAATCGTCAGGTCCGATGCTGGCGTGGTCTGTTTCGGTGTTGGGATACCGGCGAGAGCAACGCTGAGCTTTCCAAGCGTCAGTCCGAGACCAGAACGGATCTTGCCTTCCTCGAACGCGGCCGCAAACCTCGCTTGTACATCTCCGGCCTCGATGGACAACATCTGATTATCCACGAAGTTGGACGGAAAGACGCCAAAATTGATCGAGCGCAATGTAACTACAGCATCCGTATGCAGAAATATTGGAGCTTTGAATTCGTTCTCCTCTTTTTTACGCGCAATCATTCCCTGCGATGGAGAGCGATCAAGTGGACCGGGTATCGACGAACTGCGACGTAGATATTTCTCAATCTCCTTAAGAGATTGCGCGTATGCCTGCTGGTTCTCCTGGACAAGGCGTTGAATGGCTTGATAGAGTGCCAAACCCTGGGCCGCGCTCGTTGCAGTGCAGCATACAAAAATCTTGTCACCATCTAAGATATTAACCAGTCGATCCGAGCCCGTCTTCTTCGGATCACGGACATTGTACATGAGGAAGTTGAAGTTTGCAATATCCGCGGTCGCAAAGGTTTGGTAGTCGAAGCTAGATTTGACGCGAAACTGGTTGAATCCAAGTGAAGCCTGGACAAGTGGCGCTAGTCGAACACCCGCACTGGAGGGCCAGCTTATGAAAGTGCGGACCCTGACACCATGCAGTTCAGCGAAACCACTGGTACGACCCGTGCTTTCAAGCGCAATCTTCTCCGCCCCAATGCACATGTTTTGCTCCCAGTTGGTGCTTTTCCTCGACGACGCCCACAGGCTATGGATGTGTAGCGAGGATTTTCCAATAGCTTGGCCAAGGTCAAGGTCGATCCGGACATCGGAAAGAGTGACATTTGCATTCCAAGGAAACGCTGTAGCTGCGGTAGCCTGTTCATAGCGCTGGATGAGGTATTCCGGATGGTTGGCCCTGACGTCCTCTGTGGGAGGCTTCGACGCCTGTCGCATCTCTGGGGGCAGCCAAATTTCCCGGAATAAAAGGAAGTCCTGCAATTGACGGGCATTAATCCGGACACGGGTTGGATCGAACTTGAGAATGGCAGATATGCCACCAGTGCCGCTCAGGTGCTTGCTATTCATCAAAGAAAGTACTACCGCGTCGACCTCAAAACCAAAAGTGGACTCTCGGGAATACACATGTTGAACCTTTGTCACCAGTTTCTCGAAGACGGCGGAAGCGGCGAAAAAATGACCGTGTTCTTCAGACTTGACATTGTTGACCGTGATATAAATGTCGTCTAGCTTGGCATTGGCAACAACTCTGGCGATGGGTTGACAACTCAGACTGAACTCCTGTTTGCAAATTCTCAAACCGAGATTGAGACGAGTCCTACCCAGAATTGCACTGGGGTCAGCAGTGATGAGGTTCTCCTCACTAGGGAGCTTTGCTAGCGGCTTGGGTGCATTGTCGAATCCGTTGTCCGTAGCAGACGGCTGGTCAGGTTTGTCACGCACGACTCCTTTGATGCTATCCGCAATATCGATCAACAACGGGACAACCGTAGGGTATAACGTGTTACTTGATCCATCGATCCTGAGCTCTCCGTTCATCGAGGGGTCATGGCCATCGTCTTTGTATTCAACCTTCAATGCTATACCTGGTGCCTTTAGCACCATGCTGCTCTTGGACTCATCGCCGATAAATTGGCTATATCTTCCCTTTTGCTGTGCTTTGGTGGGCCTTTGGCCAGCGGATTGTTCGGGATCTCTAGCGGTTATGTGAACCACAGCACCTGCGAAGTTGGCGCCGACAAGGATCGAAGCGAACCTCTTATTGCCAAATGGATTCTTCCGTTGTGCGCCAGTGGTGGTCGGAGTCATGCTCCAGGTGGCGGAGGCTGCATGGAATTTCCTTCCTGCCAGGGCAATCGAGCGTTCAATGATATTTGCGGGAAGGATGAAGCGAGAGTTCAAGCACAAGTCAAGAGACTTGCCAGCGGCCTGGAAAGCTACATTTCGTCCATCGTTGGTCGAAGAGTACCTGACATAGAATACCACCTCGGGAAGGAGAGCTGAGTTGAGAGATCTCGTGTCCTTTGGAGCCGATATAGGAACCATTTGGAGGCGCATATCTTCAATCATCAGGCGTGCGACTTCAGCTTTCCTAGTGTGAAACCTGATGGTTCGGAAAGATAGAACGAGATCTTCGACCTCGGTATGAGCATACGGAGGGATGGAAGTTCCAACGATCCAGCTAACCTGGATCTTGGAGAGTTCGATATCATATGTTGACGTGAAGAATCCACCGGAGCTGACACTTTCTTGATCAAGAGGTGGCTCGGTCGTATCCTGTCTATGAGAGATTCGGCCGGTGCTATGGCGCAGTCTCCTCAATATTTTCCTCTCTTTCGACAAGTCTAGATCTTTAATCTTGTCTTGCAGGTGGTTCACGACATCTACAACCGCTGATGCCGTATCCGCAAACATGTTTACCTCCATCCCTGAGCTGCGCACTCTAATCACCCGCTGACGGCCACTTGACTCCTCTTGCGTTGTCGCATGCAAGCTTGCGCCGAAAGCAAGGTCACCACAGCGCCTGATAGTCTCCGCGTCAGACAAGGTGAGCGCAACAGTCAGTTCCCCCAGGTGTGCAACTGACTCCGGGAGATCCAAACGGGACTGGTCAGGACTGATATTTGTTGCCTTCAACAGGATGGAGGCCAATTCGATGGATAGGCTCGCAGTGGCAGAGCTGGGTAGTCTCCCGGGTGCGTTGGCAACAATAACTAAGCCAGAAAGTGTCATACCAACGTCGAAAAGTAAGTCGGGTGATGACTGGCTGTCTTCTGCAACAGCCAGGGGTGCATTCTTCGGGAATACCTCCGCGACGTGCGTCTGCAAAATGCCGATATCTTCTTTGATCGCGGTGAGGAAATTGGAAAACTCCGGTTTATTCAATGTTGCGACGATAGCTTGTATTTCGGATCCCTGAAGGTGAATGGTCTCAACAATTCCTGATGCAGATATTCTTGTCTCGGTCGGGGTAAGCTTTGCTATCAATCGGCCATTGAAAGGAGGCAATTCTAGTGAACTGATCACGCTGGGACTCTCCGGCGAAGTTGATACCATTTCGTGCCTATGCGCTGCCAGATCATAATCCACTTTAAGCATCTTTTCCTGGCCGAGCGCAGGAACTACTGATATTCGGCCGGATGAACCAGTTATTTTCCATGCCAATGACTGAAGTAGGGCCAATTCGACGGTATAGGCATCCATGAAAAGAGCTAGTGTAATCTCAGGTAGCTGCTCCTCGAGTCTCCCCGCTGCCGTGACAACGGATTCTCCAGGCTCTTGCTCGACAGAGCTCTTGAGTGCAGTAGTCTGCTTGTGAAGGTAAGCAACTTCATCCCGAAGGACAAGATCTATGACTTCGATTGTGCCAAGTATGTCCTCCTTGACCCGCATTTTGATCGTACGACTAGTTCCAGCGAGCTTTATGTTTCCGGGAATTGGCTTGCCGTGCCCAAATTCGGAGAGAGCGACATATAAACTCGGACGGTCATATTGAGATACCACAAGAGGGCGGGTTCGAGCCCCTAGCTGCATGACGGCCTGTTCCAGGTGGATGAGTGCAGTAAACACTTCGTCAGCTTTATGCGGGGGTCTTATAGAGTTGGCAACCGAAAATCGTAGTCCTTCCCCCTCGGCGCTGGCTCGGAGGTTTATGGTGTCTAAGCACACTTCAGCCCTGTCTGAAACATAGACAAACTGAACTTCATGTTCTTCGCTAGGTGTGCTCGCGGGAATCGAAGTGTGCTGCGGCGGTCCGCGCTGTCCCAGTGCATTGTGCTGAAACTTGGTGATCAGTATCTCGATAAGTTCACATAATTCCCAACGCAAGCGAATCGATGTCTCCTCGGTACCGAGCTGCACTGTTGTAGACTTCTTGGTGATTTGGCTGGGAAGTAGCATGAGTCCAGTGGGCTGAGAGGGGGGGATTGCCGCAATGTTCAGGGTCAATATCCGCAAAGACGCCTCACTCTGAGTTGGCCCCGGATCAATGACCATACTCAGCGAATGTGCGCGAACGTCCAACCGCACCGGTACAGAAGGGCGAACAGGTCCTTGCTCGGAAGGCAAGTCGAAGAGAACTTTCATTGCGAGGCTAGATTTCGCGTGGCCAAGTTCCCATGTGCGCCACTGGTCCCACCTTGCTATTGTCATCTCCTTGACTCCCGTCGGACAGGCGATGGACCTTTGAGCACAGTCTTCGGTTAGTTTGTGTTGTTCCGCAATGGATAAACTACGCCAGATATGTCGAAGGCGGGATATGATCTTCCAAGAATCATGGTTACGGAGATGGTCTCGGTCTGTCCGCAGAGCGAAAGATGCTTTCGTCATAAAGGTTGGTTCTCCGAACCGACTCTGGACATCTGAGAGAAACCAAGCAAGATATTGTAGGCGCAATTGATGTGCGTCCTTCACCTGGTTGAAACATGTGACCAATTCGTCGCCCAAGATCGCAGTGCGGAGAATAAGGTCGGTCAAATAAGAGATTTGCTTGCTTGCAGTGGCCGCTCGCAGAGTTCTGAACGAAATATGCATCGAGGCTTCCTTCTTTCTTAACGCCCAGAAAAGGATGTCCTTGAGCTCAGCTTGAATTGCTACATCCTCGTGAGCATCTGGCCGCTTTCGTTCAGTGATTGAGAACCCTAGCGAATCAAGCACTGTGTGAAGGGCTACTGTATTTTCTAACGCCTGATGGGCGGTTGACTTCTTGACGCGAGCAGCAAGATTTAGTCGATTAAGAATAATATCGTACTGATCTTTACCAGATGCCTGGGACGATTCTTCCGCGTATTCGTTTAGGAAGCGGAAGTGGGCAAAGGGAACACGCACACAAATATCAACTGACTTCCCCTTGCCTTCGCGGAGTTTTGCACTCTCCAGGACTTTGTCCATAACGCAAACATGAAATTCGTCCAACAAGTCTTCTGGAGCCTTCGGCAGGATCACCGAAAGCAAATTTGACATGCAGCGGACAGCGTCAGGACTGCAAAACCCTCGTACGCCCGGTTCCGCAGTGATAATGAGGGTGATATGGTCAAAGTCCTCGTCCAGGTGACTTGTAGAAATGTCGTTGAAATAGGCAGTCTCATCGTCGGCGATAGACAGGTCAGCACGCACTTCGGGGATGTGCGGCACCTCTGTCAGGTCGGTTTCAATGTGTGCTAGCGGAAAGTGAGGTGTGGCGAGAGGACTTGACCATGCTAACGATGTAGGAGGTGAGTTTTCTTTCTTGATGCCCTCATCTGGGGTAAAGCGCTTGGCCATCAATGGGTCTCCGGCTCGAGAATGACGGCCGTCCAGCGCAGTGTGCCGGCCCGAAAGCTTAACCTGATGATCTTTCCTGCCCCTGTACGAGGATTTGATGCTACGTGCGAGAGAACTTGTCGACGTCGATCGAAGAGGCACCCTGCCCAGTTGTGGCACTGTGGTCGACACGGGTTCGAAGTGGTAATCTGACGACACGGTGGAGCCGCGCTCGCTAGGTCGGTATAGGAAGACAGGATGTGGAAGATCGGGAAATTGCATAGCTGGCGCCCTTATGTCTTTCTCCCCATTACGGTTGTGATCATCCGCAGATTGATCTATGAACAGAAAAGGGGTGCGGTGAGTCCTCTGATCCTGTCGACGCATGTGAGTTTGCTGCCTGCTCCGGTCTTTCGAGAAGTCCAGTTTTCGTCTAAGCATATCAATTGTGAGGTTCGTCTGCAGAAAAGCATGTGTTTGTACGGCCTGCTTCTCGGAAGCTTGTGTCCTGTGGCGAAAGGCGGATTTCGCATCAACCATAGCAAGTGACAGATCAGGGATCGAGACATTCACGCGCTGTGAGAACCTCGTCCCAGCCCAATCATTGAAGTCAATAGTCAGCGGGCCAGCAGTGAGTAGCATGGCTTCGGTGGCGATATGGAACCATAGCCGGAACTCCCGCGTCTTCAGCCGAAGAAATGTTGAATCGTGGATGACGATGGGATCGGCAGTAGCTAAAGAGTTCTCCGGATCGTCAAACGTGAATGCGAAAGAGCGTGCTGCGCCAACGGCTGTTTCAATAAACTTTGGTGTACATTCCCCAGAAACTGTGCCCACGTCAAAATCCCAGTTACACACGTATGTCGGTTCAGCTGGGGGCAGCCCGAATAGTCGATGGCCATATATCTCCAAGGAGTCAATGAACATCTCCGTCTGACCGGTGGCAATTTTGGTTCCTTGCTCTGGATCTGCGATAGAGGTTGCTACAGAGAGGCTGACTGGACTAAAATTGACCATGAGGTCCATATAGTAGTTAGTAAAACGAAGGTCCGCCGAAGCGTACGGGATATCCACACGGATGCAATTATCAGAAGAGTACAGGTTGGACGGTAATGAGACCATTCCTTGTTCTGCTGAAATGCATAGGATCACATCGAGGTCATTCGACGATTTGGAAGGGTGCCCACTCTGGGCCGTCATCTCAGTTGCGACAGGGTGGTTCGAAAGCCCCTGGAATTCGTCCAGAGTCTTGAAATGCAAATCCTCCCCGAAATAGTTGTCTTTCAACTTGAGGAAGTGATGAACGAGCCAGCCGTAAAGATCCAATATAAGACCGCTGCCCTGTATGTCCATAAACAGTCGATCCGTACTTTCGGGCGATGTGTCAGTCATATATGTATGACTGCCTTTCAAGACCAAGTCGCCGACACTAGCAACATTTGTGGACTTGATGAAGGACTTCAGAGTGTTTCTCGGCGGCATGCACAACTCAAGTCCCAAGGCACGACCGCGTAAATCGAATGTAATCTCATTCTGGAGAGGCCTGAATCGATCTAAGGGTATCACCACGTCTCCGTGTAAATTCCGGCCGTACAGTATGATGAAATTATTATCATCCAGGTCGGCGGGATTGTTGATTATGTTGGAGTCATTCGTATTGAGGTACAGCTTGAAGTTATCGAAGTTAACCTTCAGGAGGTACTGGAATGGCACAAATGTGAAGTAGTCGGGACCGGCCCCGGAACCCCAATCTGTGACTAGGTCTGTGAGAAGAAATAGATGATCCCTGAGAAGAAAGAGTTCCAAGTCTTGACAAGATATGCTGAAGACCCATTTGCGCAGACTGTTCCAGCCCAGAGGATTCGAAAGGTCACAGTCCAGGGAAACATGTCCGGAGCGCCACAGCAAGCCGTGGTTCACGCTAGACGACACTTCGGTGCTGATAACATCAATGTCTAGCTTGTTGTGGTAGCCGGTCTTTGACGGAACCATATCCATGATATAGTTTAGCGAAGTGTTTCCCGCAACTTTGACATCAATCCAGCCAAAAGGGCGGCCACCGCCAGGGGCATTATCTCTATGCTTCGTTCGTTTACGAGACTTGGGTTTCCCTGTCAGCTTGTTGGCTGGTTGCTTGTCCCGGGCCGGTGTGGGCTTTGCCTTGCCCTTCCACTTCCAGTCTTTCGAAAATTCACGGATAGGAATGCGGACAACGGTGTCATCCTCAATGGTGATATGTATCTTGAAGATAGTCAAAACTCGTGCGTTACCAGCGACCAGGGCCGAGGCAGGCTCGGCGTCGACATGCAGGCCGGGAAAATACATAGCCTGTAAAGCTGCTCGGTGGCGATCCGCCCATGGACCGTAGTTGATGGTACCTCCGTGCAATTGTATATCCATACCATAGGCAGGGGGAATACTCCCATTGATATCGTCGGGGTATGCTGGATCGACATGGGAACTGTTCTCCATTTCGCCGGGAACAAGGCCAGGAACGTCCCAGTGGAAACTTAAATCGATTCGTGGACTATCCAGAAGGACTGACGCGCTCGCATATTGCACTTCAAGCCACTCGGTGTGGCCACCATTCCCTTGGTCAGCTAAGTAACGCGTGAGGCCTCTCCAGTTCTCTTCCCCTGGCAGCTTGAACTGAGCTTCGTGATACTTTTTCCTCTTCCTTGTCTTGGAGTCGATATCCGTACGAACCGAGTCCGACGACTTCGAGAACAGGGAGGAGAGGGCAATGCTGGTACGCCAAGGCTTTCTCTTCCTCTTATTCTGTTTCTCACTGTCCTCTTGACCCTGCCCAATGGGCGCTTCGGCACTTTCATGCTTGATTTGGGCCGCAAAATCGAGCTGCGAAGACTTGTGATCTGGATTCGGCACCATGCGAACAACAGGATGCGTGAAACTGAAATTGAAAATCTGTCGATACATGTCCAACGGCCCGCTTTTGCCGGCATCAAATTCCCCGCTAGCTTTATCGAAATGAGCTGTAATGACAGCATCCGTGTGCTCATTTCCAACGACTACAGCACCCTTATTGCACTCAACGCTGATTGGAAGTAGGCGTAGAAAGCACGGTAAAGCGTCTTGACTGGTGCTTTGCCCGGCCGACGGTTCGGTGAGGGTTGGCTGGACCTTATTCCCGTTCAGGTCATCAAATCTCTCCGACAAACTGTTGGAAGGGCATTGCTGGCCAGGCATGGGAGCCTTTGAACCCTGACTTTGGGCTGCGTTTGCCTTACGCTGGAGGGCCTCGACAATCACATCGTACGCAGGGCTGCGATTGTACATGAACGCCTCGAGACCTGAGATCTTGACAGTAACACGACATGACAGCCTCTTCTGGCTTTGGCTTCCCCCTCTTTCCGCTTGATCATCCGTTCGCCCGCTGATATCGGAGGAGGTACTGCGCGTATCGGGAGTCTTGGGACCGGTACCGCGGCCGGGCGGGGCTTCTGTCGAATATACTTCGGCATCTCTGACTCTGCGTAGCCAGTATTGCCAGGTGACATGACCTCCATGAACTAGAATCGTCTGATTGTGGCCATGATATCGTATGTCTTTGAAGAACAACCGCCCACCGAGCAGTGATATTTGGAGAGCCTGGATGTCGATGTAGGCATGAAACTTGTGCCAAGTGTATGCGCGGATACCATAGGAAACAAGAGTGGCGAAAAGACGATTGAAGTAGAACAGAAAGAACACGGCCCTGGCCATGTTAGCAAGGGAACTATGAGTGCATGGTAGCATTGGACTCACAAGATGCAGCACACTAGCATTTCAACGAGAAATACCCTGTGACGGGTCAGTCGTGCAAGAGAATACCAGACGCGAAGGAACCGACCAGTTGAATCCAGCCCGTGGATCGAGCGGCTCTCCTATGATTGGGTTCGCCATTGTTGATTTCAGTTGCCAATGCCCGAGACTGGGAGGTGAACTCGAAGAGAGTATTTCAGGTACCAGATTGCATGATGGCGGCGGCCTTGGACCGCGAATTGTCCCACCGACGCCTCATTTGACTGAGGGGAAAGAGGAGTCCTCCCGGGTAGTGAGGATGCCCATCCAAAAGCCTCGAGTGGTGGGATGGAGGAGAAGGGTGCTTTTGTTGCGGTCCTTGTCAAGCTGCTATCCAAACGAAGCGGGTGCGCGTCACCGAGGCTTGGTCCGTGCGCAAGCAGCTTGCCGTCCACCACCTCACCTCTTATTTATGAGCACACGATCGCGACGACCTCGGTTCCCTTCCTATCCATAGCGAGACGTCCACGTTGGGCGCCTGTTCAGTCGCCGGTATGGGACTTTGCGCCACTCAATAACCTTACAGCCTTTCTCAGGAGCCCGCTCTCTTTTCCCCCAAAAGCGTGGGTCAACTCCTCGTCTTATCATGTCAACAGGCAACCTGCACACCCCTCCGGGCTCTCGCGATACACCCCCTCATGGCACTGGCGACCGCTTTGCGAGGGCTGTTGTTATTGTTGCTGGAGTGGCGGCTTTGTCTGCCAGCTTGATCACCTTCTTGTGCGTATCTCTCTTCGCTAAACTACAGAGCAGGCTACTGACTGTGTATAGTTCTGTCTGGCTACAAGCCAAGAACTACAGGAAACCACTCCTCCAGAGATATGTAGTACGAATACTTCTGATGGTGCCCATCTACTCGGCCTCGTCGTGGGCCAGCCTGGTGTCTCTGAAGGCAGCTTTCTGGATCGGTCCCTTGCGAGACGTCTATGAAGCCTTCACGATTTACACCTTCTTTCAGTTACTGATCAACTTCATCGGCGGTGAACGAGCCCTCATAATCCTCATGACCGGACGTCCCCCCGTATCCCACCTCTGGCCTCTCAACTACATTCTCCCCAAAGTCGATATATCGGATCCGCACACGTTCCTAGCCATCAAACGCGGCATACTGCAGTATACATGGTGCAAGCCGCTCCTGTCGCTTGCAGCAATCATCATGAAGGCCACGGGCACCTACAAGGAAGGATATATCGGTGTGACATCGGGCTACTTCTGGAGTGGTATCATCTACAACATCAGCATCTCCATCAGTCTGTATGCGCTCGCCATGTTCTGGGTGTGCATGGCCCACGATTTGAAACCTTTCCGTCCGATGCCGAAATTCCTGTGCATCAAGGGCATCATCTTTGCATCGTATTGGCAGGGCTTTCTTCTTTCGATCCTTGTGTTCCTGAGAGCAATCCCCGATGACGTTCCCGGTTACACCGCGGACAACCTTGCCGCCGCCATTCAAGACGCCCTCATATGCTTCGAGATGCCTCTGTTTTCAGTAGCTCACTGGTACGCCTTCTCATGGCACGACTACGCTGATGTCACGATATCAGCTGCACGCATGCCGGTGAAGTATGCGCTTCGCGATGCATTCGGGCCGCGTGATCTCATCCAGGATACAAAAGAGACGTTCGCCGGAAAGCATTATGAGTACCGATACTTCGATGCTCGCGATAACGTCCTGGCACACGAGGAGTCGTCTTCTCGGGCCGCGCGCATGAGAGAAGGCATGAGGTTCGAGAGGGGTGGAAAGGGCAAATATTGGATTCCCAAACCTGGCCAGCGCGAGCACGAGCCGCTGCTTTCAAAGGTTAGCTCGAGCCGGGCGCGAGCGATGAGCCCTGGCCCTCATCGCGCGCTCGAGGACACGCACTACGGTACTACAGATGAAGACGAGGATCCTTCCCTCAACCCTGAGGATGAGCGCCTCTTTGATAGCGCCCGTGCATTGGAGTTTGGCGATTGGAATTATCCGGTCATTGAGGCTCACAGGGCGACACGTGAAAGTCGCATGTACTCGAGTCCAAACATTTTGACCGCTTCCACAAACAGGAACCTATTGCAACCGACTAAAGAGAACAAACGAAGGCGGAAGAACCGGATCAAGGAAATCCAACAAGAAGTGGGAAAGGGCAAGAACCGGAGTGATTCTGAGAGTAATGGAGAGTCATCCGGCTCCAAGCCGCGAGCACCCCTCATTGGGAATCTGTTTCGACAGCAATCCACGTCCTCGACCGGCTCGGCCAAGACAGATAGGAGTCAGCTGGTCGATCTCGTGGTCGAGGACCGTGAAGCAGAGGAAGTTGAACGAGTTCGCGCACGGAAGGAAGGAGGTCCCGGATGGAACGAGGTTCCTCCGAGACGCTTTGTGTAAGTTCGCCTTTGCACTGATGACCAGCGTCTCCTAACTCATTGTACTACAGGCACACCTATCCGCAAGAGGGGCAGGAGGAGGAGGTGCGCGAGGGCTTTGATCCCGATGAACCTCAGCCCCACAATCCCGAACGCGCACACAACCTCGATTCACCATTCGCAATAGGGGAGAACGAAGAGGCTGACAACGAGGAGCGACAACCGCCTGTATCCGATGAAGCGGCGAAATGGCAGACGCGAGACTATTCCCACGAGGATGACGGCAAACCCATCAGCCCCCAGTACGGCAGCTTCCATGAGGAGCGCGATGCTTGGGGTGGCGGCTGAGAGGAAGTGGAAGAAGTAAGATGACGCGAGCAAGGTCGTTGTTGAAACGTGGCGGAGGTGTCTGTCGCAGATATATTCGGACGGCGCTGTGAATTTGATGCTACACAGGGCCGCATGGAGCGCACGTCATTCTGCAGCTTTGTCTGATACCCCTTTGAAGACGCTATAGTTCCTAGATGAGATGTATAGAGGGATCCATGGATGGGATGGTTCTCACCAAAGCACGTGATATTGAAGTCCATGCTCAGCGATGGCAATCCATACACCTGCCCAAGGATCCATACGGAACTTCCACCATTCGGGTGTCACTCTTCAAACAAAATTACAGTTGGGTGAGCCAGTTTTCCGCAAGGTTGAGACCGCTTGACAATCACGTGATCATCGATCTCACCTAATTCAGAACTTGTGGACCACGTCGGTAAGCTACGCCTCTTGGGATCTTCAAGTCAGCATGCACTGGAGCATCAAATTCTGAGGTGGAGCATAGACCAGCATACCGTTCGGACGATTCCTCCGGCTCCCACGGTGGCTCGTTCGTTTCGAGGCCTACCTTTCACTGTTGGTGCCAGCTCACCCAACTTCAGATACGCCCGTGAGGCTCAACCCACGCGGTGTGCCTCTCGACAAGCCAACAAGGGCCTATTATTGGCGGCTGGGATTTATAGTGCTGAGATGAATCGACGTGAGGGCCGTTTCAAGACGACGACATCAAACAGCGAAACGTCGTCTGGTCGTTGCAGGGCCAATTTGGCACAGCTGTTTGGCATGGCGCCGCGCCGCCTGGTCCACCGGCCCCCTCAGGCAAATCAGGCACCGTGAAACACACGCTCTTGTTCCTGATTGTTCCTGGTTGTTCCTGGGCGTCGCTGACGTGCGGATCCAGCGTGGCCGACGTGGGAAGCTTCGAAGCGCTGCGAGTATTGATTCGATGCACGCTGTCGGCGCGTAATACAGTGTGAGGAGGAGTGTGGCCAATCACGGCTCCGGCAGCCATTACCGCAACCCGGGCTGCTGGCCGCCAACTCCTCTGCCACCTCAACATATTCTTCTGACTTGAGAAATGCGGCCCTGGATCCCTTCGATTGGGCGCTTGCACGCCCACATCAGCAATGTTCCTCATATATGACTACATATCAGAGGATGCCCTCCGCATCATTGGATCGCCCTACTTGGTTGGACCGGCCCTGCAACCCTACATGCGGCCGGGGGCGTCCTTCGCTGCCAGAGTCCACTCTTCATCTCCTCCGTCCTTTCACGCCCTGACTTCTTCTTGACTTCTCTCGACCTCTTTTTTGTCTCTCCCTTTTCGACTTTCTTTCTTTCCCTCCTGACTTCGTTTCGATTCGTGAGGGCGGTGATGCTTGCCTGGTGAGCGAAGCATGGCCCATCGAGCGCTACCGGGCGAGCAGAGCGCTTCATGGCTGGCCATGTCCTATGGGTGCTGTGCACCTCGTCGAGAGAGCCTTGATCGGGATGATCGTGCCTTGTTGAGAGAGAATGGTATGTTGGTTTTGTTCTTCCTTCCGACTGTTTAGTCCCGCACCAAGTCCTTCAGCCCTATCGTTCCTCCATTATACTCGCTTTCTCTACTTTCAATTCCTTCATCGTCTCTCCTCTACTCTTAAAACTCGTCCCATCTCCTTTTCCCCAGGGCGCTGTCAATCGACGTTCGTTCACGTGTCGTTCATTTCCTGTTCCTTATCTTGAGCTGCATCATTTCGGTTATAATCACCCTCCTCAATCTGATTAATACCTCGTCATATGCAAGCAATATACATCCAACCTTCGCTACCGAACATCACCCATGGCGTCATCTCATCTTAGGCGCGCATAGCTAACGATACTAACAGGGGAGAAAGAGATGCAAATATGTTACGAGCAGCCTCAGATCATCCCACCTCCACGTGCGGAACCAATCCGGCATCGCCCTTCCACTAGCCACTCGGTGGGCCGCCACGTCTCGCAGTGGGTTTCCAATGGTCGCGAGTTCGCTACTCGAGCTTCGTCGAGGGCAAGTTCATATACGTTGAGCAGGCCGCGGAAGTCACTCTCAAGACAACGCCTTAGCATTGGACGCCCGTCGGACTTTAGACGGTATGACGGTGTCGATGGAATCCAGAGTATGCTCGACGAGGCATCTATGCCTGTCCCCCGTCGACGTCGCAGCTTCACCCCGCTGGAACTCTCCATCTATCTCCCTGAGAACCGCCTCTCGCCGTTGCCAGACTTCGGCGACGACAGCTGGGAGGAATTGCAGAAGCCGCCTCAAGCACTGATCCGGGATCGCCAGTCCCTTGCGTCGGAGTCCTCGTTCCTGATTCAAAGGAAACCGGTTGCTTCCATCTCGGCTCGCGACAGTATCCACAATGCAGCCTGGCCCCCTACCTTCACCTATACAACGTCCGCCTCCCCGTCGTCCCTACCTTTCCTCCATGAAGAACCCAAACAACAAACCACATCGCCTATCCCTACTCCCGCCCGTCCGACCCTCCAACGGGCCAACACCCAAACCTCCATCGCCTCCCGCTCCTCTTCGCGTCTCCTCTCCCGACTCCCCTCCCCCTCCCGCACGCGCTCCAACACGGCCGCTTCCCTCCCTTCCCTAGCCCGCCGCGCCACCTCCAAGTCGACCACCGAAACCGACGAGGACATCGACGCCGCCATCCGCGAACTCAACACCATCGTCGAAGAGCGCCGCGCCGCCTCCGCCCTAGCCGCAGCAGAAGCGTATCGCTCGCGAAACCAGTCGCCCGCGTGCATGCACCGCGTGCCGCCGAGCCCGAGCCAGCATGTCCCCGCCATTGCGCCGTCGCTGCGCATGAGGGTGCGCAGCGAGACGCTGGTGGAGATTGGGAGTGCGTTTTCGGCGCCGTTGGTCAAGGATGTGGACAAGGCGCTTCCGACGACGCCGGGCGAGAAGGGTCAGGATAGGATGGGTACGAGGAAGTTGACGCTGTATCCGCCGGGGTTGCACCAGCAGCGGCAGCAGCAGCAGCAGCAGAAGAGTCAGGTTCCGGGGGGACCTTTGACGTCGAATCCGATTACACCAACTACGACCACCGTTCTGACACCTACGACGCCTATCCAGCGGCTCGGCGCGTGGATCAAGAGATCGATGCCAGGTACACCAGTGACCTCTTCATCGTCTGCGCCAGAGAAATTCGCTACTTCGATTGCGGCCAGCAGGGCGCAGAGCCGGCAGCAGACTCCAACCACCACCACCACCACTACTACTCTCAACGCACCCTTCTACTCCTGCAACCCCACCCTCCCCTCCACAACCGCATATACCGCACAATCCCAGCACCGTCCTTCTACCTCAAGATCCAGATCCAGATCCAGCTCCTCCTCCTCCCGCACGGCCACCGCAACCCTCGCATCCGCATCCGCATCCACAACCGCGCACGCAAGACAGGAAAGCAACGACACCGCCACCGTGACTCTCTTTAGCACCTCGACGGAGAAAGACGCCGATGATGATGATGAGGAAGACTCGATCCCCTCCACACCGCCACTATCGACTCACTCGCTGAGCCCGGGCCCCACGGACGGAGAAGGAGGAAATGGAGGGAGCGCGGGGTACTCGCCGCCTACGCCCGGTACGCTCACGGGAGAGGCTTTCGCGGCTAGCAGGGGGAGGAAGGGGAGGAAGAAGGTTCCGGAGCCGTTGGTGCTGGGGTTGGGTAAGGAGGTTAATGTTGATGGTGTTATTGGTGTCGGTGTTGGTGTCGAGGTGGAGAGTGTGAGAAGCGTGGCGAGTGTGGTGGATGTGGTGAGTGCGAGTGAAGGAAAGTTGCAACCGCCAAAGTCCCCGCATTATGGGATTCTGCCGGGTATGGAGGTGCCTGTTCGCAATAGTGTGGGTGTGGGTGTGAGGGGGAGTAGGGAATGGGGTGGTAGGGAGGGGGTAGGTGTTGGTATTGCGTTTTGAACTTGCTGGGGTAGAGGGGGCTGCGTGGTTTGGCGAATGGGGAGGGGGGGACACGGCAGACAGAGGAAGGCGGGAGTGTGTGTAATTGGTAAGTGCGAATTGGATGGGTCTCTGTGCGTGGATGGATGGATGGATGGATGGATGGATGAAGTGGGAGTGCAAGTGGATTGGGCATGTGGTCTTCTGCTCCGATGGCGTTCCTTTTTTTCTTCGGTTTTTTTTTTTTGAGATATACCCCGCCCTGATATCCTTCGCTTCTCCATCTATCCTCAAACCCCCTAGTTATTTTGGGGCCCCAGTGTACTTTGCCGAAGAAAGCAGCTAGGGCAGTTTCTAGCATAGCAGTGTTACCACTCGTTCTTATCGCGTTCCGGTAGAATAATAACTTCAGCATCTTCGAAGGCAAAACTCAATCTATCGGCACGCCCAACGTCGACACCCCGGTTCCATTCATTCATTCTCCACTCGTGCTCGATTGCTTACAGTAGAGGGAGAGCAGGGTATATCCAACTTCCCAAAAAGGAGTAAAAAAGAATCAGCGGAAAAGCAAGGACGCAGTACTGTATGTAACTAAACCAAATAGCCAGCCAACCAGTGAGATTAAACACCATCACATACGCTGGACGCTAAGCCCACGCCCGAAACGTGTCAGCGAACACCCTTGCCATCTATCTTTACCCCTATACCAAATCCGCCCATTAATGCTACTACTACTCCTCTACCGGGCGACAAATGCGAAGAGAGAAGACGACCCCATTAGGGAAAAGAAGCAGAAGGCGAAGAAGAAGAAGAAGAAAAACAGAAACGAGCAGAGCAAAAGTAGAACCGCAGAGCGAAATACATATAGAAACTCAATAATCTAGAATCTACCGCGCCAACATATGCGACCCCGATCCCAGACCCATACCACCCAGACAACATGCCATGCCCGAAATAGAAGGGAATGAAAGGATCCGTGAACCCAAAACGCCATCTAATGCTATCCATAACCCCGTGCCATCCACCAGTCCATGGCAACCCTAGTAATCCATCCACGGGTCCCAGATGCCAATATTAAGGACGCCGACTTTGCCGAACTGTTGACGTAGATATTCCAGGTCCTGTAATCCCGCGTTGCAAAAATCATCCATCAGAGCCCAGATGTGTCCTAGATATGCTCATGTATATGTCCCCGCCCGCCTGGGAGATGAATGCAAGAAGGAAAAAAGGGTAGACGAGACCGGGAGAGAGAAATCGATAAGAAATCCAAACGCCGGGGTATTGCTCATGCGATGCCATTCGAATCGCCCATAGCCATATCCAGTGCCAGTCTACGGTGGAAAATGGATGACGCTGTGAATCTGCCGCCCTTGCAACAAATAGATCGCCTAGGTAAATAGAAAAAGGGAGAGAAATCCGAACAAACAGCAGACACTCCTTCACAGCATCCCACTTCTTGTGTCTGCACGACGCGTACACTCCAGTGGTGGGTGGTTTCACGAATGGGTGTGGGGAGTTTGCGCCAAGCCAGAAACAGCTAGCGCGGGAGGTCGGACCCTAGCTTCTGCAGCCGCGTGAGAAGATCAGATGCCCGCGTCCTGCCCACCCTCTTTTGAATTCTGCGAACTGTGCCATGTTCTGAGAGGGAGAGATGTAGAGGTAAAGATGGTGGGCAGCCCCCAAGTCCGGGTCGAAAGGGAGTTTTGTGACTTCGGTTATCTGCCTCGAAGGAACCCGGCCCCAGTTACACATGATACTGTCGAAGAGAGCTACCAGATGCTTCTCAATCCCGCGAACTACGGTCGGCGTTGTATTGCTGATATGGATCCTCGGCAGGGAGATGACCAAGGGCATGGGTCAGGTCGGCGCGTTGCATTTGCAGTGCTTGGGCGGTCGAGGGAACACCGGCTGCAGTGGTCGCAGGCGATGTGTTGAGGAACGAGCCGTAGTCCCACGAACTTCCCCGTCCTGCCGTGGAAAGGCCATCGGAATACTGGGAGAGCTGTTGTTGTTGCGTCTGCGCCCCCCACGAGGACTGGGTCATGGCCTGTATGCCCTGTCCTGTTGTGTCTCGCTGACCCGCCAGGCCTGCTGATGCCCTCAGGTTCGGTGACGTCGTCGTCGAGGTCATGCTCGACATGTAGGCAGCCGTCGCAGCTGACGGCAGTCCCGTGTGCGGTGAGGGTTGCCCTCGATAGGCAGCGACGCCCCCATATGTTGAAGGCAGCTTTGGCGGTGGCAGCGACCCTGCGCCAGCCGTGGAAGAGTAGCTGGCCGACTGGTGATGGTTAGTCCTCTGAGGTGCCACGTCGCCTTGCGCCGTCTGCTCGCGCCTAGCAGCCGCAGGGGAGAGACCACTTACATATTTACCAATGATTTTCTTAAGAGCGTGCGACAGCACTTTCCAGGGGAACACTTTCACGTCCTTCTCGATGTTGCGTGGTTTCGGAGCCGGAAAGCCCATGATGACCTTGAAGAACTCCTCGCTGTCGGGTTTCGCCTTGGATACCGTGAGAGGACGAAAGCCTTCCAGGTTACGGCGGATGCGGTTCTTCTCCTCCACTGTAAATCGGACGTTGACCAGTTGCTCCAACAAGAATATGGTATCGACGCTGGTGATGAAGCATTCCCCCTTCTCTTCCCAGAGTATGCAGCTCACACAGATGCTGCGCGGAGGACGAGTCTCGAGCGTGACGGGCGCGAAGCTGGTCGTTATCGTGCTCCCTGCCTGCGAGCGCTCAAACTGAACTAGCCTTCGTTTGGCCTCAAACTCCTCGCGAGTCCAATTCTCCGTCATACTGTTCAAATCCCCTTCGATATTGAGAACCGCCTTCCTGGGATACATGAGATACGGGTTGAACGACGCCCCGGTCGAACTACTGTTCGATTGCGCAAGGGAGGAGGCCCGGACCAGCACAGGATTTCCCATGCCCGAAGGAGACGGCATTACCGTAGCTCCTGCGGGGGTGGAAGCGACCGACGCCGGACTTCCCTGAGCGATGGACGCATACTGGCCATAGGACGACAGGTTGGGCGACATCTGAGGGCGCTTCATATCCGCCTGTGGCAGACCAAGGCCTGAAGGGACCGCATATAGACTCTTCTGTGACAATTGAGGGGTATAGCTTTGCTGCTTGGGCAGATCGTAGCTGCCCGAGTACCCATACGCGGAAAGGGACGACTGTCCAACCAACGGAGACAAGGAGGCTGTGGAATAGGAGGCGACTGACATATTCCGCGGTTTGGTGTGCAGGCGCGAGGTGGACTGGCGTTTCCCTTGTTGGTCCGTATATCCCTCGGTGTCTTCGAACTCTGTCGAGTATCTTCTCTTTTTCGACATGCCTGGAAGGGGTTGAAACAGGCTACCGGACATGTCGGTGTAGGTGAATTTCCCGGCCTCGATTTCGTGAATGAGCTGTGAATGCCCATCCTCCATCCGCAGTTTGAGCATCATGGTAGGATTCCAGGCATTCGTCAAAGGGAAGGGGGGGACTTGGACGCTCAAGGCGTAGTTGTAGTAGTCGTCCACCCCATCGACCTTGTGTATAGCGGCCTCGCACCGCTTGGGCCCGAACATAAAGGCAAAAAGAGTCTCTTTTGCGATATCGTAGTTGGCTCGAAGGTGTAGTAGAACGTTGGTTCCGGCTGTGCCTGACGATGGATGAATGGCATTGGTTACTTCGGGTGGGGATGCAATAATAGTAGAGGCGGGATGACGAGATCTTGCATCCATAAAAGAGGAATCGGTTGGGTAGCTGCTTTCGCCGCGTGACTCGTACGTCGAAGTGGGAGTATAGGGGACTTCTGCGCCGGACTGCTCATGGGACAGCTGCGCGGACGCCTCGGTGTATTGCAAGGCGAAGGGAGGCTGTGCGAGGCCCCCGTAGCTCGAAGCCTGATTCGGTCTCTGGGCTGCGGCATCTGGAAGGGTGGGTGGTCAGTCAAACGGGCTAATCACTCTCACGTGGACATTGGCAGGGCCCGTCTGGAGGGGTTGTGCCATCTGCTCTGCCAGGCAGGCCCATCAGATGAGCCACAACCAGAGCACACTCACCATAGACAAACTGTTCCTGGTTCTTGTTGTATCCTGACATGGACGTTGGGATGGTAGACGCTGCAGCGGACAGAGGAAATCCGCCAAAGCCCTGGCTGTACTGCGCCAGCAACGTGATGAGATTGTCGCCAGGACCAGGAGGTGCGCGGTCGCTACCAGGCTGTCATGATGGAATTCAATGTTAGCAGGCAAACATGTTCATGGGTTTCGCGTAGGCAGCAGGCGCGGACATAGTCATCATCCTCAGGCACCCGCACCCAGGAGTAGCAGCAACGACATCCTTGCAACGCCCATTCTTACGAAGGGACAACGCACCTGATAGCTTCCCGTATCAACGGCGCAGGCCAGTTTGACGGCTTTGCAACAAGACGTGAGTATGAGGAGGGTGAGGCTGACGAACAAGGACCGGCAGACTTGGTAGGCCTGAGCCTACGCAAGTAGACTGGGAAGCGACAGCAGATTGTTTCGACCGAGGTGTCGTCGATAAAGGAGTCTCGGAACATGCAAATGTTGCAACAAGCACACGCGTTAAGGCTGACAGCGAGGCAACGAGGGGAGATCCTGTTCGCCCGTGTGACCTGTAGAGTTGACCAAGGGAGGTTACCCAGAGACAGGCGATGGAGGTACTGAGTACGTCGATTCATACGGGAATCAGGGGGGCTTTGAATGTCTGTCTCCTCCTTGATGTGGCCGGCTCGTCGCCTATCAGCGCATATGTCTCGCAGCCCTAATGGGGGTTTCGGCAGAACCCAGCAGCCCCGTAGCAACCAGCCGTGGTGAAGGTTCTGATTTAGAGCAGAAAGCAATTCCTAAGAGAAACAGTGAGCGCCGTTAAATGAGACTTCACATATCAGGGCCGGGTTCTGGCATGCTGGAGGCTTCACTTACACCCAAGACAAAGACTAGCGAGACACAGGAGTGGGTCTGATCCAGGAGTGACGAGGTCTCGGCGGCGGGGAGCCTGCGGAAGGCTAACGGGATGGTGAAGCTAGGGGAAGCCTGTGGAGCTATGAACTGCGGAGACAACCGTATGTCAATACCAAGGCGGCGGGAAGCCGCGAGAGGCGACGACTCACCCAGTGATGACCGAGTTACAACAGAGAAAGCATGCAAGGACTGCAGTACCAGGAAAGCCAGGGAAAAGAGGAGAAAGCAGGACGGACCTCTTGGGTGGGTTCGGATGAGTCTGGGGTGGGTGCCGATCCCGCCAACCTGGTAAACTAACACGGAGTAGATGTGGTGGTGCAGCCTGGGGAGAGTGATGGACCAAAGAGTCCCAAGCACGCTTCTTGGAGGTCGATATGGTACCGTTGGACCCGACGTCGTGCTGTATGCACTGAAGGGCCGGAGAATGCAAAGCAAATACGGTAGGTACCTAGACTATGCCTCTCAGAGAACCCCGGGCAGGCTGCGGTCTGGGGCGTTGAGGCTCTGCACGGCCGAGAATGGCGCAGTTCTGGCAAGGTAATAAGCTGAGCTGCCGGGCGGCCTCTGACTGGTTGGAGGTCGGCGCCTGGCGAGAGACACGTCCAAAATGCAGCCCCAAACCTGGCCAGCGACGACTGAAAGAGTAACGGAAGCGTTCGGTAGGGTCCGAGAAGCGTGAAGCTCAACGATAGATAAAAGGGGACGGAAGGGAAGCCGTCAATAGCAGGGACCGAATGGGAGGAGGCCGCGGGGCCAAAGCGCTGAATCACGATCCAAAGGCGCTGAAGACGGGGGAAAAGAAGGTAGCCGTGGAGAGTGCAAACGACAAACGGAACGAGGGCGGATGACAGATTTTGACTTGTTGGTGGTTGTTGGAGGATTGGTTGAGGCCCAGGGGTTGGGGGTCAAAAGCAGTGAAGACACTCAGGGTGAGGTTGCACCGCGCGGAGCGGCGATGGCCCTGATGATATAGAGAGGGTCATGGACGCGGCGGGCATCAGCACGACTTCATGGCTTTGAGCAGCAGTAGCTATTACGGGTTATGTGTACGCCGCAGGGAGTCGGCGGCAGCGCGCCCACGGCACGGGCGTGGGCCGGCGCTGGCAGACGCAGCACCCAGCAGTGCACTGGCTCGGTGAGCATGGCAGCATTGGACGGGCGGGGTTGGCGGAAGTAAGTAGGGGAGAAGGACAGAGACATGACATGGACGGGGATGGGGGGGAACAGACAAGAGGATGTGGTGAGCAACGCACGCTGGGAACTGGGGATATCCGACGCGTGGTAACGCCACAGGGCCCAAGGAACCAAGCCACCGACGCCGATCGCCGCTAGCCGCTACCACCTTAGCTTCTTTCTATTTTGGCGCACCAGTTGTGGCGCATGCCATCCCATCCCAACTTCCTCTCATTCATTCACCCACGGCGACGAAACACCAACAGCGAACATGAGCCCGCAATGGGGATATACAAACGGGAGCAGGACCCATCTCGCAGCCTACTAGCCGCTGGACCACCTTGCAAACGTACGTCTGCGACGACGACTCGGGAACCCTTTCTTCCGCGCTGCTGGTCTGCCCTCAACTGTAGCCGCACCGCATGCCATGGATCGTGTGCACCCACACCTCGCGCATGCGCCGGCCCCAAAATCCCCTCTCGTTCCCACGACCAAGAGCTCCACTTTCTGCAGTGCTCCGGGAGCCGTCATCCCTTCTTTACCTCCGGCCGCGCCCGTTCTGTCTGCCCATCATTATTCCCTGTTCCGCTGTACATCACTGCGGACTCTTCAAACGGATGCTTCCTCTCCTCTTATGAACCAGCATGCCCCATCATCCAGCTTTGCGAATGTCAAACGGGTCGCAGTCGTGCGTATTCTTAGAATTGATGACGATGGTGTGGCTGTGCACGCCCGGCACTCGTTTCATCTCCGCATCCATCCAACGGTTGCGCCCAGCACTCCTCCACAAACGCCCGCCTGCTTGTTGCGAGCGCCCCAGCCTGACGTCGTCTGGAGTTGCTATCGACGCCATTCTTGGTGGTCCCTCTATGCTGTTCTCGCCAGGACGAGCTACTAGCTGTCGTGTCTCCCCAAAAGAGTTCGTCATGCTCCCTGAATGGGCAAGAGGCCATTCGTCTTCCGAGCTTACGACTGCTCTCCCACCACCATTACGCGGGGCCGGCCTCCAGGTTGGCCATTGTTTCGGCCCCGGGCGCTAGCGAATCTTGCCCTTCATGGCCTGCCTGGCTTCAAGAGGCCCATGTCATAATGAGAGCGTATTCCTTTATGTTGTTTCGCGGCCGCAGTCACCCGGCCACGAGGCTGCACATCGTGACTGGGAAACGCATCCTCCAGAGTTGAAACGTGGCAGCGCAGATGCAAACAAGGCTCGGCCGGTAGTCGCAGGTACCCGTCTGCCAAAGCCGCTAATAATTGCCCCATCAGGCTGTTAGTCACGGGTGGAAAGCGGATCGATATTGCGATGCGGGCCCTAACCTTTCTCCCCCAGAAATCTCTTGGTTTCAAGGCCAATTTCGGGTCTACGTTCAAAATGCCCCAGGGAACCCCATCGGTCAATGTTACACGAGCCACTCCCGAACCGCCCATTTCGATTGGCCTCTTGTGATCGTCGTCCACAGCGAGTCTTAATGTTTCCCTGGATCGTTACATCAGCTACACCAGAACGAGCTTCACCTGCTTCAATGCCTCTCGAATGCCATAATCCTACCATCTGGCTTGTCAAATCTTTCTCGCCTGTGCTGTGATGACGCTTTCGTCGTCTTGTTATGGCAGCATATGATGGGAGGTAGCAAGACTGTGAGCCAAGAATGATATCTCGGCCGGCTGCAACTCAATCGTTTACCAGAGCTAATCAGTAACAATCGAAGCTCTCGAGCGCTCATCCCTAGCTCGAAGCATAACATCTACTACGGTAGCTGCCAGACGGCTGCTCGTACCACCACCTCCCTCCACCATCAAACCCCATTGCAACCCGCATTAGTATTCCGCTAACAGGCCTATCCACCCCCTCAATGTCCGACCGAGGCTACCCACCCGAAATAACGAAGCGGATAGAATGGGCCCTTGACCCAGGGATATCGGCTTGTAACCCCCTTCGCCTTCCAGTCCAACCTGGTTGCTGGGTTCCCTCTGTGCAGCGCATTTCCACAGTGTCGGAAGCAACCACCAGGTCGTCCTCAAATTTTTTCATCTTCTGCGTCGCCGTGAATCGAACCTTCTGCTGAGAACGCACGTGGCGGGAAACTTGCATGTGCCAGGAATGCGGAGACTCTTTCTCTCATCCTGCGCTGGTCTTCTGCACCCCTACTTGCTAGCCGGTATTGTCCACTCGGGAACACCCTCCTGGCAAAGAGGGTATCGCTCGCAGACCTCAACGCCCACACATTCCCAGGCGTGCAACTCGTTCTACCCAATGCCATCCTCCGTGGCGCTTTCTAAGCGCCCACCCAACATCCAACTCACCGACTTGTGCAACCCCAACGTCCTTTAGGCATACCTTTCGCGGCTCCCCTTTCATTGCTGGCTGCTCAAAACTCTGACGGTGAAGGGTATTGCAACTTTCAGGATGCCCTTGCATTCGTCTGTTTCTGGCATTCGCTGCATGCCTGCGTGCGACTCCTCATTCGCGGTACGCAATCTAGGACAAGACGGCGAAACCGTTACCACACAGCTCTTCTTCTTGTATCTCACGTGATTGCCTCGTTGGTCCCTTCAAGAGGCTCTCCGGATGCTGCCATGTAAACCAACGACGTGGTGCTGGCCATGGCCATAGAACTGTGGGGAGCATTTATTACCAGGCATAGCTACATCGCGACACTGAGAAGATGACTTTGTGAAATTACCATCCTTGAAACGCCAGTCCGTAGAATTAAGATCGAAAGATGGAGATGCGGATATGTGCTTTGGCGCTCTACTGTGCCGAGCTACACCTTCACACATTCAATTCGAGTGTCGTCTCTGAATGGCAGGTACGAAATAGGGAGACATCTGACAGACCACCACAGAGAGACGGACGTTGGATGGGTGGGTGAATCAGTCATGGGCACCGCGTCGTCTTGCCTTCTCCTGTCTTCTCTTGTCTTATCTTGCCTTGCCTTTCCTTGCTCCGTGCTTGTCTCACCCCATATACACAGTACTGTACTATATTGCTCCTGAGTCGTGACACTCTTCCCACAAGAGCAAGCGCGTGCCTGAGACTCCGAATCGCGAGGTATACGCAGCTGACAACGATTTGCTAGGGCCATTCATTCCCACTGGTAGATGTAAACACTCCCCGCCTCTCCTGGCGTATCCGTGAAGGAATGCGAGACACCAATCCAAATCTACGGCTCGCCGCTCTCACTGTTCGAATTTGCAGGACAAGTGAATGCGTCTCAAGGATCGCCTCCTCGAATTATGACTAATCGTAGGTGGTCATGTGACCTCCTCACTTTCCCTGCCTCCATCAAACTGAATGGACGTTGTAGTATGTACTAGATTAAGTATTTATTTCCTAACTAGAGTCACTCAATATACGACAGCTCGGCAATAGACAGCGTAAACGCACGTCAGCATACACCGAATTCCTCTTAGCTACGTTTCTTTCCCTTCAGTGAGCGTAGTTACCTCTCCATGCATTCCCTGAAAACAGACTCCCCTCCCCTCCCTCCTTGTCAACCTCTCTCTCTCTCTCTATTTCTCGACGTTCTTACTAGTCAGCATCATCGATCAGTGCAGCTATTTATTCTCTTCCTTCTCCGTTGCCGAACTGCAAAAACGTCTACCTCTTACTCTTAAAGAAATACGCTTGAATCACGAATCATTGTACGCTCGACACCTTGGACGACACGAGCTTTGTGGAAGAGGACGCTATGACTTCACTGTGCTTAAATAATACGGCAGCACTGTAGCCGAACCACACCATCCACCGTTTGGGTCGAGCAAAAAGCGCTAATACAAGAACAGAATCCAGTAAATGTCCTCGATGCACGTCGCCCACAAAGCACTAATCAATAGCCCATTCCTCCCTTCAATCGCTCCACTCTCCAACACCTCTAACCCGCAATGTACACAGCGAACCCTTCCCACCCCTCCCTAATCTATCCAAACCCTTCCAACCCCAGCTGCTTTCCTCACACTCATCCCACATGCTCCACAATCTCACTCACCACCTTCCCATCCCGCACAAAACTCCGAATCTGCTCCGGCACCGGATGCTCCACATAATCCTCCTCGACGGGCAGGTTGATATTCACGACCGAGCACTTGCTCGTGAAAATCTCCGTGTGCATGGACTCCTTGCTCAGATACAACGTGGCGCCATCCACCTGGTCCAGCAGCACCGTGGGCAGCGTACCTAGCACCTGCAGCGCGAAATTGGGCGCCTTGATGACGTCCACGGAACTGACCAGCGAATCGATGATGAGCGAGGTACGCGAGGAATTGTCGACAGAGATTGCATTCGCCTTGCCCTTGACCCGGATAGTCGTATTCTTGCATCTTGAGATGAGAATGGAATGCTGGATCTCTGCCTCAATCTCCACCACGTCGCCGGGACTGTCGAAGTTGTCGATGATCCACTTGTTGCCGTCAAGCTCCTTCTTCGGCGGCTTCTTAGTCCGCAGTGTCTCGGGCTTGGGCTTGCGGGTGGGTGGCGCCGGACTCTTGCTGCGTAGGGGGACGGCGGCGCCGGCGCGTAATGACGGGTTTTTGTGGGTCATCTGGCTGGGGTCAACTTTACGCAGGCCCTTGGTTACAGCTTCGCCTTTGTTGAGTTCGGAGAAGACGGCTCCCATGTCAGGGGCTGCCTTGGCCTTGGGAGCTGGAGGGGCGCCTGGCGGCGGAGGTCCCGGTGGCGGGGGCGGCCCTGGAGGAGGGGGGATTCCGCCTGCAGGGGGAGGCGGAGGAGGTGGGGGGATGTTTCCTGTGGGTGATCCGGAGGGTGCGTTTTTCAGCTGCTGTGCGGCTTCCTTCGCGTCGATGCCATCCTTGTTCCATGCAACAGCGCGGGGGTGATGCTTCTTTGCATAGTCTTCAAGCGCCTTGAAGAGCTTGTAGTATCCCTGCACCCATTCCATGGACGTCTTGTCTTCTCTATATATTGTTAAACCCGGACCTGAAGCATCGGACGCTGTCACCTACCTGTCTCTTGATTCCTTAAGTACCTTATTCCCGTAGAGCTGTGCCCCACCAAACATCTCGTGGACATATTCGAACGGCTTAGGACTATCTTCAGCCATGACCCAGCCTAGTGCACCCACGCCGTCGGCAACCAAGGTCAAAGGATTGGTCAAGACCGGGTCGCGGTTGTGTTGCTTGACCTCGTCCACCTTTTCTATGGCCGCCTGAAGATCGTGTAGTATTTCCATGATGGTTTCAATCTGGGGCTTTTTCGATTTGGAAGCGATGAGGAGGAACTTGCGCTGCGCCTCGAAAGCTGCTTGGACAGCTTGGGCCTGGGTATGGGATCAGCATCCGCTTCTAACATGCTGCTGTTGTCCAACATTTCCGTCATACCTGGCCTTCAACGGCAGTACCCAGTTTCTTGCTCAGGCCTACCCAATTCTGGAGCTCGTTGTTGATCAAGGCGTCGTAGTCTTCAATAGAGGGCGGTAACTGCTCGACGGGCTTCGGCGTCGCAGCCTCAGAGGTGGAAACGCCCACAGTGGGAACAGGCGCAACGGGGCCATTGGGAGCAGCCGGCTCAAAGCTCACGGACGACGAAGCAATGTCCTCGAGTCTCGACGTAGCAGCTTCAAGCCTGCGGATCGCTTTTGTCAGTAGGCTGCCAGTAAAGGGGGTGGAGGTGCCATTGGTGCTCAATTCGCGCTGGTGTTCGGGTTGCATCTTGGCCTTGAAAGGGAAGCGAAGAAGGAACCGCCTTTTTGGCGTGAAGAGCCCGAAGAGAATCCACACACCGCTTTATAAGAGTCGTCAGGTTGTGCATATGGCTCGTTTGCGCCATGGTGGTTGACGGATGGGCAGCTGCACCCGTGCGCTGTCTGAGCAGGTGCCTTGGAGTGGAGCAAGGGGAAGTTGGGAAGGAGTCGGTCAGGCCAGCTCACGGATAGCTGCTGGGACGTGGTGGAACGGGATGAATGAGAGTGCGACGCAACAAAGAGTGGAATCAAAAAGGTTCGATGTTGACGCTGCTGTCTCCTGTTGCTATGCGCTAGATGCGCGCTTGGACCAGCCCGAGAGAGCGCCCCCCTGCACCCTCCATTCACTGTCGTTGTGTCAGCAGCTTTGTCGGGAAGTCCTCCGCCCCGTTAAGTGTATCTGCTTCTGGAATCCTTCCACACAGTGACCTGCACGTGTGCGTGTTCGAGAAAGACGATGGAAAGCCAGATGGCAGGGGGCACGAATGGCATCGATTTCTGCACACTAGGCATGTTTATCATCGGTCAGGGTCCTCCTCGAGCCTCCGATGCTGGACATTCACTCAGTATCAAGTCCAGATGAAATCGAATTTCCTCCTCCCAAACCTCCTGTCAAGGACATCATCGGCGGCGCAGGTTCCTACTCTGCGCTGGGAGCCCGATTGTTTGCACCGCCCCCACGCTCCCGAGCAGTCGGTTGGATTGTGGATTGCGGCTCCGACTTTCCGAAGGAGCTTCGAGCGGCGATTCACTCTTGGGACACGGGCGTCCTGATACGCGAGACGCCGCAGAGAGTCACCACCCGTGGATGGAATGGCTACGGAGAGCACGAGCACAGAGGTACTTTGGGCCCGCCCATGCAGGTCAGATCCACAATCTTCGATTTCTAATCCTATGCAGCGTTCCGCTATCTGACCCCAAAATTGCGTCTCGATCATGAGGCGCTGGCTAACACACGGTTGCTCTGGTCCAAGTCTTTCCATCTGATCTGCTCACCTCTGCGCTGCATTGACCTCGTGGAGAATATACTTGCATTGCGCAAGAAATCTCCGCCGGTGGGGTCCACACCCGACCCTTTGTTTATCTGGGAGCCAGTACCAGACCTTTGCACGCCCGCGGAGTTTGAGAATTGCTTGAAAGCGCTAAAGTGTGTGGACGTCGTTAGTCCTAATCATTCTGAACTGGGCGCCTTCTTCGGAGAAGACACAAACGGTGTCAACCATGTCGATTATCGATTGATTGAGCGGCTGTGTGATCAATGGCTGGCAAGTGGGATTGGTGTCAATGGGAAAGGCGGTATCGTGGTACGTGCTGGCAAGGATGGATGTCTTGTGGCGTGCCGGTCCTCTCGGAGATGGATACCTGCGTATCATCAGTCCGCAGACAAGGTGGTCGATCCCACAGGAGGAGGGAATGGTTTCCTAGGCGGTTTAGCAATGGGCCTGGTTCGAGGTAGTGCCTCCCCTGGGGTCCATAACCTCGAAGAAGCTGCCATATGGGGCTCAGTATCGGCCAGTTTCGCCATCGAACAAATCGGTATGCCGACACTATCGCAGTCTCCGCAAGGCGAGTTGTGGAACAATGTTCGTGTCGAAGATAGACTCTTTGAATTCAAGCAGCGGCTGGGAACATATATACAGCCCTAGGTATAATCCCAGAGATAAACCTTGTGATCCCCTCCTCAATGGATCCCCCACGACCGTCTTGCTTCCGTTTATGCTCCCCTTTCAGCAGCCAGTTTCCTCTCGTGCTCGACAATCTGTTTGCTCCAGCTGGGGCTAGGTCAGTCCTCGTTCCTCGGAAGTTGCGCAATGGGTTCATACTAGCGGCTCGGGAAGAATCTGTTCGGTTCCGGCATCGTATCGCGGTATTCTCGCTGTGCGCTGATTGACCAGACGGCCGCGCATATTCCTGTGATCACACCGGCCATAATCATGGTGTTGCTTTTCCAGTTGGCGGGTTGGCAGTACCAACCACCGGCCGGCGACCAGACGTGCTTTGGGTACCTAGCGAAATCAGGAACTCCGATGTTATACTAATTGAGTCTCCAACTTACGGGATCTTTCCTCCTCCACCCATGCTGAAGAGTGTACGTGCGTGGATTGGGTATCTTGGAGCTCACGGCGTGACGTGAGGTTGAACCTTCCCCCAATCGAGCGGGAATTGCTGACTAAGTGGTGTCTTGGCGGCTCCAGAAATTTTGGCAATGTCGCGAATCCGCGCCAGTGGACCACACACGACTTACATCCCGATTGCATGCCTTCTGGTGCCCGTGTTTAATCCCCATTTCCTCCTCTCCCTTCTGTCCCTCCTCCTCCGTGGTTAATGAAGCGGATACGCATCTCGAGATGCGGCACCCAACTGCTCGCTCCCTCCGCTCCACGGCGCCCGTTCTGTCCCTGCACAGCTTCACTCCAGCAGACATGCACGCCTCATAACCATCGCATACAGAGGCGGTTACAAACGACCGCTGCCGCCTTCAATGCCGCCGACACGGAGGAGCTGCTTCCTCCGACCGAGACCGTCCAATCGATAGAGCAGCAACAGCAACCCCAAAAACAGCCCCGACGACCGCGCAAACTCTCTCTCGAGTCCCTCCCATCACCTCACCCATTGCGAGCAAGGGAATCTGTGAAACTCGCCGCTCTCCGCAGCCGCCTCTCTCTCCCTCAACACTTCCCCCTCCCCACCCTCGCCCGGACGCTCGTCCACCCCTCCGCAGACCCCGATCCCGCCTTCAATAATGCCTCGCTCGCCATGCTCGGGTCCAACATCCTCAGCTACTACCTCAGCGAGCACCTCATCTGCAACTACCCCCGCCTTCCCATGGCCATCATCTTCGCCGCCCACGACGCCTACATAGGCCCCAAGGCCCTCGCCACCATAGCCGGCGAATGGGGCATCGAGGCCGCCGCGGAACCCGGCGGTGAAGTCGACCCAGGACTCCTCCAATTCCGCCGCCTCAATGCCGGCGACCCTCTCCCCGCCGAGCTGCGGAGACGCACCCCGCATAACTGGAACGTGACCACCACCCACCGCATCCTGCGCAGCGACGAATTCGGCTCCGCGTACAGCGGCCCCAGCAGCCCGCAGCAGTTGGCCCGCAAACCGATTCCCGTGGAGGAGGCGGCGCAGTCGTTTGTCCGCGCCCTGGTAGGTAGCTTGCACCTGCACCTGGGGCGGCCGACGACGAAGCGCTTCTTCCGCGACCACTTCCTCTCGCGGCACCTGGATCTCTCGACGCTGTTCGATTTCCGCACCCCGACGCGCGATCTCTCGCGCCTGTGCGCCCGCGAGGGGTTCGAGCCGCCCGTCGCGCGGCTGATATCGGAGACGGGTCGGGCGAGCCGGCATCCCGTGTTCGTCGTGGGCGTGTACTCTGGCAGGGACAAGCTGGGCGAGGGGGCGGGCAGCTCGCTCGACGAGGCGAGGTTCCGGGCGGCGGCGGCGGCGTTGAAGAGTTGGTGCTTGTATAAGCCGCTCGACGTGACGGTGCCGAGCGAGATGGAGGGGGTCGAGGAGGGGGATGCGGCGGGTGCGGCGGCGAGGAGGTGGAGGCCGAATATGGTGGATTGTGGCGAGGTGGTTGTGTAAGATATGTCCCGTTTTTGTTTTTTGGGCGGGAGGGGGAGAGAGACTCGGAGGGGGAAAGAGATGGGTGGGGGATCGCGAAGCTTTCATTTCGAACTTGTGTTTATTCGTGAGAAATGAGAGAAGATGGTGTGTGGAATTCCTGGGGGTCTGGAAGAGGAAACGGTATGGAGAGGAGCAGAGGAGCAGAGCATGCAGCAATCTCCCCCGGGATCTACCTAGCAAGGGAAAGAAGGAGAACGGCATTGTTGTTCTTTGTATGTACGATGATGCATGGAAGAGGAAACTAGTGCGCTCGCAGGAGGAGCGAGCAGCGCGAGAAAGGGGCATCTACTGTATCTGTATCATACGTTATGGGATGTTGGCTGGACTTTTAAATTTCTGATACATGTCATCATAGCAAGGACAACCACCCCGCGAGAAAGGGGGAAAGGGGTCTGTAGGAATAAAGTTATTTATATGTATTACTGTATTTATCTGGAGGATAGAGATATTAAGATATTGTGTGCGCTGTGTGTCTTGTGCTGTTCATGTAGACTCGGTGGTGGACCATGGACCACGACATTAGGGTTCAACCCGGGCGGAGAGGAGGAAGATGGGATTCTGTGGGCTGTATGCGGTTCGGACAGGAATGAATCGTGATAGTTGTGTGTCTGAGTCTCTATCAGTATTCAATAGGTGGTAGAGTACCTAGTAGGCAAAGCTTGGGAACACCGCCGCCAAAGTCCCGCTCCTAAGATGGTTGAGCTTGACACATATGAGGCTGGGGGAGATCATTGGAGAGGTAGTTGGCCGGTGGAGTGGCATTTATCGAGACATTGTCATAGAGTTTCCCTCTCTCCGTGGTGAGTCAAAGTGTAAACCATCACTGCAGTGCCTTCAATCCCTACAGACCTTGGGAGTAAAGGATCTCTCGATGACAAGTCCTAACCCTATAGTATACTAGCGAACAAATCCATTGGGACCTATTGCCCCATCTCCGCCCCATCTCCTCGTTCTCGTTCTTCCACCTCACCTAATAGCCAACCTAAAACCCAACCAGGAGAACTGATTTCACCTCGTCCTCGTCTCCGTACCTGGCTATTACCGCCGGGAACTGTAGGCAAGAAAAGACGTGAAAACCCATGGAGGAACCTCGTCCCAACCCCAAATCTCCAAACCCATATACCATCTCTGATAACGCTGCATCCTGCATCATTCCTCCTCCCTTCCTTTGTCAATGTGTGCTGTGAGCAGCCTTCTCTTTATATGTAGAACGTCCCGTATGCATTCGTAACCTCGTAATCATTCTCTCATACGTGAAAACGTGGAACGAAAGTGGAGAATCTGACTCATTGTACCTCAGTAGAAGGAGCCAACCAAAGGACGAAATTCAAGGTGTGCACGAGATACGCAAAAGGGGGTATCAAAATGCCTTCCCGAACAAAAGAAATGGAGAAGAAAATGGACGGGCAGAATTGGGAACCGGGCCCTTTCCTATAATTCCTTCGTCATCCTTTGATGGATTCGCTTCGTGGGTGCCGTATCCTCGGTGTGCGTATTCCGTCGTTATTTCCGCTGTGTCCCTGGCAGAGGGTGCTTGACGACTAGCCCTGCGGTCTTGTTTCGAAGCGGTTCGCGCCCTACCGCACCGATTTCGCCTCTTAAGGGTCGTCCCCACCATCATAATTGCTCCGTGATTCGGATTCGGATTGTCGTCTGCCCTCCCTACACCTTGTCAAAGGTGCTTGCCATCACCACCCTGATGCCTGCTCATATCGTCTCTCTTGCTGCTGAAAATACCCATCGAAGATGCTCAACTCTGGCTTCTTGCTGTCAGCTCCATGTGTAACGCCGTTTATCGCGTCGCCGTTGACGGTCACCATAACCCCATTCCCATTCACCACACCCAAAGCGGACGCAACCTTCCCGCTGAAACCTCCCTCATCGAGACTTCGCCTGCGCCCACCCGTGGCCGTCCCGTCTCCCAGCTTTGCTAGAATTGAGACCAAGCTTCGCATCTTCAGGCGATCCTTGGGTTCGGGCACGATCATCTTCGGTATAATCTGAAGCCAGTCGGCTTCTGACTTCAGCTGTCGCTGTTTTCGACCTGATCCGATCACCCCGTTCCGCAGTCCGGAGTTGACTGTTGCCAGGAGCCGGTTCCGCCAGTTACCAACCCGATCCAAGTGAGCATGGAAGGACGCGTCTTGCGATGACCCTGCCCTGTACTGCGTGAAGAGGGCCAGAGGCTGGTTCTGGATGACTGTCATCATCGACAGGAAAATGCAGCCAAGAGAGAAGACATCGGCGGGACGCTTGCCACGAGAGATGATGGCTTCTGGCGCGGCATAAACGTAAGATTGGTCTTGGAAGTAGGAGTGGATCTGATCGTGACGTAGAGGACTCTTCACCGAGGGACCAAACGAGTCACTCTGATTGCCGATACCAAAAGGGGCCAGATAGATCCGGGTTCCGTCAATGAGGATCTTGCGAGGTCGGAGGCTACGGTGGCATATGGATTGTATTCGGCCGTCGACGCTGATGGACTGCGAATGCAGATATTCCAATGCTTGCGCAAGATCTCGCATCCAGTCCAGCAGTTGTTTCGAGCGGTTTGCGTCCACTCCTGTTGCACACAAGTAATCATCTAGGCTGTACTGAGCCTTGGCGGTGATGATCCCAACGTGACTGGGTTGAGAGTAGGAGCAAAGCAGCTTTGCTATATTCTTGTGGTCGAATTGCTTGAACTCATTAATCTGCTTCAGCAGCGCGGCCTTTTGCGAGGGCCGTGTCACGACGAAGCGCTTCCGCACAAGGACACGCTCGTCGCTGTTTCCCAACAGTCGCACCTGGTCAGCACTCTTCTCGGGACTGTTACCGGACCGGATGAGGCTGATGTGCTGCAAGGGAAGCGTTTCGCGGGCGGCTAGATCCACGTGAGCTCCGTTCAGGGGCAGCTCTCTCGCTGTTGCACGCCACTGTTCGTCCACCACTCTTCTGGCGTCAGCAACGATTCCCTGTAAACGTTCCTCATGGAAAGGCATATTCTCGTCTCTCAAGTCGAAGAAGGCCGCTTGCCTCCAGGAAGCCACGTCGTCACAGACCACAAGGAGTAAAGCAAGCCTCGGGTTGGAGAGGGTCCAGCGCCACACTTTCTTCAACAGAGCTGGTTCCCACCCCTGTCGACGTGACATCTCATAGAACCATCCAGAGAGCGATTGGCCCTGGGATATCAAGGAGGAGTTGATGAATCCATTGACCAACGGTGGGAAGGAAGCCGTGGTCTGTCGGTATGGATTGGGTGACCCAGGGAAGTTGGGAACAGGTGAACCTGGATATTCCATACCTCTGAAAGAATCACCCGTTGACGACGATGGCGGCGGAGACATGGGGATGAAACCGGCTCCTGGGTGGATCGGTCGTAAAGGTTGAGGGGCGACGGGCGTAGTGGATCTGCTGGTGTACTGGGGGGTGCGGTTGGGACTATCTCTGGGGGAAGATGAGGTGGAAGTGGTGGAATTGGTTGAGGTGGTCGAGCTTGGGCTGGTCATCAGACTGGACCAAGGGTTATTGGAGGTAGTTGGAGTGTTACTTCTACTGGTGGTGGAGGAGACAGAGGAGGCCGTGGGGGATGGGGGTCCCCGGTTGTACCATGTGGGTTCTTCGTGTAGGTTGACCATGGACATGGTATGTTGGAGGTTATACTGCGGCCTCTGATAGTCGGAGGTCGACGGCTGGTGCGGCAGTCGCCAGGGGGAACTGGAATGCTGCATTGCTGGGGAAAGCTGAACAGCGCAATCTATCAGGTGAGCAGGAAAAGGAGCAATAGGCAGCGAGAGAAATGGTGCAAAGCTGTAGAGGACCAGAAGTGCGGAGGGAGCCGGGCTGCTATTGGGCACAGAGCGTGGAGAGCAGCCGAGCAACAGGCCAAAAAAGCAAATGGGGCATATCAGTAGGAGAGGGGAAGCGTGGAGGTCAGATCAGTCGAAGGGAAAGTCGGACCCAGGACATCAGTCCGTATTAGATGTACAGCGTGGGCGACGAAGCACGACACATTGGGGTGGGCTGCCAGCAACCCAAGACGCTGGTAGGCAGGCAGGCGACGTCGAAGGTATGCGAAGGCTATTGATGTGCTGGCAATTAAGTCGTCTGCATTTCCGAAGCCCATGATTTAGCAGAGGTTAGACAATCTCTGCCCTCGGTGTGCGGAAGTTGGGCGAGTGCGACGAGGGCACGAGCACGCATGCGGGCTAGCCCTGACGCATGCTATGTGGGTGACGATGATTCGCCTCTTTGGCTCAAAGGACGCGGACTGCAGCTGTTCGCAGCCCCGTGTGGTGCCAGATCATCGAGTATTTTCTGAATCTATATGCACGCGATCCGTCCCGAAAGGAGCAGTCCAGGAGGAGGCCCAGGAGCAGTCCAGAAGCGGCTGTTGATTTGATGCAGGGCCGCAGGTGGAGGACAGACTGCAGAGGGGCAGAGCAGAGGTTGTATGGCCCAGTCGCCTTCTCCAGTTGGAGAGTGTTGGAGGCGTAATAATAATCATGGCTGTGAGAGGTGACATGTTGTTATATACCTGCTGCGGTCGTTGCACGGCACACAAGGGGACCCGCAAAAGGCGCAAATGTTGTGCATGCCACACTCCAACAAACCCGATGCATTCACCGAATGCTGGGGCAGATGGATGGCTGTTGAGCGGACCGGATAACAATTTTTCCGAGTCTGTCAATGATTGGCTAGGAAAACCAGATGGCTCGGAATGGGGAAGCGCCGTCCCAAGCTTGGCGGCGATATTTGGACTGCTAAAATAAAATCAATCTTGCCTAGCACGAGGACAATGGCGGGTACAACCTGGATCATTTGGTTCTGTACGCCGTAAAGAGAGTTGCGGTTGGATGTTGGCTCTTCTCCCTACGCGCCGTGTGTCGGACTTGGTAGACTACCATGGCGCGGGCAGCATGTGGTGAGGTACATGTTGTGTAGTGTATCGCAGTCGGCGAGGAGTGAAATCCCGTAGAGATCTGGAGAGGCTCTTGTGGCGAGTGCGGCACAGCGGTAGAGAATTGGAGGCTCACGACGCGTGGCAGCACGGGAGGATGCAGGGCGGAGGGCAGGGTGGTGGACGGGTGGGAGAGAGGTGAAAGGGTGGGTGAAACTCTGACGGAAGGCCGCCAAGCCCCAACGGCGCACTCTGGTTGGCCCGGGTGCTGACTCAGCCATTTCCCGACGCGCCTCCTGTCTCGCCTGTGCTACTCTCCGCCAAAAACTCAACACCAATCGTCTCAAGTCCCGGCTTCATCTTCATGCTGGCCGCACCCCATTTTAGGCCCTTCCCGGCCACCAGATCCCATGCCCCGACTACACATTGGCTGGCTACGTACCTCGCACTAATCCATGCGGCTCCATACAGCCTGTTTAAGCTTAATCTTAGTCCCTAGCTGCCCGTCCTGCATAATATCGCCAACCCTCCCCGTCTCACTTCGAGTCGCAAACCCGTCTCGACCCCTTCGTGTCATTCCAACTCCTGTGCTGGTGCTACTCACAGAGTCGGCGTGGGCCCCTCTAATCACGCCACGGTGAACCCACAGGTGGAACTCTGCCGCCCTCATTCTGAACACTCCCTTCTCCTCCTTGTCACGTCCTTAATCTTGCCATGTCTGCACGCGGCGCCCGTTTCCCATGACCGTTTTCTGATTCCCCTGCTCGCGCTCCTTTGTTTCTTTCCGCTTTCTCTTCTCGAGCCGTCGTCTTTTCTCTCCGCTGCTGGGCAGTGCGGGCCTACTGCTTGCCCTTTCCAACACCTATTCCTCTTTAATACAAACAGTCTGCATCTAATACTACTCGTCCATTGTCGCAATGATTTTCTCCAAGACCCTCCTCGGCTTCTTACTCGCCAGTCACGCTTCAGCAACCTCCCACGCACTCTTCTCCAGAAGTCATGATGCCATGGAACACCTCCAACGAGACACAAACCTAGTGGCCACCCTCACCCGCCGACAAGATGCCAACCCAGCCGACACAGCACCGAGAATCTCCACTACGCCGGCCTCGGGAGACGCAGCAATGGCAGACCTGGCAAAATGGGAGGCAGAGACGAAGGCAGCCTGCGATACCGCCATGACCGCCCTCAACGGCCGCGCATCCAACCCAACCGGACTCGGCGTGTGCTACAACCTCCCCTTTCTCGACAACTCCACGGGCGTCTTCCTCGCCGAGCTCCGGCTATACAACATCACCGCCCCGATTGATCCTTGGCGAGGCATAGCTGCCGCCGACATTGATCTGGCGCTTTCGTACTCGGGAGCCACGGTGCAGAATATGCCCGGCACGTTTCAAAAGCGTTCCGCGCCGAACGGCAACAACCCTCTCTCGAGACGACAGAACAACAACGCCCAAACGCCCGAGACCTTGAAGGTCCTCATGTACGTCGGCCAACTCAACGCCAACCTCATGGGCACCGCAATGACGCAGTATGTGTGCCCTCCCTTCCCACTTATCATCAACATGAAAAAAACTAACAACTCCTTAAAGAGAAATCCTCCAACCCCTCCTCATCCCCATGATCGAACTCTCCTCCCGCTCCCGCCCGGACCTCAAAGCCGGCCTCACCTCGCAAGACGCCTCGTTCGTCAACGGCGTCTTCGCCGCCCAAGGCCCCACCGTCACCGACGAAGCAGCCGCCGCGGCCTCGGCCTCCGCCCTCGTCGCCACGGCCGTCCCATTCGTATTGCCCGGTACCGCGCTTGCGTTTTTCCCCGTTGGACTGGTCATCACGTGTGTGTGGACGGCATTGTTCCTTTTGTCGGTGGGGCTGGGGACCGTGGGTCGGATGCAGTTCCGCGAGCAGTATCGGAGGAGGATCAAGAGGGAGATGGCGGCGGGGTTGAGGACGATATAGATCTGTCTAGTTCACTCAGGCTTCGTTTTTTGGGTTTATATCGAGGGTTGTTTTGTTTCATTTGCTGTGTTTTAGCATTATCCGTCTTCGATTCGCTACCTGCTTATTTTTGTATATAATATGGGGGTTATATAGTTATATACCCAGGCTGGTCCATTTACCCTCTCCTCCCGCCTTGCCGGCACTCACTCTCCACCCTCATACTGCCCTCCTGTTCACACCTCCCACCCCTGTACTCCCTTCCTCCCTTCCCACCCGGTCGCGAGAAGTGTAAATGGCACGTCCAAACCCCCGGACTCTTACACGCACCCATGTAGATCCTCGCATGGAGATAGTTGCCAGTCGCGTAGGCGGTAGATGGGGAGGAGTGTGAGGATGTGGGGTTGCTGATGTCGAATGTGAGGATTTGAACGGTTGGGATCTGTGTCTACATTTACATTTACGTTTTGGTTTGTGGTTCGGGTTTTTGGTTCCGGTTCCGGTTTGTGTTTGTGTTTGCGTTTGCGTTTTGGCGGCGGACATGAAGGGGGTGTTGTTTTCGGCGGACGCTGGACGGACATGCTCGTGGTGTTGGTGGTCAAGAGACGCCATTGGTCGGTCCTGGTAAGTACGTACCTGACGGTGCAGTTTTGCGGATGTAGTAGACGTTGTAGATGGTGAAAGTTGGTTGATGGAGTGTGGTATATGCGATGAAGGGGCGGGATTTTCTTTCTTGTCAGTGTTGTTCTGGGGGTGAATTGTGAAGTACATCCGCAGTTCGTTGTTTATGGGTTCCCAAGGATTCTGGTGAAACAAGGGCTGGGCAGTAGACGCGACGGAAAACCAAGAAAGCCCGAGAAAAAAGATGCCTTATCCGCAAGGCATAGGATGCAGGAAAATCGTAGGATATCATACCTGCCGAGAAGAGATTTTCAATCCATTCACGGCGGTACCCATCAACGAATGAACCTTGTTTTCCAGAATCGCCAGCCAGGTAGTGAAAGCCCGAGTGTGTAATTACCAGTCCGACAACAGGCGGGCAGGGTTCCAATGCTGGCATTTTGGAGAGTGACAGACCCTATCTATATTGGTAAAGTGGAACACGGGAGCATGGACGAGCTTCACCCTGGACACAGTCATCGTTCGCACTTGCGCGGAGCGCAATGGGATTAGTAGTAGCAATTCTTCACAGCACCTAGGAAGAAAGTAGTAGGCACGAGAAGAACATAGCAATAGTGGGCTTCCACAGTTTTCGATAAGACCTGCTTGACCGGGCCTGTCGTCGTTGACGGCCGCCTTCTCCCACGCCCCGCCCACCCCGCAAACCACATCCACCTGATGTAGACGCGAGTACCACACCTATATCTACGTTTACCGAGGCAAGATAACCGGACTCATGACCCTGTTCGTGTAGCGAAACCCTGTTACCTGATCCCCAACGCCGTCAAACGACCGACAAAAACCCATGTGTCGAGAAGGTCACAATGGAAAGGTACTCCAAGGTCCCCGAAGAAGCATAGATGATTATATCCATGACCAGAAAGGTAAGCCGGCAATGCCATCTTATGCGCAAACGTGATGAGAGTCTACTCTTCCGCCCCGCTCATGCAAGGTAACCTAGTTCGTCGCCTTCCAATCGCTCGAGATACTCCTTCTCGAGCAGAATATCAATGCACTTCTTGATGTCCGGAACCCGGGGCTGGAAGCGGTTCTTGATCTGCTGAATGGTTTCCGACACGAGCTGTTGGTGCTTCATCTTCTTGCGAGACTTCATGATGCGGACAATGGCCGACTGCAGCGATGTTAGTAGCTGCAAACATGACAAAAAAACTGCAGCTTTACGTACCTGTACGAGCAGCTTACGGTCCTCCTCGATCGTCTTGTGGGTGTCCTCCACCTCTTGCTTTTGCTCGCTCTTGATTCCAATGTTAAGATTGGTTTTCATTTTCTTCGTCTTGAAGCCGGTGTTGACTTTGAAGGTCGCGCCGGGTTCCGCCTTCGCACCTTCTGGCTCCGCAAGGAGAACCTTTGACTTCAGGAGCACCGAGATGCTGGGATTCAAAATATCCGCGATCAAACCTGTGCCTTGCACAAGGTCGTCATAGCTCAGCGTATCGCTCTCATTGAACAACAGCAATATGGCCATCTGATAGGTTGAAACTTGGAGAATCGGAGAAATCTTGGCGTTGACGACTCTGCAGCAGGTCATCTTGACTTCGCCCTTGCACAAGTGCCATAACCAGGTCAACTTGCGACCTTGGTGTTTGTTGTTGTAGAAGCGCGTGAATCGTTCGTATGTGTCCGAGATGACCTGAGGGGGTGTGAAGGCCGTTTGAGGCGGCGTCAATGGCCAAAAACCTGTGCCAAGGATATGGAAGGTGGCATCTATGCCACTCTTGCTGTCCTCTCCGAGCACCGTGTCCCGCCACTCCTTATAGTTCGCATTGAGATCCTTCGAAATCTGCATGTCTTGGAACATGCGTTGCAGCTTGTTGGTGTATTCAAAGCCACATGTTTCCTTCAGCTTGGCAATCATACTGGTCTCAGCATCGTCCGACGCAGATGTGGTCCCTACTAAGCGCTTCGCCAACATGCGGGAATAGAACTTCTGGAACACGTCCTTGTCCTCAATGTACTTGAAGACGGTCATGAGTTCCGTCAGAAGCTTCTCCATATCATCCTCCTCGACCATCTTGGCGGGCGACTTCTTCAACAGGGTGTCGGCGTACTTCGCAAGCAGTTCGGGAGATTTGCTGGAGCCAGACTTGCAGACACTGTTGCGATTGACAAACTCTCGGCAGGCATTGTCAAGGGAGCGAACAAACTCCGACTCTCCGTTAAAGGCGAAGTTGACCAACTTTTGATACTGTGTATGGACCTCCAGAAGGGCCTCAACGTAGACCTTTGGATCAATGTTTTCACCGTTTTGAGCGACTTTGTCGACCGCATTGAGGCCTGCCTTCCGTACGTGCGCTTCGAATCTTTGCCTCAGAGGATCCAGTCCTTCGGGAATGCGCGCAAGAAGCTTATACATACGTGCCAGATCTTGCTGCTTGTCCTCATCCAGCAGAGTCTGAAACTCGTCCCTAAGCATTTCGACGTGGTTCGTGATGAGTGCCTTCTCGCATGCCCGCATCAGGGGAGACATGATTTCCGAGAGCAGGTAGAGAGATACGCGATCCTTCTCCTCCTCTAACCGGGTTTCCGCTTTCCGCATGTACTCCACCACACTGTTCTCCGCTATGAACTGTTTCGACTCGTTCTCGTAGTACTTTTCGGTCGCCTCCAAGAAGGGCCGCTCGAAATACTCCTTATAGACGTCGAGGGTCGGCTTTGTGCTGTCGGACTCATCGAGCCCGAGCGAAACGAAGGAGTCTACAACGGACTTGATGTGGGACTGTTCGATCGTCTCGCCGTTACGCTGCTTCTCCACGAGTTTGAGGACGGCTCGCATCACGGCTTCCTGGGTTCCAAGAAACATGTCCTCCTTCCACCGGACCAGGTGAAGCGTGTATATGTCGTAGATGTGCTTCTTACCCTCATCTATCTCACGCTTCACCCAGTGCCGATTAAGATACCGGAACAGATGGTTATTGTATTGCGCGGCCGTTGTGTACCGATTCCATTCTTTGATGTAGAAGGTCAAGAGAGCTTCGTCCGTGTGTTCCCTGGACCGCCGTTGCACTTCTTTGAGGTGTTTCGTGAGATATGCGATCAGGTGCTTGTACAGCTCCTCTCCAAGAAGATGAGCCCCGCCTCGGCTCCCACTCTGCCCGGAAACCATGTTGCTAAAGACTGCCTTCTGAGCAGTACAGAAGTTGTGTATGGCTGTGTACAGGGCCATGTAGACCTTCAGATCCATACCGCCTCGGAGGTCGGTCATGATCTTCTCGAGACCTGTTTGAAGGTAGGCCCATCTACACCCGTTAGCCATGATCTCAATAGGTTCCCCAGCGTGCAACAAGGCTCGAAGGTACTCCATGAAGTGCTCTTGCCGCAGGAGGACTTGGAAACGATAGAGATCCGAGGTACTCACGTTCTCTCAACATCGTCCTTTGGTGGTGGCGGCATGGACGCCAGCGTCTGCGCGGACTTCATCGTAGACTCCTGGCCGCCTTCGGGATGAGTCCTTGCGTTCTGAGAGTATCGAGCCTGCTGTGAGAGGATTCCGTGCTTATACCGTCAGCGTCGGGCGCGTGGGGAAGCTTCTGCGGTGAGTTGCGGGTGCACAAGGTTGTGGGCGAGGAGGTTATGGGAAGGCGCTCGGGATAGGAGTGCGGAGTGACGGCGGAAGACACAGGGCTTTCGCAGGACTGGGGCGGGATTTCGAATCGTGATTTCGAATCGTAATTGCGGTGAAAGGGTTTAAGAAACTTCACTGGAAAAAGGGGAGGAAGAGGAGAGTAGAGGGGGTGAAAGTGAATGTTGATGTAGAAAGAGGCGAGGTTTAGGGTCACGGACTAGAGTCAGGCTGCCGCGCTCCAGCAGAGGCAGCGAGCGCTTGGCATGCACCGCTGAATCAGCATGGACTGCTGGACAACCCCCGTTTCTACCGCGTATAAACAGTAAAAGAGTATTAAGGCGCTGGTTCATTCACTTTGCATTGGTTTCCCCGTTTCCCCCAGACATGGACCATGGCCGCTTGCGCCATAATCCGCCCAGATCGCGTTGATGATTGGCACTCTGCGGTACCCAGGTACCTAGGTACCGTTCCGGGGCTGGTGCTGCCACCATACCACAGTATATAACTTCAAACATGGCTCGCAAATGCCGAAAAACCTGGGCACCTTCTATTTCATTACGAGGATGCGGTTTATTGGAGCTTCGGATCTTGATTTTGAGCTTGGAGCTGCATTTCTCTCACCTCTAACGCGGCCGAATTCCGAACATTGGATATGACGTAGTTCCTCTGTACTGTGTACACCTGGGCACTGCAGATGTGCTACTCCTCGCGTGCTCTCGGACACGACACGTCTTCCATCATATTTCCATATTTATCTGCACGGGAGAGACAACCTCAAAATCGCCTCAGACACATTCATGCTCCTCCTCCGCCTCAGCTCCCCAGAGCGAACACCTCTATCTCACACCCCGCGCATCGTCAAACCATCTCCACATCATCACCACCACAACCTCCAACAAACCTCACTCTCTCACCCCCCAACATGCTCCCCTCCCTGCATGTGACTCCCCTCCCCTCCCTCAACCTCACCACCCACCCCATCCCCCCACACTCGCACCTCCCCAACTGCCCACCCCCCTCCCCACCCCTCTACATCTACCACTCCGCCTACCCCCCTTCCACCTCCCCCTCAGCTCTAGAATCCCACCTCCGCACAAACAACCTCGTCCCCCAATGGCGCTACACCATGTACCAAACCACACACTACCACAGCACAACCCACGAAATCCTCTGCGTCTACCGCGGCGCCGCGCGCCTGTGTTTCGGCGGGGAGGAGAATCCAGGGAGGGTGGAAGCGGTGCTCAAGGCGGGGGATTGCGTCGTGCTGCCCGCGGGTGTGGGTCATCGCCTTTTGGAAGATTTGAGTGGGGACGACGGGGATGGGGAGGAGGGGTTCATGATGATCGGGGCGTATCCGCCGGGTTGTAGTTGGGATATGTGTTATGGGAGGGAAGGGGAAGAAGCGAAGGCTGAAGCGGTTAAGAAGGTCAAGTGGCTGGAGAAGGATCCATTGTATGGGGATGATGGACCTGTGTTATGGGGCGAGGAGAAGCTGAAACAGCATCAATCGGAGCTTGCGAAGAAGAAAACGAACGAAAACGCCTAGGCTCCTTCGACAAATCCAAGCGTGGCCTCATGATGGGAATAATATATATTTCAAGGCAATCGGGATGACTTGCCTGTTCTACTATCTACGGGCGTCCAACCAACCAGCTCAGTGGCTCTAGTCCTGCTGGCCTGACGAACCTCCTCCGATCTCTGTCTATATCCAAACAAAAGGAAGCTCTGGGAACAGTGTGCGCATTTCCCCATGATGCGTGACCCAACGCCGAGGATGCCCTACAAGCCAGAACGATGCTCAACGCCAAACAGTAATCGAATGCTCAACTGGCCCTACGTACACCAAGAAGCGAAAATGGTAGCGAAACGACAACGAGCGCGCTAAATCATGACAATTATACTATCGAGCCACCCTTTCAATGAGTCTGATATCAGGTTAGCCAAGCTGGGTGATGGAAAGGAGTACTTTGAGAACAAACCGGAGCGTGCTAATAGCAAATGTACATAGCCAAGCAACAAGCGCTATGAGAAGCGTCGCAGTCAATGCTTTCTGCCTCGCGCAGATGGCGTTATCAAAAGGACAGTAGTCGAAATCTGGCTCCTCAGTGGAGCGGCACGCCCAACGTTCGTCAGTGAGTGCCCGGAATGCCAAGCTGAGGTTGGCGGAATCAAAAACGATGAATAGGAGATCTAGGAAGATGAGCCGCATCTTCGCGTTGTGCGAGCGAAGGCCGAGCGGTCTGGAAGTGTACTCGTCGTAGGTAATGTACACGGTGTAGAAGATGGCAACAATGTCAACTATCAAGGCAAGCCACGTGGACGAGCTGTTCTCGCAACCAGCATGCTTTGACTGTCTGAAAATCGAGCCCGCAAGTCCGAGTGCAAGGGCGGAGAAGGTGAATACGACCAGCCGAATCAGAGCGGGCACCATGGGGTGGTTCATCAGGACCTCATGGGCTTTCGCGAACCGTCGGCGGCGTTTACTAGCATTTAACAGCCAGAATCCCTCTTCTGCTTCGCGTTCCTCCTTGTCTATAGGCTCCCATGGTGTTTCCAGGTCTGGAAGGTTCTCCTTCATCCATTCATCATCCACCACCTGCCCTCGCGACGATGGGGGCCTGACATGATCATAGTCGGACGCCTTAGCAAACCGCTGCCATTTTGACGCATGTTCGCTGACCGGAGAGTTGATCGTCACAGGCGTGCCCTCTCTTGCGTGATCGAAATGTCGCCCAGGTACAGCGTTGGCCTTTGGTGCTGGCATGTAATTGTGGGAGGCGGGGCGGACGCTCGTAGGGGTTCTGGGGAGAAGCAGGGATGTTGGGTCCGCGTTGTCGTCTTCATCTGCAGTCTGTACCCATGGCGGGAGGGTTCGAATAGCGCGCTGTCTTTCCTTGTTGTCAGGAGAGAGGCTGCCCTTGGATGACGCCAGTGTGTGAGGGTTCGACGAGACGGAGTGCGAATGCGACTTCCTCACACCAGCGCCGTCGTTGTGGCCGTCATAGGGCTTGTTGGGATATGTCGAGGAGGAAGCAGAGAGGCCAGAGGGCGGACGCGGCGAAGGGGCTGAAGACGCGGACGTGGTCGGTCGAGGGAGGGCGGAAGGGAGGAGGAGGCCATTGTGCTGTGATGGATTGTGGAGACCATGGCTCTGATCAGCGGCGGGCGCGCTGGCCATGCCTTGTCTCGCAGCCGTCCGCCACCGTTATGCTTCGTGCGCAGAGCCGCTGGAAAGGAGTGCAACAATAGGTAGGTGACACTGGGACGTTGAGGGTGAGGACTGGGAAACAGGGGGCGCCAGCTGAACCAGCCCTTGGCGAAGCCTAAGATTGGGGTCGAAGTAGAGCGGTGCGCGGCATGCTCGGGCGAAGTGAAGGACACGGCAGCGAGAGGCGCGTAGTAGTGAACACAGGAGAAGCCGTGGCGAGCGTGAAGGTTGTGGCCTGTGGGTGGAGTGTGAGTGGAGTTGGTTCCAAGGTCCGCTATCCGCGACCCAGCCCCAGGTTCCGCGAAGTGGTTCCTCCTGGGGCTGTGCATGCCAGATACGGTTAGATGTGGCTAGTGCTCCCCAGCCTGTGAGGTCATCCATGCTCGCTCGCAATTCACACCTGGGCAGGCACGGAAGATAATCCCAATTCTACCTCTGACGCCACCTTTCGCGTCGTCGCCATGTTTCCTGCGCCTTATATCTGAAAGCTGGATCCAGCTTGCGCGGCTCGCGCCCACGGATATATATTTTTGCCCACGATCTCCTCTCAATCGCACTCACGGACCTCCGACATGCGTCTCTTCCTACTCCCAATCTCGACGCGGCGGTCGCTGCTGTACTGCGAGAAGCTGCATGAAAAACCAGCCAGCGAAAGAAATTTGCTCGACAAGCTCACCGTGAAAGCCAACGAGACCTGGGCTGCGTGGGAGAAGGATGAAAAGGCGATTGGAAGCTGGAAGAAGAAGGTCACATATTATGGCAATCAGGCTCTTAAGCGGATACCGTATGAAGAATGGGGCCTGAAAACGATACCTGCACTCACTGCTAGGCGTAAGAAGGCCATTCTGGAGGGGCGGGAAAAATACGAAGTCATTTTCCCGGGACTGTACATGCGGGAAGAGAAGGTCCCGGAAACGCTCAAGAAGTTGGCACTGGACCGGCAGGCCGTACATAGACGTAGACTCATCTGGAGCATTGTCATCATGCCTTTTACCGCCCCCTTTATGCTGGTACCTGTGTAGGTAATGCGCCGCCATCACGCCTAACACCTGCTAACAGAGTTTAGGATACCCAATCTTCCCTTTTTCTATGTTCTCTATCGGGCGTTTTCGCATTGGAAAGGTGAGTGACTCTCGTCCCGTGGGTATATCAAGCCTGCTAATCTAGGGAACAGCGCTGTCTGGTTCCAAGCACCTCGAATTCCTGTTAAAAAACAACGGCCTTCCCACTCTCAATCCTTCATCTGTATTGGACGAGGTATACACCGCAGGCCTTATGTACCCGACCCGCGAGATCTCACGTGCTGCACCGAGACCCACAAGAGAAGAGGCAGAGAAAGTCGCAAAGGTGGTGGAGCAGCAGACGAACGGTGGAACAGAAGACGTTATGGTCTTGCAGCGATGGAACGGGAAACTCATCGCCGAGCAATTCAAGCTACCAGACATGGAAGTCGAGATCGAGCGAGCAGTCGAGCAAGTGGAGAAGTCGATAAAAGCCAAGGAAGAGTTGATCGAGGAGAAGCTTGAACTGGAAAAAGCTACCCAAACGGAGCAGACAGCGAAGGACGTTCTACCCCAGGATGTGGTCAAAGCGGCACACCGTGCTGACCTGGTGGAAAATGAGATACATGAGAAGGCTGAGGAAGTGGGCAAGGAGAAAAAAGAGACCAGCCGAAGCGCGGAAGACAAGGTGATGTAGGAGGGATGATCGGGATTCTCTGCCCGATTCGGGTTGGACGGCTGTATGGTATGAGAGCATTTGTGCTCCGTTGATTGCGGTTTGCCTCTGTTGATTATGCCCGTGATAGACCATGGATCATGTATACGGGTAGATATGGCGGTTTTGTCTTGGTATATGTTATTAGATATCCCCTTCAAATTAAATATGGCAATACACATGCTGTGACCTATATGTTGCAGCGCCTTTCACTTGAATTCAATTTTAGCGTGCTATGTCCCTACTCCACCTTCTAATAGCCTACTATTAGCTGTATATCCTGAGCACTCGAGCACTCCAAGGTTTCATCTGGCAAGCGATGAGAGGTGTGCCTGAATAGACGAGGAAGTCCCGCTATTCCATTCATGGACTAGCGTAACGCCTGTCGAAGAAGACGTCATACCTCTGCTCTCAAACCGCACCTTTTAAACATTTTTAAACGGTTTGGAATATCTATAAAGCTTCTCCATTCGCTTTGTAACACTGATACACAAGCTTGCTTTCACTGTCATTTGAAGAGATACATCTGCGCTTCGCCTTTGGAGCCTTCATCATCGTATCTAAAAATGACTGAACAAGAAAGCTTCCCTTGGCACCTAGGCGTTTTCGACGCTCATTGTCATCCTACAGACACAATGTCTAGCATTTCTTCCATGCCCAAAATGAAAACGCGGGCCCTCACTGTGATGGCAACGCGCTCAGAGGACCAGGATCTCGTTGCCTCTGTAGCGAAGGACTACGGCGTCAAGTCATCAGACCAGGAAGGGTGGAAGAGGGATGAGTGCATACTTCCATGCTTTGGATGGCATCCGTGGTTCTCGTACCAAATGTATATTTCTGAAGAGGAGGACACCGACAAGCAGAATAGCCCACAATCGGAGGAAAGTTATGAGAACCAGCGCAAAAGAGGGGGAGGAAAGATTGAGGAACAGCCCCTAACAGGGGAAGCCAAACTTCAGCATTACCGGCGCGTTCTACTCCCCTCTGGAAAGCCGTTTCCACAGGATCAACCACTCTCCAATGAGTACATCAAGATCATACAGCATCTTCCGGATCCTACATCGTTCCGCGATTTTCTTGTGCAGACGAGGCATTACCTCCAGGAATTCCCTTTTGCACTGATAGGGGAAATCGGTCTTGACCGTGCCTTTCGAATACCAGAAGCTTGGGCGCATTCATCCTCATCGGAGAGTGAAAGAGACGGGACTCTAACGCCAGGTGGACGAGAAGGGAGACGACTGACGCCGTTCAACGTTGACCTAGGGCATCAGAAGCGCATCATGCGGATGCAGCTGGATCTGGCAGCTGAGATGGGGCGAGCAGTGAGCGTGCATGGAGTGCAAGCGCACGGAATGGTGTATGAGGTATTGGCCGAAACATGGGCGGGATGGGAGACGAAGGTGCCATCGAGAAAAGAGAGGAAAAAGCAAAAGGAGAATCAGAAGAGACAGGTCATTGCAGAGCAAGAAGAAGGGACTGGAAGTGGCAACGACGACCGGAAGGCCCGTTCCGTCGACGGCAGCGCAGGGCCGCCTTACGATCCAATTACTCCCAAATCTGAAAAAAAGCCATATCCTCCTCGAATCTGCCTGCATTCCTACTCTGGGGACCCTTCCACCTTTAAACGCTACCTCTCTCCTAACATTCCCGCGGAAATATTTGCCTCATTCTCCACTGCGATCAACTTGTCTTCTCCTCCAACTGCAAATCAGGACAAAAAATACATGAAATTTGAAGAGATGATTCGCTCAGTGCCGGATCACATGCTCCTCGTGGAGAGTGACTTGCACACAGCAGGTGACAGGATGGATGAGATGCTGGAAGATATTGTGCGCCGGGTGTGTACCATAAAGTCATGGGGGCTCGACGAAGGCACGAATATTCTGAAGCGCAATTGGAGGAGATTTGTCTTTGGCAAAGATTAGAGGCGCCCAGGAATCCCTGAATATTATCGAGGACGGCTCCGTACTTCCATGCCAGCATGTTTCGTTTCCTACGCAACACCACCACCTGTGTTATTGTGTGTATACAGGATGTGCCTAAATGTAGGCAAAAGTACAGAATTTAGGTGTTTCACACCTCAAACCGCCAGCAACCCTGTTTTACTCCGCTGGGGAGCTTCCCGTCGCCAAGGTTGGACCTTCGGAACCAAAAACCGGCAAATGACGGACAGGCAGATCCATGAATGAGATCGAGGATTCCTGGAAGTTGCGCCACCAGATCGTGCTCCCGAAGTGCCGTTGGAAACGTCAAGCCCTCTTCCTAGCCGGCACCCATGTTGTACTAACAGCCGCTTCGCTTCGTCCAAGCGAGCTGTGGGGAAGTTCATTGGCAACGACATATCAAACCAATCTATGGGCTTCCAAGATTTGATGGAAGAGACAATGGCAAACATGGCAACTATCAAGAGGCCGATGTCCCATCCTGCCGCATGCGGCCCTGCCACACCCTTCATCGAGGTATCGATTCTGAAGGCTTCAGGGCAATGCGATCTATTACTGGTGGAATCTTACCATAATCCAACTCCATTGGACATTATGGACGGAGAAACTTGTGGCGCTCGAAGATGTATGATCCAGTTTCAACATAGCACCGTTGTTTGACTGCTCCCGCTTTTCGCTTCCACCAAGCTACAGTTTACAAGTCCACTATCCAGGGCGCACCGGCTTTTCTCCCGTGTTCAAGGATAGTGAAACGCCACTATCGGTCTTAATGTCCTCGCTAAGACACCGTCATCCTGGTTGCAATATAGCGGTCCCCGCATTACGGAGGAATTTCCTGCATATGTTTCTGGCCGCTGCAGTACCTGGCATTGTAGAAACATCTCGACGGGGAAACCTCGACATCACGGACTCGTCGCCGTCGAACTACAGCCGTTTAGCGTCCCCGTGGTAATATAGATTAATATTGGTATCCCCGTCGGGTAAGATCCAGGAAGAACTTCAATCTTGTCTGCTTGTATTCGGTGCGTCATGTGTTTGTACGGCAGTGCTCTCTGATGGGTGGACAACTGGACCGGTGGTTTTATTCTTGGGCACCCCTGGCTAAGTAGCAGGTTGGTGTATGTCCTAGCACCATTTAAATATGGCGGTTCTCTCCATTGCAGGTTCATCATCATCGTCTACGAACGCCAATTCGAGAAAACGAGCCCTTCAAGATGGTGCCCAACATTGCTACATTGTCGACAGGTGCTGTGCTCCTAGCATCAGCATTTACTGTCAACGCGCAAACATGCGACCTCCCCTCCAAATACCGCTGGACCTCTAGCGGACCCCTCGCAGAACCCAAAAACGGCTGGGTTTCCCTCAAAGACTTCACAACCGCCCCGTACAACGGCAAGCATATCGTCTACGCAACTACTCATGACAGCGGCTCCACCTGGGGATCCATGGGCTTCAGCGCCGTCAACAACTTCTCTGAACTCGGCTCCGCCCAACAAATCAAAATGAACAACGCCGTCGTCGCACCCACCCTCTTCTTCTTCGCTCCCAAGAACGTGTGGGTCATGGCCTACCAGTGGGGAGGCCCTGCCTTCTCCTACCGCACCTCATCGGACCCGACCAACCCCAACGGCTGGGGCCCAGCTCAAACCCTCTTCTCCGGCAGCATCTCGGGCTCCAGCACGGGTCCCATCGACCAGACCCTTATCGGCGACAAGGACAACATGTACCTCTTCTTCGCGGGCGACAACGGCAAGATCTACCGGGCCAGCATGCCCATCAACAACTTCCCCGGCAGCTTCGGCACCGCCTCCACGGTCGTCATGTCGGACTCCACAAACAATCTCTTCGAAGCCGTGCAGGTCTACACCCTCCAGGGCCAGAAGAAGTACCTCATGATTGTCGAGGCCATCGGCTCGCAAGGCCGCTACTTCCGCTCCTTCACGGCGACGAGCTTGAATGGGCAGTGGACGGCGCAGGCGGCTACGGAGCAGAACCCCTTCGCTGGCAAGGCGAACAGCGGAGCGACGTGGACGAACGATATCAGTCACGGGGATTTGGTCAGGGTGAATGCCGACCAGACGTTTACGGTGGATCCGTGCAATCTGCAGTTGCTGTACCAGGGTAGGAGTCCCAGCTCGGGTGGTGATTATGGCAAGTTGCCGTACAGGCCGGGACTGCTTACTTTGCAGCGATAGAAGGAGGGGGAGGAAGGTGAAGTGGTTTGGAGTCGATAGGGTTTGAAGATGGCAATTCTTATATATATTTTTGGGGTATTACGCTTTTGAATTGATCGTTCCAACGGCAGTGAGCACGCTTGCGGGTGAAATGGATTGATACGTTTGAGTGGCTTATCCTAGATCGAAGTGATACCAACGCGTATGTTATTGCAGATAAAAAAAGTAGGAGTGGGAGTATTAAGGATAATAGACCCTAGCTATACGTAATCCCAGCCTGCTTTGCACGCCACTCTAGCCGACATAACAACAGTAACGTACGTGTACTTTTTCCAAAGAACGCACCTTCTAGACGCAACCGTTGCCTTTGGGTAAATCGTACACTATTCCTTATAAGAGAGAGCCTGTTCTCTAAAACCTTCCTCTTGATACGTTTCTTAGCCACGAAACTGAAAACGGCTTGTTATCACAGGACTTCAGCCTCTTTCGACCGTGATAAGGGTATTGATTTTTGGAAGCGGTGGTTTTGTTGGGATCGGTTTGTGGTTTGCTGGGGATGGGGGTGGGGATATTGTATTTCAACAACTTCTAGTTTGTACTTTGTCGGTAGGCGTTGCATATAGTTATTCAGCAGTATTATATCAAGAACACATCATCCATTGAGCTTAGTGCTAGCCACACTAATCAGAAGCGACCGACATATAAACGATTGTCATAGCAGTTATGTTGGATAACCACTGCTCACGGAGGGGATCACTGAAAGCCTCTCGACATGCTCTCCAAATCCCTTTCCATTAGGAACAAAGGGCCGGATTGCTGCCACTCATTTCACATGCGTTGCCTGCCCGAGAGCACTGAATGTGAAGGCCCACGAGTTAGAAACCGAGGTTCAAAACAGTACAATAACGCGGGCACTGCGGAACTTACAAACGAACTCTCGTGGCAACAGCGTGACATGCTCTCGCCAATACACTCGCCGACATCGTTGCCGACAGGACCAAGGCACACGCCGGTGAAGTTGCAGTTCTAGTCCATTTATGTTAATAGGAGGGGGTTAGATTGGGGTTGCGCACTTACTCCGCCAACTGCTCGAGCATCTAAGGTCTTTTTGAAGGCTTCGGGCTCTTCGGGCGCTTCGGCGTTGTTCGGGAGGGCATGACAGGCTGCGAGAAAAGTGGTGAGGTATAGAGCGAGTTGTTGGAGACGCATATTGGTGTGTTTGAGTGTTGGTTATCGGCAGTGTAGTAAACCAAATGATTTGGAAATTGCAAGATTACCTGAAGAGAAGCTGCTCGGGCAATATATACTGCAATTTGGCCATGTACGCTGCGATTTTCGTCCGGTACTCCACTGTGTATTTTTCTAAACGTATCATAGTCCTCCAATCAGTCAGCTTAGGTAGGTTCAAAGGTTGTGTGAGAGTGACAATCGAGAATCCCGTTACAACTTGCACCGGCGTCAACTGACCAAAAGCCCTTGGAATTCTTTAGTTGATTGGGTGGCTATAACACGATTCACAACTCGGCGTACTTGGGAAGGAGCATTTCCTTTCCGTCGGATTGTCCAGTGGGTTCGCGGGTTACGTGGGACCTACGCCCAATGCAGCAAAGATTTTCAGATTATCGAGAAGATTTCTTCCTACAAAAGAGGAGGTGTTTCATCCTTCTTAGATCCTTCTCAATATCCTCCTTGAAGCTACCCTATGAAAGAGGTTGTGCTTCTGTTGGACCTCTCTATACCTCTACCTATTGGCCCGGAGATATCCGGATTTTAGGAAGGTTCTCTTACTATACTATATCCCTGAACGTATATTAGTCTATCCAATCCAGCAGCCTAGACAATTGGACAAGACGTAGTTTTGTGTTGATGTATACCCTAGGATAGGACCTGATGCCTGGGTTTTCCGTGGTCATACACAGTACTGTAGAGTGACGACGCCAAGATAGACCTTATCAAGTCTCGCCTATGAGTCACAACCCTTGAAAACATGAATTTGTTTCTTCCGGTGTGCCTTTTCCCTCAGTGTCAGCATCTGCCTGGGTTATCTGTGGTTCACCATGAGACTGTGACGACACCATATATCATACCTCACTCGTTCGAGCCTCGCTAATTACTCAAGAACCCTGAAAAAGCACTTTGTCTACACAGTATTCTGTGTGCCTTCTCCTACAGTGTCAGCGTCTGCCTGCTATAGCGGTCCTGCCTGCCCGTTGGCCGCCAAATGCTGGTACCGCTTCTCTTCATATTTACGTCTCCGTGACTATTCTTTTTCTAACCAACTTTCTCTTATCGAATATAATCCGCAAACCGTATCCTGTTGTTCACGACAAATGAGCCGACTACGCTTAGCAGCTTTACTATATACTCTTTTTGACAATGCGATATTACATACTATAGCACAGGGAAAAATTAGTTATCATGATCGAGCCGCTGACATTGTTGCCAACGAAAAGGCGGTCAAGGTCACGGAGGACATTGGATGCGTGTATTGTACACCGCTTTAGGGATGCGGGTGGAAGAGAGCATGGTTGCCATGTTTATGTGCAAGGTTGGAAGGTTTTTGATACGATACTGGACGAACTTGAAAATGAGCACTGAACGTCTTTCGAGGAGATGGCACTGAACTTAAACATTCCATCACTGCATAGTGAAGTGCGAAATTGAGTGTATTTGTTTCTAGGACATCTCAAACAACCGGTAGCATACCCCTAATATACTCAAGGGACAGGCGATGAACGTTGATACTCTCGTCAATCTCGCCCATCATGCCCCTGATGAAGTATCTGTTAATGATGCCAATGCTCAATGCAACCCTAACGCCGGTGTTCTATCTCCGCTCGCTTCTCCCTCGATTCATTGGAGACATTGGACCACAACCACTTCCAAAAGACTGTCTCCAATACCTGGCGGACTGTTTGTTCGAGATAGCCTTCGGCGGGCTCATTATGAAAGGACCATTACCCCTCATTCATAGAGTCCAAAAGGCACGCATATACATCACAGATAGACACCCCGAACGCTCCAATACCGGCAACGTCAAAGTCTATCACGCCCGTTACATTTCCATCTTCATGCACCAGAATATTCACTTCTGAGAAGTCGTGATGTGTCAGGACCGCTAGCAGTCGATCAAGGAGGTGGACCTGCTCCAGAAGTCCGACGACAATGTTGGCTATTTCTGGAAAATTGCGAAGGGACTAGTTGCGATAAAGCTGGGTCAAGGTGTCCTTTGCCTTCAGTGTCCAGCTCTCCGCCCGATAGAAGGATTTCGGCTGCGGGAAATACGTCCACCGTGCCACGAATGCTCGCAAATCCGTCACTGTTCTCTTTTGCCGCTCAACGGGAAACTCTTTGAGAAATTCCTGGAGTAGGTGTAATTTCCCAGGGATGATATCACTGCTAGGGACTCCCTTAACCTATCCTAGTAGCAGACTGCTTTTGGTTCTAAATCAGTGCTATACACGGGCAAAGGGAATCCGTCGTGGAACTAGACTTGCGGAACCTTTGCGCCGTAGATTTGGTGGGACAGGTCCGTGATAGCCGTATCATGGGGGTTCGGGCGGAATTGAACAATATTTGAGAGTGTACGGGATATCAGAGTGAAACTGTTACATCCGTGGTTGTGCACAGACTCGAGGTCATCAGCCTGTCTGACTTGTTGTCCGAATTGGAAGCATGCTTTTTCTGTGCATCCTTTGCCCGTGTCATCCCCAAGGGCTTGGGGAACTTTGGTTTTGAAGAATTCATCTACAATCTCCGTCCTCTGTTTTTGCCATTCTTCGGTAGATAATCCTCTTTTCGGTTTCTCGGTTAGCTCGCAAGCGTCGTGACGATTGCGCTTACGATATACATACTACCTAGCTATAGTGGAATACCCTCAAGTTGAGTATGAATGGAAGAGATCACCGTTATGGGTTTGATGTTTTCTACTCAGCGCGTGGAGATGATGTTCCAAAACGACTTGGCGAACGCGCATCTGTATGCCGCGCGTCTGCTTCGTGGGCTTACTCGCACCATATGCCAACCGGAGGTGTGCGTGTTGGTGTCGAGCTAAGTAGTGCCAACCTCCGGTTGGCATGTGGTACGGGTACTGCAGCATGTATGGTCGCATGTACCCAAATCGGCTTAGCACAAGTCGCCGTTTTCCCTTTCCCCTCCTCCACTTGCTCTGCCTGATGCTCAAGCAACCGAAACCCTCCTTATGTATTTGTCCTCCTGTTGCTGTCCTTTACTTAAGTCAAGGATCATTATGCCGGTAGATGCGTCGCAACAGCCGGACGGCAATGTCTGGCAGCCTGGTTTTGCGACCTACGCCGACTATATTGATCGGGTTGGGTCCACGGCCGATCCCGCCTACCAAAATTACGGGTCTCTCCTCAAAAACCGCCTTCAATACTTTCGGGGAGAGCACCCAGAAGTATATTCTGGGGACATAAACCTGGTTCGATTTTACAACGACGGGAAGCCGAGCCTAGTACACCGCTTCAAGGAGACAAGATCTCCTGATGAGTTCAGAACTCTCCTGGCAGCCTCGGACAAGAATGCTGCGTATCAAGTTATTATACTGGAACTCGGCAACGGCCGTCTACCTCCCGCCTGGGTTGTTGATATGATAGGACTGGGGCTCGACATGGAGCCGGAAGTATGGGTGTACTTCTGGAGCCAGGAGGGCAAATGGAACGAGGTAGGAACGGCCTGGATGAATCGGAGTGATGTTATTGAAGTGGGTAACGATGTGATGATGATTCTGGCGCTGTACCGAATGTGCGGCCAGCGACAGGCAAGACGTGTTGATCTAACGAGCTTCCTCTCAGCTAATCCTTCTGCGTAGCGGCTTTGTTCCTCGCAAATCCCGATGGCTCAACGCCATATGCACGGATGTACCCCCCTGAATCACCATCCTCGCTGCAAAAGAAGAAGCCGTCGCAAGCTTCTGAATCCAATGGTCAGTCATACGAAAAAATGAAGACACGCGCAGTGCGTCGTTGGATTCTCAATGCCGCCAGGGACTCCGTCAATATCGGCCCCAAGAATGTGCTCTTTCCATGCCTGGAAGCTCTACTGCGCTGGCAAATGTGCACTGCGCCGCAGGCTGTGCCGGCGTTGACAGGATTGGCCGGACTCAATGAGTTCGTGAAGGAGAAATATCAGCACCAAAGGCGGTGGGATGGAACCCCGGAGGACTTTAACCCAGGAATTGTGTGGCATCGTCTCAGGTGAGCTCGATACGCGGAGGTTGACACTGCTCGCTCTGCCGACGTTCGTAACGAACAATTTCGACGCGCAGGAGAAGAGCTTTGAAGGGGCCTACAATCGCCTGCAGAAGAATTATGAGCAGTACGTACGGGAACTGGAGCTGGTGGAAGCTAGGCTCCGAGACCACATGGATTTTCATCACTCATGGAAGAGTAGAGAGATGGCTGAGTTGAGCACTCGAGAGAGCAAGAGAGTCATGTTATGTAAGTCTACCTCCACCTTGGACAGGGAAAAAAAAAAAAAAAAAAAAAAAAAAAGAAAGGAAGTTGGACAAGCCCACGATTCTGACAGGCGTTCAGCGTGGCACTGTCTTACCTACTCCTCTAGTAACTGTCCTTGCTTTCGTCTTTGTCCCCGCTTCAATGGCGTCTTCTATATATGGCATGGTAAGCTCAAAATCACGATCGAAACCTATGGTTACTGCATAAGTAACGGAGTCGCTAGAATGTGCAACAAATCAATGAAACAGGCCATGACATCCGCTCTTTCGTTATTACCGCAGTCGTTCTCCTCCTGACTACTCTTTCGATCTGGGCTGGCGCCACGGGCGCGATAGCATACCGTAACCATCGTATCGCCCTGCGACATCAAGGTTTGAAGCCCCGGAAGACGATCCTGATGCTGATCGACGTTATTTTCCTTGTCGGCCTATGGCAACAACGGTTGAGGTGGAAGTTTGGCAAATGGGTCTTGTAAACGCATGCACCTCCATACATGAGGAAAAACACTCTCCATGCTTAATGCCTAGTCTACGCAACCTCGCAAACGGCGGCATGGTCTGAGCTGACGATAGCGAACCATCGTAGTTCACTTAGCTATGTATGTTTGCGAGCCGTTTATCTATTGTTAGGTAAGTAGGCTAAGCGCGCAACTTATGCAAAGCATATTGCCAACGCTCTCTTCCCCCTTTGGAGAATATATTAGGAACTGGAATCTGGCCGAACTGAGGGATCTTCTATCACCCCGGTGCCTCCTTTACTACTGGTTATTGTCTTCTTTAGATCCAAACTTGACTATTTCTTAGTCCTAGCCTAGCTATTGTGATATGATAGAACGATAGTGTGCCTGTATTTGCTTGAACTCCCTTCCTCTATATCCTTTTTTCTTTGACATCTTCTTCTTCCTTACTCTTCTTTATAATCCTTCTATAGGCGCGTCCCATTCTAACTTGAATGCTTTTTGGCTTCTCATCCTCTCGAATCTTCCCTTTCCGCATACCGCATCCTGCGTTTTACGACACATGAGCCGATTACTTTAAGCAACAGTTCACAATATATACTCTTCCCACATAATAAGTTATCACATACGACCATAGCACACGGAAAATTGGGCCTCTCGTCTGATCGACCATACACAAGCCGTGTAGCGCCCGTTGAGTAGTAGCGTGGGTGACCAGCTGCGAATAGCGTCGTGTTGTATGTTTTTTGATTTTGCTCCCGTTATATTTTTGCACCTGGTAAGAGTTGTGTTGACAATAGGGTCTCGGAATGGATCCAGGCACCGGGCAAAAGTGGCAAAGTAGGTGGCAACAGCGTTCTAAGGTTCCAAGTCAAATCCACAGACAAATATCTTACTAAGGACCGAATTGAGGAAATGTGCATATGATGCATATTCCTTGCGTACGTCAACCGTAACAACAGCAAGAAGTCTTAGTAGTGGGCAGGAGCGTCAAGTTCTGAGCGAGGTTCACGTTGAATGGTCCTCGATGTTTGAATCTCGACAATATGTCAAAAGGTCAAAAGTTGTTGCCGGTCCTTGTGTTGGCACAAATGCTGAACGTGGTGTTGAGATTTTTCGACTGGTGCAGCAAATCGAGGGTCTTGCGAGAGAATTCCTCGAAAATACCGTGCTCAAGCTCAAGATAATAACCGTTGTGGTGCCAGTTTAAATGTAACCCTACATCACCACCGACGATGAAATGATCTCTGGATCCGAACTTTTGCTTGAAAGACCGGCTATCCTTTCATCCTCCCTTTGCTTTCGTGCGCTTTTCCCCACGCCATTCGTTGCTGTCATTCTTCTACGGGTCGGCCTGCACGTCGACTGGAACGTTACGCCTCAAGCCCACGAGCTGAAGCATCTCCGTCCAGAAGCCCACTGGCGGCGAGATAAACCTGGCTTCGTACGCGTCGATGACAGGAGCATCCCAGACGAGATCCAACTCCTTGGCGGATACAATCTTCGTTCGGTGAATGAGTTTCCAACCCAGGTACAGTACGGGAGCAACTCCGACCATAGTGTAGTAGCTGAAGAAATCTTCAATGCTCCAGTACCCGGGCAGGAAGACCGAGTAGCCGTAGCAAAAGACGACACACACCAGACCGATCAACCCAATCCAGGCTGAGTATGGCTGAAACCAGCCACAGTATGGTAGTGTCTTGCGATCAAGACCCTGGACCTTGCAGGCATTGTAGAATGCAAGATAGGTGACGCATATGACGATAAAGTCGATCAGACCTCCAGCTGTGATGAGATTGAGCAACCAAGTTAGCACTTTGGCAGAGCTATTTGAGACCTGCAGGAACGACAGGAATGGAAACAGCATGACTAGGCAGAAGCAGTATATGGGAACTCCGTTGCGGGTGCATTTTCGGAAGAACTTTGGAGCCCGGCCTTCGAGGGACAACGCGTAGAGAGTTCGAGTTGCGCAATATGTGTACGCATTACCGGCCGAGAAGATACAAGTAACGAGCAAGGCGTTCGTGATATGGGGCAGGACTGGTATCGCCAGGTTCTGCATGGCGATAACGTAGGGAGATGCACCACCCGTGCCAGCGCCTTCTTTATCCCCGCTGAGAATGGCAACAAGGGTTGGATCGTTATAAGGGATGACAATCCCTACGCATAATGAGCCCAAGATGAAGAAAATTCCGAATCGCCAGTAGACGGTCTTGAAAGCGTTCTTGATGTAGATCCGAGGCCGCTTTGCTTCTCCGGCGACCATGGAAATGTATTCGGGGCCAACGATGCAGAAAGAGGCGGCCCACAGCGCTCCAAGGAAGCCTTCAAACCTTCCAAGATCTCCGGTTGAGATGTACTCCGCAAATGGGCCGGGATTTTTCCAATGACGAAAACCGTAAGCGTCGTGCTTGGGATTGCCACCGCACATGGTGACAAATGTGAACATGAACAGCATGAAGATCAGAATCACCTTGCCGCCAGATAGCCAGAATTCTGCTTCACCGAACACCTGCACAGCGACAACATTGAGTAGACTACCAAGGGATTAGTTCTGGGATGTTGTGTACGGGTAGCTGGAGAACGGGCTGGGAAAAACAAAAGCAAAACATACGCATAGAGTACAATACACCCCGCACACACTGCAGCCACAGGGATGTCGTCTCTCCAAAAGGTCAGGACGAGGTTGATAGCCGTGATCTCGAATGGGATGAGCAGAGCTTCGTAGAAGAAAAAGTTCCACCCCGCCATGAAACCAAAGGCGTCGTCAACCCACTTTCCCGCCAGTCGGATGAATCCCCCAGTCACCGGCATGTGCGTGGTCATTTCGGCGATGGAATTTGTCACAAGAGCAATCAGGCAGCTGTAGATGGTATATGCCAAAAGCATTCCTATGGGACCAGCTTTGTTGAGAGCGCCGCCGACAGAGATGAACAAGGCTGTACCGATAGAGCCTCCAATTGCGATCAGCTGGATTTGACGATTACCCAGGTGACGCCGCAGGTCGTCGGAGTTGTCCCTCAGCTCAAGCGTCGATGGCCTCGTGGTCCTCTTCTCATCAACATGCTGCTTCGACGGGTCCATGGGCATGGTCGCGGAGGGGGTTGTCGCGTGAGGTTCACCGTGGAATGCCGCCATGGGGAAGAAACGATGCTGGGGCTTGAGTGGTATATCTCAATGTCGCAGAAGTGGTTGCTGGGGCTGGAGGGACTACCTCGATGTCGCATGGGAGGTGAACTGGTGTTAGCGACAGAAACCTTCAGTAAAAGTGGAAGAGTAGGCTGCAGAGCAGCAATAGATGCGGCAGCGGGAGTCCCTCCACGTCGCTCGGGTTGGAGAAAATTCTGACAGTGGAGCAGAGTGAAGGAAACCGAGAGGCGTGCCGCGTTCCGCGCGGAAGCACGCAATGATTGCAACTTTTACTGGGCATGCCATGCCGACGGAATGATGCACACCACTGCAGCAAGGACGCTTACTGGAGATTGGCCGAAAAGGGTCGAAGTTTCGAATCCCCAGCCCCCACAGTCCCACCGGTCCCACCCTGAGTTGATAAATAAGCGACCAAGTAGGTAGAATCCCTGCCATCTTTAGTACACAATAGGTCCAACCTATACTGGCGCAACCATGCCTCGGATCTTATGGCCGCCAATGACTTAGTCATAAAACAACGGGAGACTTGGGTTTTACCACCGCTGTGTTCTGACTGGCTTTTGCCATTAGCGACCGGTGTTTAGGCATGCCTTGGCCCTTAAGATGATCAGCCCCGTCCTCATTAAACGGAATCCAAGTACCGATAGTCGACGAATCTACTAAGATACGGGCCGATTTGTCGTGGTGATCAGACCTCGGGAATAAACGGGTTGCTGTTCTACGCGCAGGGCGCATGGGAGAGGAAAAGTTCTGTTCCTTCTGTTCAAAACAGTCGATCAATGGGACACAGGGGCGTCCAGATATGTAGGAAGCGTCCTTCATGAATAACATTGATTCCTTGAGCGGAGTCCATTTGGTTGACAAAACCCCCATTGTTCACGGACGGGGGCATAACTGATGATGGCGTTCTCGTCCGAGTCACTTCGTAGACCTTTCCTTACATAAAGACTCTTAATTAATTGAGAGCTCTCGCGTCGTAAGAAAACCATATTCACGAAACAAGACACCGTCAACTTGGAGAAGAATATCATACCATTCAAAAGGTAAACTCTAACGTACAATGTTACAGATCTGAATTCGTGCAATTGCATTGCAAAGGCGTGGATTTGGAGCCTTGAAGAGTTGCCGACCGACTTGTCCGCGGCTCTACGTCCCGCATTGCAACAGACATCAGCTGTCGAAGTGTTCGACGAGAGATAGGGAAGGGACGCGCTTCACATAGATGTCATCGCTGTGCGCAGTGTAACAAGCGCTCATCGTATAATATGAGAGCTCGGCACGGGGGAAAGATCTCCTGAATCAGCACGCGCGTGGCTCGACCTGAAAATAAAATAAGTGCCCCCTGGCATGAGCAACGCAGGTTTGTTGCAGACTCCCAAGCTAGGAGTTATTGTTGTCGTAAGTGGGGACTGCGGATACTCGAGTCCGAACTACCCTAGGTGACAAATGCCATGAATAAAGTAGGATCACAAAACAAACAAGAGAAAATTGGGAGGACTTGGGCATATTTCACTGTATGATCCTTCTTCCTCTTTACTTTTTTCATCATTGGTGCGGGGCCATTGGAGTGAAGTGAGTGGACATTCACCATTACCTTATCGATAAGGAATTTTGGCTACCCCGCCTTTCGGAACCTCTAGGGCTGACATCAACAATTGGATCCTGCAGGGCTGCGACTGTAGAGTTTCATTGACCACCTGGGCAGTGCTCCTTATCCTCGTGACCGCCGCCATAAACCTCGTCACCAGAAGTTCTCACCGAGAAGTCATCAGCTGCTCCTCCCCTCTCTGGAGCTGTCGAGTCACCTGCGGCGGTCCCTGAGCTGTCATTCCGCTGCAGATTCATTCCTGCTGATTGACCAAGAACCGGCCTTACCTAGGTGCTCTCACTACTCCATTACGTTGACTTCTCAATACTCCTGTTCCAGTGAGAAAATAATACAACCTATATTATCTTCATCATTCCACTTGCTCCACCATCGAAATGTGTAGATGGTTCGCCTATATATCTCCCGAAGAGCCATGTCTTCTGTCAGATGTGCTCATCAACCCTGCAAATGGTCGGTTCTCAGCAGGCTGCAATCAGGTCTCCGTGATTGATAAATGATCGTGTTAGCCATTAGTAAACAATGCTCCGAGCACTACCTGCCGCGTCTCCTTCCCCACAACCACGAGAAGGACCTTGACGATAGCAATGACGACTTAATCCGAATGCGCAACTCCCTCCTCAATATGGACGGAATGGGAATGGCTTGGTACAGCGACACCGCAGCCTCTTATATCAAGCAGATTGAGGGCCCTCGACCAGCCCTGTATAAGACACAATCTCCTCCTATTGTAAGAGACGCCTGTGGATTCTCCTATTCATGTTGCTGAGTTTCTTCGTAGAACGACTTCAACTTCCGGTCTCTATGCGACAATACGGAGACCAAGTGTGTGTTTGCCCACATTCGAGCGACCAGCGGCAGTGTCGTCACAGCAGTGAATAACCACCCATTTGTCTTTGGCCGACATACCTTTATGCACAATGGTGTCGTCAGCGACTTCCAAACCATTCGACGCGATATGTCAGAGATGATGTCCTTCGATGCGTACTGCAACATATGGGGCACCACTGATTCGGAGCACGTAGCCGCACTGTACATGACCAACCTCACAAATGGTGGAGGGAAAGACACATGGCAAATGAGCTATCCATTGCAAGACATGCTCTCCGCGATGAAGAAAACAGTCATCCAAATCATAGAGCTGCAAGAGCGAAAACTCGGTTCAAAGCGCACACCAAACTCCTTCAACTTCTGCACTACAGACGGCAAAAAGATGGTAGCTATCCGATTTCGGAACCATGTCACACAGCAGCCCCCTTCGCTATATTGGTCCGAGTTTGCAGGTCGCACCCTCAATACCAAGTATCCGGGCAATCCCGATTCACCCGATATTGCGAATGAGGCTGCGACGTTAACGGAGGAGGCAAGGATCGGGAAGCACACGATCATTGCTAGTGAACCAACCACATACGACGAGAAGGAGTGGCAGTTGATTGGTGCCAATTGTGCTCTCACTGTTGATGAGAAGGGAATTGAGACTGAGACCAAGTTTGACTATGATCCTAAGTGGAATGCAAGAGATCCGGCTTTTGATAAGGAAGTGAAGGTTTTGGAACACTGAACGTAAAAAGGGTCGAAAATGTGACTGACGGTGAAATCCTGAACTATATCACCTCTCCTCATTAGCTTGGAGATTAACTATACCGTGACTGGATCCCTCATCAGCGGACTGAACGTCTTCATCGTCTCCTCACTCAACAACATTCGGGATGACGCTCTGGGTATTACTTGGGACTGCTGGCTTCTACTTCCGGGTATTAGGTTGATGTAATGGTTGGGAATAGAGCAGGGTTTGCGTGTCAGTCAACAACAAATGAGCCGTCCTCGAATGATTACCATAATGACCATAACGACCACAATTATACACCTATCTTGAGTCAACCGTGGCGAGGTCACGTCGATTGCCCTGTGGGAAAGCGACTTGTTCACCGAGACCGAGTGAGGAGAAATTCAGACGTAGAATTGAGTTGAACTCATTATGTGAAAAACGCTCGAATATAAGCCGGAGTACTGTTGCTGCTTTTGCCTCAAAGGCCTGTTAAAGAGTATATGAGAAGCAGCTTATCGCTCATCGCATCTAGACGGTCAAGTTCACGAGACTCGAGGTCCAAAGTATCGGGCTCACGTTGACTTTTTCTGCCTATTTCGGAGAAGGGTTTGCCCTTACGAATACCTTATTTCGCTAGTCAACCGAGCATTAGAGGGAAAAACTGTCCATATCGTCCATCTAGGAAACAACTGCCAACCGGAAAGAGGTCCTGTATCCCAACACAGGCGCCAACCACAAGCCAGCGTCAAAGGCTGCAACGACTGAAGCGCCAATAACGCCTCCCACTCCCGCCAAACGGAGTTTCCAGGAGGCCCTAATACAAGAAGAAGCGCCAAACAATAAGATATCAGAAACGCCGAAGTAATTCAAGCCCCATTACCCAACACAGGAGCTCCATACCGCGTCCTACATCCCCGAATCTGTAGTTGTTTTATTTTCTCAGTGCAGCGTCATAGAGACTGTATAAGATGCCAATGATGGAACCAATTTGAAGCCCATAATACCGACCCGGCACATTATCGCGCACCGTATGCACGGTTGCCTCTGAAAACGGTCCCCAACCGGGCTTTGTAGCCTGGATGGATCCAGGCTGAGGGCCGACCACGGGGAGGCCGTAGGCATTATACGCCAGCAGTGCTCTGGCAATGTTGAATGATAACGGGTCAACTCTGTATTCCTTGTTAGGAGACTTCTGCCGCGTGTTGGACCGCAGAGTCAGGTTGAAGAAGTACGAGAAGAGTAGCGGAAGCACCCAGCTCGTTAACGACCAGAGCGTCGCAGGACCCCAGAACTGAGTGGTCAAGAGAAGGCTCAAATCCGGTACGTCGATCGTTTTCGATGGCACGTTGAGCGCCGCAATGGCAGGCGTTGCCACTGGAGTGGTATTGAGAGTATTCCACTCCATACCAAGAGCTTCTATCGCCAGAACTGCCAACTGAATGAAGACCACGGAACTGGCATTCTCACGCACAATCTCTATGGCTTCTTCAATGCGTGTCCTTTCCCACAATTCGGATGCCTTAGTCTTCGCAGCCTGAAACGACTGGTCCGCAAGTTCAGTGATTTGTGCGGGCGATGCTGGAAGATCAATTTGAGGTGTATGCGCGGCTATTTGAGACACGGTCCTCGGAGTGCGCGAAGCAAGGTGAGACACAGCCTTCGGAGTACTACGCGCTATCAAGGATTGCTCCGCCGCAGGCTCGTCGCTGAAGGTGGCGTCAGCTGCTGTCGGTGACGTAGAGCTCGCTAGAGGACTTACGAGTCGGCACGCTTCAAAGTCTGGCGTCGGCGCGTCTTTACAACGGGAACTTCAGCGCTGGAAAGGCGTTCTCTTTTGATAGGAGATACATGACGCGCGTAAAATTCGCTGAACGCGCTCTGCTTTCCGTATAACGTCTCGTTGGCTTCCAGATGGTTCTGAAGAGCTTCGACCAAATCGTCTTTCAGGTACCGCTCCGCGCTGCGCATTTTATGAGCGACGTTCTTCCACCAGGAACGAGCTGCTGGTTGCCACTACATTCCATTCAAAACGTTACGATACATACTCGGGCAGTTTTGCTTGCTGCGCAAGCTCGAGAAGCTCGGCTTTGCGCTTCCGCTGAAGCCAGGATGTAGACATTGTGGCTGGTATGAATAGAGTCGCAAAGTGCACGCGACCACGGAATATGAATAGACAAGACAAGTATGATGTGGGTGGTGTCGGAAACTGGGGTGGCTGGGAGGGGTGAAGGTGGGCAGAGCTCTGATCACAACAACGAACGCGAATAATGTAAACACGGACCGGACCGGGGGTGGTTTCCCAGCACGTGATCAGTACGCTTAGCTTCTTTCAGCACCTAGCTTTCGCCATGCCAATCCAGCCCGAATTTTCAAAAGTTTGGTATCAGCCTGCGACTCAACGCCCGGGGACCCGCATTCACTTAACCAATTTACGCCAGAAGTCAGTCATTTGCAGCTTTCCTTCGTCCCTCACCCTCCCGCACAAGATTTATCACCAATTGCTTCGGACGAACGCGCGGATCTGGTGCACGCTCATGGTTCTTGCCCGCGCGGCCAACTCCTTCACGCCTGGCACCGCAACATCCGGGACCACCAGCCTGATTGCCGATGGATCGCAGGGCACTGGAAGCGCAATGGAAGCAGCACTGCCGTCTGCGGCGGCTGCTACGGAAGAGGTAGACCATGAGGCTGCCCGGCCACCCTACATACACTCCATGCTGGCGGGTGGAATCGGTGGAACAACTGGGGACATGTTGATGCACTCGTTGGATACCGTCAAGACTCGCCAGCAGGGCGATCCGCATATGCCGCCGAAATACACATCAATGGGCAACACATATTATACCATACTTCGTCAGGAAGGAATACGGAAAGGACTTTACGGCGGCGTCCAACCGGCATTCCTCGGCTCGTTTTCTGGCACAGTGTTGTTTTTTGGCGCTTACGAATGGAGCAAGCGGCTCATGATCGATTGTGGCATTGCTCCAGCAATTTCATACTTCACTGCTGGTATGGCACTCCTGTCATGGATGGGAGACCCGTATGCTAATGGAAATGCTAGGTCTGATTGCAGATCTCGCCGCTGCTCCCGCCTATGTTCCTTCTGAGGTGCTGAAGACCCGCCTCCAGCTGCAGGGTCGATACAACAACCCCTACTTTAACTCGGGCTACAATTACCGCTCCATGATAGACGCTGTTCGCACGATCGCGAAACAAGAAGGGGTGGGTGCGTTGTTTTACGGTTACAAAGCTACACTCTGGCGGGATCTTCCCTTTTCGGCGCTGCAGTTCGCATTTTACGAAGAAGAGCGGGGATTGGCGAAGCGATATGTTGGGTCACATAACATTGGGCTGCCCCTAGAGATCTTGACTGCGGCCACAGCGGGTGGCATGGCCGGCGTTATTACCACTCCATTGGACGTGGTCAAGACGCGAATCCAGACGCAAGTCAACGACGTACCGTCCATATCGACGAGACCTCCTGTGACCACTCTGTCACCTTCAAAACACTCTATAAAACCGACAAAACCACCTCCCCAGAACCGGCCTATATCTACTTCCTCACCTTCCACCGCTCTACGCAACCACAGTGCTGCTACTCTCGATACATCCTCGGTCATAACCGGTCTGAAGATAATATACAAAACAGAAGGGATATGGGGCTGGTTCAGGGGGGTGGGCCCAAGAGCGGTATGGACGTCGGTCCAATCGGGAACCATGCTGGTCCTGTACCAGACGCTCTTGCGTTATTTTGAAGAACATCCCTTGGTTAGGACGGACGAGCGCCATGTATAACATGTATGATAGGTGATTTCGGCACGATGAGTTGACTCTTGCATTAGCGGCGTTTTTCTTTATATGGCAACTTATACAAGAGCAAGCGATGCATGGTAAGCCAATAGACTTTAGATACCTCGACTGGAAATTTCACGCTTCTGTAGTTTTCCTCCACTCATTATTACATTCTCAATGTACCATTCTATGCTCAAGTATAATGCGGTCGATTTCCTTGATTTCGTTTCCCTAGCTCCCTTCCGAATCCCACTGTCCTCCCTCACACACCCGACTCGTTCACTGGAGGTCACTTTATGGTGCTTAGTCATTCATGGCGCCAGTCCTATTCAGGATTAGCACTTATCTCACCCATGGAGTTGCGTCCCTCTCCACCCGCTCAGGCGCCGACATCAAAGCCTACCAAGAGGTCATGAGTCGAGAAAACCTTAGGCACGAAAGTCTCGGAGCCGAGAAACTCGGTCAGGAAACCAGTCGGAGCTGCACACATGTGCTTGCTGGCAAACAGCGAAGTCTGCTTCAGTCTGTAGGGCACAGACTGTAATATCCGCCTCACTGAGTTCAGCCTGGGCGCCATTGGTGGTCTTGCTTTGGGCATCCAGACGTGGAGACTGCGTTGGGTACATCTTGCTGCGCATGCGTGCGGATTGATACACATCTGAGGTCGGTGTGAAGGCGTGAATGCTTGGATGTTGCTTGTTTCTTTGCTTGGTTTGGCTGGCGGTGAATGTCAGCATTCGATTGGCTTTGGGATGTTTCGACTTAGTGCTTGGTTAGCCTCGAGGGCCCTTTTTGGCCTGATATGTCCACTTGCAGGCTTCTTAGCATTTTTGCTTTATCCCGTATCGACTATCGTCACTGAGTGCTTAGACTCCGAGTTTCTAGGTCAGTGGGAGTTGGCTATGTAACTGGGGTTGATTCATACACCGAGACCTCTAAGGGTACAAGTATAAGAAGAAGTAAGGGTACGCTCGAGCTCTGGTCACTTATAACTCCAACCACTCAGTTCCTTTGCAAGCACGCCTCAACGCATTGCCCTTAGGGTTCCTACACTGGGTATGAAATTCAGAAGTTCCCGATTTCAAACCCTTGCTTCACGAGCGCTCATCGATATTACTAAAGTTATCCTCAAATTCCGCCATGGCAACCTGCAAGCATTACATCTCCTGCACATCATACCGTGAACTCATGTCCCACAATGGTAAAGTGCTACATTGCTCTCATCTTCGTTTAGACGGTGTTAACTTATTTGATAGAGTTCTCTTACAACAACACATCGCCGTACGTTGCCACTCAAGCCGTGAACATCATGATCACTGGTACCCGGTCCCCGGGGTCAAGCAAATCTCGATATGCGGACGATTACCTTGTTGGGATTGGGGCACAATTTTCCTGCTGTGGGGGCAGTAGTAGAGCTGGTAGCGGGTCGAAAGGCTCGAGGTTGTGAAGTTGTGTGAGGTTGTATGTTGTCTCTGGGGTGGTATGTCAGCGATAATCATACATACATTATCAATGATCGATATCTACGGACGTCCGAGGTTAGGATAGGGCACGACTGAATCTCATCTGGCATACTAATGTTTGACATCGGCGCTTGGAAAGTATAGGCGATGATAGCGATGTCTTCAATGTTTACATACATTTTCTACTGCTTGTGGGACTGCATATCGTGCAAATTGTTGGAGCACTTACGCATAGCGTCGTCTTACCCAATTTTGCAGTGCTACGGTGCATAAGTTGCGTCGAGATTCCACAAATCCGGTCTAATGATATTCCAAGAGCATTGAAAAACAAGTAAACTTTTCTAGTGATCCAGGATGCCTCGTATCCCTATTAGTTACGGTTGAGATGAAATGTGTCCTAACTTGCCCGTTCAGTGTGTCCAGAAACTTTTCAAAATCCGTTCCCAAGGGTATCCGAGCCTATGAACGCTTCTCGAAATGAATCATGAAGCAAAACCGAAGAAGGAATGAGTAGAGTACATGGTGGGCGTCCTACAAGGGTGATGAGTGCAATAACAGGAGACTCGCATGATTATTGCTCCTGTGACAAAGAAAATCCAGATCTAAAAGCCAGTGCAAGGGTGCCGGAAACGAAATGTAAATAATGTGGCTTGGTCGCAGGCTTGCGACGTGTTGAAAGTAAGAGGAGATACTCTGGAGGGCTAGGCTAGGGAGCAACGCTTCACAGAGTATGTTTGGTGTGTCTGGGCTTCCAATCGCGTTCATACATCTGTGCAATGAAGTAGTATGGATCTTCGTAGACATTGTTCTCGAGAATTCTCTCGAAATGTGGAGCTAAATGTGGACCGTTAGTGATGACAATAACAAAGAATGTCATGCAAAATACATACCCTTCTTTTTGTACTCCTGAACGGTAAACTGAAGGAACTCTGCTTGCTCTTTCTTCAGCCCAGCCAGAAACATCTGATCTTCTGACGTCCAGTCCATATAAAGCGGGTAGCTTCCCCGGTTGCAGAAGTGGAAGTACGCCAGCAGAATTTTAGCTCCATTGTGAAGCTCCTCAATAACTCGAGGGCGATAGAAGCGCTCAGAGACTCCCTGAAGCCTGGCACGCTCATTGTCTCGTGCAGTTAAAAGCGCACAGCTGTGCAGTAGCAAGAAGACGCATAGGTAAATAGCCAGCCATGACCTGCGGTTGCGGGTGTTGTCCTGTATGAGAGCTTTGAGCCGGGAGAGCACTTCCTTCTTGGTTGGCTCGAGGATCATGGCAACGAAGATAATCTCCATTTGAGCGGAGAACACAGGAGGCATTAGGATCCTGTTGGTGCTGGGAGAGTTTGGTCCGTAATCGCGGGTGGTCATTCCAAGGGTCTCTTCACCGCAGATCCATGCTGATCGAGACATCATCCGTGATGCACCCCAAAGCCTCATGGTGCTTTTCAACAGCAGTCGGTCGTCCTCGTTCTACTAGCAATCAGCGCAGTTAAGTGACCAATGCTAAAACATGAGATACCAACCTCTGCGGTGAAAGAATACCGATATGCCATCAGGTATGTCTTCGCCAACAATGTGTCTCCATTTGCCAGCCAGAACTTGAGCGCATCTTTGAGTGTACTTTCACTGAACGCGGACAGAACTCTTCCAGCCTCCCTCATATCTGCCACCGCATACGGCGTACACATGAATTCTTGCTTCTGCCCATCGGCTACCCATCTTCGAGCAAGGGCGTCGCCTTCTACAGGCACAAACTGGCGCACTTTCAGAGCATACCACGTGTTTCCCACCCCTTGCGTTACTTTGATGGTCTTGATTTCATCGGAAGCCCAGTTCGTGATGTCGATCATTTCCATTCTCTTCCAACGTGAGGTCCACGTTGGTCGAGGACGCTCTGCGTTGTCCAAGAGCTCCGAATCCGTGATCTTGTAACGTAGACACGGGATCCAAAGGGGTCTCCCTTGAATCGCTTGGCGACAGGCCCTACAGCATCCCGTTGGGTTTTGCTCATCCAGCTCGCACTAGATGTCTTAAAAGCATGTTCATAGCACAAGGATGGTAGAAACTCACTCTGATTCTGTGAATGCTGCAGCGGATACAGGCTCCCATTTTGCGGGTAAGGGCAGTCAGTTCCCTCTGCTCGGCACTTTGAAAAGGTCCTCGACGCTTGCCCTTGGTCCCTGCTGTCTTGTCGCATTCCTTTGGATTGGCGTCCACGGATACATCGACGAACATCTTCTCTTCTTCAATGATAGCCTCCGGAGCAGGCAAGAACTGGTTCATCGTCAAGTCCTCTGTGAGGTATGGTACATATGCTCCCTCTTCGGGAAAGTCGAAGTGTTGGCCACCGAACCTCAGGTTGAAACTGTTCAGAGTCTGGGTTTCTTGTCTTCCAAGTGGTGGTTGTGCTAGACCGTTTACTTGCTGTGGAGGAAACGTATTTTGGTTCGCCTGGGGGGTTATATTCACCCATGATGCAACCATATCACTGTCAAAGTCTTTTGCCAGTGTGTTTTGCGTTTGCGTCGGACCGTGGTCATTCTGTGAAGTGGGAGGTGATGGGTATAACTCCTGCGATGTTCGAAATGTCGTTGTGAAAGCTCCCATACCAATGTTCGTGTGAATGTCGCTCATCCCCACACCGGCAATGTCGAACTCGACAGAGGACTGGTCGACTGGGTTAATCGCCCGGTGCCCTTCGAAAGCCAAATTCCCTGGATTGGTGTATTCTACGAAGTTCGCTGGTTGGTCCCTAAATATCTGATGTTCTTCGGAGTCCGCGCTATCAGGGGGTGTGTAATCGCCAGCGATCCCATTGGAGCCTGAGTTGAAGGACCCTTCGCTCGAGCTGGCTTTCCTTGAAGATATCCGCGACGACGGTGTTCTCGTTGATGCGCCGTCTGACCTTGTGTCCAGCGACAACAGAGTTTCCAGTTTAGTCCTCAGTATCATCGCTGCTGCTTGTAGAACATGCCGATCCGACGGACTGTATTTTTCCAGGATATCCTCCTGCCTGCTCTTCTTGTGGCTCATCTTGTCGAAGGAGGAGTTTTCCGATGGTCGCTTGCTCCCACGATATCCCATCCGTCGAACGACTCCATCCGGCATAACGTAAGTTGCTAACCTTCTGCTTAGGGGGCGGAGTACACCGAAAGTCTCACGGCGGTCTCCTCATCGTTACGGACGATTTTCTAAGTGCGATGTTTTGATGATGAATACTCTGTAGAATCCTTTGAGGCTCAGCTTCGGTGACGAAGCTAGAGGTAGGTGTAAGGCTGACGTACTACGCGATTGGCGCGCTAAACTGCCCTAGGATTTAATCTTCACCGGTTTCATCGGGCAACACTGCACCGGGGGTCTCGGACGTGATCAATGCCACGCAACCATGCGTGACAGCTCCGTCCCGAAAGTGGCAAGTGACTCGGTGTGGGTGAAGCCGTCGCTCGGTGAGCCGATGTCCTTTGATATTTCCGAATGTGACGAGGTAGGCGGAACGCTTTATGTTCCACATTCCACTGCAAGATGCCGTTAACAAGAGCCATGGTTGCTCCCAGACACCCTCCAATTTCCAAACTGAACCTCGCGCTTCTGGCAGGAGGAAGATCCACGCGTATGGGATCTGACAAGTTCCTCCTAGAATATCCTGATGGCACTCCGGTCTACCTCAATCGCCTGAGAATGCTTCAAGAAGCATTTCCCAAGGCAGACAGAATCTGCATCGTTCTTCGAGACTCCTCCCGAGCTGAGCACGTCAGGATACCTCCGGAGATGGGCGTCCATGTTCTCTTCGTGGCTCCTACTGTCGGCGCAGCGCATGTCGCTGGCCCGGCAGCTGGCCTCCACACCCTCTATTGTTTCGACCCGGCATCTCACTGGCTGGTCATCCCCTGCGATTATCCTCTCCTCCGCGGGGAAGACCTCACGGATCTGTACCACCACTACCGCGACCCCGTCACATGCTTCGCAAACAGCCAGCGATCAACGGAACCCATAGTCGCTATTTGGAGTCCAGGTGCACTGGCTCATTTGACTGTCACCGCCGTGGAGAACAGGTCGGGGCTGTCAAACTTGATGCTCCGACTCGGCGGACACACAATCCCCCCTCGTTACGATCACTGTTTGTTCAACACCAACACGAGAGAAGAGTGGGATGATGCATTGCTATTACTCAAAGCAATGCAGCAGACCTCACTCCCGAACTCATCACAAGACTAAGTTCGATGTAGGATGATAAGACGACATATGGAACCACGTTTCTTCCGGGTCGGTCTGCACTTGTTATTGGGCAGCCTTACCGGCTTCATCTCGACCCCACCTCCACAGCCTTATAGCGAGAACCAAAGGGTGTTGCAGTTCCCTGCACGTTTATCAGCACAATTTCGCCACCTATAGCAGAATGGTTTGAAGCTCCGCTGACTCACGGGTAAATTAGATGCGGCTCAAAAATCTTGGGCTTACAAGTGAAGAAGCACAAAGCCTTCCCGCTTCTGCTGTGAATTCGAAGTAGGCGGAATACATCCCCAAAGCCAGTCCCAATACAGCCATTGTACGGTCAAGTACAGTGTTTGTTGACGTGAATTTGTTCGCGACATTTGCCGCTCAGTAGTGAACCCTTCTTATTTCTGCGTTCCAGTTCCACAGGCATGGCCCCCCATGCCGATGACAGCCTTGACGGTTCTGGCTACACGCCTTCCGCAAAAAGCATCGCAGAGTTGAAAAGAAAGCTCCATCTACATCACGCAGCCTCTCTCCCTGGTGCGGCGTGGATTACGGACTGCCCGCAGATGAATGACTCGCAGGCAGCGAATCTCGAGTCCAAGACCCTTCAACTCTCGCTTGACGACCTCAAAGAGATAGAGGATGCATACGCCTATTTTGACGGTGAGAGTATAGAATCGCCATGCCAAGCGCGGCTATTGACATCGCTATAGCTACCGGCCTTCCGCTCAACAAGCTCCAAGCCGAGCATTTCCCCTTGCCCACACTCTCGAGAAAGCTTAGGCAACGGAGCATATTGCTAGCAGACAAGGAACCTTTCTTCATCATACGGGGGTTGAAGCCTCTCTGGTTTAGTAAGTGGAAGAATGTGGTAATATACACTGGCATAGCCAGTCATGTTGGCTCTAAACGGGCATGGGCTGTGGGCGACCCGAATGTTCTTCGTAAGTCCAGAACTTCCACCGTGAAACCATCATACTTATCAACACAGACCATGTTACAAATCTTCAACCGCCAAAGGAGAAGGGGTGCGAAGCTTATAGAGGCCCCGCAAATAGGAACACTGCGCTGGTAAGTACTGTACAATCCTCTAGGGCGGTTTAATAACAATTTAGCCGTTTCACACCGATTATGGGTCAATCCTCTCCTTTTACGTGCTTTCAAAAGCACAGACCGGGGGTGATACCTACCTCGCAGATATACATGACATAGTATCCGAGATCTCCAAGGATCGTCCAGATATCATCGAAACACTGCGGCAGCCCATTATCAACATAAAGTGAGCATCTTCAATATTGATTGCCTCAGACACTAATGTCTTCGAAAGTGCAAAAGCGGAGGGCGCATATGATGAGCGGCCCCTGCTCTTCACCTTATCTTCTGGACAACTGGCAGTGCAGGCGTCCCGCTCGCGCCTCTTCGGAACACAATGCCGACATCGGCCATCTTCTTTGCCACCACTTTCAAATGCCCAAGTTGAGGCGATTGACGCGCTTCACGCCGCGGGTCAAGCAGTGTCCCAGCGTATCCCGTCGCGGAGCGGCGATATGATCTTCTTCAATAACTTGCGAATGATGCATGCACGTGATGCTTTTGTCGACGGAGATGCTGAAGAAAACGAGACGTCTAGATATCTTCTCCGGCTGATCTTGCACGATGAACGGCCAGATGCAAGGTGGGAGATCCCACCGGCGCTTAAACCTACCTGGGATGAGCTATATGCCCACGCCGACGAGGACGAGGTATTTGCCATACATCCTGAGCTCTTCTCGTACAAAGCTGCCCACTGAGATTGATTTACGGGCATTTATATACGTTTGGGACAAGTCAGACTGCACGTTTTGTGCGCGCGTTGGAAGGGGAGTTTGGGTTCATATTTCATGGAGTTGGTTACGCTGATTATACCCTTCCTTTTCAACATATAAGCACTACTGGGTCAAGTTGCTGGGATTCATCATTCCGCAGATGAAATACATGGCTATCATGAAGCAGCAGTGGTAGAGGCAACTCTTGTACATTTCATAGGAAGTAGGAGCAACGTTTCTGAACATGTCAGTTCGCTTGCAGAATACTGACCTCGGTTGCATTGACTCTGGGATATGTGGACACAAGCAGTCCTCCGCAAGGAGCTAAACTGCTTATAAATAGAACTGCATATCTGCCTATCACGCGCAACTGAAATTTCAGGAGTCGCAGGGATATTATACTACGGTATCAGGGGTATGCTTTGGGACTTGTAGCTCTCATGGCTGTACAGGACAACCAATCAACAGTAAGGTAAGATGGCCAACGGGTTCACTGTCTTCTACTGATCCCGTGGGCCAAGATATGCCAGATACCACAGTAGGCTTTCTGATTGGCATAAGAGCGCCTCTGTCCGGGTATGGTAAGGCTTAAAATGCAGTTTTTCAATGGCGTCATTAGAGTCTGGCCAATGGAGCCGCCTTGAATAGGCGAAGCGTAAGGCTGTGTTCTAGGTATGCTCGATGTGAGGAGAAGCGGCGGTCACCTACCCTCCGTCCAAGGTGGCTCTCAAGTCCCATGTCCCAGAATACACAACGATATAGACCACAGACTTAACCACGCGCTATCATTCATGCGACAGTACCTACTCCTGCAAAAGGCTCAGGAGAACGCCCGTTAACAGACCCTGGGAAGCAGATGCATACGGACAAACGGCGAAATGGACCCAGAATCAGAGGCAATCCGGCGAATAACCGAAGAGATTGCATGGAACTACATGGACACAAAGCATTGGAGCACCTGGCACTACTGGTACTACTCCCGTCGCTTTCACAATGTCGCCGAACACACCGCGCACGAACTTGGACGAATCAAATCAGAAGATGATCTAGCGACTAGTCTTACCGAGCCAAATGTAACCTGTGTTGACTTTTCCATCGCCATGGTTACTCGACTACGACAAAGATTTGCATCTACCCCTGAGTTGGCCAATCATACATGCGCTATCAAGCTTTTAGCCCGTCCCAATGCTCCCGATTCCTCACGACTTTTTCACTGTATCGCCGCCGTACTTACGCCCACACGGTGCTTCGTAATTGATGTCAATCATCCTTGGCTCGTGGAGGTAGTACCACAGACGTCCCATCTTCAATCCGACGCCCGTGGTCCAACGGATGATAGAAGAACTTCAAATTTTTCCTATGCGCCCTGCACAGACGGTATAGACTTCTCGAATGCCTCCAGGCTTCAATGGTGTTGTGATAAAGAGAGATGGAGATTTCAAGAGATTAGCCCGATGGAGGCCTTCAAAAGTATTAATATCGCCATGGCTTGGGACGTAGCCACATCAGGACACGGGAGAACCATTCCACGAAGCAAGAGCATCAAACTTGCCATGCAATTTGCTACAGAGCCTGTTTTCGTAGCGACGTGCCTTCGGAACGGAAGATACGTCGCACTGGCATGCCGGATCAAGATCGATTTCAGCAAGGCTCGTGTTACAGTTCAGGTGCCCTTTCATGATTGGATGAAAAAGGCAGAGATGAAGGACCTGCGAGATGCGGTACTGGAAAATATGCGCAATCGGGAAGAAGGGCTAGAAGTCCATATAGCCACCGACGATTCCGTGATGAGCCTGCTTCTCGACCTCCTCCCTAGGGCAGGTTCAGAAAAATTCGAAAATTGGAGTGGGGTGGCCCTTGTGGGTGAGGTGCTCGCGCGTGCGAGTTCGAACATGCCCAAACGCGACTTTGAGGAAGTGGTTCGGTCGGTTATTGAAGTTCGGGACGCACTTACAAGGCCTTAAGTAGGGGAAGTCGCACTTAATGAACTTGTCTATTGTATAGACACCCCTCCCAGAGTCCAAGAACACTCGCGACCGTGCATGACTAGCCGGAAGTGGCTTCAACTGCGTCTCCACGGTGTTGAGAGGATAAGTGTGGCGTCAGATAAGAAAAATAATCATCTAACATGAACGGGCGATGCAGTGCTCATCAAGCATCTAGTGGCTTTTACTGAGTATGCCGACCATGCAGAGGATCTCTGTTGTGAAAGATATGCTAAACTGTACGAAAGCACAGTAAAACCTGAAGACAAGGCGAGAAGGGGGGCGAGCGTTTTTTTTTTCTACTCTAGCGCGAGGTTATAAATGCATACGTTTGGACTCTAAGTGTGGCCTAGCGCCGGGCATCCGCCGAGCTCAAAGCCAAAGAATTCATAGCTACGTGGTTCGAATCTTGCATACAGAGACATGAAGGAAGGACTTGCAAAAGCAGCTTTTCATAATAGCTATGTGGACGCCGTAACGTTTTGCCTGATACGCTCCAGGCTCAAATCAATGCCTACATCTGCGGACTCCAGTCTATGTTCTTGTTCCTTTGTGTTCGTGCACATATCCTTGCCCATGTTGACGAGTTATCTGCCTTGGTGAGGCTTGCGCTTGATCTTCGACGAACTTTTGGCAACTTGCCGCTCGCGCTGGATTGGAGATGGGGGAATGGATTGTCGAGCTCAATTGACAAATCCTCTTCGTCATCAGTGCTCGAATCCGGTTCTGATATAGGCTCACGCTCAGAGTCGGATTCAAGTGGAAGATCCTGCTCGCACCGAGACCAGTCTGAAGACTCCCCCGAACTCTCTGACATATGGAAACTGGTGCTCCAATCGCTTACTACCGTTTCGTCTGGCTCGATGAAATTTGAGTCCCCACTTGAGCTGTCCATAGGACTCTCGGTTCTCTTTCGTTTGCGTGAGCTCGTCGTGCCGTGCGACGGCTCGCTTAACCTGCTTCTTGAAATCTTCACCAGCGGAAGATCGTCATCTTCAGAATCAGTCGCTATGACTTGACTGTTGTTTGCATCCTCCAAGTTTGCAAGGCGGTGAGTTGGGCTATCAGTACCGGATCTAGGATTTTGCAGCTGATTTGGACCAGTCTTTGGTTGTTTCAGGTTCCTTCTTTTAGATTTCATACACTTCTGCGTTGATGTCCCTGACCTCTTCTGTCTTTGCTTTGGGGGACCTTTGGTATTGCTACTCTTCCTTGGTTTTGTAGGTTTAACGGGAGATTGGTAGCGATGAGAAGCCACTCTTTGCTCGGGGGTCTCTTCCGGAACATCGTCGTCATAAATGAAAAACGGATCGTCGAAGTCAAATCTGACTCTGACCTCCTCATCCTCGGCCTTCAATTCCGCCTCATTTTGTTCCACTACAGGTTTTTGCGCAATCTGACTTTGCAAGTACTCCTCCATCAACCGGAACAAGTAGTCTCTGGCGGACTCAAAATCTCCCCGATGATCCAGAAGCAAGTTGTACAGGCTTTGGACTGGAAATAGTGAGCAGGACTCCAGAAGTCGTCCCACTTTGTGTCTTAGGTCTGGGTCGTGGATGTCGGAAAGCCACGATGGGTAACAGGAGTCCCAATCATCGGATTTCGAACCAGCCGGCAACTTGGATGAGGAGACTTCAGCAATACATGGCGTCACATGGTCGTCAAATCGTGTGGGAACAGAGGGTTCGAGTATGGAAATTTTGTCCGAGGAAGTCTTACACTGAGCTGCACCTTGGCTACGACTCCCATGTTATAGAACTGGCTTGGCAGATGAGGAAGCAAAACTTACACCACCGTTGTCGGCGACTGAGCGGGACAATGCAGCACTGGTTCCACTACTCGCCCCGCTGGAACATTGCTCTGAGGTGCACTTTCGTGTGATGAGACAGAGGGCCGCTCTTCGCAAATAGGGACGTACGCAGTCTCCTTTGCGAAGCTCATATGGTCCAGGCTCTTGCTGATCTCTCTATGGAAGTTGCGGAAGATGTTGTTAGCGACTTTCAAAGATTCATTGAAGGCTGCAAGTTCAACACTGGGTCCTGGATCTGGCTCTGGAAATAATACGTTGCTTGATGCAGGAACACTGTTTAGAGACCCGGCTGTAGAAAGAGCTGGCGCTGAATGGGTGCTGCGAGTTATTGTATGAACTGTATCCTTACCGCTACAAACAAGGTTTTAGTTCTTTCAACTTCTCTCAACAACAGCAAACGCAACGCCTACCACGTCTTCCTTGCGTTTTCACGCTCACTAGCATGTTGGCCGGGTGAGACAATTTCAGCCTGTGATCGGCGTGCTTTTGCACCGTCTTTTCTTCGCTTCCTGGAAGGCTTTGAGCGCCCACTCTGCTTGAGTTTCCCTTTATTAACTTTGTTAATCGACTTGGTGCTGCACTTCCTGGTGGAAGAGATGGATAGACGCAGCGGTGCAATTCGACATAGTGTCCTCGATGCATCACGCGTGATGAAATTCCAGTCTTTCTGTATCTCGTAGCCCAGTCTTGACAGCCAGTAGGGCAGAGTGATTGGAGCAAAGGAGAGAGCCATTAGTTGTCATCATTAGTAACATCCACAACAGGAATGCATCCGGTTTGCAGTCGTTCTTCAATGAAGGATCTTCCGCTCTTCTCGGGCGGTAATGGGTTGGGATCAATTCCTTGGTACGGACGACAGCGGCCGTGAGATTCCTACGGGACCGGGCAAGATTAGTACATGAGACACAGCGGATGCAGTCCGCGAAATCCAGTTAGAAACGAAAAAGACTCCTACGGTTCGGCATTGAAGACGAAGTTAAGACAAAGTTACGGCCTAATCCCCACTTACGCAATAGTAATGCCAAGGCTTTCCTATTCCAGCTCTAGCGCATACATCAGTCCCACCTTCCAAGCTCCGCGTCCATCGGACGACATCACCATCGCGAACCATCGCGAACGCCTCTGGACCTCAGCGTCGTCCCCTATGGGGCATGTCTTCTGGCGCGACTTTGCGTACACGAACAAGCGTTTCCGCTTGCGAATGGCGACCGGAAGTGTGGGGGAAGCCGCTGCTAGGTTGTTTGCAAGGTAGATATATGTTGCTTTGTATTTCGGCTACACGTCATGGGCTTCAATTGAGCACGAAGGCTAAGGTGCATGACCAGGTTGCTGTCAGGGCAAATGATTGAGATAGAAGTTGGCACAGGCGAACAGAAGAGGCGGTGGCACATACACAGAGAGCTTCTCATTTACCAATCCGAGCTGTTAGAGGAAGAGATAGGAGGGAAGAAGAACGGCGACAAGATTCATCTGCCCGATCAAGATCCCGCAGGGTTCGAGCTATTCTTGAAATGGCTGTATCAAGGGAAACTGGACGATGTGAGCGACATACCCGGGCAAGACCGGCAATACGAGTATGCAGTGAGCTGTCACAAGCTTTACCTCCTATGTGAGCGGCTCGGGCTGGAGCAGTTGAAGAACATTGCCATGGACCAGTATCGCAAAGGATTGAACCTATCCGAACTGGTGCCCGACCCAAACGAGATCAACGATATATACCGGCAGAGCCCTCCAGGCTCACCCTGGAGGAAACTCATGATACAGATTGCTGCACGCCAGATTATGGATCCACAATCTGACCGCGACGTATCCACCTACCGAGAATGCTTTGAAGGAAACCCCGACTTTGCTATCGAGCTAGTAAAATCCATCAAGGAAGCAACTGGGGGCGTTCTGCTCGATGACCCTACAGAAGGGGACAACGATTGCGATTATCATGATCATCAGACGGAACCCAACTGCCACATGAGGGAACATCGGGGGCTTAAGCAAGGTAAATAAGTAGTCTCATCCCAACGTCCAGAAGCCGATGACACGAATACCATTTCTTCCATTGCGGAGATCTTGATAGACTGTTTCAGTATCGGTTTGTTCCGCCAGCACAAAGGATCACACTCACTGACTCCCAGTCCACAAGACACAGTGCCGCCATCTCGCCCCAGAATCCAACAACTCCGCTCTCAACGGTCTATCCGACCGACGCATCTCCCATCGCCTCCTGCTTCACCTCCCTCAGAAGCCGCAGCAGCAGCCCCGCCTCGCTCGCCTCCAGGACGACAAGAACACGGGCCCTCTCCGGATTCGCAGAAGACTGACGAGCCCAGCATTCTCCACGACGGAGATCTCGTCAGCGAACGCGACAGGGATGCGGCCGTCCAGTCCGAAGGAAAGGAGGGCGAAGGACGTGATGCCCTTGGGGAGCAACCCAGTGACGCCCCAAGAAAACCCCTACCCGATGCCGTACCAGCAAACGGAGACGCCTACGGGCAAGAAACACCCAGCCCCCGGCGCGCACCCCGCAAAATCCGACGCAGAAGCACTTCGCCTCACGCCTCAAAGTAGCTCGCCGCTCAGCATCCCAAGTAGCATCCACTCCGATCTACTATCCAATCACTCCCAGAATCCCCCCGCCCGTCCGAGCTTGAAAACGCAAGGTAGCGACTCACGCAGTATCTGGCACTGGACGCGCCTAGGCCGCATAAGCATCCTTCCACGTAAATTGTCCGAACCTCCGCCTGGGCTGATGACATGCAAGGCTGCGGGGTCCGCTGTTCATGATGCGTTGCAGGGGTCGAGGAAGAGGGACGATCGTTCTGAATTCTTGGACGACTCTAGTTTGATATCTTCCACGAGCACGGATGTGGATGGCCTCAGAACCGGCTCCAGACTGTAGTATCAGTGAGGCTGCTACTGGTTGGGCAGATGATTTGTTGCGGAGGCCGGACATGCGAACAGAACGTCCTCGCCTGGAAGAGATAGTCGCAAATCCACAACGACCACGACGACACTATCGGACCGGTGCCACCCACCACTCCATCGCCACGGCAGCAAAGGAAGAACACGGGATACCCCTGCGGCGCAGCAGCAGCAAACAGAGAACCGCAGAAATCCGCGAGACGTAGGCAACGCATGTGATTGCTTATAGCCATGTCCCCTCCTTTTACCCTCAAACCCTCATCTTCAGTGTCATGTATATATCCCACATAATCTGCCGCCTGGCTCTTACGATGAATTTGTGTCCATCAACCAAATGGGAAGATTGGGTTGATTTAGGTGCGTAGACGAATCACAATGGCAAGTTTGTTTTGTACATCTATTGGAGGGTAAACGAGATTGGCAATCATGTCAACTTTGTTGTGTGCTGTATTCGGAAAAGGATTCTTGAACAAACCTTCTTATTCTCTCGTCGTCTCAACTCCGGTATCAAGCAAGCAAACAAGACTTGTCTTCAAAGGAGACAAGACAATCGATATACCCGCCCAACTCCACGCCCGCTAAACAAACACCATCTGACCCACTAAGCTGAAAAGAAGTCACAGACACCGAACTCTTCCCTCTACCCATACTCCACCTCTCCCCTCACCTCACATACACCTCCTACCTCTCCCCACCCCCCTGCGCAACGCCCTCCCCACCCCCCACAGTCCCCCTCTTCACCCGTCTAAAACACATAAACTCGACCCTCGTCCCCTCCCTCAACCTCTTCAACACGCCCCTCAAACTGCCCAACTCCTCCTGCAACCGCACCCTCGCCGCATTATCCGTCTTCCGATCCAGCACCTGATAAATGTCCGTCTGGACCTGGCTCGCCTTCTCCGTCGTATAGGAACTGAGCGTCTGCGCCATGAACTCGACGTCGAGCGTGGCCTGCATGAGGGCCGCGAGGCTGCACGATTCGAGACGCTCAAACGTCGAGATGAGGGCCAGGGTCGTGGATTCGAAGAGCGAGCGCAGGATGCGGTTCGTTAGCGAGGGCGCCGTCGTGCTGACTTCGGTGTGCACGACTACGAGGTCCAGGAGCACGGTGAAGACGTACGGGCTTGGGTCTCTGTCCGCGACGCTCTTGCCGCGCGGGCTGGGAGGGGCCCAGGAGGGGCTGAAGATGCCCTTCTCAATGGTGGACGTCATGCGCGAGATGTGGGGTTTGGTGTAGGATTTGAACAGCTGCGTGTCGAGTTGGGAGAGGACGTCTTTGATGCGCGTGGTTTCGTCGGGGAGCGCAACGGAGAAGAGGGTTTCGAAGGTGGAGAGCAGGTGGGGTGCGATTTCGACATTGAGGGCTGTCATGTTGGAGAGAGTGAGGAGGAGGCGTGTAGACTGTGGTGAGTTAGTGAGGCTCTTTGGAAGACACATCTGTACAGGTTGAAAGTAGCGAGTACTAACCTGTTTCTCGGCATTCATCTTGCCCCAGCCACCATCCTCTACTCCAGTCTCCTCCATCGTCAAATCATCCCCTTTGGCTTCAAAGTCCTTTCCAAGCGCCCCGCGGCCCTTCTCCGCACACTCCACCATACCACTCAACGTCCGGTAGAAGCTCGTGACAAACTGACTCCTCACCATCTGCAACAATTTGCTACTGGGCGGCACCACGACATCAATCGCCGCTTTAGAACCCCCTTCACTACCACTCACATACATGATCTTCTGCAGATTGGTAAGCAGCATCGTCTGTATGGCCAGGAACCTCGATGGCATATTGGTAATGGTGATCTCCTTGCGCTCCATGTCACGAGTCCAATCTTCCAGCACTTTGAGATTCTCCGCGTCAGTGTTCCATGCCGCACAGACGGCCTGGACACAGCGCTCGCGCACCACGCCTACCAGGAGTTTCATGGCGTCGTCGATGCGCGATTGCGGGTTCGTCTCCGGTAGTCGTAGAGAAGCCATCTCATTGGCAGCAGATCCGATGAGTAGGAGCGTTTTTGACAGGTAGTGGGAGCCAGAGATCGCATTGGAATGGGGCGCCCAGAATGCATACTTCTCCCAGGTCTCCCCTCGACGAGGTGACGGAGGTGGGACGTTATTAGGATCGAAGCGGAACCGCGTGGTTGTCGTTGGTGTCAGAGCGGCACTCATTGGCGACCGTGGAGTTGTGGGTGTAGGAGTCGTAGGCAGCGGAGAGAAAAGAAGCGAGATATCCTCGATAGGAGGATCTGAGAAGAAACTGAGAAGGTTTTCGCGAATAATGTTGACGAGCTCTGCAGCGCCTTGTTCAAGTTCGGACACATTGCTGCTGGAGAGTTTATGATGGACAGACGACTGGTTGTTGAACCCTATGGGAAGTCCGCGTTGCGCTCTGCCATTGATGAATGATGTAGCAATTTCCCAGTATTCGACAAGTTCCCCAAGAAGCCCGCCATTCGACGAAAGAAGAGCACCCAAACAAGCGTTCACATGCTCCCAAAACTCAATCACCTTTGGCGTATCAAGCTTGCTTGGGTCTAAGACGATGCTGTTGTTTGTTGGTACCGATCGCAAATGTCGTGAAATCAGTCTCAGATTGGGCTTCTCCGAATTGCCCAGGTGCCTCCTTAAGATCTCAATCTCAACCTTCGAACGTTCACAGGTTGCTACGAGCCGCGACTTGAGGTACTCATATCGCGACAAGAGCCAAACCCAGATGGGGTTGTCTTCAACTCCAAGCTCCAGCATGATGGATATAAGCTCCATGTATTGCTCCGACTTCGCTTCCTCGGACCCTGACCGCAGTTTCGTGAAATGGGCGCTTGTGAGCCTTTTCCAGCAGTCTCGCTTGAACGCTTCAATCTGATTTTCAACATCAGACCACATGCGCGCGGTAACGACAATCTGATGGACCTGCGAATCCGCCAAAGGTGACCGGTTATACGTCGCCTGGGTGACAATATATCTCGCCTCTTCCGCATACTTCCGCGCGCGACCATATTCTTCAACTATATTCTCATGATCCTTTCGTCGAATCGCATCCTGCAGCGCAGAACCCACTTCAAACAACCCGCGGTGCTTATCAACAGACGCTAGTATAGCCTGCAAGGTCTCTTCTTTTTCGCGACTGTTTATCGCCGGGCCCCATACTTCTTCGGCTTTGGCGGCGACTTCGGTAAGCGGCACCTTGATACCATGGACACCGTATTCGCTCTCTTTTACCAGAGCATTCTTCCTCTTCCTCTCGCTCGGCGCAGGCTCCAAAGTCGCCGGTCCGCTAACCCCAGACGAACTCGCTTTCCTTGAAGAAAAGCTCGAGCGGCTAGGGCCGCGGGTATGCCGCCGTGGTGGTGGAGATTCTGGCTCCTTGCCCACCTGCCGCATCTCATTGTACACTCGGTCGATCGTCGCTTTGGCGGAGACGAAGCGCTCGAAGTTTGATTCCACCAGGACTTTGAGGGACGCGGATTTCTTCTCAATGGAGCGGGAAAGGAAGTCGAGGCCGGAGAGGAGAGAGTCGGTCGAGGCATCACGGTGGACCTGCGAGAGGAAGAGAGAGGGGGAGAAGGTGGTCGAGCTCAGGAGGAAGCGGTTCCCTGGTGTGATTGCATGAGCATCGGCCGTGAAAAAAAGGCACAGAGGCAGACCCACTCAACCGTATATCATCCTCCACAGGCAGCCCCTTCTGTCGCAAGACCTGGACAACACTGGGGTAGGTTCCCAGCGGATCGCTCTCGTCCTTCTGCACCAGATTCTCAACGCCATCCCTCGACTTCTCCGCACCCGGGAGCTTCCGCTGATAGCTACTTGTGCTTTCCAGCACGGAGAATCGCGATCTGGAGGCGCGGCGCATAGGCAGCGTCGTGGTCTCGGTTGAGACATCTCCCTCCTCATCATCAGAATCGACGTCCTTCTCCGCAGGCCATTGAGCGGGAAATAGGGAGGGTATGTTGTATTTGTTCAGCAGCTTCGTCTCCACGGATTCCATCGTGGCGGCTTGCCGCCTACACAGGCGCGTCGAGGTTCTGGGGATCTCCAACGCCGCGTTTGGTGGAGACCGTGATAACTATGGTTGAAGGTCAGACCATCGCCCAATCAGGTATAGTCTTGGCATTAGTACCTAGGTATTTTCGTACCTGTGTCAACATCATGGGGATACGGAGGATATTTCTGCGTTAGAGTAGCCTAGGGGCATTTGCTAGCAGTTGATGCTCGCATTTCAAATTGCGAAATACATTCCCAGCGAGGTTAATAAAGTGTACCAACATCAGTTGAAATGACTGCCATCATGATGGTTTAATGGTGATGGGTGATAAATATACATTCATATGTTCTGGAGCACATATGTTTCCTAGACGTAATCCTATTCCGTTGACGTAGGGTCTCCTACTGCACTATTTTCCGTCTCCTGGTGGCTCGTCCACCAGCCCGCACGCCAGCAGCAACCTTTTGCGCTTCACGTTTGCCCTGCCTGCCATCACACCCGCCTACCACTCTGTTCAACTCAGCAGGACTACCTGCTGAAACCTCCCTGTGAGGAACGGGCGAGTTAGTGGTGGGTGTCGGAGCAACATCTAGCTTGTTGCCGCTCTCGTGCCCTCGGAGTTGGTTCTTATCCAGGAGCCTCGGGTCCATCATGCTCTCGTCCACGGCCTCCTGCGGTTGTGGATATGGACGATTGCAAGTATATCTCGGAAATGCTGGATACATATCATAGCCGTGCTGGTCTTGAAGAGCTGTAGACCAGTTCGTATGAGGTTTCCCTCCTCCCACAGGTGCCATGGTTGGTCGAGCATGGTGAGAGATCCAGTTTGGAAATGTTGCCATGTTCATCACGTTTCCACCGTGTAGATTTCCAGTATATAGTATGTGACTCGGCGCATAAGAAGGAGTCGCTGCCGGCGCTTGCGGTGAGGGAGCATGGCCATAGTACTGGCCGCTGCTTTTCAAGTGAGCAGGCGGAGAACCATGATCTGGAAGTGAGTGCACCGGCCTCGGCCCCTCTTGGAACAAGTGAGCCTGGGGATCAGGGTAGTTGTGGTTGGACGCCCCATTGGAATGAGGAGGTGGACCAGAGTCTACCAAATTCGCATGAACAGTCGATGAGAGGCCATTTCCCGCTCCAGGTCCATTGAAGTGGCCTTGAGATGAGAAATGCATCAAGGCTCCGTGAGCGGCGTCGGCAGGGCAACTTACGCAGCTGACGCCGGGACCGCGCGAGGGATATTCTATGGGCCGATTCGACGAGGTTTGCCAACCGCCAGCCGGATGCTGCACCTTTCGCTGCGGAGAGGGTATAGTAGAGGGTCGTGGCTGATAAAAGTCGCCAGCAGAATTTGCGGGTGAGTATTTTCGACTGGCCGGAAACGCAGTTCCTTGAAGGGGAACTGGTTCATTCATAGCCGACAGCGAGGAACCTTGGTAAGCTGATATTGCTTGGACGGAAACCGATTGATCTGATGTTGTCGGGTTAGCGGCTCTCCGCACGGCTCTCAATCGCTGAGGATCCGCTTTAGCGACTTGTACTGGTGAACGCTTCCGATCGTAACTCGCAATGTTCGCATGCGGCATCGCACGGGTCACGGACTGGTTTCCTTGGTTCGGAAGAAGCGAGACACCTGGCGGGCATGCCTTTCCAGGCTCTGCAGGGGACCTGTTCGACGCTGGAGTGCATTCCATTGCATTTATCCCATTTTCTGATCCTGAGGTAGCGTGGCCTTGTTCCTGATGAGAGCTCCTCGTCTGCGCTTGTTGCAAAGCCGAGCGGTGGTGTTCCGTCACCATCTGCCTATAATTGGCGCGAGCCTCCGGGGTACGAACGGACGGCATCGAAGCTGCACTACACATCGGCTTTTCAGGGATCTTGGCTGTATTATACGGAGAAAGCGAGGGAGTGGGTATGCTCCCAGGGACCGTTGGAGTCGTGACACATTTGACTTTCGGCCCAGATTTTGGACTATTGGAGTCCAGTGCCGGCTCGTCCCGTGCCTGTTGTTGAGGGTGTGATCTAAAGGAACTACGGCTTGGGAAACCCAACTGGCCGTCGCGGGGCGCATCTTCCGTCGTCGCCATATGGGGGTGTATTAGGGACGCCTGGGGGAGCGTTCTTTCCTTTCGAGATGAATTGAGGGCTTGATTTCCAGTAGAAGAGCGTCTGAAAGAAGGAGGGGTTCGAGAAGCTGATTCCCCAATCTGGTTCAATGTATCGCCAGACGCAGCTGACTTCAGGCCGCCCACGAGCCGATGTTCCTCATTCTTGGTACGCGGTTCAACATGTGTAGCATTCTTCTGGAATGAGGGAAGAATATGTGGAGTGTCCGCAGCATGATCTTGGCCTTCACCGGCACGCTTACTGCCCGGATTGACCAGACGTTCTCCAACGATTTCGACATCTTCCACTGGGGCACCGCTCGCGACCTGACGATCCAAAAGTGAACATTCCTCTTTCGATGTTCGGACTGTTGGGGAAGGTCTCAAGGGCGGATTGCATTGCTGATCTTTGGGGGTATCTCGAGCCTCGATCCTATCCTTCAGCTCCGACCCCGAAGGGTTGCGACCGCTCACAGCACACGGAAAAGGACGAATTGATTCCGACAATAGCTGCGGAAGCATTAGATCCTTCCATTCGCCAAGAAGGCTTATTGGGAGATGGTTCTCCAGAAGATAAATGCATGCTACGAGAAGCCCGCCCGGATGAGGAAAATCGGGATCGATGACTTCATTCTGGTCAGAGCTCTCAGGTAGAGCCAAGTGGATCGCAGAATCATCTTTCCCCTGTTTGTATCTGGAAAGGTGGTGCGCTCTACATTTTTCCTGTAGGCGTCTGCGCTCCTGTTTCTCGTCATCTTTCATCGTATTATCGGCGTTCTCGTCCAAGATGTCGTGCAGCTCCTTGTCATCAACACCGAGAAGGGCCTTGACTGCTAGAAAGCCCCCTCCAGGGAAGCATACCATAGCTTCTTGCACAATCTCATCTATGATCTTCTGTCGCAATGACCAGTAAAGGTCCCTGAAATGAATCTAACTCGAGTTAGCCTATGGTCGTATACCAATGCCAGAAATCAAAGCCTTACGGTACGAGCGCCGATGCCGAAGCGGTTCCGCAACACCCTTTCCAGGTGTCGTATCAAATCTGAGGCAGATTGTGGGCCTCCCAGATCCGGAAGCTGAGTTGCAGAGATCTGTAACTCCCGAGCATTTCTCCGGTCGATGTCCTTATAACTAGCGACGCGCGCTTCGTCGTCCTTGCCGAAACGTTGCAATATGAGCATAGCGATGCAATGTTGACTGGCTTCAACACGATCTTCGAGCGTTTCGCCGGGATCGAGCGTAGGAAAGGGCGCCGGCAGCAGAAGAAGCATTTCGCGCTGTTTTTCATCGGGCGGCGAAGGTACTCGATCAGGACGTCTGCCTCTGGGGGGTGCCATGGTGCGGACGTTGGTGCCACGGCGCGAGCGAGACTGCGGTTCTCCGGGGTCGTCGTTTGACTCTAGACCTAGATCAATGTACGACCCGTTGCCTTGATAGGCCAGAGGGGCGCGCCTCTCCGTTGCGTCGCGGAGTCGCATGCAACTGGCCACGGGAATGTGGGTTGTGCAGGGATAAGATAAATATGTGAGAGCAGAAAAGGTTCCGGATAGCAGCCCGTAGTGTCGATGGGGGGTTGTGCTGATGTGGATTCGTTCATGCGCGGCGGGTTGTGTTGAGTTGCCCAGGCGGCTGCGGGAAGAGAGAGAGACAGAGAGAGTGGAGGTATGTGAAAGGCGCAGGCACGACCATCCGCTGCCCCCGGCGCGCCTTCCACACGGAGCCAGACCGCCTCCTCTCACTTTCACTCATGCAAACTCGCCGCGCTTTCAGATTGTTGTAACCATACCTAGGTATCTACTGAGGCCGCCCAGGTCGGCGGCAGTCGCCGGGCCTACATCAAAGTCAGATTTGACTGCGCCTACCAGGCAGCACAATGAGCTAGCGAAAAGACGGGATGGAGTTCATGACGTTGACTTTTGTAGATTTCAGATATTACGGAGAAGAACTAAGACGAGAGTAATCCATGAGAAGGGTGACATTACCAGTCTATACCCGTCTGCGTCCAAACATGCAGAAGATGCCATGCATGACCCCAACTCCGCCATATGTTGTCTCCCGCTAGGAATATAGCAACCGCGCAATGCATACCCGAGGGAGCGACAACATGGCCGCTGCGCCGTTGATGTGCCCAACTCTCCCTCTCTCAGCCATCGCTGAAAGGCACAATTGACCTCCCGCTAAAGCGTTGGACATCGTCGAGATCCATGCCATCCTCCATGTCGACATCTTCGTCGTCCATCGTGTCTCGAATCGTCCTCTTGTGATGTGCTGAAGATGCAGATTGGTGTGGCTGCCCTTTGGGAGAGCGTGGAGACTGTGGCATGGTCGTGCGTGAGCCGAAGACAGTTCGTCGGGCTTGAATAATGTCCCAGTACGACCGAAGGCTGGTCTTGATGCTGTCGGTGAAAAAGACGCAGAAGCGCTGCGATTGGCAGAGGTTCATGGCTCTGAGGAAATCGAAATCGTCCAGTATCTCCATCAAATATGCTGCCACAACAGCCGCCGACTGTTCATTCCCAGACTCGCAAAACACAAGCACACGCCCAAGCCGCGGATTCGGGGTGGACGCTGTGAGACGCTGGATCTCTGCAACGTGTCGGGTGATGATCCTGGTAGCACGGGGAAAGGCCCGAATGAGGGCAGGACTGTCTGGTACTTCGATGGTCGCAACTTCATGGCAGACCTGCCGCCCAGCTTGAATAGCAGTCTTCATTGCATTTTCATTCGTCCGGACGGCCAATGTCATGGTTATGCCTTCGCGCATGAGATAAGTCGAGTCTTTGGCCGCATTGACAGGACCGAGATATAGCCACGGAAGGATTGCTTGTGCTTCCCTCCGCTGCGCGTATTTCCAGGCAAGGACGGGGTTACTTTGCATGCCTTCAGTCAAGTTGAAGTCCTTGAGGAAGCTTGTATCGATGGGCTCCTCCTCGGCCGTGTCATTATGGGCCTCGCGGACCTGCAAACTCCGTATCTCACTTGCGGACGACGGTGGGGGGACGACAACCCGAGGAGGAGTGGGAAGCCGATAGCTGTAGGCGTATTGGCGCTTGTGTGTAGCCGAGAGATCCGAAATGGTTGCGTCCATACTACGTGCGGATGCCTTCGACTATTGGTTGAGGTGTTGGGGCAGCTGTGGCGAGCGGGGGTTGAGCTTTTCGCTATGCGGGAAGGAATTTGTGCAGCGGGCGGTGTCTTGTGGAGGCAGCAATAATATGTCCGGTCATCTGTTGAGGGCGTGATGTAGAGGGGCAGTCCACTACTTCCGGTCCCAAAGTAGACACCTGCAGTGGTGTCGGAATACTGCTCAGACTTTTGCTAACACACCGTTAGTGGGAAGTATTGGCCTCGGGAAGGTAGCATCAAATGCTCTCATGGTTTCAAGCGCAGCGGTAGTCCGGCGGGGGAGCGCGGGGCAGTCAACCATGACGAGAGGTGAGTGAAAGATGTGAAAGACGAGGGCAGGGTCTCAGGTACGTTGAGATGGTCGCGGGTTCCTGCAGGGCATCCCTGCTAGAGCTAGAAATATCACGTGCCGCGTCCTTTACCCCTGCTCCGTGAACTCCATCCTACATTGAATGGCCGATGATGTCGTTTGAAAGGACTGTTCCAGATATTTCAGGCGCTAATCAATATTTTGGTAACACTTGCCCAATATTTCCGTCCTCGTGATAAGATGGAGGTTGAACTTGACAAGTGCAGAGCATACTGTACAGCTTCATGATCTGGGAGGGTTCTAGTCTTGACCATGGTCTGCGGGACTCTACGAGAATCTGCTGCGCACGCCGATTGACTCCCAAGGCGGGATTGCCTTAGGAGAGAAACAATACGAGCTATACCTTACAGTGGTTACAGTATATACCTGGGTACTTAGGTATTCCCTCCAGGACTGCCCATAGCCATTATCGCGCTAACCGCATTCGGACGATAACCTTGCACGGTCTTTAAACAGAACCTTGGAGCATTCACTAGTTATCCGGATGGTGCTGCTGACAGCACAAGGCCGTTTTGAATACTCCGTATCAGTTGTTTCCAATACCCGGCCTTTTGTCGCCAACCTCCAATGGCAAAATGCTTGTGAACAAGCACTGGTTACTACTTCCAGAACTCAAATGCCAAACATGACGTTCTTCCGCGCGCTTGGCAGATGACATCGCCACCTGGAACTGAACCGGGATCTAGCGGGACCTCTTCGGTCGGGAGCTTGCATAGCAACTCGCGCATCTTCCATTCCAATGGTCTGTATGATTTGACACCAATTGGCCTCTACGGGGTTAGATAGCGGCCTTCGAGGCAACTTCCTCGCGTCTTTCGTTTTCACCTGCACCACTCCATTTGGAGCTGATGCATGGCGGGCCTGACCAGAGCGAGACACATCGGACAGCAGCTTCGGCTGCGCGGGCGGTATCAAAGGTAAGCTTAGAATATTTGTCAGTTGATCGAGTACTCCGGTGTCTGACGTAGAACAGGCTGTTCTCCAGTGCTTCTGGCCCCCGTCCGCGCAGCTTTGCGCTTCGCTATGGTTCTCCCTGCCTTATTGCCGCCGCGGCTCTCGGCGTTGTATGCTCCCCGCAATTCGCCCTCAAACGATTGATCCATAACGATGCGCCCAAAGGCACGGCTTCATGGTTCTCGGGAAGTGATCTACAAGCCGACACTTCAATAAGTGCCGAAGAGGCGGAAGAGAAGCTCAAGGAATCCGAAAATGGCAATGGCAGTGGACAGCAAGAACCACCCCCTCAATCTACGGTCGCGGAGGAGGAGAATGACAACGAGGATGAGAGCTCCCCTTGGTATAGCTTCACGACTGGGTTGTTCAGCGCCTCGACCTCTCTGAGCTCGCTCTCCTCTCTTGGTGACACACTGGCGGACTACGTGATTCCAAAATGGGCGAAGCTGCTCCCAGCTCTCGTCACGAAGCTCCAGAACGAGCTCTCCGCCGCGCCAGGGACTCTAGCAGAAGAGATATGGTACGAGGCCAACAACCCCGAATGCCACCCGGAAATCATATGGGACGCAACTGTCCGGGTATCGAACGACCTCTGTCAGGAGGAAAAGAACTACCTTCAAAAGAGAAAGCTATTCACTCGAAGGGCGCTCGCGCGATATCTAGATATTCCAGAGGAGAAGATACATCCCGACGACGTACCAGTTATTGCGATGTGTGGCTCTGGAGGGGGCTTGCGTGCTCTGGTCGCGGGCACATCGTCATATCTCTCAGCCAGAGAGCATGGCCTGTTTGACTGCTTGACATACACCGCTGGCGTGAGTGGCAGCTGCTGGCTCCAAACTCTCTTCTACTCCAACATCGCAGAACAAAGCCATAGACGGTTGATCCGACATCTCAAGAACCGCCTCGGCGTGCACATTGCATACCCACCTGATGCGCTAGAACTCCTAGCTAGCGCCCCAACAAACAAATTTCTATTGGCTGGTCTCATTGAGAAAGCAAGAGGCGTTCCGGACGCGGAATTCGGCATCGTTGATATCTACGGTCTTCTCCTTGCCGCAAGACTGCTGGTTCCGAAGGGGGAGCTTTCTGTCGACGAATATGACTTCAAACTATCTCATCAGCGGCGGTATACAGACGATGGCTCTAATCCGCTGCCTATCTATACCGCTGTCCGCCATGAGATACCGCTCGTGGAGCAAATCGACATGCAAGACCCAGTGATAGCAAAGGCCAAGGCTAAGAAGGAGCAATGGTTTCAATGGTTCGAGTGAGTTCAGATCCTTCCTCAGTCCTACAACAAACCGCTAACCCTTCTAAAGATTCACTCCCTACGAATTCTGGTGCGAAGAAATCGAAGCCGGCATCCCCACGTGGGCCCTCGGCCGTAAGTTCATCAATGGCCGCACCCTCTGGCGCGAAAATGGGCTCGCCCTTCCCGAACTTCGCGTCCCGCAACTGATGGGCATCTGGGGCAGTGCCTTCTGCGCCACCCTCTCGCACTACTACAAAGAAGTCCGCCCCGCGGTCAAAGGATTAACAGGTTTTACAAGCTTGGACGACATGATCGCGGGGAGGGACGATGATCTAGTGAAGTTGCACCCCATCAATCCCGCGAGTATACCAAACTTTGCGTACGGGATGAAGGATCATCTTCCCTCGACGTGTCCGGAGAGTATGTATGATGCACCGAATTTGCAACTCATGGATGCGGGGATGAGCAATAATCTGCCCATCTACCCGCTCCTCCGACCGGGCAGAAACGTCGATATATTGATCGCCTTTGACGCCTCGGCGGACGTCAAAACAGACAACTGGCTCAAAGTCACCGAGGGCTACGCCCGCCAGCGCGGCATCAAAGGCTGGCCCGTCGGCGCCGGCTGGCCCCCAGAAGAGGAGACAATGGAAGAGATTCAGCAGGATCTCGAGAGAGCGCAGGCGAAGTCGGAGGAGCAGGCAGAGCAAAAGGTCCAGGACGCCAAAGACCAGGAGAGGCAGTTACCGAGACGAAAAGACAATCCTAAGGAACTCTCCTACTGCAATATCTGGGTTGGCACGACCGAAGAGCGGAAAACGGATGACGAGCCCCCACCTTCCAAACAGGTTGCAGACGACGAAGACTGGGAGCTTATGTCGCCGGACGCCGGCATAACAGTCATCTACTTCCCATTCCTCGCGAATCCAAAGGTCGAGGGTGTGGATCCTAAGACGTCGGATTTCATGAGCACGTGGAACTTTGTATACACGCCGGAGCAGATTGATTCGGTAGTTGAGCTGGCGAGGACGAATTTTCAGGAGGGGGCGGAGAGGACGAAGAGGACGGTACGAGCCGTGTATGAGAGGAAGAAGCGGATCCGGGAACTAAGAGAGGAGGAAGAGAGGGAGAGGAGGAGGAGATGGATGCTGAGGCAAGGGAGAGCCGGAGGCAGAAGGATTGGAGAGGGTGATCACGGTGACCATTTCAGTTGAGCTCTGCGAGAAAGGGAGTTGCTAGTGGCTTGGTGTTGTAGAAGGCGCAGTTTAGATACCCATTGCATTAAGTTCTCAGCAAACACCTATGTATGTTTATCGAGCTTAGTTCGAGGAATGCTTATTAACCTTTGTCCACTGACGTTTAAATCGCGGTGAAACGATCATCCGGAGACCGAGCAAGTGGTTGCGAACTTGCGGGGGAGCTCTTCGCCAAGCCAGGGAAAGGAATTCCAGGCTAGAGGTCGTTCCGCGGCAACATTGCGCCAGACTCCCGCGCACTATAGCTCTTGTTAGATGGGGGTCTAACAAAGCTTCGAATCACTCCGAATACATACATCTTCAACATACAATGCTCTCTCTGACAATACTCCTCCAAACATAGCACTTGGGAACGACGTTTCGGCGCCATTACCATCAGATAGCGAGCCGAACCGGACCTTGACGTGTACCAGCCCAACGCTACCGCTGTGAGGAAACAATGGCAGTGCCACGGAAAGGCTCATATGCGGAGGAGAGTGCGGAGGTGGAGGTTTTATTCGCAAACATGGAGAAGATGCAGAGCCTGACGAAGAAGATTCAAGGTTCTCTCAACAGGTTGGATGCCAGTGGTCAGACCGTGAAGGAAGCCTTGGGTCCCATATATGGAAACACACAAAGGCTGCAGGTTACAGACAAGAGTACGAATCACGGTTGTACTGGCACGCCGTAGCTGACTAGTCTCCCAGATATTGATCGTGTCATCGAAGCAATTGAGCGGCTACAAGCTCCGAGAGATCAGTCTAATAGGGAAGAACGTATCATTCGGGCTGGGTATGTAACCCACATCTCGGATTTAGCTGCCCCGTCTAACATTGATTCAGCCCCCGTAATGGTGACCTACGAGACTACATTGCGTCTTTTGACCGTTCCACGGAAACCCTCGCCGAGCTCAAACGTTCTAACCTGCGCGCGAACCAACAAGCTATATCTGAACTCAGTGCATTGGTCAATCTGGGGACCAAGCAGCTGGAGGATGTGTTCCGCGACCTTCTTCGGGACGAGTCTTCACGCCCAGTAGACCCTCTGGAATTTGTTGCCAAAAGTAGGATCCTGTAGAGCCCAAAACGGTGCTCATTGCTGACCGAGCGACAGACAATCCGTTCCCACTCCTCACGCCCGAAAGTATATCGACATTACGACTTATCCACAGACACATCACCGCTTCAATTGCCCAAATTTCGAACAAAGAAGCTCGAGAGTCGCCCACCGCAAGGATCTATGCTGAGATTAGAGGAGATCATATTATGAACTCGCTACGGACTTTGGCCGCAGCTACACTCAGTACAGCACGGAAAATTGCACCAGACGCCATTTACAAGCAAGGCACGAACGGCATAGGCATGTATGCCCAGGCTCTAGAAGGTCTGATTGTTGCCGAGTACCAGAGTTTGAGCGACATCTTCCCGCGAGACGACTGGGGACCAGTCCTCACGTCGACATGCCAGGCCGCGCTATCCGAATTCAGTAAAACCTTGCGGGATCTAAACGGACACATTCAAAGGAATCTGATGACTGACTGTTTCTTGGGTTATGAGATTGTGGGCATAGTGAGCGGGCTCTCCCTTCAACTTGAGACGAAAACGGGCGCCCTCAAGCAAACGATATCCGAATCAGTGAAACCTATAAGGGAGACGTCGAAGGCTTCTTTAAGCAAACTTCTGGAAGACACCAGGACGCGCGTGCAATCACTGGTAGCTCTACCAACGGATGGCGCGTCCGTCCCGGTCACAACTGATACTATGACCCGGTTACAGACGATGACGAACTACCTCTCACCGCTCTCTTCCATTCTAGTCTCGTTAGGGCCTGGTGGGTGGAATCCTTCCAACGGAAATTCGGCATCGACATCATTCGACGTCGGCGTTGATGGAAAGGGACTCTTCATCGACTATGCGGCGGACACCATCGATACCCTGCTTCAAAATCTGGAGAACAAAGCAAGGAGCCTGCTGAAGGGTAGACCGTTGCAAGGAGTTTTCCTTGCCAACAATATCGCCATCATTGTCAGAATGATCCAGTCGTCGGATCTGCAGCCGTTACTCCCCGCACTCGACAAGAAGATTGGGAAATGGCGTAAGGAGGCGTCGCAAATGTATGTGGACGCATGGCGCGAACCGTCTCGCCACCTGCTGGATGTGCAGTATACGAATCGCAGCGGGCGGCCGCATTCGGGGGGCGGAGGGGTGGACTCTGCGGCCATTGTCAAGGCGCTCGGCTCAAAGGAGAAAGACGCCATCAAGGAGAAATTCAAGAACTTCAACACCAGCTTCGACGAGCTCATTGCGCGGCATAAGACATACAAGATGGAGCGGGAGGTACGATCGCAGTTTGGGCGAGAGGTGCAAGGCATTCTCGAACCGCTATATGGGCGGTTCTGGGACAAATACCACGAAATTGACAAGGGGAAGGGGAAGTATGTCAAGTATGACAAGACCACTTTTGGGTCGACGCTGGCCAGTCTGGCTTGAGATGGTTCATGCGGCGTTTGGAGTTGTTCATGCAGGATACCCGCTGGATTTGAGCATTTACTTAGGATGGCCGGCATTGCTTTGAAGGGACTCGGTCATTGGATGCAGGAAATGCCATGGGTGTCTCCCTGCTGTTGATCCTTGGTGGTTGTTACATGCCCAGGTGCACAGCGCTGTGTTGTGACATGATACATCACAGGAGCTGGGTTTCCTGGAGGGCAGTACATCTGGACCTCTATAACCTCAGGAGTTAAGAAATACCGGAAAGACTTGGGCGCTCGCTAGGTAATAGTCACAATAGATAGTGACCTTATCGGTATAACCTTCCAAGGTTGGTGGAATATAGGTGGAATGGTAGATAAACACGTGACGCCTTCCCAATCGGGCGACGCGATTTCTCTGGTGCAGGTGCAGTGCGCTGGCGACAGGAGCTGCCAACGACAACAAAATTCCCTGCCACACACCGTGGAGCCGTCAACTCGCCCCACCGTGTCATCTCTCGTTTTTAGACTACGCCTGCAGCTCTGCGTTCTGCTGCATTCATTCTTCTTGAATATTTTACTGCGTCTCAGCTGTGGACGCGCTGCACGTCGGAGAATTCGCCGTCCGAGCGCCCTCTTCTCGTCAACCTGGCGGCTCCCAATCTGATCCCGGCCAACGGACCCCTTTCCACCTGCGACCTTCGCTGGACAACCACGCCCAACTCTGTCCTTCATCACTGCCTCCCGCGCACTCCACTCCGCGCAATTCTCGTCGCTCGCTCGCCGCTTCTCAAGACTCTGTCTGAGAGTACTTTCACTTTGCAGGAAGCACCTCTTGCATTTTCTGGTACGCCGCATCCCAGTCCGTCTCCATGTTACTTTCCTCCGCATGGGGGTCGATCCTGGCGCCTCCATATTGTTTTGGCATCGACAACCCGCCATATCCTCATCGAGCACTTCTGAATCGAGTAGCTGCCGCTGACTTCGTTGCTATAGCCGTTTTCCCTTCCTTTCCTCCCGACCACGTCTTCTGATTTACTCGCGCCATGGGTAAGGACCCCCCTGGACAAATATTCTGAGACGAACCCGCACACTCTCTGCTACCACCCTCTTCTGCACTTCAAAGAATAGCATTAGTTCCTATAATCATGAGAGGAGTGCAATTGGATGCGGAGGAGGTGTTGGCCGGTTCAGAGGCCTCTCCTGCTATCTCGATTCATCGCTAACTGCCTCTTCCCAGCTACCAACGGCGCCGCACCCGTTCCCGCGCATGCCTCACCCTCTCCCCCAGCGACCATGGACGGCCAACCCCTCACCGACCGTAGCTTTACCCCGTCGTCTAACGGACGCTCCCAACCTCCCCAGACGATCTCCTCCAAGGATCCCAAGATTGCAGCCCAGGCTGCTACCGATATGAGGAACATCGTTCGCCGTAAGCTCACTGGATATGTCGGGTTCGCAAACCTTCCGAACCAATGGCATCGGAAGAGCGTGCGCAAGGGATTCAACTTCAATGTCATGGTTGTCGGTATGTGTTTTGTGATCATCTTTGCGTGGAACCGCCTGACAGTAGCGTAGGTGAGTCTGGACTCGGAAAGTCTACGCTTGTGAACACTCTCTTCAATACCTCGCTGTACCCGCCGAAGGAGCGCAAGCCCCCGAGCCTGGACATTTCCAAGACTGTCTCGATACAATCCATCAGCGCCGACATTGAGGAGAACGGCGTCCGCCTGCGATTGACCGTAGTTGACACCCCTGGCTTCGGCGATTTCATTAACAACGACGAATCCTGGGACCCCATTGTTAAGAACATCGAGCAGAGGTTCGATGCCTATCTCGAGGCGGAGAACAAGGTCAACCGCATGAACATTGTTGACAACCGCATTCATGCCGTGGTCTACTTCATCCAGCCCACTGGCCACTCCCTCAAGCCTCTGGATGTTGAGGTCATGAAGAAGTTGCACACCAAGGTCAACCTCATTCCTGTCATTGCCAAGGCTGACACCTTGACGGATGAGGAGATCAACGCTTTCAAGCAGCGAGTAAGTACAAGTGAGAAACTGCTGCCCACGCCCTGGCTGACTCCGGCAGATTCTCGCGGACATCAATTACCACCAGATCCAGATCTTTGAAGGCCCACGATATGAACTTGATGACGAGGAGACGATCGCCGAGAACAACGAGATTATGTCCAGGGTACCCTTCGCTGTGGTGGGTGCCAACACCGAGGTCGCCACCCCTGATGGACGCAAGGTCCGCGGTCGCCGTTACCCATGGGGCGTCATCGAGGTGGACAACGAGGAGCACTGCGACTTTGTCAAGCTGCGCCAGATGCTGATCCGCACCCACATGGAGGAGCTCAAGGAGAACACGAACAACTTCCTGTACGAGAACTATCGCTCCGAGAAGCTGACTGCCATGGGCGTCCAGCAAGACTCGAGCGTGTTCAAGGAGGTCAACCCGGCCGTCAAGCAGGAGGAGGAGCGCTCGCTGCACGAGCAGAAGCTGCAGAAGATGGAAATCGAGATGAAGATGGTGTTCCAGCAGAAGGTGGCAGAAAAGGAGAGCAAGCTCCGACAAAGCGAGGAAGAGCTGTACGCTCGCCATCGGGAGATGAAGGAGCAGCTGGACAGACAACGCCAGGAGCTGGAGGAGAAGAAGGCGCGGATCGAGCAGGGAAGGCCGCTGGAAGAGAAGGGCAAGAGGAAGGGATTCTCCCTTCGTTGAGGCGGAGGCTGATCCGGAGCGTGTGGTGCGTCTATACCCCTTTTTGGTCGAGGCTCGGATCAGAAAAGCTTTCCACTTCTCTCCTTTCTCCTTTAATTCAACGCGGACGGATACACCACTGGGTGGTGGGTAGGTGGTGGGTAATACACGACGGCACAGATGGTGGTTGGACCCAGAGACCGAGGGCAGGATCCGGCTGTTCAGCCTGCTTCGGTCGTTGGGTAGGCCAGCAGCATTTGCACTCTTTTCACTTTTCTTTTCCTTCATTTTCGACTAGTACGTTTTCATTGATTAGTTAGTAGTAGGAGGGGGGAGGTAGTGATTGTGTTTGGAGCGAAGTGGGCGAGAGCTGCTGGGAGTTGCTTTCATGTACTCTACAGGTCATACTACTAGTAAAGCGGTTTTCATTTGTCGAGAAGCGTGACCGGTGCATGGTCAATTCGACTTGGATCTATGAGGAGTGTGTCTACACCTGTTCAGTAGTGAGACCACTCTTTCACGCGAGCATTTTGGAGAGCTGCTGACAAAGCGGTGGTCCAATCACCCAACCTCGTCATCGGGTCTGTGCGTCAGCGGCACCAACTTGTCCCTGCACCAGCGAGGCCGCGAGTTTGCATTTCGTCACCAGCAAACGCCTCGAACTCCAAGCTTGCTTGTCTTCTCTCCCACTTCTCTCTCCCCTTCTTCTCCATCTGTCTCACTATCCCAAACCGCATTACAGTCTTCTGCTGCAGTCATCCTTTGCAGCTCTCTGAATCCTTTCTGTAAGTCCCTTAGATTTGTCTTCCTGCACATGCCCACACGAGCGAGCTTGGACTCGCCTTGTCCAGCTCAATCCACCCACTCCATGTCATCTGCCAGCCGGCAATGGTCAAGCTGTACAATGTACGGGGGCTTCCCTGAGGCTTGAGCGAGGATATAGCAGTATTTGATGTAGCTGGTGGGAGCATCAAAGAGTGAGGAGCTTCATCAGACAGCCTCGGACGACGAGCCCCGCCCAGCCACCCGCGTAGTTGCCAGTTGGCTCCTCCTCCATCCTCCGCAACCTCATCACAATTCAAACAGCACGACCACTCTCGAATTACGCTCACAGCTTGTCATTTCCGGCTGTAACAGCGAGTCGCTAACGAGATCAGTTTCCGCGTCCCGCCTACAACACCTCGAAGTCAGCTCCGCCCGACTATGGCCCCTCCTCCGCCCGCTTCGCTTCCCTTGGGGCAGCGCCTTGCTGCCCTCGCGCAAACGCTGCAATTCGCATGGTTTACGGGTCATGTGTTCCTGCTTTTGGCTACTCTCCGCTACAGCGTGTCGTACATAACCTTCAATTCGGGATCCAGATGGGCCGCCTTCTCATACCGTCTCGCCTTCGTCTCGGCGACGCTCACCTACGGAATCGTGGTGTATAAGGCTTATCGCGCTCGTCTGAGGGCTAACAAGCCCACTGGTGTGATTTCGCTGGCGGCGGACGAGAATGTGCAATATCTCAGTAAGCTCAAGAAGAAGTTCTGGGTCCCCATATATGCTGACGTGCTATCCCAGTCATGGCATTGGTCTGGCTTTTCTCTCGCCAGATCCCGCTCGCGATTCTGCCGTTCGCTGTCTACTCCATCTTCCACGTGCTTACCTACGTACGCACCAACCTGCTTCCCATTTTCCAGCCGCAGCCCGCCTCCCAGCAAGCAGGAGCTAAGCCCCAACAATCCGCCCTCGCAACCACAATCATCAACTTTGTCAAGGAATACTACGATGGCTCCATGACCCTCGTCTCCATTCTCGAAATCGCCCTGTGGTTCCGCGTCCTCGGCTCCGCTCTGCTGTTCCAGAAGGGCTCCTGGATCCTCTTGGTCGTCTACACCATCTTCTTCCGCGCCCGCTATGCCCAGAGCAGCTTCGTCCAGGGAGCCATTGCTCAACTTACCGCCCGTATCGATGCGCAGCTTGCGAACCAGAGCACGCCTCCGGCTGCGCGTCAGGCTTGGGCTACCGCGAAGAATGTCATCAAGCAGGCCGTTGAGGCTACTGATATCAGCCGCTATCTCGCTGGACCTCAGGGTGCGCCTAAGAAGGCGCAGTAAGCCGCTCCACGCGCCGTTTGGCTACCTCTGGCAATATCAGCAAAGTTACTTGTCGGGGGTGTTGGGGGGCAGGGCTTGGATGGCGGAGAAGATGACGTACATTTTGGTCAGTGGAGAGGAATAGAGTTAAGCGGGTGTGACAAGTTCGCAGATACCCCGGTGATGGAATGGATTACGGATTTCAGTCCAGGTCGGAACACGATGGCTGTCTCTGGAGCAGCGAAAGCTTGGGAAGGCGATTGCTTAGTGGAAACCATTGCTGCGGGAGGATCACATAAAAGGAGTTTGGCAGTCGATTAGACGGGTATGGTGGCCGTGCCTTGAGGCACTGATGAATGAATGGAGAGCCGTTCTGGAGTGGTTGATGGCCTGTTTGGACATGGAGACGGCGGACTGCTTGCGTCTGCCCGTATTGCTACTGGTTCTGTGATGCTTGATGGTTAGAGGAGGGTAGGATAATTGGAGACAATTCTGACTACTTTGCCACAGGTGATTTCTGACTTTTTGATTCATTATCATTGCCTAGCGAGTGTTTGTTTCAGATCCACTCGTCAGTTGTTTTATTCCATGATGTGATGACCTGTCCTGACTCCTTGGCAGTCGAGGTCGACAAGTATGTTCGCATCGTTCGCATCACTTCCAATTGAGAGGCGGTCTAGGCTCCATGCGATGTGGCTGGGCCTGGAACACACGCCATGAATTGCAGGCACACTGCAGGAGTTGTCCAGTAAGTGGTGACGGACCCTACTTATGTGTGATGGTGCTTGCATGCAAGTACGGAGGATTGGAACTGACTGAGGGGGACCGAGTACATAGTCCCCGACTGTACTGTATGGCTGGTTTCTTCACGTGAAGGGGTTTCTAAGGGGAGGTGTATGTTTGCACACGATTATCCCAAAGAGGTTATACCTATACATATACAAGTATAGATGGAGCATTTTTGGAACGAGGTCTGTTGTACACGGAATTTGTTTCCTTTTCTTCCTTTTTGAGGAGATGCAGCACTGTAGGGGGCCGTGTCGTGTCGTGGCGCTGCAGTACTGTACTGTACTGTGTGTGTCTGGGCTCGTTGGACCACTTATTCGGTACCTAGGTACATGTGCTTCCGTGTTCGGCAATCTGGCGGTGAGGGAGGGGAACAACGAACGAGGTTGGCTCTCTTGGTACGGGTACTGTGTATTTCTTGCGGAGAGATGCAGGTGCAGAACGAACAATGTCGTTGTGCAGTCTGCAGACCATGCGGGGGGAGATTCAGAGTGTTGATATACTATGGTAAGGGGTGATAAATAAACGTCAATCTAGAGCGAGGCAAGCTTTTCGTTCAAGCTCAGAGAGCGAGGACGGTGCCGACTTGGGTAGAATATGAATTGCGGGAATCATTACTAGCAGATGGAAGAGACAACGGAGTACTACTACTGGAATGGATCCGAGGGTAAGTGCCGTGCCGGGGCTATATTATGAAGATTGCATATGCATTTCAGAAGAGTGGTGGTGTATAACAGAGACGAAATCTATGGCAAGATGGCGCCATCTACTTCGTAGATCTGGATCTGGATTGTCTATTTTGTTATACCGGTAAGTGGTAAAGTAGATTAACGACCTTGCAAGAGGTGGGAGGCTTGCGTGGACGCCTGTCTATTTCCTCATTTACAAGTATTTCACGGAGAATAAAAAATCCATGCATACACAGTATATCCCAGATATGTGCAAAGTGCAAGTGCCTTCTATCCGAACGCACACAGATGCACGATGGATGCAGCACTCAGCAGGGGAGACGACACGACTCGCAATCCACAGACACGAAATGTGTTTCAAGCTGTTTTCGTCGAGTGCGCTCGGCTAACGGAGATGTGGCTGCGGTCTCGGCATAGGTAGGGTCGAAGAGAGCAAAAGGTCTTGGTGTAACTTTGTGGAAGTTGGTGAATGCGAGGTGGAGGGAAGTTTGTGAAGTCTGCGTTTGCAGACGTTCAAGGGGAACATGGGAATGCTGGAAGGTACGGAGTAGTGCCACGTACTAGTAGACGAACGAATATCGTCATCGTCATCGTATACTCCGTATCCTCTTTGGAGGGCATTCACTCTTCCCATCTGTCCGTGGGGGCATGCCCAGGCCTGCGCCTCAACGCACGGGTTCCCTCGTCCTTAGCCTCAGGCGCCAAACCGCCAGCAAACAACCTTGGAACACACCACCCACCGCCTTCAAAACCCAGCTGAACTGAACTGGGTTGAAGCGGGCCCAAGCGCCCACCCCAAACTAACGATTTCCACCCAAAAAAGCACGTCAAGTTAGCCCAGCCGCTGCATCCCTGTGGGCCCTTTTTTTCGGGAGCTTGTGTGGGCTGAGGATGTGGTGTGGGTTGAGGAATGGAGACGGGGGGCTCGGCGGGGAGTGTATGGTGTACTGTGTATATAGGGTGCTGGGCACCTCCCATGGCGGTGTGATTCTGGTTGTTCTTCTTTCTCCTTCTTCTTGCCCTTCTCCCTCGGGCTTGGACTGTTGCCTAAGGGACTGCGGTGAGCCAACGGTAACGGGAGGCTAGACATTCACTCCAAAAGAGGGGGGTTGTGCATATCACGCGAGTCGAATATTCGAGCGGACCCATCTGGACAACACAGCGCCTTCTAGTTATAAAACTACTAGTCTGCACCACCACTTGTTGCTCCTGGGACAACCTTCCAAATCCGCAAACACTCAGAACTCAACCGTTTCCCTTCTGGAATGCCAGCCCCTTCATTTCCCTCGGTATTGGGTCCAGCAAGACGAAGAGCGGTATTCCCGGCACCATGAGCGCGTACGGGTACTCGTCCCCCGCGCTTTCCGAAGAGCACGAGCAGGAGCAAGACCAAGACCGAAGGAATCGGAAGCATGTCGACGACGACATCAACGTGGACGACATGACGGATGAAGAGCTGGACCTGTGGTTCGCCAATTGCGTCCCGCTGTCGAATCTGCCTACGCCGCCGCCTGCAAAGGAGTGTTGTACGCAGCTGCGGAGGAGCGAGGGGTTGCGAGGTTAGTTCTGTTTTGTCTCTTTTCTCACACCTCTTTTCGTACTCTCGTTTTTCTTCGTTGCAGATTGGCTTTTTGGTCTCGTGTTCTTTTTTCCCGTTTCCCTGCATATGCACTGTGTACCACCCACCGTCGGAACGATCGGAACTTGCCTCGTCATTGCGCGAAAACCCACACAGGCACTGCTCAGCGCATGCAGGTGTGGACTTGTTGGAAAAGTGCGCACGTCGATCGCGCGACACCATGGACTTGCTCCGCGGGGCGTGCCGACTGTTTCTATTTTTTGCTGCACCGGTGGCGGACCGAATCTTAAGACGTCATCAACCGGAATCATGCTCATGCGACTATCCATTCCAAGGAACGGGATTTTATTTTGGTAATCGGCCCTTTGGGCAGGATCTAGATGAAGTGTTGTTACTGTGTACTTGGGTCCATCCTTGCAGAGAGACGATTCCAAAACCGTTCCTCATACACCCTCTTTCTTTGTCAAGCAGATATTTCTCTAAGCTGTCCGAAACTTTCTGGATTAATGGGAAGATAGATGGACAATGGCTAACAAACACGGTCTCAGGCTCGAGTATCATATCCACGACTACAGAACTATATGCTGCCACGCTTTGTCGCCTCGTTCCCAGCAACGTCTGCTCGCGCGCTGGCCGGACACCTTGCCCAGCAACCATTGCGCGGTTCCTCGAGCGAGCGCAGCCCCCTGCGGAGATTGTTGCGTTTGCCGCATGCGTGCTGGATGCACTGAGCTTGCGGTTTGCTAGTTCCTGGAGAGAGGCGTGTCTGTTTCGTAACAGAGGCAGCCAGAAGAAGTCGGGCTTGGGGACAGTCACTTCGTCGTCACTGCCGGACGAGAGTTATTTTGCCCTACAGAGGGAACAAGACAGCAGCGCGACCACCACGAGGCCCGAAGTCATTCCCCTCGCTGCCATGGCCATCGCGTACGGATTCCTCGCGGACAAGGAGCGCTCGTCGAGGTATTGGGCGCAGGGAGTGGCCGAGGGCATGGTCAGTGTGCGGGAGCTGGAGGCGATGAAGTGGTGTCTACTGAGCGATATCGATTACGGGCTCATGCGTATTACGGAAGAGATGGTTGCGGGCATGTTGCAGAGGATGAAGGGTACGATGAATGGCAGCAACGAGAGTGCTGCTGTGTCCGGACTACGACAGCAGCAGCAGGACGAGGACGATGTTGCAGCGATCTCGGAAGACAAGAAGTGTCATCGTTCCTTGGACCTGGAGCCGTGGCGAGGCGCCGCGGTGTGGGTGCACGGCGTGCACACGCCCGAGCCCAGTCCTTGAGGCTTTGTGCGGTGCTGTGCATGCGCTGGCGGTGCAGTCTGTGGGTGCCACTGCGGCGACAAAGTGATGCCCGCAGCTGACCTGAGTCGCTACAACCACCTGTACAGAGGGAGGGTTCACTGATGCATCCGATGCATATTTGGCGTTTTTGGGGGGGCCATTGGTTCTATTGATTCTGGCATTGCGCTTGATACCCCTTTTTCGCATTCAGCTGTGTTCTTTTTGGGAATATTCCGTTGACGTCGTGAGGAGGAATAGTTGGTGAATGGGATAGTTAGCTGGGGCTCAGGTCTGTCGGCCTCGTCAACGATTTCCCATTTTCACATGATGGGGATTCACACCGTGTCTGATTCTGAGGGAAAAAGGGGCACTTTGGGAAAGGGAAGCTTTTTGGTGATGGTGGAGATATTGGGGGTCTGTGCTCGAGGAACAGCCGGTTACCGCTTTCGGAGTTGTGGTATGCATGGGATGGGTGCCGTGGCGGGGGGTCTAGAATTGTGGGCAATAGGGAGGTATGTTATTATTGGGGATTGAGATGGAGATTGTGAGGAATTGATGGTGTTTTATTATTACCAATGGGGTTTTATTTTATATCTGGACATGTCGTTCTCCTTCGACCGTCGTCTACCTGGGTACACGACACGGTGCAATCGTATCTGGGTCTTGAGTCTTGTCTTTTCACCTCCCAACACTGCTTTCAATTCTGAGCATGCAGAAACAAGCTCATAATGCTCGTGCCAAACGACGGCTGCAACACCTGCAGCCGGCAAGCGGTCATCGGGCGGATGACCGCTCTGCAGCTCCTTTCATAATCTCCCACACACACACACCATCTTCTGCCATGATGGCGATAACCTCACATAACCTCACGGCACAGGACCAGCGGTTACCCTAGGGTTAGGAGGGGTAGCTGTACAACGACGTAATCGCTTACCCCACTCGCTATCAGTTGCGCCCCGCCATTTGCATGGATGGTTGTTGTGCATATTCCAAGCTTCTCAACAAACTCAGTCCGAGCCTGTTCCAGCCTGTCCTTCACTGCACCCCTTCCTTTCTCCTTCTCCAGAGTTCCCTGCAAGCTTCAATTGCCATCAGCCGTTCCTTCCCTGCCTGTCATTGTGCGCCGGCCCAGCTAAACAACACCGCCTCCGCCCCCGATCCTCCATCATCTCCTGAATACTGGGTAACAACACCCTCGTCTCTCGCTCACTCGAGTCTGCATCTCCCCCACCAACCTCCTGAACATGGCGTCGACGCCTACCCATTCGGCACCTGCCCGCGAGCGAAGACCCTCCATGAGCGCCCCTCTCGCCGACCTGCAGGGCCCCGTTGGCCCCTCGTTCTCTCGCCCCAAGCACAAGAGAACTGCCACGGGTTTCGGAGCCAGCGAGATCAAGAGCGTCGAGGCGAGCATTCCTGAGCCCCAGCGCGAGGCCTGGAGGAAGTTTGTCAGTATCCCTTCCCTCGCTGACTACTATGAAAGGGATAAGCGCTGACGACAGATGTAATTCTTAGATGCCCAAGCCCTTCACCACGGCCGAAGAATTCGAAAAGGAGGCTGTGCGCCACATCGAGACGACGCTCGCCCGCTCCCTGTACAACTGCGACGAGTCGGCCGTGTATGGGGGAACCGCGCTCGCCTTCCGCGATAGGCTGATTTTGGATTGGAATAAGACGCAGCAGACGCAGACGTTCAAGGATCAGAAGAGGGTGTATTATCTCTCGCTCGAGTTTTTGATGGGAAGAGCGCTGGATAATGCCATGCTCAATGTTGGGCAGAAGGATGTGGCTACGAGTACGTTGTTGGATAATGGGAATCCATTCGCTTTGATAGCTAATGCTTCGCAGAGGGCCTTAGCGAACTCGGCTTCCGCATGGAGGATATCATCTCCCAGGAGCACGATGCTGCCCTCGGTAACGGTGGTCTCGGCCGTCTTGCCGCATGCTTCCTCGACTCGTTGGCCTCGCTCAATTACCCCGCCTGGGGTTACGGCCTGCGGTACCGCTATGGCATCTTCAAGCAGGAGATCGTTGATGGATTCCAGGTCGAGGTTCCGGATTATTGGTTGGACTTCAACCCCTGGGAGTTTCAGAGACACGACATCACGGTGGATATTCAATTCTATGGCCATGTCAATCGCTGGCAGGATGACGAGGGCAAGTTGCAGTATTCGTGGGAGGGTGGCGAGATTGTGCAGGCGGTTGCGTTTGATGTTCCCAGTACGTCCTTCAAGCTATTGGCTCGTAGCTGGCTTGCTTGGGGCTAACCAAAAAACAGTCCCTGGATATCAGACCCAGACGTGCAACAATCTTCGGCTGTGGGGCAGCAAGGCCGCAAGCGGAGAGTTCGACTTCCAAAAGTTCAACTCGGGCGAGTACGAAAGCTCGGTTGCGGATCAGCAGCGTGCAGAGACCATCTCGGCGGTCTTGTATCCCAACGATAAGTAGGGTCATCATCCCTCTTCTGCATGGTCCAGTTCTAACGAAAGTAGTCTCGAGAGAGGCAAGGAGCTCCGCTTGAAGCAGCAGTACTTCTGGTGCGCTGCGTCTCTGTACGATATTGTGCGCCGCTTCAAGAAGACCAAGCGTGCTTGGAAGGACTTCCCCAATGCGGTTGCCATTCAGCTCAACGATACCCACCCCACGCTCGCGATCCCCGAGCTTCAGAGGATACTGGTGGATATCGAGGGGCTGGAGTGGGATGAGGCATGGAGCAGTAAGTCGAAACTCTACATACAACTGCGAATCATATGTATACTGACATCAATCAGTCGTGCAAAAGACCTTCGGATACACCAACCACACAGTGCTTCCCGAAGCCCTCGAGAAGTGGTCTGTCCCGCTCATGCAGCACCTCCTCCCCCGTCATCTCCAGATCATCTACGACATCAACCTCTTCTTCCTCCAAAAGGTGGAGCGCATGTTCCCCAATGATCGCGAATTGCTTGGACGCGTCTCCATCATCGAGGAGTCCAACCCCAAGATGGTGCGCATGGCGTTTCTCGCCTTGATCGGGTCGCACAAGGTTAATGGCGTCGCCGAACTGCACTCGGATCTCATCAAGACGACAATTTTTAAGGACTTTGTCAAGATATATGGCCCGGACAAGTTTACCAATGTGACCAATGGTATCACTCCGAGGAGATGGCTCCACCAGGCCAACCCTCGGCTTTCTGCGCTTATTGCCTCCAAGCTGGGCGGGCATGACTTTTTGAAGGATCTCACGCTCCTCCACAAGCTTGAGAACTTTGTCGATGACAAGGAGTTCCGCAAGGAGTTCAGGGAGATCAAGTACTCCAACAAGGTGCGGCTGGCCAAATACATCAAGGACACCATGGGCATTACCGTCAACCCCTCGTCTCTATTCGATGTTCAGGTCAAGCGTATCCACGAGTACAAGCGTCAGCAGCTCAACATCTTCGGTGTCATCCACCGCTACCTGGAAATCAAAAAGTCGTCTCCAGAGGAGAGGAAGAAGTTCACTCCCCGGGTATCCATCTTTGGTGGAAAGGCAGCGCCCGGGTACTGGATGGCGAAGGCGGTCATCCACCTCATCAACCGTGTTGCTAACGTGGTCAACAACGACGCCGATGTGGGCGACCTGCTCAAGGTCATTTTCTTGGAAGACTACAATGTCAGCAAGGCGGAGATCATTTGCCCGGCGAGCGATATCAGCGAGCACATTTCCACGGCTGGAACGGAAGCTAGCGGTACTAGCAACATGAAGTTCTGCCTCAATGGCGGTCTCATCATCGGAACCTGCGATGGTGCAAACGTAGGTGAACCCTTGGAAGGTAACGAGCGCCATGCTAATCGATTCAAAGATTGAAATCACCCGCGAGATTGGCGAGGACAACATCTTCCTCTTCGGCAACCTCGCCGAAAACGTCGACGACCTCCGCCACGCCCACCTCTACGGCCAGTACCAGCTCGACCCCCAGCTCGCCGCCGTCTTTGACGCCATCCACTCCGGCACGTTTGGTAATCCCGACTCCTTTGAAGCGCTCCTCAACGGTATAGTCGAGCACGGCGATTACTATCTTGTCAGCGATGACTTCGCATCGTACATCCAGACTCAGGACCTGATTGATAAGAGCTTCAGGGATACGGAGGAGTGGACGACGAAGACGATATTGACCGTGGCGAGGATGGGTTTCTTTAGCAGTGATCGGTGCATTGACGAGTATGCAGAGTCGATTTGGAATATTGAGCCGATTGCGCAGGAGAAGGAGGACGAGAAGAAGTGAGGGGTGGCATGCACGGTGGTTAATTGCGCGTGTGGTATTTGTATAGTGGCATCAATTGATTATTTTCTGCAATTGGAAGGCTTGTAATCAGTGATCTGGAACCATGGGTGACTTGCAGGGTGATGGTGTTCAGATGTTCCTGTAAATCTCTTGTCGATAGAGGGTGTGCAGGACTTCTCTCGTGAAGTTAGTTTTGGACACCGGGAGAGAATTAAGTACCAACCTCTCAATTCCAATGACATCGAAGCAGGCCAGCGCTCATTTTCCTCGTATACGCAACTCAAGAGCTCATTCACCTTGAGCAACTTGCCTGTCCAGGCACCTTGCTGACTAAGCCGAACGCGATGATGACATTGGACAGGGACGCGACCCGACATGGGCAAGCAATCTGGCAGGAAGCTCTCCGCAGCTCGAAGACAAGCTCCGACAACGCAACGGGCCGCCAAATATGTCGAATCGCGGTTACGATGTTGTGGTGGATGTCGACCAGGAGGTAAGTCACAGCTCTGGAGGCTGCGTGCTGGCAGGTTATGCGGTCTTAAGTTGTTGTTCAGCATGCTCACGCATCCGACATCTAGGGCGACCTAGGCCATACCGACCTCCAAGAAGACCTCGAATTCCACAGCTCCAGTACGCTCCTCACCACCCATTTCCCCTCTCCCACTTGCATCTAACACTCCCACCAGACTTCGACGACCCCTCCTCGACCTCCTCGACCAAGATCCCGCCCGACTCGTCGACCTCCTTCCTCCCCGGCCCCGCAACCTCGTCCTCCTCCAACAGCAACACCAAGCACTACCTCTGGACCCTCTCCTTCTACGCGCAAGCCTTCGACGTCGACACGGCCGAAGTCCTGCGCCGCTGCCTCGCGGCCCTGTACCCGCGCGCAAACTTCCTCGACGTGCTCGAGGGCAACCCGGACCTGTACGGCCCCATCTGGATCGCCACGACCGTCGTCGTCATCCTCTTCCTCACGGGCACCATCAGCCAGTACCTGGCGCACAGCGGCAAGGAGCACTTTGCGTACGACTTTAGGTTGCTGAGCGGGGGCGCGGGGCTGATTTATGGGTATACGGCGTTTGTGCCCGTGGGGCTTTGGGCGGTGCTGAGGTGGTGGTTTCGGGTTGAGGGGGCGAATTTGTTGGAGTTTGTTTGTTTGTATGGGTATGCGGATTTGGTGTGGGTTCCTGTGGCGTTGGTGAGTTGGAGCCCGTTGTCTAGTGAGTGTCTCCCTTTTTCTTCTGCCTTTTTTCTCTCTCTTTCGTTCATTTTACACGCCTTTACCCCATATACCCTCTCATCCGTATTGCCAGAAACAAAGGAAGATAAAGAGTATATCCATGCTAATCTCGTCTGTGTCTCCTCTCCACAGTCTTCAACCTCATCTTCGTAGCCCTCGGCTTCGCCGCCTCGGCCTTCTTCCTCCTGCGCAACTTGTACCCCGTGCTCTCGGCCACGGACGTCAAGACGTCCAAGATCCTGCTCGTCGTCGTGCTCGCGCTGCATGCGGGTCTCGCCATCGCCATCAAGATTCTGTTCTTTGCGGCGGGGAGCCCCGTCGGGGGACCCAAGGACACGCCGCAGGAAGGGGTGGGCGGTGGGGATAAGGGGGAGAGGGTGGTGAGGATGATGATGAGGTTTTAGAGGGGAGGGTGGAAGTGGTGGTGCGGGAGGGGGGGATGATGGGGAAGTGTAGGGGTTGGAGTTTGTGGTGTATGGGGTTCTGGGTTTTGTATTTTGCTTTTTGTCGGGTTCTTTTGTCTGGGGTGGAGTCTGGGTTGCGTTGTATACTATTTTTTTATGAGGGAATTGGGGGGAAAGGGGGTTGGGAATAAGGTAATGCTAGAGAAATGATACCATTACGGCTCATCCGTTTTTTCCCTCCACTCAATGTGTGCAGCGTGCGTTGGGGACAATTGTTCTCTTGAGTTCATGTTTGTTACGTGTTCTTTTGTCGGTAGGAGCCCCTAGAGGTTGGATGGGAAGCTGGAGCTCCATTGTACGGCTTTTCTGCACGGGGGAACTGACTGGATTGGCGATGTGGTGTTTTGGCGATATACGGATACTTCTGCTATTGGGATCTGAACTAGCGGAATATTCACCGGGCATGTACCACGGCCAAGAAGAGAGTTGGTCAGCTAAGGTCCTTCCGACGACGGCGGGTCAGATCTGTACATGTTCGTGCTTTCGTTCTTCCAAAAACTATCCCATAGTATTGTCGACTATTCTATTCTAGTCTACGCCGGGATTGCTGTCCCCTATCTTTTCTTTTCTTCTTTTCTCTTCTTTTCTCTTCTTCTCTTCTCCTTTTTTGCCGGCCTGGATATAACTATACTACCTAGGGTGTACTGCATGGTTATAGGTGATGGATGCTGTCAGGGGTCACTCTGGTCGGACGGTGGGAGAGACACAGGAGGGATGGATTAGAGGCGTGATTCGATATTTGGTAGATGATACGCAGATTGTAGAGCTAGGAGTTGAGAGGCTGGATGGAGTAGTAGGATATTTATCGTACGCTAAAGGTATCTCTAGTTATACAAAATCTACATCTAAGACTACTCCCGTGGTTTATTCATAGGGTATATCTCGATTCCTGAGTAGCTATACGCTATATCTAAACTAAAATCTATGCTAGTATAAGCCAATTGCAAAAGCGCCGGTCGCCTAGGACACGAACCCCATCATCTCATCGTGAACCTCTTGCAGGTCTAAAGGTAGCCTTCCTTGCCTACATGCCCTAGTCTTCTGCTTTAAAACCTATCTGTGTAAAAGAGTACGTACCTCTTGTAGTAGCTTAGTTCTTCTCTGCCAGGGAAGGAGTCAAAATGGGATGTACTTATAGTACAGGTAGGGAGCCTAGCTTCGGTTTTGGATCCGCAGGGCAGCTAGGGTGTTGCTTGGGATTGGGTTGTAGGAGTCTCTTCGTTGAATGTGGTGTTGCATGGGTAGCGCGATTCAAAGATGAAGGACATGTCGGGGTCGGGGGAGGAGAGTTTGGGTTATTGTTACGAGAGAGTGAGGAGGCAGGTTCTGCCGTCGCTACGTAGGTGCTCTGCGCCTGCTTTTTAACTGCAGTCTTTTAGCGCTTCGGAGTCTAAGGCACCATGTTCTGGTGTGTTGAGATAGGTAGGGTACCTACATAGCTACCAGCTCTAGCTAGTAGCGGTCTTGTATAGAGTCGTAAACAGATATCCTGCGTAGGGTAGGGAGGTAGTCTTCGTACAAAGAACCCTGGGAAGCCGGTGTGAAAATTCATCTATGCTCTACGCGGGAAGTCTTCTCTATTCATGCACTAGGATAAATTTTTGCAAAAGTCGCTTTTCTGCTTTAGATGGTCCGTTTATCAAGAGTTAGAATGGTGGTGTTGGAAAGATGTGCGTTGTTCTGGAATCTTTGTGTTATTCCATCTAAATGTCAGCTCTACTGTACTCCTGTAAAAGCATACGAGAACATAAACCGCCAGCTATGTATACCAGGACTCTCCTTATAGATTGGTTCTATCCCAAATGACCAAAGCAGAATGCAAGGAACGAGAGCATCGGCAGTGAAGAACTAAACAAGAAAAATTGAACGGAAAACAAAAGGAAGAAATGGACTTTTGCTTTCCTAGCTTAAATATACTACTACCACCACGTTTCCCCCAGCGCCCAATTCAAGCACCACCCTTCTTCCTCAGACACAAAGCCCCCCCACACGCGTCGACCGAAGTGGAATGAGGCAACACCATGCTCACACTACAAGGGAGCAGCAACCAGCGATGATGCGTCCGGTGCTTTCCCTGACGTTGGAGCCCTGTAATGGAGGTAATACGTACGGTAAATGTGAAAGCGCGGAGCTAGGTTCTGTGGATGGCCTTTGGGAATAACGGAAAAAGAAAGGTATCAGCAAGAATGCAAGGCCCATGCTAAGAGGGATAAGTAAATAATTGTTGCGATTAAGAGCAACCCTCGGTGCTGTTGAGGCTGTTTATATAAGAGGTGGAGCCGTTTATTGCAACAACCTCGCTGCGTTTTCGCAGCCTTTAACGACAGGAGTGGGAAGGAACTGCACTGGAGACTGGTACTAATTATGGTAATTGGAGCAACGGCATTCATAGTGAGTGAAGAACCATTGATCTTATTTCCATTTTCAAATATCCGCTTCGTGACGAGTATATAGCAAAACGATCAACTGAACGCTCAAGCACCACTCTTCCTCAGCCACAAGCCCTCACGCCCATCGCCAGAATCGATACAATTCGTCTTCTTGCTTCGGCTTCATGCACACGCCAGGACATCCTGTGGGATTCATACACGTCGTCTGGCCCTCATTGTCCTCGTCCTCGACGCCGCACACTACCAGCTTCGGGCGACAAACGCCGACAGATGCCCTTATCCTGTAGGGAAGAACGCTGACATTCCAGTCCCGGGTCACAAGGTGTCGGACCGACTCTGCATTCAGCGCCATCAGTTCCACAAGGTACACCGATTCTGCAATCAGTTCCTGGTCCCGCATCGAACGTCTTACGGCAGACGCCCGTCTCCTGGGGAGAAGAGCGCATACATGACAGGCCCGGGTCACAAGGTTCCGCACCGGCTCTGCAGTCTCCGCCATCAGTCCCTGGTCCTCCCAGCTTCAGACGGCAAACGCCAGTCTCCTGTGGGGAGGAACGCAGACATTCGAGTCCATCGTCACAAGGTGCCAAACCAACTCTGCAGTCTCCGCCATCAGTCCCTGGTACTACCAGTATCGGACGACAAACGCCAGGCTCCGATGGGGAGGAATGGGGGGAACGCAGACAGTCGAGTCCTGGGTCACAAGCTGTCAAACCGATGGTTCTGCAGTTGCCGCCGTCGGTCCCTGGTTCCGGTTCCGACACCTGACGTCCTGCTAGCTTCGGACGACAGGTGAGCTTCGCGTCTGGAGAGGAACTCCCACATAGGAGTCCATCGTCACAAAAAGGTGCCTTATCTCTGCAGTCGCCGCCCTCGGCCCCTGGTGCCGGTCCCGCTCCCCCTCCCCCTCCCAACTTCGGACGACAAACGCCAGTCTCCTGGGGAGAAGAGCGCATACATTCGAGTCCATCGTCACAAGGTGTCGCACCGGCTCTGCAATCTCCACCATCAGTCCCCGCTCCCGCTCCCGCTCCCAACTTCGGACGACAGACGCCCTTCTCCTGTGGGGAAGAACGCAGGCATTCGAGTCCATCGTCGCAAGGTGCCGAATCGGTTCTGCAGTCGCCGCCGTCGGTCCCTGGTCCCGCTGCCAACTTCGGACGGCAGACGCCCTTCTCCTGTGGGGAGGAACGCAGACAGTCGAGTCCATCGCCACAAGGTTTCGCAGCATCGAGCATGCAATCTCCGCCATCAGTGCCTGGTTTGGGCCCAGCGTTCTCCATCTTCCGACATACGCCCACCTCCTCACCCGCGAGTCTCAAACATTGTAGTCCCTCTTTACACGTTATCGTTGCTGTGCATTTTCCGCCATCAGTGCCCGGATTGGGATCCCCAGCGTTCA